ATTTCTTAAAACGGAATTTTTAGGAATAAAAGATTGTAGACGAATTAGGTTATATTATTTGGTGGTGGTTTTTATATCATTTCCAACATCCCCCCCTCTACTGGAAAGCTTTTTTTTTATAAAAAAAAAAGCAAACAAAAATCATCCCCGTCCACTCTTTGTTGTTTTTTTATTTTGTTTTTTTCTCCTTTTTTACAAAAATAAAGAATTTTTTTTTTATTTTACAAAAAATAATATAGGCGCCCAAAAATTTGAGGTTTTTGTTAGACAAATTTTTTAACCCCAAAATCCAAGTGTTTCTTCCTCCTTTCTCTAGACGCGGACCCCCTATATTAAACCCTTTTTCGGAGAAACGGCTTCATTTTTTTATGTGTGTGTGAAAAAAAGGCCCAAAACCGGAATTTTTTTGCAAAGATGGGGTTAAACGGCTAAGTAATTTTTTTAATTTTTCCATAAATATGGCCCAGCCCCCCTTTTGGAAGGTAAAAAAAGGCGCGCGCTTGCCCCCCCCTAACAGAAAAAAAAAGCTTTTTTTACAATTTTTCCCCCCCACCCATTTAAGCCATAAACAGCCTCCCTTTTGGCAAAAATATCCCTCCTTTTGGTCATTTTAAGCCGATTTCTTTTTTAACAGTTTAAAACAACCGGGTTTCAATCCTTGATAGGGCATTTACCATTTTAACATATTCCCCCAGGGCAATTTAAAGTTCAGCTGAAAGCTGTGTTTTTTTTGATACATTGAGACGTTTTTAGATACCATGCTAAAAAAAACCATTTTATTTTATCCACCCTGGATCAAAAAAAAACCATTTTTTTTTTTAAAAACTCCCCATTTTTTTTTAATTACAGCACCCCCCTGCTTCCAATTTTTTACCCGGAGACATTTTCCCCCCCTAAAAACAGCGGGTGGGTGGAGTAGACTCTTAAAGAAAATCCCAAAAAAAAAAAAACGGGGATACGGGGGGACCCTTGGACTAAAAATGTCAAATTGGTTGGGGGGGGGACGTTCAAAAAAAATTATGTACTGTAACTTTTGCGTTGCCCCCCCCTTGGGGGGGGGGGGGGGGGGGGGGGGGGGTTAGTCCTCCAGCCTGCCCGGATAAGTAAACGACAGAAAGCATTTTCGCTACTTGTAGTACACAGTGTACCCGTGTTTATGACACTACATACAGACATACAGTCAAGCAGAGTCTACGGTGGTTATATTCACAGAAAATGCGCGAGTATGGACCAGTAGGTGTCGGTTTACGATTGTTAACAGGTTACAGCCTGTTGTCACAATCTCGGTGACTCTTAAGTCATAAATAGGTACAAAATGTGGCAATCTCGAGCCTGGTAATGAAAATATAGAAGTGAAGACTTCAATAGCTGTACCTGGGTTGTTGATCGCTAGTTACAAGAGCCGAAGCTGTTCACTAATTGGTTCCTACACCGGCCGTTGAACTGCGGTGTCCTACTTTTGATAGACCAGTTTGATTATTCCAGTCTTCATGTTCCTGGCAATACTATTGACGCCGACGTACAACCCACAGACACAGTACAGACGCGACATTGTAGTAGACTATATGGGGCACACGGTCATTTGCGCGATATTGGTTATCTGTTGACCCTTTCGCCACTACTAATGTTCCCCTAGACCTCAAGCAAAACCTGCTCACGAGTGCACGCATACCTATAAACCGCAGCTGCTGTATAGCCAAGGCGGACGCTTGTAGCTCGTGATGTTGTAACCAGGGTTACAGTCGATGGTGGTGTAAGGACCATCTTCACTGTATTCTGAACCTCTACCAGAAACGACTAGGTATGTATCGTAGCGGTTTACTTATGTACGATACTCACAGTGTGGGGATACTCACAGTATGGGGGTACTCACAATATGGGGATACTCACTGTATGGGGATGCTCACTGTGTGCCTTGTGGGTGCCAGAATACAATAGAGCCACCGGCCCAACCAGTAAAGCTACAGCGTAGAAAGATTATAAAGAGAAGGTGAAAGGAGAGAGTACAAACTTGTGTGTCCCACTCGTCCCCTTCTCCCATATATCCTCCGACCCGGTTCTAGAATATTCTGTTATCATAGCTCTCTCTGGCGCGTAAGCGTTAGAACAACACAATGCAGGGGTGTATGAACAAGCAGATTTACACAGTACAGTATATACCTCATTGTGCAAAATATTTGAGAACCCCATTACAGTAGAGCCTAAGAAGGATACTTTCACCACTCCTCCTCCTCTTCCTCACCCCGTACATCACTGGAAGGAAAGTAGTTATTACTAAAACCAATAAACCCCACAATATACACCCCTGAAGGCAGCCGAAGCTAGAAAGCATGCTGATCTCGACCTATGAAGTCTGTTTCTATACCTTTCTGTGTAGGTGAGAACTACACCATCCATAGCCTGGACTGGACCACCAACCCGCCTTGTAAATGTAGCACAATGTTACATCTTGCTCATTGACACGTTACTTGTTCTCTAATCTACTGTAATCACTTACTTTCTGTACATGGGTTCTTGTATTATTCTGTTACGTACCAAGGTTTCACTTATTAGCTTGGGCCCCTTACTTTACAAGTGGTTGCAGCCAGTTGTCTACTGTGGCAGTCAGGAACATCTTGTACTTCGAACACTGGCAACAATCGTAGTTGTTGTCTCACAAATCGACCCAAGGCAGTGCAAGTAAATTAGGACAATAGAGTACTGTTTTATATAGCCAAAAAAAAACAAAAAAAAAATAGTCGTTTCTTTGCTTACAGTATATCATTATTGGCAGTCAGAAAGTAGTGCGATACACGTGAACAGATACACAACACCAATCGCACTGACGTCTCCGCTTGTTCCCAAGAAGCACACGACGTAAGAATTTGGACCAGTTGGCCTTAAACCATTGCAACCAACGTCATCGTTAGCCACCAAAAAGCAATTGCTTCCCGTGCACATTTACAGCATTTAATTCCGCTGAAACACGGCAAGCGGCAAGGAGGCCATCGTGCAGAGCCAGGCACATGTCTACAATACCCTCCATCGCCCAGTGCTTGGGTTCTTTAAGCCTGCTTGTGCCAACCTGTGCTTTTCGCAAATGCTAGAGTTTTGCTTTCTTTTAACCTGGGCGGGGGAGACGGGTGGACTATCAGTGATCAGCGATGAGGTTGGTAGTCAGCTGCCGAACTTGTGGTCCTCTACCTACGATGCGATAAAGGACCCCTAACCAACTTCGCAGACACAATGAACACTGGTGCAGCCTGATACCATGGAAGCAGCCCTTTGACAGGGACTCTTACCTGCAAGCCGCATTCATCTTCTAGCTTTTCATCAGACTTTTTTTTTATGTACCATGGGATATCGTACACACAAACCATGGGCAAGTCTGAGACAGAGCAGGGGGGAAAGGGGAAAAGGAAGATATATTATTTTCGTACAGTACATACGATATTTATATCGTAGCTATACAGTGGGTCTTCACAGTTAGAATTTTAGAGCTACAAGTAGGTACTCGTACCTTTGCTATTCTGTAAACGTGGTGTACAAGTGTCACTTTTGGTCGTCCGTACTTCGAGACATGTGACATCTTGGGCCCACTTAATGATCCGTTTTTGGATTCATTTTTTTGTCCATTTTTTGATTGTTTGTGGCATCTTGCCAGTTGCCGGTGGCATGATGGCTCTTTTTTTTTGTATGATAGGTTGAAGTAACGTACAAAGAAGTGCACCTTTTTTCTTGCAACACCGACCCGTATTTGGCTTTGTTTGGGGCAAACGGACGGCAGATCTGCAGATGGACGCAGTTGTAACTGAACATCTGTAAATCTTTGTGGGTAGGTCGGAGTGCAGAATGTGGGTGAATCAGCTCGTTTGTTCGGCTGATTGCTTACGCACATAATGGCGGTTTCGTGATCTAGTTACATACCAATGTTACTGTGGAGCGTCGTTTTTCTCGTTTGCCTTATATGCTTGTTCGCTTGTTTTGTCTTTTCTCGTGGTTGCCAAAAAAATGAATTGGCAGTTCTTTGTCTCGCTCATAATGGGGCACGTGAACCTTGTTTGAAAGACACTGTCGATCACACAACGTAGGTATATGAGGGAACGAAAGAGGAATAGCGGGGGGCTATCGAGGGCCCTTAGGCTTCCAAAAAGCTACCCCAGTTCCTCAGCGTGGAATTTTCCCTCATTTAGTCTTGGTCGGGCTCAAAACGTCGATTGTGTCACCTGAGCTAGTGCTTCTAAACACCAATTCAAAGTTGCATTCAGCTGCACGCTTCATCCTTTTTAGCCACCCAACAAAGGCAAGGTTAGGCCCTAGAAATAGTTTACTATAGCTCCACAAACGCAGATCGGAGAGAGGCTTTGTGAGATGGCTGTGGGGGCTCTCTTATATAGATGGGGGTGGGACTTGCAAAGCCGAAGCCGGAATCAAAACCCACACAAACGTTTTCTCGCTACTTCAGGCTCTCACAGCTTCAGGCCCAAGCACAGCTCACGTCACCGCACATTCTTGGTCTGCACAGCTCGCATATTGTGCTGCAATCATCCGTCTAAAAGCGTTGGAAACCGCTTTTGTACACGGTGCACCTCCGACAATTTATATATCTTTTCCACTGCATTTGCTGACGTTTCGCCTTACGACTTACATACCGTCACACCCTCCACTCACGCCATGCCTCGAGTTTCATCGACGATCGGTCTGGCAGTTCTGATTGCACTGGTGATGCTAGTAGGAGTGTCCCTGCGACCACAGTCTCTGTCCCCCTTTGACAAATATGCATACAACAGCTCACCTTCGCCATCAGCAGGGCGCGCCCAGGCTGTTTCCAAGGCCCAGGTCTTTCACACATCTGCATCTCCACCAAAAGTCGTGGTGGCTCAAACAGGACTCCCTGGACCTGTTGCTCAGGCCAGTGGCCTCGCAAAGGCTGGCCAGGCTGCGGGAAAGCAAGTTGGACCTCCTCCTAGTCCCGAGCAGAAGCCGTACGACTATGAGGGACCCATTGTGATCATGCCCGACAACCTGGAGAAGGATATCGAGGAGTACAAGGCTCGAAAGAAGAAGGAGGAGGAAAAGCGACAGAAGAAGGAGAAGGAGCAGAAGGAGGCAGCTGAGAAGAAGAAACAGGAAGACGAGAAGAAGAAGAAGGAGGATGCCGAGAAGAAGAAAAAGGAAGAGGAGAAACGAAAGGAGGAAGAGAAGAAACGGAAGGAGGAAGAAAAGAAAAAAAAGGAGGAAGAGGAGGCTAAGAGCCGAGAGGAGGAACAAAAGCTGCGAATCCAGGAACTGGCTGGTGATGATAGTTCGTTTAATTCGCTAAAGGCCAAGGTGGAGAAGTTTGAAAAGGAATTGGAGCCTCTCAAGAAGGATCTGGAAGCTGCCAAGAAGCATAAGGAAGAGACCAAGAAGAAGGATGAGGAGATGCGAAAGGAAAAGGAGAAAGAGGCTGCCAAGAAGCTTAGCAACGGCCTTCAGGGAGACTTCCACAAACTTGAGAGAGCCGAAATTAAGGCTATTGTCGAAAACCCGCTCAATTACACCGAAGCTGAGAAAACTGATGGAGGCCACGTGGCTCCCTACGGTGGCAAGGTCGTGATTCTGTCTGCTTCCAACAACAAGACAAAGTCTGAACAGTACATGCTTGAACGGGCTCTTCTCAACCGACAGGAGTACTGTAACATGCATGGATACACGTGTCGGTTCATCAACCTGGACCAGGTCGATGATGGCAAGCATCATATTGTTTGGGCCAAGATCAAGGCTATTGAGATGGTTTTCGAGACTGATCCTGAAGTTGAATGGGTCTGGTGGATGGACACCGATATGATTATTCTCAACCCTTATATTGAGCTTGGAGAGCATATTCTGAGTGACAGGGCACTGGTTGAGCGACTTACTTACGGACGACCCATCCGATCGGCAGACGCCTCGTTCAAGGGTGAGATTTACCATTCCAAGGGCCAGATTGAAGCCAAGGATATCCATCTACTTCTGACGCAGGACTTTTTCGGCATCAATGCTGGTTCCTTCTTCCTCAGAAAGTCTCAGTTTTCTAAATTCCTGCTCGATCTATGGTACGACCAACACTTTATTGACAAGAATTACGTCTTCCGAGAACAGCAGGCTCTCAACCATCTTTTGCGGTCACATAAGACCGTTCTTCAGCATACCGGCCTGTATCCTCAGCGTCTGTTCAACTCTTATTTGGGTAACGAGAAGGATGTGTGGAAGTTCAAGGAAGACGATTTGGCTGTTCATTTTGCCGGCTGTGGCTCTTCCAGGACTTGTGAGGACAAGTTCTCCCGATACATGAAGATCCGAAAGCGTGTGCCCAAGGAGTTCCAGGTTGAGTTCCCCAAGGACTAGCCTACAGTACCTACCAATTATTGGTTTACGTAGCATTGAATACATACCCATAACCATCCTGGTAACTATTGTACGGTAGCCGTGCAGGCAGATACAGACTTGTTATTTGTAATCAGACACCCCTGGCTAAAGTCCATATTTTCAGCCGACATGGTTTATAGTACGCAATTCAGCAGCTAAAAGTGATAGCGCCGCAGCTCTATAGACCCACGCTATTTTAGGCCTGAGTTTACTACAAGTAGGAAGACGACGCAACACGCCAATTACTGTAGTTGTATCGCACTTTCTTGTAGTGAATGTGTCTGAGTAACAAATTATGCCATAGACATGTGATGGTAACAAGAAGGCACATTTGACGTCATTGGTAGTTTCCATCACCACGGAATTTTGAACAGATCCAGTGATACTAAAGCATAGCTAGCGACTGGTACCGGCACTCGCAAAGGATGCACGTCTGGTACCGCATGTAATCCCCCCTTATTGAATTAATCAAACGCTTGAATCGTTCTGTGAGAAACTAACTTCAATGTATACCACTTTGTGCGCAGATTCATCCGGATCCGACGATCTCCACTCATGCACCTGAAGCTGCAACATGCTGTAAATAACTTCGGGGTGGACATGGAGTGAAGAAACCTAGAAATACGATACGAGACATGACCTTATTACAAGTACATTATACATTATACAGTAAGTACGAATAGAAGTACTTACGGATTATACGTATCCGGAAATAGCATCAATAAACGGTTCTCCTTGTTGTAGTTGTATAGTCCGTCGGTTATTTCCCCCTGATCCGGCATAGACCATGACTACTGTTTGAAACAGGTATACGGGCGGTATGACACCACGCCGTAAGTATCAATGTAACTGAGCAGCAATAGGTTAAGCTACAATATATTCCAGGAGGATATTTTGGTATCAATCGAATCAGCGCGAAATTCTGAATCGATCGATATACTTTTCATGATCCCTAAAAGCATCCAAACACTACATCATGGTGTTGCCATACGGCCAAAAATACAGCAATAGCAAATTAGAGTATAGTGAACACCCCAACACATTACAAGCAGATTTCATTCAGGTCATATCACAAGTCGCGCTTTGGCGTGCATTCTTATATACGTGTTGAACTGGTAGGATGCTTAGTTGAATAATTTAATCGTGTGGTGTCACACTGCGGTCTTAGAAAAGACCCTCGATCTCGCCCTTGTCGTTGACCTCAACGTTCATGAAGCCACAATGAGTGGGGAGACCAGGAATGGTCTGGATCTCGGCAGCCAGAGCGTAGAGGTAGCCAGCACCAACAGAGGCTCGAACATCTCGAATGGGCACAGTGAAGCCAGTGGGCACTCCCTTGAGAGTAGGGTCGTGGGAAAGAGAGTACTGGGTCTTGGCCACACAGATGGGCAGGTTGCCGAAGCCCTGCTTGGTGTAGGCGTCAATCTTCTTTCGGGCCAGCTCGGAAAGCTCCACGTCCTTGGCGCCGTACATCTTCTGGGCAATGGTGTTGAGCTTCTCCTCAGCGGTTGTGTCGGCCTCGTAAAGCAGCTTGAAATCCTTGTCGATCTTGTTGGAGGCGTCAACGACGGCCTGGGCAAGATCCACGGCTCCAGCGCCTCCTTCGGCCCAGTGCTTGGCGACAACAGCGTCCTCGGCACCGTACTTAAGAGCCTCCTCTCGGATGACATCGTGCTCGGCAGCGGTATCGGAGACAAACTCGTTGATGGCAACAACCACGGGCAGACCGTACTGTCGGGCGTTCTCAATGTGCTTTCCGAGGTTCTTGCATCCCTCTCGCAGGAGCTCCACGTTCTCCTCGGTGTACTCCTTGGGGAGAGGAGCACCGGCCTTGACCTCAGGACCTCCTCCATGAGACTTCAGGGCTCGAACGGTAGCGACAATGACAACAACGTCAGGAGCCAGACCGGAAGATCGGCACTTGATGTTGAAGAATCGCTCACCTCCCATGGTGAAATCGAAACCGGCCTCGGTGACCACAAAGCCGGCCTTGTCGTCAGACTCGTTGGGTTCGGTACCAGCCAGCTTGAGAGCCATCTTGTCGGCCAGCACGGAGTTAGCACCAATGGAAATGTTGGCGAAGGGACCGGCATGCACAAAGACGGGGGTACCCTCCAGAGTCTGCATGAGGTTGGGCTTGATGGCGTCCTTCATGAGAGCAGTAAGAGCACCACCAGCACCGATATCGTCACAAGTGACGGGGTCGCCGTTCTTGGAAGAACCAATGACCATGTTTCCAAGTCGCTCTCGCATGTCCTCGAGATCGTTGGCAAGAGCCAGAATGGCCATACACTCGGAGGCGACGGAAATGTCAAAGCCGGTCTCTCGGGTTCGGCCCTTCTCGGTAGGGGCCTGTCCAACAGTGATACCTCGCAGATGTCGATCATTGCAATCGACCACTCGTCGCCAGGTGATGGTCTCAGGATCAATGTCGAGACGCACAAACTTGGCAATCTCCTCCTCAGTCAGATCGTCGGGGTTGGTCTTGTCGATACCAAGCTTCTTGAGTCGGGTCTGCATGCCTCGAGTGAAGGTTCGAACGCCCTTCTTGGCAGGCACCAGACGCTTGTAAAGAGCAGCGTCCTTCTGGGTAGACTCATGAAACATTCGGGTGTCAATGGCAGCGGCAAGCAGGTTGTTGGCAGCTGAAATGGCGTGAATGTCACCGGTCAGGTGCATGTTGAACTCATCCATGGGGATAACCTGGGCGTATCCTCCTCCAGCAGCTCCTCCCTTAATACCAAAGGTAGGGCCCATGGAGGGCTGTCTGACGTTGGCAAAAGCCATCTTACCAAGATGGGCACCAAGAGCCTGCACCAGACCAATGGTGGTGGTGGACTTGCCCTCTCCAAGAGGGGTGGGAGTGATTCCGGTGACTAGAACGTACTTTCCGTTCTTTCGGTGGGCCAGACGGTCAAGAATGGGCAGCTGGACCTTGGCCTTGTAGGCTCCGTAGGGCTCGAGCTCAGAGGGCAGCACGCCAATTTCGGCAGCCACCTCGGTGATGTGCTTGGGCTCTTGGGCTCGAGAAATGGCAAAGTCGGAGGGCACAGGGTTCTCCTTCTTAAGAGGCAGAGGGGTGATGGATCGAGCGGTCAACTTCTCGGCCTGTCGCTTGGCAGAGAGCACAACGTTGTCCAGCAGCATGGCCACGGTCATGGGACCCACTCCTCCGGGGACGGGGGTGATGTGGGAGGCTACGTTCTTGGCAGACTCAAAGTCAACATCTCCAACAAGTCGCTGGCCAGACTTCTTGGTATCATCGGGAATGTAGTTGGTTCCCACGTCGATGACAACGGCGCCAGGCTTGAGCCACTCACCCTTGACAAAGCCGGGCTGGCCAATGGCGGCGACAACAATGTCGGCAGTCTTGACAATCTCGGGGATGTTGGCAGTTTTGGAGTGCACGACAGTGACGGTAGCGTCAGCGTTTCGCAGCAGATAGGAAACGGGGGCTCCGACAATGTCGGATCGGCCAAGAACAACAGCGGTCTTGCCAGCAACATCGATGCCGGCAACCTTGAGCAGCTCCATGACTCCCTTGGGGGTGCAAGCGACGAAGGAAGGGTTTCCACCTCGCTTGGCGAGCTCGCCAATGTTGAGAGGACCGAAGCCATCAACGTCCTTGTCGGCGGCGACGGCATTGGTGATGGTGGTCTCGTCAATGTGCTTGGGCAGAGGGAGCTGGACCAGAACACCGTCCACGGAGGGGTCCTCGTTCAGGTGGGTGATCTCCCGCAGCAGCTCGTGCTGGGACACGTTCTCGTCCAGTTTCTTGAGCTCGCACTTGATGGCGGCCTCGTCCGCGGCCTTGAGCTTCATTCGCACGTAGGTGGACGAGTCGGGTCGATCGCCGACCTGGATGATGACCAGAGAGGGCTGGAATCGGGGGTTGGTCTGTTGCACATCGGCGATTTCGGTGTGCAGCCGTTCTCGGATGTTTTTGGCAATGGAATTGCCGTCGATGATGGAGGCCATTGTGTGGATAGTTGTAGAGGAAAGAAAGATGTTTAGCTCCTGAAATCGACCTTCACCAACCTGACAAGAATAACCTCTAAAGTTAATGTGGAGAACGTGGGGTGTGACAATTACACCAATGAATATGGCCCAGCGGAGCAGTGAGGGGTAACAAAGACTACGTAGTAGGCCCAGAATTCTACATAAGGACGTTGTTCGCAATTACATCCCATCATTCAACACACCACTTGACTCACAACACCCCACTTGGCTGGTCCTGTCTACTCTACATCTCTGACTCACAGACCCGAGTCGCGGCTTTGAAAACCTGAACTTAATGTAGGGTGCTCCCTACCTCGGGCTGGCTGCAACATGGGGATGAGGAGACGGCAGCCTACAAGGTGTTGGGGAATGGGAGACGGTGGTGTGAGAAAAGGGAGTTGCGCAGTCACGTGACTGAACCAGAATTAATCCGGACTAGCTCTCGGTAGTGACACACAAACCTCAAGGTTCTCTTTGTACACGATTCTTAACTTGACAACTTTTTCCAAGCACACCTCTGTTCTGGGGCACTGAGCCAGACTCAGTGATTTCTGCACGCACTTCAACTGGCGACTAATTACTCGTACAGTAACAGAAGACTGCATCCGGCGGCTAACCCGATGGCAAGAATGCATTTTCGTGCGTCTCAAGTGTATTACAGTGTCTGTATCGTACTCGCACAAACGGCACCAACGATAGATAATTACATCACTTGTCAGGTTGGATGATATGGTTCATGTCTTAGGGACACATTGCAGTAACCCATTCTGTAACTCAAATGGAAAAAATTTGGAATCCAAATTTCAGTCATAACCTGTGGCTAGATGTGTACAAGTAAGCACTGTTAAAATGATACAAGTACCTTGTACAAGTACTTGTACTTCATTTTGCTGTAAATTTCACAATCTCATCTCATGGTTTCGGCCACTTGTCAAGTACAGTATGTATGTACTGTATCAACATCATATCGCATATCATCACTCTATATCTACAACATAATAACGCCAACTCCCTTTCCGTCGAGCTGCTCAAGCTGCTTCTGCTTGTCGAGACCGCCATGGACAGGCTGGGCTCGGTAGTTGAACAGATAGTAGTTGAGGTAGCCATCACCGCAGCCAAACTTGAGATCGTCCAGATGGCTAGGGTTGTCCAGCAGAGTCAGCTCGTTGTAAACCTCGAAGCCCAGGTTGTTGGCTAGAATCACAGCAGATCCAATCAGCTCCTTGACTCGATCCTGTCGGGCCTTGGCAGAAGAAAGAGAAGAGGTGGCATAGTAGAAGCCATAAGCAGCTCGCAGGTTGGACTCGGTAGCCCATTCCTTGAGAACAGTGTGGTCCAGCTTGTAGAAGGAAAAGAAGTCAATCACCTTTCCGTCCTCCTCGACCACGTATGAGTAGACAATCTTGTCGTCATTCTTGTCCTCGGAAATGGGGTCCACAAACCAGTGGGCTACTTCCTCCTCGGAAAAGTGCTGGCTCATCTCAGAGGCAGCGCTCAGGTAGTTTTGCAGAATGGCATGCACAGCCTTGACGTCGGCCTTGGTCATGGCTCGCACCTTGAGAGGCACCTCCTTGGGCAGAGTGTATCTGGCGACCATTGAAGCAGCCGTCTGGTTAGGGGGGATAGCTGAGAAACCAATCTCGTACAGCTTGGTCCAGTTGAGAGGTCGGTGGTAGTATCTGCAGGTGGATACGGGAGAGGGAAGAACAACACCGGCAGTGTAAAGAGCCTGCCAGATGTCCTTCTGGTTGACTCGTCGGGTGATCTCCTTGATGAGCACGGGAGCCAGACGCTTGGATCGCAGCTTCTTGTGCACACACAGGAAGTTGATCTCCACGGCCTTGATCAGATCGTTGTCTCGCAGCTGAATGGACGTGGGGATAGCACTGATGAAAGCAACCATCTTTCCGGTGGCAGCCACTCGAACACAAGGGTACCAGGTCTTCTGCCATCCAGGGGGCTTGAGAGCCCAGTCCAAAAAGGAGGCAGAGTACTTGAACCGGAAAGTGGCATCGTCATCTTCGACGTAGTTGTCGTACAGCAGATCGTAGACCTCCTGAATGTGCTCGGGGTTCTCAATATCGACATCGGACCACTCGTACTCTGCAGGCAAGTTGTAAGGAGTAGGTCTCACGTCCTCCAGCTTCTTGTGCTCGATAGGACCCTCACTGTCAATGTCCTCGTCGAACTTGGGCACGGGCTGGGTCTTCCAGAACAGATACTCCTCCCACTTTTTGGCCTTTTCTCGGTCGGGAATGTCTTGCATGGCCATCTGCTGCTGGAACATTTTGAGGATTTCGTTGAACTTATCGGCGCTCATTCCGGGAGGAATGCCGGTTCCCTGGGCAATGGGTTCTCCGAGATCTTCTTCGTTGAACTCCTCCTCTTCCTTGCGCTTAGATTCCTCGGGCTTGGTGTTTTTCTCGGCCATTGTGTGCAGTTGATCTGAAGCTCTGATTTCGTGAGTCCTGATTTACACTCTAATTATTCAGGGTGTGCTGGTAATTGGGACTTCGCCTGATACAGCCATCCCTAGCCCTGACAGTGTGTTCAGGTGGGCCGGGGGGAGATGGTACTTGTACGGGTACTGTACCGACAAAAGTACCAAAAGTGTATCACATATTTCTGGGCTGATTATGTCATCATATGGTATTCTCTCGAGTCTAGGTCGCACGATGAGACAAACAATGGATCTACAGTATACTGTAGTATATACTGCATCGGCTTGATTAAGGCATCACCTAAAGGTACAGTTCTACTCATATCATGTTGATGTATGTCATTCTTTGTGTCGTTACCTATAAACACTTGTCCATTGTCCGTACTTGTACTTGTGGAAGTACCCTTCCTTGTACTGGAGCTGCTTGGGGTGGCTACAAGTACTGTACGGTACAAGTGCCGGTACAGTACTACTTGTAGTACCTCCTGTGTACTTGTAGCTGGCCACAGTTGGGACTATACTGCCTTGCAGAATCAGATGTGAGAAGCAAGATTGCGGTAGGTAGTGTGGCGAAAAGGGTGTGTGGGGAAATAAAAGTGGCACAAAGAGAGGCATCTCCCTGGCGGCAAATGAAAATACGTTCTTTTAGTCACTATTTCTTTTCAAATTTCTTGAAAAATCCTTCCACGCCTTCGACGTCCATCCTAGCTTCTCTGGTAGCCTGCCCTCCTTGTACAGGCTCATGCACAACCCAAAAATATTTTAATATGGTTCATAGACGACATAATTTTTTTCAAGCATAGCGATAGAGCTTTTTACAACAGCACTACACACACAACACGATAATGATCTCAGCTACAAAATGGGTGCCCCGAGGGTACGCGACGGAATTCCCCGTTAAATACACCATGGACGATGAAGAGCTCGAGCGTCTGTCCGAACTGGCCAAGCTCAAGATCGAGGAAGCAAAGAACGAGATGGAGGACATTGAGGATGCCACCGAGGAGGACGTGGAGGCTCTCGAGGAGAAGGCCAAGCTGGACGAGGAGATTGACAACGATCCCGACCTCAAGGAGTTTGGTTTCGACACATATGACGATGAGCCCGACTCGAAATTGGGTCTTGAGGGTGACGGTATGGACACCGATGATGATGAGGATGAGGATGAGGATGAGAACAACGAGGACGAGGAGGGTGGAGAGCTCAATCTCGGCTCTAAGCATAAGGTCGAGGGCAAGGACGGCGAAGACCCATACATTTCGCTGCCCACTCAGCAGGACTTGGATGAGGAGCGAGAGGAGCTTCAGATTCTGCCCACAGACAACCTGATCCTGGCCACCAAGACTGAGGATGAGATTTCGCATCTGGAGGTGTATGTTTACGATCCCGAGGAGGCCAATCTTTATGTTCACCACGACATTATGCTGCCTTCTTTCCCTCTGTGCGTGGAGTGGGTCAACTACAACCCCCGAGAACAGGGACCCGGCAATTTTGCTGCCATTGGAACTTTCGAGCCTGAAATCGAAATCTGGAACCTCGATGTTGTCGACGGAGTCTACCCCGAGGTGATCCTTGGAGAGCGAGACGAGAAGGACAAGAAGAAGAAGGGAAAGAAGACTAACAAGATCAACGCTGAGCGACACACCGACGCCGTCCTGTCTTTGTCTTCCAACCCCCACCACGTCAACCTGCTGTGTTCTGGATCCGCCGACACCACTGTGAAGCTGTGGGACCTATCCAACGGCAAGGCTGCCTCTTCTTTCACTTTCCACTCCGACAAGGTCTCTGCTGTCCAGTGGAACCCCGTCGAAGGCACCGTTCTTCTGTCTGGAGGCTACGACAAGAAGGCAATTGTTTCCGATCTGCGATCCGAGGACAAAAAGGTGTGGAAGGTCGACTCCGATGTCGAGTCCATGAACTGGAAGCCCTGTGGAACCCAGTTCCTGGTCGGTACCGACTCCGGAATGCTCTACAACTTTGACGTGCGAAATGAGTCCAAGCCTCTGTGGACTCTGCAGGCTCACGACTCTCCCCTGTCTGCTTTTGACTACAACAAGTACATTGATGGAGCTATTGTCACCTCCTCTGCTTCTACCCGAGAGGTCAAGATCTGGCGAGAAACCAACAAGGACGACAAGTACTCTCTTTCCATGGTGGCCAACCGAGACCTCTCTTGCGGTAAGGTCTTCTCTGTGGGTTTCAACCCCGACCAGGCCTGCGCCGGTACTCTTTGTGCCGGTGGCCATGGAGGTGAGCTCAAGGTGTGGGACATGTTCGGAACCAAGGCCGTTCGAGAAGCATTCGACATCAAGAGCAGTAACCACTCTAACGACGTTATTGGTCAGGCTTTTGATGACGAGGAGGAGGATGAGTAAGCAAGGGGTCTTCGGATGATTAGATTACAAAATTGAAATAGATATTATTAGTTTACGATGACCCACGTGTATGAGACTATCGTACTTGTAGCTTACAGAGTGGATAGGAAAGATATCGTATCCATCTATTTGTAACTGATACGCGTACATATAGTTCAACGTCTCAACATTTGAGTCAACAGATTTATCTATGAGTAGCGTGTTAGTCTCGCTAACGTATAGTTCGTACCCGAATAGTACGCGACTACAACAGGTAAGGTGATGGGCTCTAAAAGTTGGCAGATCCATCTTGTACAAAGTACACACATTCATAATCTATCAAATGTTTTTGTTATGTATGTTTGTATGTCCCTCCAATATACTAATAAGTTATGCATGACTAAAAGCGTTCCTTCATTCGAGAAGCAACAATACGCAGGTTTCCGTACACCTTTCCAGGAGGACTACCCAGAATGAGAGAAACAATAGCCTCCCGTGCGATTTTGATGTTGGTGAAGCCGCCGAGAATGTGGATCTTGGAGTCGGCCAGCACTACTCGGGTTCTCGATGCGTTCTCAATGGCAAACTTGGTCTTACCGTCCTTACCGGCGATTCGGCCAATGGCTCGTCCCAGATGGTCTCCCTGAAGAGTCTTGACGTCCTTGATCTCGAATGTCTCGACGTACAGCTCATCCAGTCGAATGATAGCCATAGCATCGTCCACGTCAAAACCCAGAGTGAATGCTCGCACGAAATCGGTTCCCTTCTGCAGAGCCGAGTTGTCGACGGTATTTGAGCATGTTCGCAGCTCAAGCTGCTTCTTTCGGGGGTTCATTCGTACCTGCAGCTTGAGCTGCTCAACCAGAGGAGGGTAGATCTTCATCCACTCGTTCTTGAGAGGAGCCATTCGATGAGGAGGAATAGGCACCTTCATTCGGCCAGGCTTGACGCCCTCGCCGGCGTTGACGGCAGATGCAAATCGGGGCTTTCCGTCCTGGTCGAGAGTCATCTCGGCGTCGTCATCCTTCTCCTGGAGCACGGCAATGTCTTCTCGAGGTCCGTCCATGGAGATCATGACCTCGTCCTCCTCAGCACCCTCAGTTTGGGGGATGGCGACGGGAGCGTCTGTGGTGGGCTCGGTGGCCTGTGTCTGTCTCTTTGCCGTTGGGGCACCCATGTTTTTATCAGTTTTTGTGGTTGTAACGGATCGTTAACAGAGTGAGAAATCAGGCTGCATGAGAAACGGATTTTTTCCAAATTAAATTTTTGGCCAGTGACTGCAACTCTAATTAATGGCTGGGCACGATGCAAGCGCTATGTGAAGGGCTTACGGGAACCAAGATAGCTCATAGCGTGTCCAACTGGTAATAATGGTTGGGAAGAGACAATTAATTGGCGTGAATGGGAGTAGTCGATGAGAGCAAATAAATTTATTAGCAAGCATAGACATCTGACCCACTTATATACGGTTGCCCACTGACTCACTTCTATACGGGTTGCAGATATTTCGTACAGTAGCTAGATTGAAAGAGATGTCTCACTACGGATCCAGACCCCCAACTAATTGCTCATCAATAACCCCAATTAATACTTACCCAATATTGCACCCAACGCCACAAAATATAGTTTGCCAATTACGCTTGCGTGCCAGCCTCAGCATGCCAGTTTCTTGGTGTAAAAATCTTATAAGCTTTAAGCCAATATGCAGGCGCAGAGGGAACATGAGCAACGAAGGAAAGACATTACACTCGGGCTCTCTTCTCATTGCACTGTACTTCCCCACAGAAACGACAACGTCTCAAAATTCAAGTTGACCTATTTGCTAGGACTGACCGCCCCATTCAACTACCGTCGTCTACACAAATACAACAGTCCCAGCTAGTTCAACACTATGCTCAATAATGGCAACACTACACAGAGTTTCCAGACTCTGTACTAGACGGCTTGCCTTGCCCTCTCAACGGAGTAGTTGGTTGAAACTTACGACCCTGTCCCCTCGACCCTTTCTTACACACCCTACCACTCTCCCTGTGACACCGTGGTATTCTCTGCGGCATTCGTTTCACTCTACAAGTGGCGTGAGGGCTGAACTGGAGGAAACGTCACGAAACGTGCGCAAGTCCAGTGAGAACCTGCACAATGCTGCAAAGGAGCTGGGCAGCAAGAGCGAGGGCGAAAAGACCGTCACAGATACAGACTCAGTCACAGACACAAAGCCAGAAGACAAGCCAAGATGGAAGAGACCCACCAAGGAGGAAATGCTGTCGACTGCCACGGGCTTCTACAATCGAATGCGAGTGCGGTTCAAGTGGGCGCTCTTCCGCCAGGACCGACCCACCAACATGGACGACATTTCTGCATTTCTTTCGTGGTTCATGGTCGGTAACATTGTGTGGATCGTGCTGGGTACCACCACCTTCTTCTCGTTGGTGCTCTTCACCATGAACACCGTGTTCGCACAGGAATGGATCGCATCCAAGATCGGAAACATTGTCTCACGACAGACCGGCATGTCTGTCGTCTTTGAGGAGGCAATTGTGCCCCATTGGAAGGGTGGCGTCATCCAGTTTCGCAACGTTTTCGTGTCCCGAAGGCCTGGAGGCGGACACAAGGCCCGAAAGGGTAGCCAAGGGGAGGCTGCTGCCCTAGCTGGTGAGAAGCAGTATGGCAGCTTGTCATCGGCTCCGCCGGACGATGACGGCAACTACACACAATTTGACCTGACCATCGAGACAGTGGATGTGACCCTGTCGTTTTCGAAATACATGTCAGGAAAGGGTATCCTCAAGGAGGTTGAGGTTAAGGGAATTCGAGGAGTGGTTGATCGGAACCATCTACGATGGAAACGCAACCAGGACCCTCGAAACAATCGAAACGTACATAAGACCGGCGATTTTGAGATTGAAAACTTCAAGCTCGAAGACGCGCTGGTGTCTCTGCATCAGCCGGGCAGAGACAAGCCCTTCAACGTATCTGTGTTCAACATGGAGTTGCCCCAGCTCCGAAAGCACTGGTTGTTCTACGATCTACTATCTGCCAACAACCTGAGTGGATCGTATGACAACTCCCTGTTCACCATCCACCCTCGGCAGATTCACGGAGTGCCTTCTTCGCAACTCAACGAAGACAAAACCTGGAAGAAGGTATCTCGTCTGAGAGTTGATAAGGTGAACATTGAGCACCTCAACCGAGGAGTTCAGGGCGCGTTCGGCTGGATTGTGTCAGGAAACGTGGACCTTCTGGCCGACCTCATGCTTCCTTCAGATACTGACGACTACACGATGTCTGAAATGATGAAGGACGTACTAGAGAGATGGGAGCATACTCTGATGCGTCGAGGCCGAAAATCAGGTGACCCCATTTCCATGCCAGGTGGAAGCCACTCGGATGAGCCTCTAACAACCTCTGCACAGGCCGCGCAGGCTCAGAAATACCTGGTCCTGGACTTGCGTGTCCAGCTCAACGATGTGCGGGCAGCAGTTCCGCTGTTCAACACTGACCTCAACTACGTCAACAACGCCATGATCCGACCCATTGTGGCGTACATAAACTCTCGAGACACATATATCCCCATTAACTGCCGTGTGGTCAAGAAGGTTGACGACTTTGCTGGCTCGTGGACCATGTACGACTCCGGTCTCATGGACAACATTTCGGAGGAGGTTTACCAAGCATTTGCCGAAAATGTGAGCAACGATGAGGCGAGACATCGACGAATGAAGAAAGTCAGTCTGTGGTCTCTGCAGCTTGCCGCGCAGCTTCTGCTGCTTAGTATAGGTACAATTGCCTAAATGTATATAGTAATGAAGTGATGATTTGACTAAATACGATTGTAGTGATTGTATACAAGAAGATGTTTTTGATGTGGTTCCAATCCTTTTTTCGGTGAATGATAAATATGCTGTTAATGTACATAAAGTAGTATACAATGGAGATTTAACGACGACGAGCCCGGTCCCTGTCTCGATCTCGACGATTATTGTCACGATCTCTATCTCTTCTATCTCTTCTATCACGATCTCGGCGGTCCCTCTCGTCCCGGTCCCGGCGATCCCTGTCTCTTTCACCTCCTCTATCTCGTCTTCTTCTGTCATTGTCCGTTTGGCTGCTTCTATCATCCTCTCCTCGACGACCTCTCCTATCTCTATCTCCTCTGTCCCGATCTCTATCATCGTCTCGTCTATCTCGATCACGTCTTGAGGATCTTTTAGGACTCCTTTCTCGATCACGGTCGCGATCACGAGAGCTATGGGGTCTTCTTGAGTCCCGATCTCTTCGGGAGTCATAGCTTCCTTCTCTTTCCTGATCAATAGCTCCATCTCTCTCACTCTCCCTCTCCTTCTCCACCTGCTTCTCGTCGACAATCTCGCCGGTACGCACGTTTCGCATTACGACAGGCGTGTACTCTGGTTTGGGACGGGAAGCCTTGCCCCAGGTCCCTAATTCCTCAGGTAAATGCTCCTCCAGCGTTTTAGCACCGAGTCCCAACAACGCAGGCCGCTTATCGGGCACCTTAGCGGCCTGTGTAACGACCCTCTGGGGCAACGCACTTTCCATACCTCGAAACAAGGCAGCTCCAAAGTCCTCCACGGGCATCGAAGCGTAGTCTTCTACCGACGCCATATCTGGAAGTGCATTGATATCCTGCCGCAGTGCCTGCAGTTCCCGTTGTTCCTGAATCTTACCACCTCGAGAAGCAAATACAGAAAGCCCGTACTGAGGCTTCCACTCCTCTACCTCTTCGTTTTTTGGTGGGTTCTCTTCCTCTTGAGCCAGATCAGCTTCTCGCCTCTCGACCAGATCCTGTCGCCAGTTCTTCTCCTCCAGATAAATGATCTTCTTGGTCTTGGCCTTCTCTTCTCGGAGACGGGTCTCCTCTTCTAGCTTGAGTCGTTCTTTTTCGGGAAGCTCTCCGGCAACAAATTCGGACACTTGCTTGACATTTGAGGTTTCCTTCTCGATCTCGAAAAGCGATCCATGCGATTCCTCCGGCCGCTGTTCCTTCTTGGGTCTTGTATCCGCTTTGCTACCCTTGAGATTGAACGAGATCATGGGGAATAGTATCTTGTGTTGTACCGTATGTGTTGAGACGGTATAAGACTTTCGGGAAGTGTAAATACTTAGTGCAGTCTTGTGCAGCTGATATGTGCACCACGAGTACATACAGTATTCTGCTGGTAATGGCAGTGACGTATGACTACTGTGCTGTATTGTAATCGTAGGTGTTACTCGTTCAGCTGAACGATATGATATTTGATCGCGTGTTTTTCAGTCATCTTTTATCGAAGAGTGATCGGTGTCTATACGCAATTACACAACCTCCATTGGTGTTTAACAAGATCTCCCAGCAGCTCAACTGTCTGCAAAGTGATTACTTGAACGTACAGGTAAAGTGTAGCACAAACAATGCCCTATTGGGACATAGAGTCAACTGTAGTATATATACAACACCGTTCTCACGTTTGATCCATTTTTTCCCCCTTGACACTTATCTCAGCGTAATAGTATCGTACAGGGACCAGTATCAAAATTCTTATCCCCCAACCACTAATCTACTCCCAACCTTATCGCCATGCAGACGAGCAGAATAAAATTAAAGGGCGTATTGGGCCTCTAGATTTTGGGAAAAAAGAAATCACCGTGTTTTGGACGTGAGTAAGTGGAGTTCTACGTCATAACACGATGCTGACAAGACGCATGCAGTGTCTGCGGGGCGCCGGTGTCTTTAGAACCGTTGCCGCCCTCCCACTACTGGCACAACGACCCAACTTCTACAGGCCCTTGACGTGTTCTGCTCTGAGGAGGAACAATGATCACAGCTACCGCCACGAGAGTCGTAAAGACAAGGAGATGCAGGATCTCAAGGAGTCGAGAAAGATGCGCGAGCAGGAGGCCTTGGACGACGCCGCGTTTCGAAACACGTTTGAATTCGCTGTGGAAAAGACGCGAGATTCAGATGGCAAGTCACCGGAACCCGAAGTTGAGATTGATGTAGACAGAGAGGCCCAGACTCCCTGGGATCCTGTGGGCTCGCAGTCACGACATGAAACACGCCAGGAACACCGCGAACGATTTGACGATATCAAAAAGACGCTGCCTTCTTCTGTCCATGAAAGCCAACCCCAGATGTACAAATGGTTTGGAGAGAAGATGGATCAGATCCAGGCTGGAGCACTCACGGCTGGCCAGACGCTCAATGAGGTCACCGGATACAAGGCGATTGAGAAGTTGAAGCTGTCAATTGAGAAGCTCGAGGACGAGGTGTTGGAGGCACGAGCCGAGGTTAGAGAAGCAAAGAGAATGTACTCGGATGCCATCTCGGAGCGGTCCAACAGTCAACGGGAGGTCAATGAGCTTCTTCAGAGAAAGCACAACTGGACTCCTGCTGATCTGGAGCGATTTACAGAGCTGTATCGTAACGACCATGCGAATGAACATTCGGTTAATGATGCCAAGAAACGACTAGGAGAGTGCGAACATCACGTTGAGGATCTGACTTTGCAGTTAAGCAAGCAGATTCTCACGCGGTATCATGAGGAGCAGATTTGGTCCGATAAGATCAGACGGGCTTCGACCTGGGGAACGTGGATCCTTATGGGATTCAACGTTGTCTTGTTCATTGTTGTTCAGCTTGGATTGGAGCCCTGGAAACGAAGACGCCTGGTGGGCTCGTTCGAAGACAAGGTGAAGGAGAGCCTTCAGGAATGGGAAGCTCGAAATGAGGCCCGACGTCTCGAAGAGGCTACTATGGCTGCCACTGCTACTCAGGCCATCACCGAGCTCCAGCGTAGAATTGAGTCTCCCCACGTCAGCAAGGCTGATGTCGTGGAAGCAGAGGCCGAGATTAACTCCATCAAGACCAACCTGGCCACCTGGTTCAAGGAGCGAGAAGAGGAGGAGAAGGAGGAGATTGCCAAGGAGGCTCATGAGCTGGCTGTGATTGCAGAGGACCCCGATATGACCGATGTTCATCATAAACCTCATCCTCCTCAGCCAGTTGATACAGAACGGGTGGTGCGTCCTCATCTTGTGGAGAACTTTGAGCATCATGTTGCTGATCCTGTCCATCACCCTACTCTTCCTATCACATCTACACCTGTTTTGGAAGAGGATGCCCCTCCCCCTAGAATCCATCCTCTGGTCCAAATGTCTCCTGATTCACCTGACGATGGTACCAAAACATTTACAGCCACTAGAGATGGCTACGACGTGCATCCCTTGGTTGTGCGACCCACCACTCCTCCGCACTTTATGCTGCAGGTCTGGGGGGCAGCCAAGTTGTCGGTGGAGTCTGCTACCAACAAGACCGTGGCTGTGGTTCGAAGCACCTTCCAGACAGCTGAGCAGCGGCCGTTCGAGTCCACCATTGTCGCATCTTTGGGTGGTCTTTGTGGCGGTCTTGTGACATTTTTATATCTCAGATAGAGCATACAATCACGTATGTAGTAATGATTAGAATGACCATGAATGTGGAGAACAATGTGCAAGTACACTGTACTGTACAGTACTTGCACGATACTTGTAGGTACAAGCAACGACTTGGATGCTCAAAACAATGACTTCTACGGTATATCAGTGAGACATATATTCTGGGGAAGAATGATTACAAGTACATACATGACTCACTGAAAAACGTGTAGAAAGACTTATTAAGACACAAGGCTCGTACAGTACCAGGCAAAATTAACCCAGAAGTCTTCCATTAACTAGGTCCTACCCCTATCCCTTGCCATCCTTCTCCGTCGAGTCTTGTTTACTGTAGGTGAGTCACGGTGTTGTTGTATTATGATGGGTAGTCCTTGTTAAATCAAACCTCATAAAGCTACAGTATTGTACAAGAAGTTATGGTATCTACTGTACACTTACAAGTGCATTCAAGTGCCGTATTTGTACAGTATGTATCGTACTCGTAACTTGAATAGTATGTACTTGCGATACATAGCACAGCATCTATAACTACAGTAGAAATACCGGCACTTGTATTTGTACCGCGGCTTGTCATTGGTGCTCATTTCGCGTGTATATGGGATAGGCAAGCATAGCAGGTTTTCTTTGTGCTGGTCGACTCGAAACTCATCCCCGCCGCTTCTCACCTGCTTAAAGCCGACACATTTACAATCTACGAGGCCGGATATGTACGAGTACGCTGCAGCTCCGAGGACTATTCCAGTTCCAGTGCCATCATAGCAAATGAGTATGGCGACAAGTCAAATCTGCCCACTTTTAGCAGCACAAAGAGACTCGCTAATTGAGCAAGTGTACTACTTGTACAGTAGTTACAGTAATACACGAATATGGTGACCCCCAATCACGTCGGAAGTTCGGTTGAACTGCACGGTTCTGAACACAATGGCTTCAATCAAGGGGAGATTTACGAAGGCATCCTGTTGTAATATTCATTTGACATTCCCCCCGCACCAGATGCTGGTGTGCCAAGTGTTCCAGGGCCCGGAACCCCTCTCCCGGTCAGTGGGCAGAAAAAATATGAACCGCAGAACCCCTTTCCTAGCATCTGCAGCTACCCCACTTCTTCATCTAACGGGCTGGTTCCAATGTGGCACAAACTGGCCATTTCTTGTCCCTTTTATCTTTTGTTCTTGTGTCGAAACAAGGCGCGATGCTGCCCCATGCACCAATGAATGCACTATGAGCGCAAATCATGCTATGCAGGCTGTCACAGGACAACGGAATCCAGGGTGGTTTTGTAGTTGCCTCCAATTATATGCCGACATTTTCGTCTCTCTACACACTCCAGGCTTGGCCTTTTTATGCTTTGACTGACGCACTCGTACAATTCTCCCTGTGAAGGACCCACACAAAAGTGAAGGCAGTTTGCGACCTCTGTAGCTAAGCTCAAACGGTCTCGAAATACGGCAGTTAGACAGCGCGAACGTTGTATAGGGAGAGACACAAGAAAACAGACTCAAACAGCTATCTTAATTGAAGGGGTCTCACACCTTGTCTTTGACTGGGTTCGTCCTGTTGCGGGAGAGTCGTATCGGAAACTGTTCAGTTCTATTACGGCAATACGAACACAACTACAACAGTTGTGGAGAGTGTATCTACGTCGGAGCGATATTGCCGCGGAGCGGCAGATTACAGCTCAAGTACCAATGGGGAAGTTTTTCAACAGCATTCAAGCACATAATGTTACGAGCTTGAGGTTGTAAGCACAATCAATCAAGTAATTCACAGCAAACGCAACCACTGTAGAGCTATTGGAGAGGGCTTAATTAGTCAAGCTCAAAGTTCGAGACAGGAAACTTATACGACCCCAGGTAAAATAAATGGTCCTTTAGAACGAGGTACATAGCAGAGGTCTATAGTAGTAATTCCAGGCTGACGATATGAATAATCACTCACATACTTACATGCACAAATGACGTGGGTCCCCCACCGGAAGCCCACCACATGCCAATAATGGCGAATCTATTTTTACACCCGCATAAAAAAGTCAGTCCAGAACAGAATAGAAGCCGGTTCTGCGAAATGGGTACTGTGCTGCTGTAGGTATTCAAATAGAATTCACAAGAGGAGAGGCTCTTTTTGAGAGGAAAAACCGTAACCCTAAATTTTTCGTGAGATTTTGGTACATCTTGTACGTAGAAAAACACGCTTAGCAAGGCCATCGTGCATTGTTGGGGGGCATCTCTAGTGTTAAATCGGTCTGAAATGGGCTTGGTTCATTATGTTGAGCTGCTGGCGCCATGTGGAGCTTGAGTCCAGGGATCTACAGAGACCAACGCTGCTGTGGACGATCTTCATTGTTCCCCACACGACTTAGAGTTGATCAGACACACTATCGGGGTCTCCAATTATACTATATGAGACTGCGCTTTTTGCTCTATATTCTCGATTTCATTGTGTATCGACAACACCTCCAGCTTCACGGTGCAGGACGATGCATCTCAGAAAGCGAAAACCGAAGCGGCGACTGTTTTTTTGCCTTGGACGCCCGCATTGGTTCGGTATTTAGCTCAGAAAAAGATGTAACACTTTGGTAGCGCGATGGAATAACGGTGGATCAACGGCCAATAACGGTTTTCATAAGGGGCTATGACAGTCACAGAAAATCCGACTAGAGTGTACTCTGTAGACTCCTTGACACACCCCTGCGGACTGGTGGCACCTCTCCCCACCCCCTCAATTCTTGGCTACATCAACATGCATGGAAATCCCTTGGTATTCCGTAAATGACATCTGCAATGACGCAACAGCTGAACCTTTCTCCCTAACCATCATGGCTCATATGCCTGAGCCGTCTGTGCCACAGACTTATTGCACGTAGTACATATACGACCTTCGCCCCATGTAATGTCTCTTACACAAACACATCTTATACAAAATGGTCGCCATCAAGAACACCCTCGCTCTCACTGTCCTCGCCTCTGTGGTCTCTGCTCAGAACCCCATTGTCGCCTCTCTCATCAACGACATTGTTGAGGGTATTGCTGCCGCTAAGACCGACAACGACATCTCCGACGAGGCTGCCACCTCCGAAATCCAGTCTGTTGTTGGTATCATCCAGCAGAACACCGATGTCCAGCAGCTCGTTTCCCAGGTGATCCCCATCGCCGCCATGGGCCTGAACGACGACAACTTCCCCCAGGTTCTGTCCGCCGCACACGCCACTCTTGAGGCCTTCCAGGGCTCTCCCGAGTACCCCGAGGCCGTCAAGGGTCTTAAGGATGTTCTCCCTCACTACGATGTCCAGGAGGCTCTCGGTAACGTGCAGAACAACCTTGGTAACGTCCTTGCTCTTATTACCCCCTCTCTCCCCACCCTGACCCCCAACCACTCCGAGCAGTGGGAGGCCGCCACCAAGAACGTCCAGGCTCTTGCTGCCTCCCTTGGCTTCCTCCCCGGTGGAGATGACAAGCAGGCTGAGGCCACCTCCGCCGAGGCCTCCAAGACCGAGGCTTCTGCCTCTGCTTCCGCCACTGAGGCTTCATCCAAGGCTGAGGCCACCTCTGAGGCTCCCAAGTCCGAGGAGGCTTCCAAGACCGAGGAGTCCAAGTCTGAGGAGTCCAAGGCCGAGTCTAAGACTGAGGACGCCTCTTCTGCCGCCGCCACCTCTGCTGAGGCCTCTAAGACCGAGTCCAAGGCTGAGTCCAAGACCGATGCCTCTGCTTCTGCCTCCGGCTCTGCTTCTGGCTCTGCTTCTGGCTCTGCTTCCGGCTCTGCTTCCGGCTCTGCTGCTGCCTCCTCCAGTGCTGAGTCTTCCAAGCCCACCTCCGCCTCTGTCTCTGCCACTGGTGGCCCTTCTGTCGCTCCCTCCGCTTCTCCCACTGTCACCGCTGAGCAGGGCAACGGTGCTTCTGCCTACAACCTCGCCCTCGGCGGCGTTGTCGGTGCTGCTGCCATGGTTGTTGCTCTTCTCTAAGCAAAAGAACTCTAGTTTAGTATCGTTACACCAGCTCCAAATAATTAATTTATGATAATGACATTTGCATTTGTGCTCGTATTATTTTAAGTCTGACACGAGTCTAACCTTTAGTGCCCCGTTGAAATATGCACCCTTAAAACTGCGCTAATGCAGCTACTTATACCAGTAGCAAGTTAGGAGTAACATAAAAGTAAAATAGGTACTATTTATACTTATCAAACGATAGAAATCACCTACCAAATCCAATAAATTAATTACTCCAGCTCTGCTTTTTCCTGAGCAGAAAGCTTCAGGGCTCCTCTAGTAGCCACATTTTTTCTTAACAATGTCAGGAACGCTTGGCAATGCTTGTCCTCCTTGCCTCGGGCCAACCTGGTGAAAATGTCATAGACCTTCTTGTAGTCGGAGGTCAGAGCTCCAATGATGTTTTCGAGGAATCCCAGGCACAGTAGATATACTTCGTAGAGCTTGGTGTCTTCAGACCGCTCGTGTAGAGTCTCTGCAAGAGTAATGCATTTCAGCACAAACGACCCGTCCAACTCAGGGATGCTAGACTCGTTTGTATGCACAATCAAAAGACGTAGAACAGGCAGAGAAAGGTCAACTAGCGTGCTGTTGACCTGTCCCTTTTGTAGCTGTGTCGACAGCTCATCTAGAGTAGAAGCCAGCGAAGAGAAGAAGATATCAGACTGGCAAAAGTCTAGGAAAAAGACCACCAGTTGCAGCACCTTGTATCCCTTCTTTTCAAACTCGTTGGTTGCAAACTTTCGAAACTTGTCCCAGTTGTTTGGTTGTAGACAAGCCTTCAAGATTGTGCTTCCAGAGGCACCAGGGTAAGTTTGGAGAGTGGATAGCGTAGCAATAGCAGCCAGAGCAGGTGAAGGCGTGGGCTCATCATCAGACGCAGAAGTTGTGCCATCCACAAACTCCTTGAGCACTTTCTGGAAAACCTTACTGGACTTTTTGTCTCTTAAAATGCTCTCTGTGTTATCGAGACATAGAAAGATGCTGTCCAGAAACTTGGGATCGTTAATTACTGTATCCAGAACATTAGCTCCATTGTCTCCAAAGATCTTCTGGGCAATAAACAAGACCAGAAAAGAGGCAACTTGATCGGTCTCGACCACCTGAGGAAGAACATGGAGGATTTTGTCCGCGTAGTCTGTGGTTTTGAGCTTTCTGATGAAATCGGGATCTTTGGCCTTCTTGCAAATCTCCAGCAGGGTCGTTCGACGACTACTACCCTCATCCTCGAGCCCCTCAGCAAGATATTCCATTTCGTCCATGAATCGTGCGTTTCCTCCAGTCTCTCTCAGTTCATGCACACTCTTGATGTTCAGCTCCTCCTGCTCGCTCTCGTCGCTGCTCTCACTCATAATTGAATCATAAATGCTTTCCTTCTTGGTGGGCGAGTCTGCAAGGTAAGAGCGGTTGGCGCCATACGTTCGTTTGTTGGTGGTGACAGAAAGAGGAGCTCTAACTGGCTCTTGGGAGCCTTGTGAGCTCTCGAAAGAAGACCCAAAACTCGAACTAGGTGTTGGTTTGTCCTGCAAGCCCATCTGAATGTCGCCGTCAACCACTTTATTCTTCCCCGTCATCTTCTTGGAGGGTGTACTGGTACGCAAACCCCTAATCTTGCGCTTCTGCGCAGAACCAAAGATCGAAGTGCCACTGAGTCCGTTGTTCTCAGCAGAGGCAAACAATCTCTTGGGTCCGAAGACTATCCGATCATCCTTATCCTTCTCAGCCTGAATGTCTACCTTCGTTTGTGTTTGCGTATCCACGTCCATGTCGTTCTGGGTATCTTCCAAATCAATGTCAATAGCCAGTTTGTTACCCGTGTCTACAAGCTGAGACGAAAACAGTGTCTGCGACGATCGAGGGGATATTCCATTGGATGAGCCGTTGCTCGAACTTGATTTCACCAGTGTATCTTCCTTGTCTGGAGCGCTGTTCTTGACTGCCGGGCTCGATGATCGCGATCTCGACCGAGTGAGGCGGACCTTGGTTGTTGGGGTTGCCGTCTGACGTTTCGCTGGCTTCTTTCCCTTTGCTGTAGGTGTTCCCGTGTTCTTCTGGGCTTGCGGTGTGGCAGTAGCTGTAGGCTTCCCAGTCTGCCGTTTGGTCCTGGGTGTATCAGAAGCTGGCGATTCAAATCCGTTATCCTGGCTCTCATGAACACTTGTGTCGTTGCTGCTGGTACTGTCCTTCGTGGAATTTCTCTTGGCACGTGTAGCAGCGCGCCCTGCTGATGTTGGAGGGTCTGCTGTTGCTACTGGCTCGCTTGAAGATCCCCCAGATGTCATATCCGCCTTTTTGTAGGGCTCCGTGTCGAAAATACTGGCTCCTCGGGTCCGTCTAAATAGAGTCGGTCTTGTTTTCGAATCTCTCGTCGCCGTAGGTTTTGTGACGCGTCCTACGAGAGGTGAATTGGAGGCTCCCTGGTTCGGATCTTCACTCGCTCCGAAATCAATCTTCGCACCCGCACTTTTCAACGCGACCGAATCGTTTCTTTCCCTCTCTCGCGTTGTGGGAGTCGTGTTTGAGAGCCCGGGAGAAGGGCTGTCTCTTGCGCTCAGAAACGAACTCATCAGAGTCATCTGTTCAGGCTGACGTCTGGTAGCGCTGCCGGTACGCCCGTATCGTTTTGTTGTCCGTGGCGTCGCCATTCTCCGCGTGTCTGTGTATCTGCTGGTGCCCTGAGATCAGTATATCGTACTGTATTGTAGTGAGGTCAACTGAGCACCGCGTTAATGTCGATTGTTATGCATGAGGTTTAATATTTTGTAGCGATAAAAAGCCGAGTTTAAAAGGGACTATCCATAACTGAGAGCTCAGAAAGCCTCTATTAAATGGGAAAAAATGTGCATGATACACTAGGATTGGTGGAAATTCTACGGGCTTCGTGATTACAATGATACTCGGTAGTTTGCCTACATACCTTTCATAAAAAAGGTCGTTATCTATCTATTGTGTAGTAATGGTATAGCTAAAAAACATCTACTGTCTCAGGGCAGCAATTGCCTGCTTGAGCTGGTCGAGAAGAACGTCAGTCTCAGTTTTAGTACCGATGGAAACTCTGAGAGCGCCAGCACAGCCAGGCTCCTTGCCCCGGAATCGCACCACCACATCTCGAGACTCGGCAAGCTGCTCGTACACCTTGAAGGCCAGCTCGGTGTCGGGCTCACCAGCCTTGTTGAGGATCTCAAATAGCAGGAAGTTGGCGTCCATACCGCCAATGACTCGGCCGACTCCCTCAATGGTGGGAAGAGCGTCAAGGATACGTGCTCGCTGCTCTAGAATGTCCTTGGTGTAGGTCCTCATGAGCTTGACTCCCTCCTGAGACAGAGCACGAGCGGCAAACTCGGCAGCAGGTGTGGAGATGTTGTAGGGAGCCTTCATGTTATTGAGCAGAGCAGCAATCTCGACAGAAGAAAAGGTGAAGCCTGCTCGGACACCAGCAAGACCGAAGGACTTGGACAGAGTCTGCATGACCACAAGGTTGGGGAATTCATTCACCAGGGTAGAGACAGAGGCTCCCTCCCGGGTGAAATCAATGTAGGCCTCGTCAACAACTACAACACCGTTCCAGTCAGCATTGAGCACCTTTCGGACATCATCCTCGTCCACAAGCTTGGCGGTGGGGTTGCCGGGAGAGCAAATGTAGAGCAGCTTGATGGTGGGATCAGCGTTGAGAGCCTCGATGATGGCATCAGGACGCAGGCTGAAGTCGGCAGCCAGAGGGACCTTAGTGACCCCAACGTCATTGATCTGTGCAGAAACAGAGTACATACCGTAGGTAGGGGGACATGTCAGCAGCTTGTCCTTGCCGGGGACACAGAAGCATCTGATAAGAGCGTCAATGGCTTCGTCAGATCCTACTCCCATAAAGATGTTGTCAGGAGTGATGGGCTTGGGTACTTGTCGCTCGGCGTTTCTGAGATCGCACAGAAGCTGCTTGACGAAATTCTGTCGAGGATCGGGGTACCGGTTCAGCGAGTACTCGGACTCCTCCTGGTTAGTTTTGATGGCAGGACCGTGGGGGTTCTCATTGGCGTCGAGAAGCACTCCGGAGTCGTAGTCGTCTCGGGCGCATCTGTAGGGCACCAGGGCTCTGATATTGGGTCGTGCGAGGGTCTCGAGGTTGAATTTCGTGTTGGGCATGTCTGGAAAGTCGATCAATCGGTATGATTTGGATATTCAACGCCTGCTTGGGGTTATATATCTGTGAGTCAGTATGCAAGTTGGAACTTTAGCTCTGAATTTAGATCCGTCAATTTTCTGAGAGCTGAGAGCAGATGAACAACTGTGTCAGTGTTGTTGGTTCGAGTTTCAACAGGTGAACGTTTAAATTGCGAAAATATCCTCGACGGTATGTTGTAGGTGTAAGTATACTTGCAATAGTATGGTATAAATGCCACAATATATACCGTACCACGGTACAAGTCCCGGTACTCGTAGTACTGTACATACTCGTATTTGTATGTGATTGAGTGTTGCTAAATAAGTTCCTCACTACATAAACTTGATCCTTACTACTGTATATACTGCTTATCCCAAAAAAACATCACCCTAGCCCTGCACACACATACCTAAACAAAAAATCGATATCGTGAGATAACATCAAACGACGATGACAATTGCAACTCTCGAAGAGACGCATACAGACGTGAGTACTCATTTCCGACACCCCTACGAACGCCACTAACGCAGAAATTCGGTTTCAAGGGTCTTGCCGGAGGACAAATACAGGTCGTGCCTGGATGGGGAGAGGAGGAGCTGGGACGAAAGCTGGTTCAGCTGTTCGATGTGGCAAATTCGAGTGGACTGTTTGTGGCTGCCGGTAACGACGACGCTTTTGTGGTGGGAAAGTTGTCTGATCTCCACGAGATTGGTTTCACGTCTGAGTTCAAGAAGAGTCTTGAGGACAAGGTGACCAAACACAAGCTCAACGGAAAACCCTCTCATGTGGGTTTCACCAGTGACGAGAAGAGCATCTACGCCGGAGTCGATGGTGAGCTCAGGGTCTTTGCCACAGACAAGCCCGATACACAGCTCAAGTCGATTGTGTTGGGAGACGACATTGCGCAAGTGCTGCCCAACCCGCGAGTGGCTTCCGATGCAGCTGTAGTCACTGCCAATGGCTCTCTGTTCTTTTTGGATCTGGCCAAGGGTACCTCCAAGCGCATTGAGGTCCCTGAGTCCGTGACACGTGCATCCTGGTCTCCTAAAGGTAAACAGCTTGTAGCCGGAACATCTGGAAATTGCTCAATCTACCAGCTACGACCAGATGGAAGCACTGCGGCGGTGGTAGAAGCCCCTACAAACAATGAGGATGAGGTTCTTTCTGGAACCGCGGAGGTGACGGAGATTTTGTGGCTCGAAACCCACCTGTTCTTCGTCTCTTACTCCAAGGTTGACGATGAAGATACCGAGTCTTCGTCTTACTTAATCTTCAGAGATAAGAACGGACCCACCACGTACAAGAAGGCGGAAGAAGACCTGTCGCCTCCTTTCGGTGATGCGTCTCGTGGCAGATCGTGGTTTTCTGCTGTTCTGAGAGACTATGCTGGTCTTGATTACCTCATCGCTACAAACTTTGCTCCCTCTACGGAAATCACAATGCTCACCAAAGACGAAATTCTGAGAGCCACAGACGACTCCATGAATGCCACCATGCCCTACACAGATTTCGATACCTCCGCCATTGGTATTGGCTTGGATGTAACCTCAAAGGACGATGTGGACACTCCTATTCCAGGAGCCTCGACCAGCGATCCCCTTCCTCTTTTGTGGATATTGAACAACGAAGGTAGATTAGCGGGATGGCACATTGTCAGTCTGGATGGAATTAAACAGCACACTGCTGGTGTGGAGCCCTTGCAGAAAGCTATCTCTGAAGCCGCCAAGGAGGCTTCAACTGCTGCGAGTCTGTTCGGTGGTGATGGAGGTTCATCCCAACAGAAGACTGCTTCCCCTTCTCCCTTTGCCGCTGGACCTGGCACTGCTTCTCCTTTTGCTGCTGGTGCGTCTCCCTTTGCTGCTGATGCGTCTCCCTTTGCTGCTGGAGCTTCTGGGTCGCCTTTTGCTGCTGGAGCTTCCAAGCTGAGCTTCTCCAACTTCAAGAACCCCACTCTTCCAGATGAAAAACCGAAGTCCGAGAATACTCCTACTTTCGGAAGCAGCAAGTTTGGTGACATGAAGTTTGGAAACAGCTCTTTCGGCTCGTCGTCGTTCGGTAGCTCGGGCCCTGGAGGATCGGGTGGAGCTTTTGGAGCTAAGGTCACTTTTGGCAGCGGTTCCAATCCCAAAGAGCCATCTCCTGTCCCTGAAGCTCAGTCGACTCAGCCAACATCAACCCCTACTATCCAAAAGATGGATGATGACAGTGACGACGAGGGCCACAACTTCAAGTTCGATGAAAGCATGGCTGATGACTTGGAACCAACCACTGAAGGCGACCAGACCGATCAGCTGTTGGCTGCTCTGGCAAAGGACGATGCGCCTGCGGCTAAGGATGCGCCGTCTAAGGATGGCGATTCTGCTTTGTTTGCTCCTTTGACTGCCCAGAAAGGTATGGGGCTCACCAGCCGTCATGCTAAGGCCAAGAAGGATGACAAGAAGGACGACAAGGAGGATGACACGAAACCTGTACCTTCATTTGGCTTTAATCTCAACAAGACCAGTGCTTCTGCCACAGGTAAATCTAAGTTTGGATCTCAAGCAACTGGTGGAAGTGGGTTTACTTTCGGAAAAGATTCCAACTCTGAGTCCCCCTTCCTCGCAGCCGCAGCTTCCAACCCTTTCGCTGGTAAGGGTTTCTTTGGCAGCACAGAGAAGAAGGATGAGGCGGAGGAAAAGCCCAAGACTGACTCTGCTGCCTCTAACGAGCCCAAAATCACGGAGCTTTCCAGTGGGGACGATGAGGGCGAGTCCAAGAAGTCTGAACAATCTATTGCAGACAAGCCCAAGGAGCTACAGGTCAAGGATCAGTCTCAACCCATGGAGCGTGTGTCTTCGCGAGAAAAGACGCCCATCAAGGAGCTCATAAAGAAGTTTGACTCGTCTTCTTCTCAGGACCTCAACAAGGAGGATCTACAGAAGCTTAAGGCCGCATCTGGACAGACTAAGAGCACCCCCGAGGTGGCTGTCGAGGACGAAGATGATGAGCAGGAGGATGATGCTCTTGAGAAGCTGGATCAGGCCAGTTTTGCCAAGCATACAACTCACGGAAAGTCCGATACAGACCCTGCCAAATTCGACGACGATGCTCAGGAGAAGGCGGCTCTTGAGAAGCTGGATGAGGCTGGTTTCGCTAAGGAAGCATCTTCGGGCTCTTCTGGGGAAGCTCCCAAGACTTCTGTTAAGTTCGATGATGATGCCGAGGAGGATGAGGCGCTCAAGAGACTCAACGAGGCCAGTTTCACTAAGGAAGCCAATGGCAGTTCTAACCAGGAAGGGGACTCGAGCTTTGCACAGTTCGATGAGGATGACGAGAATGAGTTTGATGAGTTTGACGACGACTACGAGGATTACGAGGGCGAGTTTACGGAGGAGAATGTGGACGAGGAGGACGAGGAGGATGCCGATTACGTGCACGTGCACGATGAACGAAACCAGACCGAGTCGATTGACGAGACCTATGAGTTTGATGATGGGGACGACGAGCATGACGACGATTTCGACAACTCCGTTGTTGATCCCTCTCTCAAACCTCCTGCTCTTCCGGTCTCTGGCGTCTACTCGGGCTTTGAGCCTGCCAGCTCTCTTCCTGCTGCTGCTGTTGAGAGAGCTCCTATGGTGTCAACAGAGACTCAGACCGAACCAGAGCCTGAACCTGCTCACGAACAACCCGAACCCGAACCCGAACCCGAACCGTTCGCGATGCCTCTTCCTGTTCCCTCCATGAAGATGTTTGAGGATTCCAGCACCGAGACTCCCAAAACTCTGGGTGCTGCTATGGAACAGATCTACCTGGAGGTCGAATCAGAGTTTGAGACTCTCACAGAGAATTACCACCTTCTGGAGACGTACCTGAGAGACCAGGACGCTTTCCAGGAAGAAGAGTACGCGCTCAGCATTACGGAGGTGGAAAAGTGGAGACTTGGGGGCGCTTATGAGCTGGCAAATGAGGTCTTCGAGGAACTGGAAAAGGTTTCTCCTTATGCTGCCAAGTTTGAGGGTGCCGACGATGACATTAACAAGTGCAACAAGGGACTGGGTGTTCTTGAATACAAGATTGCCCGTTACCAAAGTCTTCGACCTAAGGAGGAGAAAGAGGAGGTTCTCCGCCAGCGAGCTCTGTCGGCACGAGAGCAAAAGCTCAAGAACAGTCTTCGAGTCAAGACCGAGAAGATTAGATCTGATCTGATTGACCTTGAGGCTACAGTTACCCAGATGAAGGCCCAGACTATTTTCCTCAATGGAGGTACTTATTCTACCTCCATTACTCGAATCCAGGATACTATTGGCCGTATCACTGAGAACTTCCGAGAGCGTCTCGCCAACCTGGATGCCATTGAGGCGACCGAGACTCTCGATAATCTCTCGCTTGCATCTGCGGGAGATGTCAAGGCAATTACAACTGGCGATAGTTCTTTTGTTGGTCCTGACGAGTCCTCTTATTTTATCGTTCCATCCGACGCCCCTTTTGCTAACAGCTTCCGACAGCTCATGGGAGGTCGACAGGTTATGTAACGAAATCAATGTATTTAATGGTGGTTGTTCACTTGTGTATCCGTAAAAGTACGATTTGTTATGTGTTTCCATTATAGGTCTTGTATTTGTGTACAAACAGGATGTGGCCAACTTCCTTACAGTTTCTGTCATGTCATGTTCAATATTTCACTCACCACACTAGCTTGAAATATGCTTCATGCAAGATGAGTATGGGGGATCGGGGTTAGTGATATATTTATGGGATGGTATTGGTGATATTATTATAACAACTTGTACAAGTACAAGTATGTGCTGTTCCATGTGTTTGGCTGGTGGTATGATCTAGACTACAGGTACTTGTATTCACTATATGCTTGATGTTTGTGAGTACGTGTAGCTACAGTATGTACATACATCCATACAGGGAGAAGACGATGCAGTTGTAGGACGCCTGAGTGATGGGATACTTGTACCATGGCAGATTTATACTCAGTGGTTGTAGAGTGTTGTATGAGTATGTACAAGTGTCTGCGTCACTAATCAAGGATACCTACCATGCCACTATGATGTTTGCAGGAGGTGTACCTCGGCAGTCATCAAAAAATGGAACTACTGGCTTTAGATCTTGTTGTATGGCATCGCGCCTAAAAAAGAAACCCCCTTCCAGCGAGCTACTACAAGTAGTTGTAGTTGCGGGCGTTGGATACCGAAAGTCACAAGCACATGTCGAAGCTCTCATCTGAAACACCGACAGTCGTCTGCACCCCGCAAGTCTCGGTTCGTACCAGCACCAATGTTAGGCAGAACTATACACAAGAGGGCGGACGATCACTTCGGCGTTAGGCAACTGAAGGCTATTTTCGGCTGGTACTGTAGGGGACAGAGGAAACGCAAGTGATTAGTAAATCGGATAATAGGCCTGTTAGTTTACCGAAATGGTGGGGGAGGGGTTCCGTGGATATCTTGAAGTTATGGAGGCTGATCGTTATTTGTGGGGATGGATATCATTGTATGGACATACTGTAGCTACTGTATAAACAACGGATCTTACACCTGCCTCTTGTATGCCCATTGCTTGATCATCTATCGTGTTACTGTACATATACAATAGATATAGGGAAGAAAAGCCGGAAGTAGAGACCATAGTCTGGCAGAAGTAACGGCCTCGGGTCGAGAGAACTATAACAAAGTCCAACGGCGGGTCTTAGAATAGCCCCAAGGATCACACAGTTCCGCAATCCAGTTTCACATGTTCCGTTGCATGGACTTTTGCATGTCTACTGTTGCTACGATTCCCCCATTGCAACCACAGTTTGGGGTTACCCCGCATTATATTAGCATGATTACGAAAGAGATAAGTATCATATGGAACATGTGAAGGGTAGTATGCAGGTCCGGCGGAGAAAGAGAATGACGTTTTCATTAAGCGATTCGCTTGGCGGCTTGTGGGGGATGTGACGATACTTACGGTAAAGACCCTGTGTGAGAGCTGGTACTCGCTCGTTACTTCGCTGATCTGTTGGGCCGTCAATCGAATCTCGTGGAACTTGCATTCTTCTTAACTGTGTCTATACAAGACACCTAATGAAACATACAAGCTACCGAAATCATTTTACTCGTACTGACCGGTACGGTACTTGCACAAGTAGTGAAACTTCCGAAAATAGCCAGCCTCATGCATCATCGCTTCACCCCTTCTGTTGACCTCAAAAGCATTCCAACGGTAAAAAATTATAACGCCGCCAACTGGATGGTTGTGACGGCGTTGACCACCAATGTGTGGGGGCTGGCGGTAGGACCGAGCTTATTCGTCCCAATAAGCTCTTTGGATTTGATTCTTTGGGGTGTGTGGTAAAATTCACATGGGGAAGAACACGGTGGCAGTTTGAGGCAGAGGCCCAGCGTGTAGTTCCTAGGGCATGAATATACCGAACTCATGGCGCAGAATTGAGCTGAATGCGCAAAAAGCTACAGGATCAACCGCGTTAGAAATGCCGCAAATGTCCACTAATTCCCCGGACTGTTCCAAATGATTCTGTGGGGATAAATCTCAAACTGGGTTAGGCTTTGTCACGTTTCTTTGTGTCGTGTCGGTTCGTCCGGGGCAATGTGCCCACGCTTGGCTGTCTCCCTACACCTCGGTAAAAACTATCACATGCTGCCCCTCTCGAGCAAGCATTAAATGCATATAGTCAATCTAACGACATATATATAGGTAGGGTGCATCCTCCGGTTTAGCTCCCCAGAATATCTCTTATTCATTACACAAAAACAACAATGTCTCTCAAGGTCGACGGCTTCACTTCTTCTATCATCTTCGACGTCATCCGTGACGGTCTTAACGACCCCTCTCAGGCCAAGCAGAAGGCTGAGTCCATCAAGAAGGCCAACGCCATCATTGTCTTCAACCTCAAGAACAAGGCTGGCAAGACCGAGTCTTGGTACCTTGACCTCAAGAACGACGGTGACGTCGGCAAGGGCAACAAGTCCCCCAAGGGTGATGCTGACATCCAGCTCACTCTCTCTGACGACCACTTCCAGCAGCTCGTTGAGGGTAAGGCTAACGCCCAGCGACTCTTCATGACCGGCAAGCTCAAGGTTAAGGGCAACGTCATGAAGGCTGCCGCCATTGAGGGTATCCTCAAGAACGCTCAGAACAACCTCTAAGCGCATCATTTATTGATTAATTGATGATTTACTATATTGATTTCGCAACTGTAGTGTGATTGTATGTGATCTGGCTCGTAGGCTTCAGTAAATACTAGACGGGTATCGTACGTAGTTGTATCATACATCGAGCCTGTGGTTACTTGTACAATAATTCGTAATGTAGAGATACCCCTTGATCCATTGCCTGTTTCTAACATACAATGATCTCCACGCAATAATCCCACTCTTGACTAAAAGTTGCTACTCTTGCACGGTTACCTCGGCATAGTCACGCCTCTCTTGTCTCGTCTCGAACGCACAAAGTCAATTGACAACGCCACTCACTCGAGTGTGCCCCAACAGGGCACCATATCGACTAATTTGAGGCCAACTAGGGTGATTTTGGATGGAATTTGATCGGAAAAAATAGCTGCAGAAATTCCTGGAGAGAAAAATTGACCGCATCCACATGGTTTGACCAAAAAATCGTCTCCATCTCTGTGCTCAACTCTCCTGACGAGATATGCGCGCGCACCCCCACATGATGTGATTGATCTCAACAAACTTCACCCAGACCCTTATCTTTCCGGAAAACTTACTGTATAAGTGGTCGTGCGAACAGAAAGTGTGCGCACTTTAGGTGTCTAGATCCGATTGTTCTCGTTCTGATAATGAGCCAGCCCCGCGAGGCAATGTTTTTTACAATTGAAAACTTCGTTAACCACTCACATTACCGTTTTTGCCCCATATTTACCCTCTGGTACACTCCCTCTTGCATACACACACACTGCAGTGAAAATGCACTCCGTTAGCACCGTTGTGATTGGTTCAGGGCACGAGTTTGGTGGTTTAAGGCGCAACTACATCAATATGAAAACAGGAGACGCTGAAAAGGGGTAATATCGGACTGCTGCTATGTTGTATGTACTGCATGACGAATTGGTGTTATTCAAGACCGTGGCACAGGTTGCTGCGGTACGAGACCTGGTAGCTTCTCTAAACGGCATGTCTAGGTGGACGAGTATGGAGAAGTTAGGTACAGTACGTACGTATACGAGTACGAGTACGAGTACGTAGTACGATACAGGGTACGTAGTACGATACAGGGTACGTAGTACGATACAGGGTACGTAGTACGATACAGGGTACGTAGTACGATACAGGGTACTTGTACGAAGACAACAGTAGAGTGCAAATATCAACCAACATGGCCAGAGCGACCAGTTCAGCTTTCAGGGGGGCCTCTAGCACTTGTCACCATATGTAGCCGTGATAATTATGCAGTGATGTGATAACTACTGTACAAGTAGAAGTAATCCGGTGGTGCTGGTACCTTGAATTGAGTCTCACTATCGGTTTCAGCAACACCAAGGACTTCATAGATAGTACAGGTTGAAGCCAGCTGCTGGTATTCCACCAGCGTCTAGGCCGTCGTCCCCGCTACGCCACCTTGTTGAGTAAATCACTCAGACCAGCATGCACCTTGACGTAGAACTCGTCGTCCTTGGTCATGCTCACGAGATTCTTGGGTTTAGTAAACGCCTCTCGTCTGAACGAATCGGCCCAGTCGCTCTTGTCCTTCATCTCCTGATGCTTCGTCACCTGTGTCTTGATCCATCCTCCCATGCTTTCGAATCGCTCGGTGATGGGAATCCAGTTGTCCATCAGACGCTTTTCTTCCCCCAGACAGAGAAAGCCGTACTTTCGAATCCCACCACGAGACTCGTTGTCGTTCACCTTGAACACGTAACCAATGGTGGCTCCAGATGAGTCGCCAAACATGAGAGGAGTATCCGAGAAGGTGGTTTCACTACTCAGCAGCTTGAGACAGGCCTTTCGAACCTTGGAGTAGTCATCCTCCCCGACGGCACATTGAGAAGACACGTATGTGTGCTCGCCAATATTAGATCGTAGAGTTGTGGCATCATTTGGCAGGATCAGCTGGCAATTTGCGCACGTCGAACACTCGTTTGGTGTGGTCTCCTTCGTTTTCTGACAACACAGTATCGAAGTCGGGCCATGCAAGTCGCAGAAATGTGCAAAACAGAGCTGGTTAGTGCTTGTTGTGTTCGTTGCAACCCTTAGGAAGCCTTATCCTCTCCCCATACTCACCAGTAGTGCCATGATTTGGTGCAAAAAGGTGTTGGTGGATGCGTTAATGAAAGTTGTTGTTCTGCACGTCTGCCCCAGATTAAGAACTTTATCATGACCCATCACAGCAAAAAAAATTGACAAAAAATTAGCGATGCCTGGTTTCGATCCAGGGACATCAGGGTTATGAGCCCTGCGCGCTTCCGCTGCGCCACATCGCTGGGTTTTTTTTAATTGAACTTTTTTTAGAATCTCCCAAGCTAAAATCAGTGTCACGTGACCCCTTAAAACTCAGATTTTTGAAGTGCCATTATGTCATTTAAAATGCAATTAAGGGTGGAAATGAGTAGACAGGAGTGCTAAACCGGCAATTCTTTATCTGGTAGGAGGGCCTTTTTTATGATAATTTGGGGGTTAGGTCAAATTCGATGCGTCGTTATGACATCTAAACCGGGTACAAGTAGCTACCTAAAGAGAGTGTGTTCCAGTGTTGGTCAACAATGGTATGGTACTTGTACTTGTACTTGTAGACAATTAAACCAAAATTATACCACCGACTATCAAGCGCAGCACACACATAGACATGCACCTTCTGTAGCCGCTTCATATTATTTCTCATATCGGGTTGATGTGATGTTATTACTGCATACACGTAGACCTCCACTTACAGAGACAGAACTGTCATAGTTTCGTCCCAAGAAGAAGATAGGACACCCACTCCGTCTGGGGAGACCTTTACTTTGGTAACAGGACCAAGATGCTTCGTGATTGGGCCGAGGTAGGTGCATTTGATGGTGTCCCAAGCTACCACTTCACCTGTGTCATGGCCACAGAACATGATCCGTCCTGAGGGTGTTACAGCCACCGAGTTGACAGGAGACATTATGTCTGGGGCACTATAAATGTTCATTTGGCAATCAGTTCTCATGTCAAACAGTCTTGCAGTTGAATCGTCACCTCCAGAGAGAACTGCATTTCCATCGGGAAAGAAGTCCACTGAAGTTACATCCTTATTGTGCCCCTGAAAGGTCTGGACACATCTGGCGATTCGGAGATCCCAGATCTTGACTGTTTTATCGTTGGAAGCCGTGGCGACAATCTGCATCTTAGAGGGGTGTTTGGTCACAGAAGAGACGTCTCCTAGATGGTCATACAGGGTCGAAACACGTCGGCCTGTATTGACATCCCAGATGCAGCATGTCATGTCTCCGGAGGCTGAGATGATCTGTTGGTCAGTCAGGAAACACAAGTCCGCCACATATGCAGAGTGTCCCTTGAGAATGGCCATGGGCTCGCTTTTGGTAAGTCCCTTCATTCTGGTCGACGACCCTGAACCGTAGGGAACAGAAGGGTCTGTCTCATCAGCCGACTGAGTCATGGAGTGGATTGAGACCCTGTTATCTAGACCACCCGATGCCAGGTAGCCACACGAGGGAGGTAATGCACAGGAGAGCACGTAGCAGCTTGGAAGAAGGAAGACTCTGGACTTTAGAGACGAGTAGGCGTCCCACATGAGAGCCAGACCGTCCATAGCTACACTGAGCACATATTGTGAGTTGGAGGCCCAGTCGCAGCTGTTTATCTTGCCTCTGTGTCCCTTGAGTTTGTGTCGCACCTTCAGGGGGGTTGAACTGATGGGCCGGAGGTCTGTGGCAAGACTTGGAAGGGTGGCATTCATAAATTGGCTTCTCTGATGAACAATGTTCTCTCTCATGGCGGCACATTTGCCTTTGAGTAACGACAGCCGCTCATGGAGATCTTCAACGGTGGGGGAGGGGGGAGTATCTGGCCGGAGAATATCTGTCATTTTCGCGCGTGGATGAGTTCAAGTTGGTTGCAATTTCTAGTGTGGGGGACTCCACCATGCAAATACCAATTCGTGTCTGCCACATTGATTCCCCGTTATAGCTGCGTGCATGCTTACTGCATGAGCTCTGCGGAGTAGATGCGGAGTAGATGCGGAGTAATATACAATATACATATAGCAAGGCGACACAAGGAAGGGCCACAAACGGAACACCCAAAAAATTTACATAAGTGGGTCTTCAAATAATAAAACGTTTGGCAAATATTATCATTACTGTGCTGATCAGGAGGATAAAAGTATAGTTTAGTTGGCATGAAAATATTGTGTGTGTGTTATCGTGTGTAATTATCTCGTTGAGCCCCACAGATGCTCCACCACTTGACTTGTTCCTATAGACCAGATATGGTCAATTGCCGAATATGAAGAAATTATGCAGGGTTCGAAGATGGGAGGTGCAATGGGACCACTTTTTATCAAACGGCCCCAACAGCAACGAAGGAGGAGACTCAGCTGTGTAATCTACCTTTATGATCTTCGCTCTGTAGACTCGCTAGTATAAGGTACCGGGTAGACGACGAGTATGTATACATGTATACATGTGCTTGTCACCACCAATCTAAAAGAGCTTGTTGAAGTGACGGTCAGGGGCGTATGAAGATGGTGAAAATGACGTTATTTTATTAGAATGCGGAGGTTTGTGCTTGCTGTAGAGAACCGACCTCGGCCTATTATCAAGTGCAGCTTCTCACACACACCTGTAGATCCCACTGGAGTCTCTTCATGGTTACAATTCTCCAAGGGGTGGAGGAAGCGATTAGGTGGAGTAGATTTACACAATTTCCTGCACAAATGGCACTCTGAGCTGCTACGATTCGGACCGTCAAGTGCCCATTACCCGATCAGACCTGCTATTGTGTTCTTTTCAACTTTTCCAGCAACACCACCGCCAACTTTATCCGTTGATGTAACACTGGCAATTTGCACATTGGAAAAAGGAAAACCATACTGCAGCCGGCAAGCTCAAAGTCACTACTTGTACCATTGGCGCTTCTCTCGGCCGTTGTAACAGCTTAATGGAGCCATCGAAGGGCCGTAGCAACTCACAGGCCAAGCCTATTCAAGATTGACACAGAGCAAGGTCTTGTTATGCGTTCTGTCGAGGTGAAACCAATATTTTTTGACAGCCAAAAATAGCGGGCAAATGCAACCAATTAATAGACCCTGGAAGTCTTCATGCTTGGCCTTGCACACCTTAATCTACACCAACAAGATTCTCTCATGTAATGAGACAAAAATATTTTATACGATCGTCAGTGAGTCAAGGCAAGTTATGGTATAGAGATGTAGAAGTAGTCCCACAGTGTGTACAGGGCCCGACATTCTTCACCCTCCAAGGTACAACATTGGCCTTGTACTATGTACTGTACTGTACTCAGGAGTAGCCCAAAGGAAACGAAAAACAACCCTATCGCTGTGTTCCTGCCGTATTCCATCTCCCCGCGCCTATCAAACTCGGTTGATCGTCGCTTCTTTGTTAGGTGAAAAATCAAGGGTCTATGTTTAAATAAAAATGATGGCTTATATAGAGTGCGTGGGCGAGACTGCTCCTCGAATCCGCTCCTGCTCTTCACCTTGGACACCACCACTGAGCACCACATGCGGCAAGATCTTGTCCAAATGACACCACGTGTTGAGAGGCATTCGGTACATGGCTAGCTTCTCCGTCAGCTCCCGCAGATACTGGTACGTCCAGTCGCGCTTCTGCCCATTGAGCACTCCGAGCACGTGGAATGAGTTGGACGAGTCTCCCAGCGTCACCTTGGAGTAACTCCTGTTGTTGGTGTCGACAAACATCTGACCAGTGATGACAGGGGTGCGGGTATCGAGCAGGGGCATCAGCGAAAAGTCGCGTCTGTACGACAGGTCTAGCCTGGTCTTACCAATCGGCACAAATTGAGAAGATGCATTCATGGCCCATTCAACCAGCTGGTTTCGATACAGCAAAAAGAAGCGGTTATCTACTATGAAGGGATGATGCTGATGTTGCGGATGCGTGGGGCCATGGGGGGATATCGTTGAACAGAGACGGAACGTCTTACTGTTGGCCCAGTCAACCCAGAAGAAGTCATTCCGCTTCAACACAGGGTCCTCAAGCGAGTTGGAAATGCAAATAAAGGTGTCGTGGCCGTACACAAATACACGGGCGGACTCGGAACACGGCATGTGTATGCGAATAGATTGTGTTTTGATGTTATTCCGGCGACCTGGAGCAATGCACTTTTGTCGCAACAGCTCGTATTCCTCACACAAGCCAATGGAGCCGGTACTGGAGTCAGAAGTAGAGCCAGCACTACTGCTGCCCGAGTGACCCAACCGATGCCATTCCATTTCGGGAGACATGCCTGGAGCCAGTTTAGTGGAGCGTAAGCGAAGCAGAGCCGTGAGATATCCGTCGTACATGGCCTTGGACACGTGGAAGCGGCGAATTACACGGTCATCCTCCAGTATATTTCTAACTACTCTCCAAAACCACGTTTTGCGGGCGTAATTGAGTTCTTGAACACCGTCTACCGGAGGGGTGTACACATTTGATGCATAGTCGCCATAGGTTTGTGGATAGATGGGGAAGTTGTGGGTGAAGACAATCTGGCGGCGAAAGCACAGTTTTGTTTCGTATTCGTCGGATATTGCTCGGGATATCGACAGCGTTCCGTCAGGGAAGATGTCTGCATATAGGCTTGCTTCGGGTGCGAGGTTGTGGTTGATGGTTTGGACCGGCTCAGGCTCCTCGGCGTACTCTACTAACGGCAGGGAGGCCAGTCCGTCTGTGGGAGAGGTCAGATCCAGGGCGTCATGGTAGGAGGTGTGGTGGTAGTCGGCTTGGTGATGGTGTCGTGCATGTCCATGCATGGTGTCTCTACGACGCAGTTCGGCCATGGCGAGGGAGAGCCATCCCGCTGCGCTGGACCCGTCGGCTGGTTGCATCCATGGTGCACAGAGAGCCCTGGCGGCGGTGAGAGCGTGGGAGCTGTTGTCGACTGCTTCTCTTAGACAGCAGCACGAGTTTCGCAGGTTGTGGAGATCTTCAACAGAGGTAAAGGCGAGAATCACGGCTATGGTTTCTGGAGGCAGGCTGAGCAGGGACATGCCCAGGAATCGGTGCGTGCGAGAGGTTGGCGGGTGTGCAGCTTCGACAAGATGCTGGAAGAGGTGGTTGGTGGTAGTGGAGCTAGTATGGCGTTTTGTTGGCCGCACAGTATAGTCTAGCTACTGGTAGACAGTTTTAGATATGCAAAAACTTTGAACTGTTTAACGGTGCATTACCAGTAGCTACTTGTATGGTCTCTACAAGTAGATTTGAGACGAGTGGGAAATGGGTTCGGCGGTCCCCGACAGTTGCTGTGAAGCTTATGTTCTCCGTGGACGGTGACCGGGGTCGTTTGACTGTGTTCGCCTGCACATAAATGTCTCGCTTGTCTGCGACTCCACATCTCATCAGGCTAATGCCTAGACTCGAAGCTAGCCATTGTTGAGCGGCACCCAGGGTTGCAATCATCATGCGGCGCCACCCCGTATTATATATAGTCTTTACCGTTATGATAGGGTGGCGACGGTACCAGTGGTGTAGAAGAGGTACAGTAGCTACAGTGATATGTCGATGGGCTGATGAAGTGGCCCAACAGGTGCATACTGTACTCGCACCAGTGTTTCGTACCTACTGATATCTGCAAGTGCAGATGGTGTCTCGAACATTGAGCAGCACCCCCCTCAGAAGCTACTGTAACCGCGGTGTCTCAGTATCAATAAGTAACATCAAGCTATCGATCACGTGATGCAGGGGTTGCAAAGTATGCTGATAGGATGTAGTGTACCAATGTATACAGTAACTGCGACCAACAGCCGTTAGAACCACACGGCACCATTTACTCTGCGGGATTACACAGATAAGTCAGCTGATCATGTCCATAAGGGCAACCATAGCCAACAGTAGCTAAGAAATAAACAAGTCAATTACAACTAGCTACAGGCAGTAATACTCTTATGCCATGCGATATTGCGATTGTCTAAAATTTCAGTATCTCCTGCTTTTTATTTTCGCCTCTCGCTCACGTCGTACAGGTCGTATTTCCGACCCCGTAAGGTATCCCAAACTCTGGGTCGTCGCTTATCTCGTTCTAGGTGGTGGCAGAGTTTACAGCCTGTGCATGAGAGAGGCACACTATGCGCACAGGGAGATGTAATTAAAACTCATCTGATCAAAACAAGGGTTTATCTCGAGACCGTCTCAGGAGCCCCCGGTATTCCACTCGCTCAAATCGTCGATCGTTACACATCCATCCATTCGCTTCACCATTCGTTAGGCCATGCAAATCACCCTAACACAACAGGGACTGACACTACAGTCTCAAAACGGCACGAGATCACTGCTTGATTTCGCTACCAAATCTCTCACCACACTCCAGGACGATACGGACTCACAAAATGACACAGATGGAGCCTCGGTCGATACAGAAAGCCCGTCTCTAGAGTGCCTGGGCATTTTTGGCATCTTTCCTATTGATGTGCACTCGCTGGCAGTCATCACCAAACGAGAACAGGTTGCTACTCTGCAAAATGCTCCCCTCTACAAGATCACCGGGGCTCTCCTGATTCCTCTGTCCTACCAGCGAGCCAGAGCCGTTTTTGAAGCCTCTCAAAATAACACCACTGCCGAACCGCGACGGTCCACAGACTCCAACGAGTCGAGAGGTTCTTCGGTCGCTGATTCTGAGCCCTCAGAAACCGAAACAGGCACACCTTCTCCTGTGTCTCCCTCGACTCTCAAGTTTATCAGAGAGTGCCAAAAATTCCTGTCTTCAGGGGCTCTCTTTTACTCTCCTAAGCTCAACCTACATCAATCTCTCAAACAGGGTCTTTTGAATAAGGAGTCGAAATGTTCTTCATACTACCTGAATTACAATAGAAACAGATTGTTCAAAGACACCGAGTTTGAGCTCAAGATAATCCAAGGTCATGTGGGACAAGTCAAGCCCGAATCCAGCAACATCTCCGTGGTACTCATTTCTCGGAGATCACGACACCGCATTGGAGCTCGGTATCTCCGAAGAGGTATTGACGATGATGCCAACTGTGCCAACTGGGTCGAAACCGAGCAGCTTCTGGTTACACCCAAGTACATTCTTTCGTACGTGATTGTCCGAGGTTCTTTGCCTGTCTTCTTCCAGCAGAGTCCGTATAAGCTAAAACCCACTCCCCGTGTTCTCAGAGGAGCCGAAGCTACTCGCAAAGTCTTCAACACTCATTTCGACCGTATTGAGAGCCACTATGGCTCTGTTACAGGCGTCAATCTGGTTGAAGCGTCTTCGACCTCTAACGAGTTCAAGGTTGGAAATCTGTACAAAAAACTGTGCGAGCAGAACGGTAAGGAGCTCGAATGGTTTGATTTCCACCACGCCTGCAAAGGTATGAAGTTTGAGCGTGTTTCCGAGCTGTTTAACAGCGATGTTGTGCAGGCAGGAGTCGACAACTTTCTGTGGGACGGTTTGAACCTGCAAACGGGCAACCCAACGTCTGTGGTCCAGTCTGGTATCTTCAGAGTGAACTGCATCGACTGTCTCGACCGAACCAATGTTGTTCAGACTGAGATTGCCAAAAGAGTGCTCGAACAGCAGCTGGAAGAGCTCAATCACGATGCTGACAACATTGTATCATCGGCTTACTACCACATGTGGGCCGACAATGGCGATGCCATTTCGCGCCAATATTCTAATACGAACGCACTTAAAGGAGAGTTCACTCGGAACCGAAAACGAGACTTCAAGGGTGTGGTTACAGATGTGGGGCTCACTCTCACTCGCTTCTACTCCGGAATGGTGTCCGATTTCTTCCGCCAGGCGCTGTTTGACTTCCTTGTTGGCAACGTTGATGAGAGAGTGTTCAGCGAGTTTGATGAGACTTGTGCCAGCTCTGATCCTCGCATGTACTCGAAATCTGCGATAGAGGTGGCTTCAGAGATCTGCCAGGATGATGTGATTTCTGGCTGGTGGCTTGAGTCGCTCCAAAACAGCTCAAACAAGTATATTGTGCTGCTCACAGACACATCCATCTACGTGTGCCAGTTCGACTTTATGACCGAGCGTGTGAGCGACTTTGAAAAGGTGGATGTCGACACCATTTCCAGCGTTCAATTCCTTGGCAGCTCGGGCTCTCAAGTGGTCATTTCCACGTCGGACAAGCAGTTCCGGCTCCGAAACCCGACTTACAATGAGCATATGGGCGACAAGCTGCGCCAGTACTGTTCGGAGAGAGAAATTGAAGTTCACGATGGTGACGAGCAGTCTACGACTTTTGTGTCGAGGATGGAACAACGGCTTAAGCGACTCATTTGGGCCTAATGTATTTATTAACGAATTATGACTAGAACGCATAGGGTAAGTAATGGCCTAGTAAATCGCCAACTAATTGCCAACTAATTTATTAAGTTTTGAGCTCTCTAAAACGCCGGTCTTGTGGCAACAAATGAGCAAACAGGACAAACAAAAGAACGAACTGAAAAATGACCGCCATTCTCTACAACGAACGTGACTCCAGTGTTCGATATCATTTTTCACCTTTCGTTACCGTGACCACATATACTCAGTCCATGCCACGATACACTCAGTAGGGTAACGTCAGGGTAAACACCACCAAACATGTCTCATGCACAGATAGCAAAAAAATTCTGCATAGAGTTCAGCTCCCAAATGTATATAAGCACCCGCTCACCCACACCCAGTTTTCTTCTGTAAGTGACGTATTCCATAGGATCATTTCTATAGGACATGTCTCTCATGACTTCTTAAAAGAAGCCACTTATTCAAACTTGGTTGATGAGATAGAACCTGCAAACCCCAGAGTGAGAAAACATTTGTTTGATTGCTTGTCCTTGTGACTCAGTCATCTTATTATTCCCGGCGCGCAAGCGTTCAAGGAGCGATGATCTTGTCCCTTTGTTTGAGCCTCTCCGGAGGAGTGACTTAGGGTGGGTTTGTATGGCAGTCTGACAAGTCTTGAGAAATTCTTTTGTTGTTTCTGTGAGCACTTCCTAGGAGTCCATGGTTACGTCACACTTAGATAGAAAAGATATCCATTAAGAACAACATTGAGACGAGTAGAAGTGCAATAGGTAGCAGCCTGGTACATGCGAAGTAAGGGTAAGAATACAATTGTATACCCTCACCAAGAGCCCACTCGGCAAAACTGATACCATGTAGTAAAAACAACTTGATCACAGACATTCTCTTGTCACGCATGGTGCGTATGAACTTCTCTACCAGTCTCACTCAATATACAATCAGTTAATTAAATAAATGCTGCACTCCCATTTCGAAGCACCGTTAGTATCTGGGAGAGATAGCCCCCAGTAAGCTTTTTCTTCTGTCTTACAAGGTAGGCTTCTTCCAGTAGTACTGTTTGTGGACCTTTCTGCAAGACCGCACGCCAGCGCCGCCCTTGGTCTCGTTGACCAGTTTGACCCGGTCCTTATCCGAGTCTCGTTCGGGCACGTAGTAGTACTCCTCCTCGAGCGGCTTGCCTGATGCGTCTTTGCCCTCCCGGTGGATAATGCCGATGCAGTCGATGTCGCGCAGAATCTGCTGCAGCTGCGACTTCGGCACCATGGAGATCTTCGGCGAGACTGCCATTACTGTCTGTAGGGGTGTGCATGACAGACGCGAGAAGGCCAGGTGGTTGCACACGAGGTTTCGGATCGCCTTGAGATCGATCTTGGAAGGCGACAGGGGGATCTCCGGAGAGGGGCTCTTCTTTCGCTTGGGGGTAGAAGTCGCCGTCTTGGGAGTGGAAACACTCTTGGGAGTGGCAGCAACAGCCTTGGGAGTCGACTTGGGTGTAGACTTAGATGCGGCCATGGTCACCTGGGGCACGGGTGTTGTTTCTCGAGCATGAGAAGCCATGACAGCGGACGGAATAACAGGCTTGATAGGCTCGGTGGGCTTCTGAATGGGCTCAACAGGCTCGGAAGACTCGGCAGACTTTTCCGAAGGCTTCTTGACAGCCTTAGGCTCAGCCTTGGTCTCGATCTTCTCAGGGGCATTCTCAATAGGCTTGTCAGCAACAGGCTTGACGGTCTTATCAATGGCGACCTTCTCGGCATGCTTCTGCTCCAGCATTTTCGGCTTCTCAAGTCGTCCAGCAGGCCGAGTGACCTGTCGAACCACGTTCTGTCGAGCAACGGGCTTCATCACCTTAACAGTTTTGAGCACGGGTTTGTTGGAAGCCTTGGCAGAGCGTTTGGCCGAGGAGGGGGTAGAAGAGACTGTGGTAGGGGTAGAAGTGACAGTCGCAGGGGTAGAGACAGCAGGAGTCTGAGTCTGGTTCTCCTTATCAACGGCAGGAAAGCCAGTTGTGGCCTTGATGGGCTCCTCAACCACCTTCTGCTTCTTGCTGAAATGAGTGTCAGTATTCTTGGTGTTGAGATCAGTCTTCATGGTGTTGAGCTTGTTGTCGGAAACACTGGTCAACGGCACCAGCTCCTCATCGTCGGTCTCGTCGGTGGTCATTTCGGCATCTTCATCAGCGACTTCCTCGCCTTCATCAGACAACCGAATCATAAACCGCTCTCCTCGAACATCAACCAGGATTTCGGAAGCGTCAACTTCCATTCTGTCGTTCTTGAACAAGAAGGTGCCAAACGAGGAAGAAGAACAAGGGGCGTTCTCCTGACCATCTTTTGTCTCAGTGGAGGGCTCGAAAATATCTCCATACTTGAGTTTGGCTTCTTCAAGGAGAGTGACATTCTCAGTGGTTCTGAATACCCTGCCACTGCTCATAACTCGGCACCCGTTCCAGCCCGAACACGAAATGGCAATTACGTGACGCTCGAGGTCGTACCAGGTGGTCACATGGCGTCTGGAAATCTGTCGGTTGCTCTTGCTAAGCACAACCTGAGACTGCAGAGAGGACCGTCCAATGGCCACAGGGGGGTAGTACTCGCCCATGATAGCGAGTAATTCCTGGGTGGTCGGCTTGGACAGCAGGTCTTTGTTTTGGTTGACCCGTTTGTCCATGATGAGAGAGTTGATTCGGTTGGGGGAGGGTCGGGTGAGGTTGACAATAGGGAGGGAAGTAAGAGCTGTTCGGGGCTCTCTAGAAAGCATTGATTGGAGATGGAGTTTGTCGACGGTGTCGGCGGCCACCGCTTCCGCTCCAGAGACATCGTTAGACACGTCAGAGTTGATGGAAGTCATGGTCACGTCCCCAATGTCATCTTCACTGTAATGTCTAGGACAAGGAGACGAAGGAGGGGGACTGTTCGTGTCATGAGAAACAGGACTGCTTCTGTTAGTGTTTGTGTCCTTGCCAAAGGCGGTTGCATGACTCCGTTTCACAGGCGAAGAAGACATGATTCCGGGCACAAGAACATCGTCACTTTCGTCTCTGTAGACGTGAGTGATTCCTGTGGTTTCTCCAGCCACAAACTTGCCCATTGCTGGGAAGGCAGGAAGCAGCTTCTTGGGGGGACTAGAGGGAATGGCCGTGTCCATGTTGGTGGTTTTTGTGAGAGTGGACAGGTGGTGGTGGTGTTGTTGTAAGAAGATGGGAAGTATTGTACGCGTTAAAGAGTGTGGGTTTGGGTACATGTGGTGTACCTAGTTGCGTATATGTATGAGACGTGACTGGCAATACGCGCGTCAAACCTATGTGCGAATATAGGTTAATGTGATGGTAGGTAGGCAGTCTCTGAACCCCGACATAGAGACACAATTGAAAAAGAGGTAGAGATGACTGCCAATATTTCCCCCAGTTTACTATACTTCCATCTTTTAAAATCAAAATCCACCAAGTATCCGTAGAGTTACATTAGTTCGTCTCTAGCCCATGTTGCGCTACGTGGACCGTGTATCGCACGCGCGTCAAATCAATTTTGATGTTTAAAAGACATGAGGTTGAGAAGCGCTACATTTCGCTGCTTAAAGCAGGTCAAAATCGCTGTTTATGTCTGGAAAAAAACTCTTATGCCTCGTTTAATCTCTTGTAACGGGTCTAATTACCTCCATCATACTCCTTCATCGCGTTACCACCACAACATATTACTTGCCCGCATGCATATTAGTTCGCGACTCTGATGTCATTTTAAACTTTCGTGTACATGTCCCAACTTGGCTGTCCGGGGTTAGGGCTCATCGGAATGACGTTGGAAAATAAGCTTTCTAGAAGTTGAGAGGTCACATGACTACACTTCCCAATTGGGAAAAAACAGTCCCCCGGCTCTGCTCCCAAGCTCTTTGAAAATTGATTCCTACAACTTTTTCCTACATACACGACGACACTAAGCCAAAATGACCAGTGAGTGCTGACGGAATATTGAGATATGGAGAGACCGTGGAGAGCGACAGACGGAATAACGACGACAAAAATTCGACGGGCGACATTCGACATGCGACGGGATACAGGACGGAAGCGTGGCCTCAATCGTTAGACGACATGGAGGTGGTGTAGTCAAGAAGGTGATAATGCGGCAATGTGTGGCAATGTGGCGAGACATTTCTGATGTGGTGTGCTTTGTTTTTGCTCACTGAGCGGATTTAACCAGGCTTCGATCATCATTGGTCATGTTTTTTTTTGAGCCATGGGTCACACGACCACCGCCACATTTGCCACTGCTTATCACTGTTACACCGTGACCCATCCCTTGTCGACTATTAGATCACGTTTCAGCTTGGTCGAGATTGTGTCCGTGGCGTTTGTGACGTTATTTTTGCCGCCGAACATTGAGAGCTCCAAGTCAACATTTTCATCCAATACTAACTTTCAGAGGGTACCACTTCGTTCGGTAAGAAGCACACCAAGTCGCACACTCTCTGCACCCGATGCGGTAAGCGATCTTTCCATTGCCAGAAGAAGACTTGCGCCTCTTGCGGATACCCCTCCGCCAAGATCCGATCCTACAACTGGGGTCAGAAGGCCAAGCGACGACACACCACTGGTACCGGTCGAATGCGATCTCTCAAGCTCGTTGACCGAAAGTTCCGAAACGGTTTCGGCAACAAGGCTTCCGAGTAAGTTAACCAGTAGGTTGATAAAAAATTAATGTATTGTACATGTGGATAGACCAGCAATGACGTAGCACGAGATGAGTGAATGAGCTGTAAAATATTTAAATTTGAAGCCGATATTGACTTCAGAATCAAGCATTTACAGTAAGTAGAGAGAATAGGCTGTGATAATTTGCACGGCAGCTGCACCGAGTGGTGCAGTGGCGACCTCTGTGCTCACGTAGAAGTAAGGGTGCTAAGAACAAACCCAGGTTGCGATATTGGGTACTGTACTGTTGAGTGAGTGTGGATGATTCATTGAGCATTACGTTGGGATGACTAGTGTCGAGTTTTGAAAGCTGAGATATCAAGTCCTGAAGTTTACAATGTACTTATACCCATCCCTTGGCGTATGGTGGCTTCAGCGCTGGACAAGGGACCATAGTGATTTCCCAGCAACTGCAAGTAGATGTATAGTATGGGTGCTCACAAGATCCGGATGGGACGTTGGTACGAGAACGAATAGTGGTACGAGTTCGAGAAGTAGTACACCGCTGGAGTATCACTGGAGTATCACTGGAGTATCACTTGAGTATGTAGAGTGAGATGATACAGAACATCTACAGTATAAAGTGGTACAGTACAACTCGAGGGCTGATTGAAGAGGATCTGAAATTACGCCACATATGTGTAGTAGTTCACCTCAGGAAGCCATATCACCCGTCCTTCAAGTATAGCACTGTTTCCGAGAATATAGTCAACCATGTGAAGATGATTTTTCAATGCTCACAGATCGAGGAAGGGATGTGAAAATTCTTGCGATCACCGTGGCTTGAACATGAGTTGCTGTGGATTGTATACCTGCTGCTGGTGCGTGCAAGTGTGATCTCCATCTCTTATACTCTCGCCCGGTTGTTGTCAAATGCATGATAAATTATTTATAAATTAGCAGCCTCCCTAACGCTTCAAGCCATGGCAGCCACCGTATGGAGTTCAGGAATACCTATATCCTGTAGGCGACTGAGACAAGACAGAAAGAGCCTTCGGGTTAATTTTGGAATCCCGTCATCCTTCAATAGCGATAAGACCCGAATGCAATCTTTACTAAGCTGGGGATCGCTGTAGTTGTCCAGACTTCTAGTCAGAGTCTCCACGACTTCGGAAAACATCCACATTTCAGCGTAGGCAGGATCGGATATGTGAGATAGCGCAAAATCGGTCTTCCATAATAAATAGAAAAGTCGCATCACTTTTCTGCATGCCAGGATCTGGAACTTGCGAAGAGGCGCCACCAGCTCTCCATCTAGATCGTTGAGAATCTTGGACCAAGGAATAAGAGGTTCTGAGGGCGATCTCATCCCGTCACTGTATCCCTTGACGTTGAGATCGAACCCAACACAGTAAAATCGATCTTTTGGGGCCGTCAATTTGGCGCTAAAGGGGGTAATCTTTTGTTTGGTCTCTAGAGACTCTGTGACTTCAGGGTCGGGATTAAACTCGGCCACAATGGTACATAAGATGTCCATGGAGTCGCATCTGAGAGTGGCTATCGACAGATTATTGAGAAAGACACACATCTTAATCAAACTGGTAACATCCTTTTCTCTGGGACTACCTCGAGTCCATTGATTGTACTGTAACTCGACGTAGTTTCTCAGAAACCGAACCACGTGGCATGCTGTCGCGTACATATTGTAGCAGATATCGGCCTGGAAATTGCTTGAAGTACGGAATGACTGCTCCGCAAGAGTGCTGTCAAAATTCATCCAGTCAGGCTTGATTCCTCTTCTTCGTGCAGCAGCTCTTCTTGCCCTGGAGGACTTCTTACGGCCCTTCTCTTCAGACACTTCAGGAGTAATGTTCTGATCAACCTGCCAGAGAGGCCGTGTATCCTCCAACAGGCGACACTTGATGACCCATTCACAGAGAACAGTTATATCTGCAGCTGGAATCAGATGTGTTCCTGGTGCCACAATCGAGGTATAGATGTTGTTTAGTACCTCCACGTTCAGATTGGCTTCTCGAAGGTAATGGAAGGGTTGGGCCATGTCAAAATGATTCAAATTGTTGATATTGTCTAGTAGAGCGTCCTTCATTGTCTTGATAACCCCATCCAAAGCCTTATCGTCTTGAAGATAGAACGGCAAAGCCGGTGTTTCGGCCACGATCTCGCCCTGGGGAATCTTTTGTTTGGTATAAAAGTACTCAGCAACAATATCTGCGTATCGGGTACTCTGAACGTGTTTCCAGGATGCCTCGTTTGTGCCCTTGAAAACGACAGCCTTTGAAGTCATCTTGGGTCGTGCCTCAGTAGTCAAGACGACATCAATGTCGTTGAAATCCGTATCAATGTCGTCAATCAGATCAATAGTCTCGTTTTCCATATTGCTTGGCGCTCGTTTGTGACCATTGCCATTCCCCTGTCTATGAGTGTTTCTCTTGTCAGCCATTGTCGGTCTGGCTGACTTGCTGAACCGTGGTCCGTCAAGATCGGGGAAATCAGCCTCTTCTTCCTCGTTCAGGTCAATCGTCGCCACTTTGGCTGCTCTCTTGGGCAACATGGCGCCCCATTCGTCAGCCCCCGAGATTTTCCGCTTTCGGGGGTTGTCCGATTCTCGAGTCACATTGGTCACGCTGTGGTCCCTGGAACTGCGTGACCTCTGAGTACCGGGCTTGTGGACACTGCTCCTAGACTCCTTGTTGGTGATCTCGAGCTCCTGTTGTAGAAATGCAAAATTGGAGTTCTGTCTCTCCACCTCCAGCTGTAGAGCCTTGACCTTCTCTTCCAGCTCTGCAGTGACCGATATGTGCTGTTTTTTAGCCATTGCAAGCTCGTGGTTGTGTCGTGCTGTTGCTGTGGCCAGTTTGTTCTCGGCCAGACGCATTAGATCCTGCTGCTTGGTCTGTTCTCGCTTCAGCTCCTTGTTTTCTATGTCCAGCTGTTTGTACATGATCTCGGCATCTTTGGGGTTCAGGTCCGGGGCCATCATCGTAATGTCTGCCTGGATTCGTGTTTCCGACGCGTCCGTTCTTGCGGAGTCCTTGCGGACATCTCTCTTGGCTGTGGGGATACTCCTGGTATCTGCTCGAGTTGGTGGAGCGATGGGTTTGCTCATCTGGGACGCCATGGCCAAGCCCGAGTCGATTTCATCGAAAAAGTCGTCGTCAAACTCGACGTCCAGCTTGGACAGCTGGGCGTTTAGAGACAACGGCAGCATGGCATGTGGTTGGCGTGTGGCGGTGTCGAGTATATCCAGTGGTTTGTCAACAAAGTTGGGAGGTGTACCCACCGCGCATATGCATGTTGCACTTCCGATTTTGGGTGTGAACGTGCCAAAGCAGGATCAGGTCGTAAAAGTGAGTGAGTTTGGGAAGTTTGACAAGTAGCCGAGTACAGTATAGCTGTGGTTCATCTGGAGATATATTATGTCTTCTTTATATCACTGTTTTCCCACTACAAATTATTCAACCGGGGTCTGAGTTGTATGCACCTACACCTTACAATTATGCCTGTCTCACATGGTAGATTGGAACTTGTCGTTGTTGAGCGGTAAGATGTTATTACTGTGATAAATGTGCTTGTACCTTCTTGTGGATGACTACTTGCAGTTGGCCAAGAACTACACCCTTTTCTCGCCGCTGTATTCTTCGTCATCGTCACAACACCCCACTTTCTTCATACTGTACATCTCAAACGTCCGGTGTCGGCATAGACAATCTAAGGCGATGTAGGTGCTGATGGATACAGGCAGTACACCATTCGTTCTATGACTTGGTTACGAAGTACAATACTCGTAGTGGTTCCTATCCCGCTTAAGATATATCTCAGTCGAATCAAAAGTAGTTACTTCAGCTACTGTGCGGACTTCCTCTTTGTCTAACTCGCAGTCTGGGCACAAGACCATGTTTTTAGAGGTTGATAAAAGCTAGATTGACGTGACTCAACAGATATGTACCCGAGAAGACGAGCTATGAGGTGGGGAAGTTGGCCGATCGAAGTGAAATGTCACTTGACAACTGATGGACAAAAAACGGACCCAATAATCGCCCCATATCGGCTCTGTATACTCACCGTATCGCCACTCCCCCACAACCTCGGGTCCCAATCCCAACCTCCATCACGGCTATCAAAAGCTTAATTGAAAAGTTGATATTTTTTCAGCACTATTTCGAAAACCCAGTTGAAAAGCATTTTCCAAACCCCACACACTCATACACACGAAAATGAAGAAGGAGGCCAAGCCAGTGAAGCCCAACGACAAGCCTAACGACTTGCAGGCGTCCAAGAAGGACAACAAGATCGAAAACCCCTCGTTCGTGCCCGAACAGCCCAAGCCTCTGTCATCAAAGGACAAGGACACAAAGCGACTCATTGTCGTTCTGTCCCAGGCCTGTCTGGAAACTCACAAGATCCCTTCTTCTGGAGGCGACAAGTATGCACTGCTCAACTGTGACGACCACCAGGGTCTTCTGAAGCGAATGCAGCGAGATATCGCTGAGGCCCGGCCCGACATTACCCATCAGTGTCTGCTGACTCTTCTGGACTCTCCCATCTCCAAGGCTGGCAAGCTACAGGTTTACATTTCCACCGCGCGAAACGTGCTCATCGAAGTGAATCCCTGTGTTCGAATCCCCCGAACTTTCAAGCGATTCTCCGGTCTCATGGTCCAGCTACTGCACGAGCTGTCTATCCGATCGGTCAACTCGGAGGAGAAGCTGCTCAAGGTGATCAAGAACCCTATCACCGACCATCTGCCCCACAAGTGCCGAAAGGTGACACTGTCGTTCGACGCACCTGTGGTCAAGACCCAGGACTACATTGAGAAGTTGGATGATGACGAGAGCATTTGTGTGTTTGTGGGAGCCATGGCTCGAGGAAAGGATTCTTTTGCCGACGAGTTTGTCGACGAGAAGATTGGTCTGTCTAACTACCCTCTTTCGGCCTCGGTGGCCTGCTCAAAGTTCTGCCATGGAGCTGAGGACGCCTGGGGCATCCAGTAAAAGGCGTGTATCGTCATGACACGATATTGGACAAGACTTTTTTTTGTATTGGGAGGAACGCATAGACATCTACGTACCACATAAAATTAGATGATGTATATATAATGATGGTGTGGGTGTGGTGACTTGGTGTATAGCTGAGATCAACCTGGTATTGAGTAGTTAGGTACATCACTCGATGCCGGATATTGTACGTGTACGAGAACTGTAGTCACGCGGGTTTGTCTTAACTAGCTACAAGTAGTAGGTGCAGTCTACCGGAACGCGCCGTTGGAAGTCACCGTTGTATAGTTAGTGTTGTGATTTATAGAGATACGAAGCCTGCTATTGTTTCATATACTCCTTGCATCGTTCAGATTGCGAAAATTTACCTTCTATGCCTTCAAGTAGTTGTGAAATCGTGCACAAGTCGCCTGTTGTATCTGCACCAGTAACATCGAACCGCTCGCGACTGACTACATACTGTACAAGTGTTCCAGCCGTAGCGTCTATACCGTTGAGGCCTGCCTTAGTGTATGACACTTCAGCATAGTGGGATAACTACCATGAACCTGCACTGTGGACACAGTGAGATTACTCGTAGTGAATTTTGCAACTGTGGCTTTGTTGAAGACCCGTCTGCTGTGCTCTGTGGGATAAAATGAACTGCAGGAAGCGATTCTCTGGCTCCACTACTCGCTTGAGGGTGAAGTTTCGGACAGACTACAAGTAGCTTCAGCTGGTAAGGTGATATTTCTGAGACAATGGGGTAGTCTGGTGTGTCTAATGATGTGCTCGTACTCGTACATAGTGTCTGGTGAGCATCGACACCCTGTCTTGTCTTTCTGGTAGGGATGATCGTGCGACCGGTTACACTCAGCTTATCTTGCGTAGGCTGCTCAGATCGAACTACCAAAGTTCGTGTCCTCTTAATAGCCCCACAGGGCTGTCCGCCGCATGCTGCATCCAATCGATCGTGCCTGGGAGAGTTTGCTACATACTGTACTTGTACCGTGCCTCAACGGCTTCATGTGAAGACCAACTTTGTAGGTTGGTGAAACTCTGGGCGATACGAAATGTGGAGCGCGGAAGCTTTCGTGGGCTGCGGGATTTGCTGGAGGTGGCTCGTATTGAGCAGCGTTCTTCAATTTACTGGTCCGTGTGTAGAGGATATGAGCCATTTTGGTTATTGTATGGATTTTGTGACAACGGTGTCAGGCGCCATGTAGAGTACGTATGACGGCAGCCGTATTCGCTTGTGTCGACTACATTTCTTGTATCTTTGTATGATAGTGAGTAGCTTCTCGTACAGAGAATTGTGTACTGGGAAGAACGATGGTGTAACTTGAATACTGGCATCAAAGGTATTCACATGTTAATCTACACCATCATTACTGTAGAACCCATTGCTCTTGTTGTCGTCTCTTCCCTACGAGTACTACGAGTAATAAAGACAACGACGTAAGATTCTTGCTGCGATCGAAGAGCCGTGGACCTCTTCTCATTATGACGTTGACGCGCGACTCATCACTTGCCCTAATTCTGTGCGCCGATTATGCAAATATCAGAGGGCCAGACAGCAACCCTTGGGATAGGGCTCTTCCCAAAGAGACTCCAGTGGTCGGAGACGTGGAGCCAAGATTTGAGCCAAGCGAGCCCAGCTGAGACATTGGGAGTCTGGGGTGAGACAGTGAGCCTGGGGACGGCCAATCAGTGCTCTGTCTGTCGCGGCGCCGCCTGTTTAGCTCGATATATTTCACTTTGGCGAAATTCAATTGCAAATCCAATTGCAGGCGGTCTACCCTCAAGTCTTGGGTATCGTACTAAGTGTCTTCTTGGCACCGTCTTTGCTCAGTGTATCGGAGGTGCAGTAACATGGGCTGTTTAGATTTGTCCCCTCTTCTGTGTCATTAGTGCGCAGCTACGGCGAGGCTACTCTGTAGCGTCGGGGCTGTGTCTGGCAGGGAGGCACTGTTTGCCCCTGTTTTGTTCCGTACTACAAGTACTTGTATTAATAACACTGATATTATGTGGCCTGGCCGCCTTCGGACAGGTCCTTTTTACACACCCCTATAGCTTATCGCGTGTCCGAACCTTTTGCTGTTTGACAGACAAGTGGTGACTGAAATGCAAGTAAGCTACAATTGTTCTTGTAACAACTGTTCTTGTTTCACTCGTTTCGTCTTGTTCATGTCAGTAGGGTTAGGACTATCTCCGCATTGGACCCTTTGGGCTGTTCTCTGGGATAGTCGTATCTGAAACGCGTTCTGGGTGCTCTCGTACCGCAGCGTACGATACCGGGCTGGGTCGAGCTGTCGAGCCGTGGTACACATGTGCTTGTAAGAGTACGATAGCTATCTTACCTGTATTGGTACCAGCATTTCACTCGTACGTACGATACTGTAGCAGTTGCCCCATACAGGCACGTCATGTCTCCATATTACATAGTATGCCTGTCATCTGCGATCGTCGCATTCGACCACTCGCATTGTCACACCCCTACTGCAGCGGCGAAGTGCAATACGGACACATAGGTGGTGGTGTACGATACCAAGGATAGACATTGCAGGATCGCCTGTCGCCTGGACCGCAAAGTCTGTCTCCGCTCTGTTCCTGTCTTTTCATGTTTTAGTGCGTCCCAATGCTCCGTCCTTTTTCCCCATGTTTATCGGACAACGGACCTTGTAGCTTGCTATGTACGCTCCGTAGTGCGAGAAAGTCTTTTTCAGAAAATAGGCTCAGCCTTTGTGTTCGGTTACAGTGTGAGTCAGTGGGTGGCAAAATGGATAAACAACCGACAGGCGCGGACCAGGGGTCGTGGCATTTTCCTCGTGGGAAACGACGAGTTTTCGAGTATATGGATGTGTTGCGTGCCGGCGCTGTTAGATGGCCACCGCGCCGTTACTCGTGTTCGATATTATATGCCGCATTCACCTCCATTTTCTGCCGCTTTTTACACTGTGGAGTGGGCTGTATGGTATACACACCCCATGTAGCAAACATATAACAGCCTCAACGTTCGAACGTCTCGCTTTGGTCGGTCAGGGCCAGAGCTCTCGTATCGGTGTCCGAGAAAACCAAATTCACTGCAGAATGGCGACCGTCACCTGCTCAGACTGCCAGCACACCCAATTCTATACTGTATCTCCCTAATATTGGAGTGGGAAGCGATTTGTGGGCCTCCCCCTAACGCGTCTCGATATCACCGCACCGCAAATTCTGCATGTCTGAAGCCTTTGACCACCGCCTCCCTGACAACGCCACTGTCACGTCCCACACCAGTCGGCTCATTTTTTCGACTCCCTTCCATGCACTCCTTTGTTTTTTCCTTTGTCTCAGGCCGCTTGTCTTGCATAATTTAGAGTTGTGCAGCAACAGCCGGGTAAAATGCCCAATTTAGCGACGTGCATTCAATCCCTGGCTGGTGCACTCTCTTCTATTTCAAAGGCCTCTCTTCCTTCCCTTCTTCTTTTTTTGAATTCGAAAATTTTCCTTTCACCCAACCACCCCCTACACACCCCAAAACTGTCTGTCTAGCACGACAACAACGCTCTCAACAGGACGCGAAATACATATTCGAAACATCGATTTGTTTGACGCGACTATCTCGTTGAGGATTACTGGTAATTAATTTTATCCGTGGTCTTATTTATTGAGCTCTTTTTTATCTTCTACACGCCACTGACTCCTTCGCTGGTAGCTTGGTGCGCACCAACCCGTCTAATTTTTGCTGACGTGTCTTTTTTTGAAACCCCCCATACCCATACCCTGAGCTTAACTGCCCCATTGGGACATTGACAAAGCTTATCTCAACATGGCCTGTCCTCTTACACCCCCCTATGTCTTCAACTCGGCATGTTCCGACGATGACAAGATCCAGCTGAAGCGACGAGGTGACTTTGCCGACAAGGTCTTCTTGAAGAAGTTCAAGGTTCTTCCTTCTGCTGACTCCTCCGAGTCCGAGTCCTGCTCCGAGACCGAAATCCGACCCGTCTCTCAGCGACAGCGGTCTGTTTCGGCCACCAAGCTGCGACGACGACGGTCCTTCGCTCCTAGCTCTGATGTCCAGGCTCGACAGCGATGCCTCGAGTATCTCGTGTCTGCTATCGACGAGGTCTGGGCTCGATTCTGCGCCTGCACCTCGTTTGCTGAGGATCAGCACTACGCTTACGACATGCCTAGCCCCAAGCAGGATGTCGACGAGGATGACGAGGAGATTGAAGACAGTGGAAAGCTGCAGGCTCTCAAGGAACGTCTGACCAAGGCCAAGTACTACCTTCAAGATCTTTCTGATGTGTCCGACATGGACGCTTCGGTGTCCTTCTGGAACCGATGGGATCTGGTCAAATACGCTGTTATCGAGTTCGTCGAAGACAATGGCGAAGAGGATGACGTTATCGAGGGAGTTTGCTCCGAGCTCGAGGAAGGTCGTCTGTGATCACCCAAAAACAAAATGAGAATAGCGAAAGCTGCAGCACGTGACTGTCTAAACACGCGGGAAACACCTACAAAAACACAAAAAAAAATTACAAAAGATTGCGCAAAGCAACAACAAATAACGGAAATTGGGGAATGATATGATATATAGGATACGGCGTTATGCATGGAAATAGAAATGGATTGATGTACTATGACTTTTGACTGTAGCAATGTTGTGAGACTTGTACTTGTAGATTCGATAGAACAGCATCGTATGGTGTTTCGTGTTCTTCGGCAGGTTACTGTTGTCATCATATATCGTAGGTAATGACGTCAAAATAATCACAGACGCTGCATGAGGGCGGCATAAGTTCGGAGATCTGACAACGGCCCAAGGTCAAAGTGTGATAAATTAATTAATGAAAAAAACATTAGGCGAACGCATGGAAATAGAACAGGTGTTTGGATGCATATAATTCGGCACGACATGGCGTATATCCAATACTCAGAGAGACAGAAAGACTTTAGAGAGAATATAGAAACTAGAAACTAGAGTGAACACAGAAAGACTTTAGACAGAACTCAGGGAAAGACGAAATGATATTATTGATGTATTATTATTCTTATTACATACTATTACACGTACAGGTAGCAGGACCATCATAGCAGACGAAGGCATAGCAGTCGAAGGCATAGCAGTCGATGGCAGCAGTCATCTCATCTCAGGAAAGCCTTCATTTCAGCAAAGCATGCATTCCCTTAGAGCCCGTACTGACCGTTCTCCCCTCCTCTGTTGTAGCATCCCTGTGCCTGTTGTCTCCCACTCTCCATTGCTCATGTTATCCACAACTCCTTAATAAATGGTTCGACCCTTCTCAAGGGCATCAGCGGTGGCCATTTTCTGGTTGAAGTCATCTGAGTGCCGAGTGACTCCCTCGTTGATCTCCACAACCTGCTTCTTGATCTTGTCCCAGTAATCCCAGAACTTTTGTGACGCCTTGTAGGTGTAGTTCTTGTAGGTGTACCGTCCCTTGGAGGGCTGGACAATGCCGCCGGTGTTGCTGAGAATTGTGAGGGTGTTTTTGAGCTCGTTCAGAGTGTTATCGGGTACGGCTCCGGGCTCCGTCTTCTTGTTGGACAGCTCGACCTCCTCGCTCTTGATGAGCTCCTTGAGCTTCTCCACGGCGTCCTCCAGGTACACGGTGCATCTTCTCTGGGCATCGACGTCGCTCAGCGGTACCAGACCCACGTTGTGCAGTCCCGCAGTGTAGAGATCCCCTAGAGCTTCCATTGTGTCTTGTTAGGAGTTTGTAATTGTGTAAGTAGTCGGTTGATCGAGTTTTAGGTGTCGTGTGTCGTGCACGTAGAACGGTGAACAGCGTCTCGTGTGTGAGTGTGTAAGGGCGGAAATGTGAAACTGCAGTAGAGTGAGAGTGAGTGTTCCTGAATCCTTGTTAGGAGATGCGCCGCAAGACCTATGTACACGCTCTCTCGATTGGGATTTTGAGTTAAAGTGGAAAGGTCAGCCAGCCTGCCTGATAATTTAATGGGGGCTGAGCATGGACAGAAGGTGTGAGTGAATACCGAGAGACTAGAGCTGATGCAAAACTATGCCAGCATGTGAAACTATTGAGACGGCCCCCTGGGGCGTTGAATCCGTCCATGGATCACTGTCAACGTCATATGTGTCGTATTTATGTCATTTTACGGTTATTCCGGCTCAGCATTTCCGGCCAGGTGCATCCCTGCCGTCCTCATACATACTGCAAATCCTGCGCTTTGAAAATAAAATACGAGCTCGGACTCCGGCAGAGATGCTCTTCGCCTTATAGTGCACGCAACTGGCTGGGAAATGAAATGGAGGCTGAGCACCCGAGTGTATCGGCAGTAGCGTTATGTTCGGCAACGGTCAAAACTTTTTTAGCTGTTCTGAGAATAATACGGGCTAGATATGCGAAGAAGCCACAGTGGGATGCTAAACAAGCCGGGAAGAGCTCCAAGAGGATCCACTAATCACTTCAATATCAATTCAGCCCCTGCTGACGGTGCTAAGACCCATGCCAAGCTTCATGTAGGTTCCGATAGGCTTGGATCAGAAATGTCCATGAACTATGCTTGAACTATCTTAGACTAAGTCATCTCCGGACTACCATCTTTAACAGCCTGTGCTAACGGGGGGGGGGGGGGGGGGGGGGGGTACAGAGGCAGTTCCGAGGAGCTGCTGATGCCGGGGTTTCTTTTTATTGGTTTTTGTCCGTGTACCGGTGTTTCTAGTTTCTCTACAACAGGTGGTGGAGTGTAAATATCGTACGTAGACAATGTCTGATGAGAATAGGAGCAACTCGTATGTGAGTGACGAGAAGATTGATTGTCACAAGCCACAGGTACATACTATACCAGCATTTCACTCAGTAAACCATCACGCACCTTTAACGACAGTGGGGTTGTTACTCACAAAGAGTTGACCTCTTCAAAAAGGAGATCACATGGCTTACTATGACAATGAAGTATGTACAGTATATACTGTTGCTTGTGTTACTTGTGCTCTTTACCCCCTCTCAACAACAAGCCCACGAGCCGCAATAGACGGGTCCCTCGGAACTTGCTCGCCGTCTTTGGTTTAACACATTGTCATTGTTTGACAATGAAGTGGGTCACATTATCCCTCAACCGAATCTAAATTGGGCTTGTCGGATAAGTGACACTACCTACAATGCAACTAGCTAGCATGTGTATCATACTTCATACTACAATAGGTTAGGAGCTTTGTGAATGAAACAAGGCTGCTACTTGTAGGGAGGCACATATCGCGAGATGGCACTAGCGAACGGGGAGGACGATCAGCTGCCAATAAACTGTCAAGTACATGTGATTGTCCTGTCAGGTATCGTCTGCGCATAATCCATGCATCCAAACTTCTTTTTTTTCAGGAAATGTCGGAGAGCAATGCAACAGAGGCATAGCTGGCAGGTATAACCAGATGTACGAATGTGACGTTACACGTAGGGGATATTATTAAAAAACGGCGCTTGTTTGTTTGGCCAGCTAACTGGATACGGTGGATTTGGCGCCGTTGCCATAACCACTGTCTGATACACACGACAAGAGCACTTAAGGTAACAATGTGCACTCGTGCGAGACAAATACAATGCCATTTTCAAGCCACGCCCAGAACGCATGTCGAATGAATCATCTTGCTGTTTTCCATGTTAGGTTGGTTGCTACAGTTGTTCCGAGAGGACGTCAGTGAGTGCGGTGATGGGTAGCAGCTACAGGTCTCCTTTGAGACTGTAGAACCAATACAATATGTAGAGCAGCCTCACAATAAGCCCCCTGGAAAAGTCCGACTCTCCTGTCATCCCTACAAGTATAGTTCTCTTCTATTGATTACTTTTGCACGTTGGTCGCGTCTTTAGCTCGGCTCACGTTCCATCGTCTCGATAACGATAGAGTTTGACCTCCAAGGTCACATATTTAGTGATGGCAGTCCGCTTCCTACCGTTACACAAAGCCCCTTTTGTTGTTTTATCATCAAGAGATTTTCTATTTATTTCCGCCCATGCTCCACCTACTGCCTCCGGAAGTTCTGGAAAATGTGCTCGGCAACCTGGAGACGCTAAATGATCTCCTAGCACTGTCCCACACCTGCCACTTTGCCAGATCAGTGGTGTTACACAACGACCAGCGATTCAAACCACATGTGCAGCATTTGTGTCAGTACATGACCCCAGTCTCGTCATGGCACTCCAGCTTGCTCAGGTTGCCACGCAACGCAAACAACCTCGGTACTCCAGTAGACGACACCTGGACCATGTCCCCAGCAGTGTTTGCAACAGAGCCGACCAAAGACCTGCTGAGACTCCCTCACGAAAGATTACAGACTCATTTCAACAGATCACCGCAACAAATCACCCATCTCTTTCATGATGTGAGACACAGATCATTGTATGGACCTATTCCAGACAGCCAAGACACGCTGTTTGAGCTTCGATCTGGCGTGGGACCGGTTACCCGAATCAACATGTCCACCATGTCCAGATCAAAGGCGCCTCCACACTCGTGTCTGCACCATCTTGATACAAAAGTCGCCATCATCGAAAAGTTCCCCCAGCTAAACAGACTCAACCACATGAACAAACGGGTGGTCACTGGCTCAAGACAACATCTGCGAAATGTGACTACTGAGGTTTTAGTAATCGATAATGACGGAGAAGCCGTGCCTCTGGCTACTTTCACAGACACCATTTCGTGCAGAGGAGAGCCTCATGGTTCTCTTTGTCTTTCTGTGGCGGTTTGTGGAACTTATGTTGCGTGCATTGTAGGCTACTCCCTGTTCCTGTTCACAAAGAGAGACGATCAGCTGTACTTGGCTGATTCGTATAAGTTGGACGCGCTTTACTCTCCCGTGTCTGATTCACACAACCAGGAGTGCCTGTTGTTACAGCGGAGTCGAAGCAGTGGCCCCGGACATGATATTCTGTTCAATATCAGCTCCAAGACGGTATCTGTGGTAGAGGGTGGTATCTATGCCATCAGCATAGATACGAATGTCTGGCGCTTTGACGACGCCTTTCTCCAGCAGTGTTCAGTGTCTCCACAAGAAGAGATGCACTGGACTTCGGCTGAGGTTATGTGTGGTTGAGCGGACGACGGAAGTGCCTTTTCTCCTTTACTTAGTACATACAGTAGCCACTTCTGCTGTCTGTAGTGATAGTGGCTTGGAATGTGGGATGTGACCCATGAGTATTTGGGAACGTCTGTTATGGGTTTTTCACCAGTTATAAGTGAAAATGCTATAACTACTTCGTACTATAAGTACGATTCAAGTACGGTACCCGTACGAGTACAGTATTTTACAGTTGTACCGTATGTACCGATACAACATAGACCATAGATTAATGGCATGCAATGAGACACAACACAAACTGTATCTACACAGCAGTAGTTTCAGATATTCGGATGGAGCGGAAAAGGCGGACTTATTGTGCCACTGACAGTACTCCGAAAAGCCACAGTTCGGCTATGGGAACCCAGCTCGGCTTGGTTGCAATCAAAATGCTTGTTAGCCGCATAAGTCTGACACATTGACTTTGTGGGACGCATGGATGATGAAATACGAGATGCTACTGTAAATTAAGGCTCGACTCCCTCTGTGCAAGATCGCCAACTGAGTACGGAGGACAGATTCGTAAGTGATCCGGTGGACCAAAACGACGCCCAAAAAGTGCAACTGCCCGTAAATGTTGCCGTACAGTCTATGGAGAGATGCAAGTCAGCTCCGTGGAGCTCCCATGCATGACTCAGAATGCTGCTGTCATGCTCCCCGCCATCACATCAAGTCACGTGTGCTTCAATTTAGGCGCAAGCCCAAAGATGGGACCAGATCTATTTAATCAAACCGCGTGGCGCCTGTCATCGACGATACAACGATGGAATCCCTACCTATTATCGACCTGGCTCTGGCCCAGGACCCTGCAACAAAGCCTCAGCTGCTAGAGGATCTCAAGAATGCTCTTTTCCGAATCGGCTTTCTCTACCTCGTGAATCATGGTGTGGAGAAGGAGGCTCGAGCTCTTCAGAAGTTCTCGCCCAAGGCTTTTACCGATCTGTCCCACCAGGAGAAGGAGAGCATTGCGATGCTCAACAACCCCCACTTCATTGGATACACAGCTCTCGGCAGTGAAACTACTGCTGCCAAAACAGATCAGCGAGAACAGTTTGACTTCGGATCATACGGCAAGGAGAGCTCCTGGAAGGAAGGTGACGAGCCCTACAAGCGGCTGGACGGACCCAATCGATTCCCAGAGGGCAAAACTGGTGAGGAAATGAAACAGGCAGTCACAGCATACCTCGACGCCATGAAGGAGATGAACTTCAAGTTTCTGCAGCTCGTGGCCGAGTGTCTCAATTTGCCCAAGAACTCGGTGACGGACTTCCTAGGCGAGATGGACCGTCTCAAGCTGATCAGATACCCTCCTGGAGATGGCCAGGGAGTCGGTCCCCATAAAGACTCGTCCGGCATGTTTACATATGTTCTGCAAGACCAGACAGGAGGCCTGCAGGTCCTCAACTCGGAGGGAAAGTGGATCGATGCCACTCCTATCCAGGACTCGCTCGTGTGCAACATTGCACAGGGATTTGAGGCTCTCACTGACGGACACTGTGGAGCTACCACTCACCAGGTACAGAGCCAGCCCAAGGAACGACACTCCATTGCATATTTTTGTGGAGTGCGTCTGGATCTCACTCGTGAGGCTGTCCAGGAGCAGTGTCGGTTCATCAAGGACAAGATCCCATCTCCTCAAGACGCCAGAAAGCGGGAGGTGGACGTGGCGTCCGAATTCATCAGCGAGAAGTACTCTTGCTTCGGAGAAGCCCATCTGCGGAACCGGATTGTGTCCCATAGAGATGTGGGGAAGAAGTGGTACCCGGACCTTTACGACAAGTACATTTCCGATTATTAAGGCAAGGGCTGGTTTGGCGGTTACTATCACCTGCTCTGAGTGACTTGTTGATCATGGAATGTGTCCCTCTGCTAATCTTTTAAAACTGCATAAACTCAGAGAGATTATATTTCTCGGACATAGTGTGCTCACTCCTCGGGCATTAAATTATTACTAGTACTTTTTATCCAATCTTTTGATTGTGTACGTGGATCTGTAGCTACAGCATGTACTTGTAGCTACATTTTCCTGAGCTTCTGGAAATGCGTGCATTTGGTGTATAGTGCTGTTTTTGATGCTCCTCTTCCCCACATTGTGTGCATTCTGATTCGCTTCAACCTTAGAACAAGAGTGAAGACCGTGTCGGGTAAATAATTGCACATTCGGCTGTGGGGAAAAAAACAAAATGTAAAGACTCTTAATATGAACACTCGAGTTGGTGGCATGTTCTAGACGGCATTGTTGGCTAAGGTACGACCGGGTCTAGCGCATTCACTTTCTTAGATTATTTAACACCATGCGCATTAATGGCAGGGTGCATGACAATGTTCCTACCAGCTCTTTAGGCTGTTGTAATTTATCAATGAAAAAAAGCGTTATGAGCAACAGGACGGGGTAGCTACTTGTACCTGAGCTCAGTAGTACAAGAAAAGATACGCACGTGCCAGAGCTGAAACATACCGGTATTTACGCTCTCGTCTGGTTCTTTCATACAGCAGAGTGGCTTGTTTGAGATAAAGGTCTCACTCACTTCTGCCTTTGGTATTATGTGTGCGGCTGCATCTGGGTGTCCTGACACCTTGATACCATACATGTCACATGTCCAGCTGTAAGGGAAAACCTGCCAAGACAGAGTATCGTGAGAAACTGCTGAGCGATATTATATATCAAATCTCGTACTGTAGAGAGAACCAACTTTGGCTACAAAAACTCTTCTTCCCACCTACAGTAGCAGCGCCGTACATTAGAGCCTTCTTCCGAATCTTATCACCATTAACGGCTACTGTACAGTAACTCCCTCTCTTTCGCACCTTGTAAAAATATCTTAACTTCTCCCAACAACGGTACAAGTAGATGGAACTCACACATGTCGGACTTCAAAAGTGACCTGAAACGAGGACAGAGCCGCAAAAAGCGAGAGACCCTGTCGTGCAACCCCTGCCGCAAGCGGAAACGAAAGTGCGACCATGGAACCCCCTGCTCCAACTGCGTCAAGCTCAACATTGAAGCCACCTGCGAATACGGCAGTAACTCTCGATGGGAGGAGAGCAAGGATAAGGAGGTCAAGTCGCCGGCCTTTATCACCCAAACAAGCCTTGACTTTCTCTCAAATGCCTCCTCTGTCTCGGAGATCATCCACCTGTTTGAAAAACACCTGCCGATCCAAACAGCGCCAAACAACAATCCCCTCAGCATCTTTTCCTACAAAACAGAAGAGTACGAGAGCGCCATTGCCAACGAGCCGCTCCCGAAGAACATAAGCGACATTCTGATCGAGAACTATAGGAATTTGGTGGACCCCTTCTTCCCCATTATTGACTGGAAGGAGTTCGAAGAACATTATGAAAACCTATACCCCGGGCAGGCTGGTCCTACACCGCCATCACCGCCACAACCACCGTCCTTCCTGGCTCTGATATACACAGTCTACGCCCTGAGTTGCAAGTCCTGCGCTTTCGACTCGCTGCTACATACCTTGCATGCTTCAGCCGTCATCCACTTTTCTGATCGCGCCGAGCAATACCTCAACAGAATACCCTTGTTAGTGACCTCGTCGATCGACGACTTCCGAGCAGCACTGCTCTACATTTACAGTTCATTCTCTGGCGACTGTCTTATGGTGGGATGGTCTCTGTGTGGTCTGTTGGTAACAATGAGCCAACGGATTCTGCCTCCCTTTACAGCCTCCAGCGACGTGAAGGAAGCTGCAAACCACCTCATTTCGGTTTCTGGCACTTTTTTCGACGCCTGCCAAGCATTTGTAGGCCACAAATCTGGGTTAGAATACCCCCAATTGCCTTTCAGCTCATACCCGTTTCTACACACTACCCAGAAGCTCTACATGTTCACCCGTGGACTGCAGAACAGCCATGATTCTTCAGATCCTGCTGAACTCCTGCGAATCGACCAGATAATCAATACTCTTCCCCAGGGAGATCCTATGGAGTTCATGAAGAAACTGGCACTGACAACACAATGGCACAAGGCCAATCTTTTGCTTTTCCGATGTGGCAAGATCGACCGACTCTCTGGACTCATGTCACTTCTGAAGCTACTGGAGAACCAATTCTATCTCTACTCTGCTCCTCCACAGATCCAACAATACATTCTGTTTCACTGGAACAACATTTACTACCATGTGTTCACGGGAGTGATTGTTTTGGCTCTAGAACTGGAGGCAACTGATCCTCTGCCTCCGCTGGATCCATCTGTATTCCCCAACCTCTCCAAGCTCAACCTGGAAGAGGACAAGAACTGGAAGTCCACTCTGTTGGCTGTCTTGCGTGATCAGTACTTTGATCTCAGAGTCAATTCTGAGTGTGCTAGTGCACGTGCTCACATGATAACTTCGGCATTTCTGGCCCAAGACACACATATGGAGTGTCCACGACCGTTTGGACCTTTCCATAAGATGCTGTGCCTGCCATCAGGATTTTACATCTGTCGGTTTGACCGGTCGTACTTTCAGTGTGGCTACGGAATGGAGCTGGACCGTCAGATTGGTCGTGCGTTATACGACTCCAAGGAGAGTTCCAAGGTGTTTCTATAGCTTCTTCCCAGAGATGAGAAGACATCTGTATTTATTGCATTTTTCAATGCCAGTGTCTGAACTGTAGTTCAAGTAAGTTACTAAGTAATACTAAGTAATACGCGAAGATAAACGCATGCAAAACCTACAACAAGCAGGCCATTAGCCATCACGAAAGATTATAAGAAGCTGTTTGCCTTTCAATATCAACCTCCCCCCAGTTAATCCCACTTAGTGACAACCCCTTTCACCATAACATAAAGCTACTTGTAGTTATGTTCGACAGTGGATATCTCCAAATCCACCTCCGCAAATAAAGTTCAAGGTGCATGCACAACAGAAAAAATTGGAAACCATCTGCAAGATTTCAATATCACCACCACCACACAAGCAAATCAACAATGTCCGCCCCCTTGAACCGGTTGACGATTGCTAAGGAGGTCAAAAAGGGCTCCGACTTGACGCCCGAGCAAAAATTCTGGAAAACCTACCGTTCGCCTCTGCTCGTCAAAGAGTACAATGCCATCTCTCACGTTTCCTTCAACCATCACAATGACTTTGCCGTCACCTCGTCTACTCGAATCCAGATCTTCTCTGGAAAGACCCGAAAAGTCACCAAGACTATCTCTCGTTTCAAGGATACTGTATACTGCGGCGAGTTCCGGTCTGATGGTAAGCTGATTGTGGCCGGTGATGCTACAGGTCTGGTTCAGATCTTCGATGCCGTGTCGAGAAACATTCTGGTGACTCTGCAGGCGTCCCAACTGGCCACTCATGTGACTAAGTTCCACCCCACAAACCTCACCACTCTCCTCACAGCCTCCGACGACCGAAGCGTCAAGCTCTACGATATCACCAGCTCCACTCCTCTGATCGAGTTTGAGGGCGCTCAGGATTACGTTCGATGTGGAGAGTTTGTCGATGCCAACGTTGTCGCTGCTGGTTCGTACGACGGAACTGTTCGACTCTACGACGCCCGATCCGGAAAGACCCCCATCTCTTCTCTGGCTCAGGATCACCCGGTTGAGGATGTCCTCTACCACAACGGAATGGTGTTGTCTGCCGGAGGTCCCATTGTCAAGGCCTGGGACATGACCACCGGAAAGACCATCCGACAAATGGGCAACTTCAGCAAGACCGTTACTTGCCTGGCCCCTACTCACGGTGCTTCTGGATTCTTCGCTGGCTCCCTAGACGGCCATGTCAAGGTCTTTGATGATACCTCATTCAAGGTTACCTACGGCTGGAAGTACGGCTCCGGAGTGCTCTGTACTGGTATGTCTCTAGACTCCCAGCATATTGTGGCCGGTCTGGTTTCCGGTATTGTCGCTGTTCGAACCCAGCAGCCCAAGAAGGACGAGAAGATCAGCAACGGACGGGTTCTGGACCAGAAGGCTGCTGTTGAGGAGGAGAAGAAGAAGAAGGCAGAGGGACCCGTGCTTGGAGGAACCAAGTACGAGGGTCAGTTTGAGCATGTCATTGTCGAGGAGCACGAGCGGCCCAACAAGAAGCTGCTGAAGCGATATGAAAACCTGCTTCTCGGATTCCGATGGGGTGATGCTCTCGATGCTGCACTGTCTGGAGAGCATCTGGAGACCTCTGTTCTGGCTCTGGAAGAGCTCAAGAAGCGAGGTAAGGTGCGAGCTGCACTGCTGAACCGAGATGAGGACTCTCTGGAGCCTCTCTTTGAGTTCGCTACCAAGGCCATTGCTGACTCGCGATACATCAACATTGTTGCTGACTACGTTGCAGTCGTGCTGGACATGTACACTAGTGTGATTACCAAGAGCCCGATACTCGAAGAGCGGGTGTCTGAGTTCTACGACGCTCTCAAGTCCGAGGTCGAGACTGCTAAGGAGAGCAAGAAGATCCAGGGTATGTTGGAGCTCCTCAGTGTTTAGAGAGAGCAAAAGGATGGATGCATTTGTTGAATAGATATTAGATAATGATTGGGAAAATGGTACTTGTAGTTATATCGCTGCTTGTAGACTAGTATGTAAGTAGTTGTACATGGCAGCTAGTCAAAAAACACTGTATATGTTATATCTCTAAATGCGTTCGTATGCTTATGTTAAATGCTAGGGCGATCACTTCTTAAACCTCGAGGCCCACTGCTTCTGTCCCATATTGACCTTGAATCCCGTGTTGAGTCTGTTGGTGGTGGAGAAGTTGTCGTTATCCACCTTGGCCTTCTTGTGCTGTTCAGACTCGACTCGCACAATAGCCTTTTTAGTGGTTCGCTTCTGCGTCTGATGCTTGCGTTTCTTGATACCACCTTCTTTGTAGATAGGAGCACTGAGAGCAGTCTCTCCTTCAAGAGCAGTTTCATGAACCCAATCTAAATCGTCCTGCACAGGTTCATCATAAGGATTATGGACCTCCACAGTTCCCATGATCTCGTCCAGCTCATCAGGTTCCTCCCCGTCGAATGTAACATCAACGATCTTAGGCTCTTTGGGCTTAGGAGGCAGTCCTTCAAGTTCACGCCAAGCGTCTTCATCGTCATCATACTCTTCAGTCTGGTTAGCTGGTGACAACTCCTTCTCAGGAGACATTTGTTTGATAGGACTCTCGACTACAGACTGCCTGATTCTCTCGGCGAAAGAGAGCCGTTTTTCGAATGGAGAAACATCAACAGAAATGCGGTTGAGATATGCAGGTGTGGTGAACTCGTCGTTGACATCCAATGCTGGTTTGTTGGTCGGCGTCTCGGAGGTGATGGAAACAACCTTCACTGGGGTAGAAACGTTACCGGGGGTGGCAAATTCCTTCACGGGTGTGCCATCAAGTCCTTCCAGCAAACTTACTACTCTTCCATGAATGCTAGGTGTAGGTCCTAACGGCACGCTCGGGGATGGTTTGGGTGTCGCAGCTTTAGGAGTATCCTGTAGCTGTTTCTGAGGTGTTCTGGACAGTGCTGGGGCCTTAGAGAAGGTCAATGACCGGTGCGAGGGTGTGACAATGTCGGCATGCTGCTGTTTGGAAACAGATCTTCGTCTGTTCTTGGAAATCTGTTTTTCTGGAGTCTTGACTGAAAACGACACAGGTTTGTAGTTCAACGACGAGTGTAATTTGGAAGCCCGTTTAGGGGTGGAAGGACCGGTGCCAGCACTTTCAGCCTTTTTGAACTTATTGTAAAGATGGTACTTTTTCGCTGTGTTAATTGTTGCACGAAGAGCAGTGCCACCCCCTTCTCTGATACTCACCAATAGGGTCCGCCTTGACCTCTTTAGGCGTAGGCTTGCGGCCGTGTTTATCAGCGTATGCTCTTTCCCATGCCTTGATCTCTGATCGGAGTGTCTGAATGTCCATTGTGCCCAGCTACACCGTCTGTAGCAGTGTGGAGTGTGTTTTGTAGTGTGCAGAACGCGTTGCTCGTGTGTAATATTAATTTAGACGCGCGTCGTCACGCATGAAGATTGGAAAAAGTTGGAGGTAGTGAGGTGAATGCGTACTCGTAGACATCATGAGCCATGTCACAGGACTGGCAATTTTGAGAGAGGATCTCTCATGACAACCCACAGCTGAGACAGGTCTCCAAACTGCTAGCATCATTATCTACAATGACTATTAGAGGAACTCTATCTTTGCCAAGTATATCAAGTACTGGTATGAGTATATTGAGGGCTGGTCTTTACAGGTTATGAGAATTAATTGTGTGTGCGGTAATATTTACACCTAAAAGAAGTACACGATAGTTTAATTTAAGTGATTCACAGCTTCCAACACTTGCGAGCAACTTCGTAGAAATACTTGTACTTGTAGTGTGTGAGTCTTTCCTGAGTCCCCGCCTCCTCGTGTGAGCTGTAACTATCATACCCTAACCCTACACACTCAGTTTGCAGGTGGTCAAAATCTGATTCACTCAGAACGCAGACACCATGATTCGAGTGTTTTTGCGCCAGGGACGTGTATTGCGACCTTCAACGCTCCAGTATCGACTGAGACATTTCAGTGACGACAAAAAACCGACTCAAGGGCTTGATTTTAGAGCGCTGAACAATGAAATCGGAGGTGAGCGACAAGACAAAAGCTCTGTTGAGAACGACAACACGCCTGTGAGCCAAGCTATCAACGGGGACATTATTGGAGCCTCTTCTACAAGCTCCGAAACCCCTTCCAAGCCGTGGTATCTGCGAGATCAACCGGAAGTAAAGGAGGAGCCTGTCAACATTGACCTGGGTCTGCCAGATGGAGCTATGAATGATATCGCCAAGCAGCTTGCACGTGATGCCATTTATGACATCAAGTACATTCCCGAGCAGGATATTCTCATTGGGTCCGGCAAGTCCAGTCGACACATCTACAAGGCTGGACGGGAAGTTATGGGAGTGCTGAAACACCAGCATGATGTTCTTCCAACTGCTGAGGGACTGTTCAAGAAGAATGCACAGAGAATGTCTTACCGACGAATGCTAAAGAAGGCCCGAAAGCAGAATCTCGAGTTCCCCGACTCGGAATGGGTCGTGATCGACTCCCAGATGGGCTTCCATGTACATATTTTCACTGCCGAGAAACGCGAGCTTGTCAACCTGGAGGATCTTTACAAGTTTGAGATGGATGAAGAGGAGGTTGAAATTTCGCCAGAGGACTTTGCTTGGGCCGAAAAAGGTCAGAAGAACGTCATTGATGGAGATGAATTCTTATCTGGACAGCACAACTCTGATCCTTTCCTCAGGAGCGATTCGATCACCGGCTTGCCCAAGAAGCCCTCTAACAACCCCTTTGACGGTGGTATTGGAAGTGGCCAGAGAAGAAGTCTCCATACCTCAGCACCAGCTGCAACCACCCTTGCAGTAGACTTTGATGGCGGATCTGCAGCAGCCAAGGACGACGAGTCCAAGTCCCACCCCTCCATCATCCCTCTCTTCATGTACCAAAAGTGGGCCACTCAGGGTGACAAGGATCAGGTTCTGGCAAAGTACGACGACCTTCAACCGCATGCAAACCGTAAGGAGATTGTTCTTTCTGCCATCACCAACTTTCTGAAACTTCCCACAACGGGCTTCAACGACGTTCCGCAAGCTGTAGAGGAGCTTTTTGAGGTCTTCTCCCCTTCGGATGCATCCAACCCCGAATGGAAAGAGGCCTTCAAGGCTCTGGTTAACGCCTACGCTCTGAACCACAAGTGCGTCCCTACACAAGCTCTCGTCGACTACCTTGTTGCCCAGCAGGCCTCTGGAGCCGCCGTGGTCAACTGGCAAGTCTCCGAGATCGTCAGAGCCACCATCGACTCCACACAATACGAGCAGGTTGGCGTGACTTCTCTCAAGGAGTGGCAGCGAGTTGTGGATGCCAAAATTCAAATCATCAAACAGCTGATCGAGAGCTTTGGACTCGTGGCTCCTGTGAGATTGCTTGCTAACGACAGATTCATCCGACGTGTGGCTCGGTCTCTTACCCAAAGAACCTCTGCATCTTTCGGTCTGGACCTTGTTGCCAAGCCCGAAACCACAAAGCATCCCCTCGATCTGCGTCTCAAGCTATTGGAAGAGAGTCTTCCCATCAAGATGCTCAACAGAAAGACTCTGTTTGTCTTTTTCGCAGCCTACGCAAACTCGTACGCCTGGAACCCTTTTTTCAAGCTCCTGAAGCGATGTCACAAGGAAACCAAGACTGATAACGCCCACGTTCAGACGATCATATCGCTGGTTCTCAACTCTCGAGACGAGACTGCCTACTACCGACTGATGGAGTCCGAACTCGGTCTTCTCTGCGATGCTCAGGGAGAGTTGCCTCTCGACAAGGACATTGCTGTGAAGCTCGAAAAGTTGATGGACAACATTGATCCCGAAGGTCGTCGATTCCAGCAGTTGCGGCACAAGACCAACACGCAGCTTTACTCATGAGTAATGATTTCTCGAATGGTATATAAATAATGACAGTTACGGAGTTTATGCGAAGTCCCGGTACAGTAGGTTACTCGTACTTGTAGTTACAGAATGTATTGTATTAGTTGTGTGAGAACAGTCTGCAGATAGGAGAAAAGACATAGGAGAAATAGAAGTAGAAGTAATGTCACGTGACTTCCAATCACATATACGGACATAGCAGATGCGACATCGCTAAGGTGTTCATGTCACATGAAACCGTACCACTACAGACTTGCCCTCTCATCTACTTGTACTTCCACCTGCTTGCACAATGGAAGCTTAGATTAGCTCAGGTTTTTGCTGTTTTCGGCCAATTCAACCCAAAAAGGAAAGTGGAAGTCTGCAACTGAGCCAGGTATACAGCACCGAGAGGGCGTCAAGACTAAAGATAAATAACCGACCCAGAAGGTGTTCCGAGTCTTCCCCCTCTGTCTCCAATCTTCGCCTGTTCCTGCGTGGCTGCATTTATGCATTCTTTTTCACAGTCCAAACAATCTCCACCCTCAACTCTAAGTTTAGGCTTTGCATTGTTGACCAAGGACGGCTGAAACATAATTCTCGTTCCTGAAAATACAGTCGGCCACCACCTCCATCTGTACCAGTCCCACGGTGCCCACGCGCGCAGAGAATCATGTCCGCCCAGACCGAACGCCGAATTATTGGTGATGGTGAGTAAACGACTCGCGAGACAGAGGAGCGGCTATACAGAAGGATCGTGTAACAGAGGATGCTACCTTGACACTACCATATCGACAATATCAGAAAGTGTTTCAACGACTGGCTCAACCTCTCAACTCCACCTAACACAGACTACAACCACGCCACGGATGGCGAGTACAAGAAGCTCCGTGACATGGCTCACAAGGAGTACGAGCGACGAAAGGAGCTGTCACAGAAGAGTCAGCAGGCCTACAAGAGCGGAGACGGCGCTGGAGCCAAGCAGCTGAGTGAGGAGGCAAAGAAGCACGGTGAAAAGATGGACCAATACAACCGACAGGCTGCCGAGTACGTTTTCCGAGAAAACAACACAGACTCCGCCCACGACGAGATCGATCTCCACGGTCTGTATGTGGAAGAAGCCGAGGAGTTTCTGGGACAGAGAATCCAGGCAGCCATGCAGAGAGGTGATCCTGTTGTCAAGGCCATTGTAGGAAAGGGTCTTCATTCTTCTGGAGGAGTGGCTAAGATTAAGCCTGCCGTTGAGAAGCTGTGCAACGAGCACCGACTGCGTCATCACATCGACCCCAAGAACGCGGGAGTCATGATAATTGAGCTGCCCAATGGACCCCAGCAGCCTGGACAAGTGTACCAGCAGCCCGGACCTCAGCAGCAGCCTCATTACCAGCAGCAGCAGCACCAGGGCAACTACCAGGGCAACCAGTACCACCAGCAGCAGCAGCAGGGCCAGGGAAAGAACGACAACCTTCTTGTCAACATTCTTTGTTTCTGTATTAACAAGTTTTTGAAGTAGAAGGGATGATAAGGGGAAACCGGACATTTGGAGGATAGGATCATAGAATAATGCAATTGTGTAACATATAATCATATCATGAGTACATTTTCCTTTGCTTGAGAATTGAAATAATATCAGTAGGCCTTGGATCTCTAGGGAATGGACATTTTCAAGTCTTACAACATACACTCATAACCTGTTTTTTATCGCGTTTTTCAGATAGTAGATGCCACGTTCATAAAAAACCTAAATAGGCGCCATCATAGTATAGTGGTTAGTACACCACGTTGTGGCCGTGGAAACCTCAGTTCGATTCTGGGTGATGGCATTATTTTTTGTTTGTGTGGACTTGAACTTGGTACAATATTATCCATTGGGCCAAGTTGTTTTTGAGACCAACCGCTTGAACTCCTAATTATCCACATTTTTGACTATGTACACTTCTATTTTAACATTATACAGTTAGTTCTTTTTATAAGCCCGCGGCTCCGTTTATCCTACTCTGTATCAGTTGTCTATTCATCAAAGTTCTTCTCAAGGAACTCAATGAACAGCGGAATGATTCTGTCATCGCCGAGTGCTCTCATCTTATTGAGAGTCACAAACTGACGCCTCATACGTTGCAGTTCAGGAAGACTGACAGCATCTATAGGCAGCTGAAGACTGTGATTACCACCATCTAGCTTCACGAGACCTCCAACATTGTCTCTTTGGATATCAAGGATCTCGCTGACAATGGTCTGGGTCTTCTTATCAAGCTCATAGAGGTAGTCAGTAGACGTGGCAGGCTTTAGCACAGTTGCCTGGTTGGGTTTTAGAACCTTTCGGTGAACCAAAGCATTCCACATTTCCTCACCAGAGATGTCTTTGTCAATATGAGGAATGGTAAAGAGAGGAGAATCCCACTTGTTCGCTCCATTCGGCTCTTCATATCTGAATACTAGGGCGTCAAAGAGATCGTCCTCCCACTTGTTGGGGTGAATTGAATTGTATTCCTTGCAAACATCAACGGGAGCACCCACATGTGCCACTCCATAGTTGGTAGCCACGGCCTTTGCTTCACACCACAGCTGGTATCTGAATCCTTTGATATATGTCATGTTGTCGAGAATGACGATGGTGTTTTTGGAAACCAACCGTTTAACAGCAGATATTTGCTCGCCACGGGTCATTTTTTCAGTCCGGCTCTCCTTGTACGAGTCTTTGCTCAGTCCCAGAGACTCATCATTGATCACCTCCACTGTCAGATTCGACCCTGTCTCCTGGATCTTCTTCTCGAAGTAGTCCTTTATTTGCATGGCTCGGGTTGTCTTACCCGCGGAAGGGTATCCTGTGATCAAGAGAAGAGGCATGTCGCAAGTTGACGTGTGTGATAATTGTGTGGAGAAGTGTGTGTGAGAGAAGATGCTCTTGAGCATTTGATTTTTTAGAGTTCCTTTCCACTGATTGATGTGAAATGGGGAGGCGTTATATTGGGCCTAGTAATCGATGATTTGAGTCAAATTTCGAGTTAAGAAACTAAAGCAGAAAACAAATACTACTTTAATATTGTCTTCTTTCTTTCAAAATCTCTATAAAATCTGTTATGTGCACATTTTGTCATCTCTCCGATATACTGTACAAGCTCTTCGCCAACTTTAATGAATTTTATGTGCATCTGATGCAGACTTTCAAGCATCGGTGTACGCCACTACCACATTACACATATCACCATGAGGGAATACCAAGTCAATATGGCTGCGAGTATTTGCCGTTGCGGCGCGGAATTACTCACCAGAAGAGGCATCCGAATGCTATCTACCTCGACAGTGGCTACACAGAGCAGATCAGGAAGCCCAACAGACACCCAAAAGCGACCAAACAAGATATCGCAAGAGAAACAGGACAAACCCAAGTCGCTATTTGTCCCTAGAACATCTTTCGACCCAGTTCAAGTTTCAACTTCAAACTTTACACATTTCCACAAAGAGTTCCTCAAGAAGGGCATGTCCATGCATCCTCATCTCACTCTGGAGTTGAGAGACGCTAGGGCACCACTGAGCACAGGAAACGTGCTCCTTTCCAACTCGTTTTCGTCAGCAATTGGATCAAACAGACTCTATCTGTATTCCAAGAGTGACGCCTCCCTTCTGGATGATGAGACTCTCAAACAATGGCACCCTCAGGGCAATTATCTCCAGATTGATTGCCGATCTAGACAAGCAGCAGTCAAAATCATGAAGTACGCAGCCACAGTGTTCCAGAAAATCGACCCTCCACCGCCAGTGGGGTTCAATATGTTGATTTGTGGCATGCCTAATGTGGGAAAGAGTACTCTGGTGAACACTATGAGACGGTTGGTGGTAGAAAAGACAAATGATTGGAAGATGCAGGGGAAGAAGCGATCTGTGGCCCCCGTTGGACAGCAGGCGGGCGTCACCAGAGCTCTGTCTAACCGAATCAAGGTATGCGACAGCCCTAACATCTTTGTGTTTGATTCCCCAGGTCTGTTCATGCCAAGTATTGCCAACAGTGAGACTATGATCAAGCTCGCCCTTCTCAAGTGCATCAAGGAGAGTCTTGTTGATCCTATCGTTCAGGCTGACTACCTCTTGTACGCACTCAACAGAGATGATCCCAAGAGTTACCGTGATCTGTGTCCTCCCACCAACGATATCAACGATATTCTTGTTGCACTGCGGCGCAAGTGGCGGTCAACTCCTAACCAGGACGCTGGAACTGCTCTGCGGTGGATCAACGAGTGGGTCAGCGGAAAAAAAGGTAAGGTCATGCTCGACGCAGCTACTCCTGAGGCGTTTGACACGTACAATCAGAAGGAAAGTGAACGAATGCGAGCGTGGATGGTCAAGTTCCAACAACGAGGCAAGGAGAAGGGTGGAAACCGAGCCAGTAAAATCTTCCGCGCATAAAGGTCCTACAGACTACTTAAAACCAAAGTGTATATAGTACCATAAGTAATTATTATTTGTATATATATTAACATGGATGCTTGGGTGTGCTTTTCCGACACTGTATAAATATGGGGTGGGTTGACTGTGTTGAGACGCGTAATAGCTTTAGTTACTCCTCATACTCAGACTCCATCATCTTTTCCTCTGCCTGGCCAGCCTGAAACGTCTCATTTTCGAAAGCGGCATGTGCTGACATGAATCTCGTGGTTAGCATTGGCTTGTGGGCTCCTTCATATGTCTCAAATACTCACATTGACGCGTGAAGAATGCCGAGTTCTCTGATGTGCAATGCTTGTTCTGTGGTCCGTTCCATGAGGTTGCTCATGTCAACCAGATTAGCCTCAAGCTGCGCGAGCTGCGACTTGAGCTGGGTCATTTGACGGTCTCTTGTTGTCATGGCTGAAGTTGTGTGCGAGGCGTGTTTGAAGGCGAGTCTCAGAATGTTTAAAACGGTGTTTAGATGAACGTTCATGCATGAATGCTGCATAGTGGAGGCCATACGAACAGAGAGAGTAGTTGAGGTGATCTGTCACCAAATCCTGTCAAATGGTAATCACGGGCCGAAAATTATAAAGTGTACCGGACTAGAAACTCCCTCAACCACTCCCGTGACCTCAACCATACCAATAGATCCTCGTTCAACGTACCTTATCGAACTGTAATCAAGGGTAAGGGTAACATAACTACAGCAACAATGCGTGGCAAATGTGTGGGGATCCTTGTCAACCGTCTAAACCGTCTTCGACATTTCACAATCATCTCTAGCAGCTCTTGTCACACTCTTCGAAAGACAAAGCTGATCTAGGGACATTCAAACATAAAGTGCTTTCCAACTTCCATCCCAAAATGAGCCTCCAGCAGTTGGGCTATACTCCTCGAGGCAACAAGACGTTCCAGACCCAGGCAGAGGTCAATGAATACCTTGACAACCACGCCGCTTCTTCTCTGGTAAAGATTGAGGGTCTCGACGGTCTGTACATTGTCGATGACAACAATACTGTCCATGGCTCTCTTGGACTCAACCTGGCCAAAGAGTATGCTGGAGCCAAGTTTGAGCTCAAGTCCAGTCCTATCATTGAGAAGTCTTCCGATCTCGGGCTTGATACTCCTCTTGATTAGGGGATTGTGTGGTGCCACAGCTAACTATATGACGACTAGCGAAGCATACTACAGTATGTACACCTACGATCAATGGTGATTTGAGTCCTACACAACTGAGTAGGACACTTGTACGTTTTATATAGATTCGAATCTCAATATTTTGAATTGGACTGTTATTCACTAATAGGCGAGTTTTGTTCGTAATGCTATGAGTACTGTAGTGCTGCATGTACATTGCCACCATACAACACATGTTATGAGCAGATAAGGTTACAGTTTTACAGTTCGAAATTTTTCTCGATATTGCATGAAAGGCGTAAAAAATTGGAACACACTCCTAATTGCACAATCATGGGTCTGACCAAGAAGGAAAAAGTCGAAAAGAAAGCCCGAAGCGTGGTGAAGGGCAAGGCCGATAAGAAGGCCAAGGTCGAGAAGCCCTCGTCCAAGCCCGCCAAGTCCGCCAAGCCCTCCAAGTCCAAGGACGAGGTTGATGAGCTCGATGATGAGTTCGATGAGGTTGAGGGTCTCCTTGAGAAGGGAGACGTTGAGGAGGAAGACGAGGAGGAGACCAACGGAAATGAGGACTCCGAGATGAGCGATGACGATGAAAAGGACGTCGAAATCGAGGAGGAAGATGACGGAGAGGGCTCTGATCTCGAGGAAGAGGAGTCCACTGCCGTTGTCACTACTGCGCCCGCTGACGCTGAGGTTGTCCACATTGCCTCAGACGCCGAGCGAAAGCCATTCAGCACAATTCCTCTGTCTGAGAACACCATGCAGAGTCTGAAGGACATGGGATTTGAGACCATGACTCCAGTCCAGGAGAAGACCATCCCTCCTCTGCTTGCTGGCCGAGATGTTTTGGGAGCTGCCAAGACCGGATCCGGTAAGACTCTGGCATTCCTGATTCCCGCCATCGAGATGCTGCGGAAACTCAAGTTCAAGCCTCGAAACGGTACTGGTGTGATTGTGGTGTCTCCCACCCGAGAGCTGGCCCTCCAGATCTACGGAGTGGCTCGAGATCTCATGGCTAACCACTCCCAGACCCTTGGCATTGTGATTGGTGGAAATAACCGACGACAGGAGGAAGAGAAGCTCAACAAGGGAGTCAACCTGCTGGTGTGTACCCCCGGTCGACTTCTCGATCATCTGCAGAACTCCCAGGGCTTTGTCTTCAAGAACCTCAAGGCTCTTATTATCGATGAGGCCGACCGAATTCTCGAGATCGGTTTCGAGCAAGAAATGAAGGAGATTATCAAGATTCTCCCCAAGGAGCGACAGTCCATGCTCTTCTCAGCCACACAGACCACCAAGGTCGAGGATCTGGCCCGAATTTCGCTCAAGAAGGGTCCCCTCTACCTTAACGTCGACGAACACAACGTCAGCTCCACCGCCGAGGGTCTCGAGCAGGGCTACGTTGTGTGCGATTCTGACAAGCGGTTCCTGCTGCTGTTCTCCTTCCTGAAGCGAAACGCAGGCAAGAAGATCATTGTCTTCCTTTCGTCTTGTAACTCGGTCAAGTTCTACGGAGAGCTGCTCAACTACATCGATCTGCCCGTTCTCGATCTGCACGGCAAGCAGAAGCAGCAGAAACGAACCAACACTTTCTTCGAGTTCATTAACGCCAAGCAGGGAGTTCTAATCTGCACTGATGTGGCTGCACGAGGTCTGGATATTCCCAAGGTTGACTGGATTATCCAGTTCGATCCTCCGGATGATCCCCGAGACTACATTCACCGAGTCGGACGAACTGCCCGAGGTTCTGCCTCCGGAAAGTCCATCATGTTCCTGACCCCCTCCGAGCTTGGCTTCCTGCGATACCTCAAGGCTGCCAAGGTGCCTCTCAACGAGTACGAGTTCCCCAACAAGAAGATTGCCAACGTGCAGAGCCAGCTGGAGAAGCTCATCTCGTCCAACTACTGGCTCAACACCTCTGCCAAGGACGGATATCGAGCCTATCTGCAAGCATACGCCTCGCACCACCTCAAGACCGTCTACCAGATCGACAAGCTCGATCTGGTCAAGGTGGCCAAGTCCTTCGGTTTCAATGTGCCTCCCAAGGTGAACATTTCCATTGGAGCTTCCGGTAAGGGCGCCAAGAGCATCAAGGGTAAGGACAACCACAAGAAGAGAGGTGGACCCGGCGGAAAGAAGTTCACACGGTAGATTGCATAATAGATAGTGGATAAGGAAAGTAATAAAACGACATTAGAACGAATTATGAGTGGTGCATGGCAATAGAAGTATATCTGTACAATTCAAATACGCTTAGCTGAGAATTACTTGTCAGTACTGGTTCCAGTATTTGTAAGGAGTACCTGTACATTAGTATGTATACATACTTAGATATACCAATGCATTGATGTTAGTGTTTAATATGAGATCTCAAATGTTCGGTTGGCCAGCCCGATGATGCGTGTAGCCGTATTATGCGATTATAATTGTCCTTCAAGGTCCTAAACCGCTGCCATTTCCCGTCCGTCACCCTCCAGCCACCTGGCTGGAATGCGCTCAAGGAACTTCTGTCCGTAAGCATTGGAAAAGTAGTCTTCTGCAGCAGGTACGACTGGAAAGGGAAGGAACCAAATGAGTGGGTTGGTTCCAAAAACCTGTCTCCAGTTCTTTGCAAAGCCTTGGTCGAACGGCAGCGGGTCCTCTTCTCGCAGAGGTTGGATGATTCTCTTGCCTTCATATCTGAAGTTGACTAGAACCATGTCTCCCTGTTTTCTTCCGAGACCCTCCATGGCGGTAAGGTTCCGACACACTCCCCAGAAGCTCTGGAGACACACAGAGGTGCAGAATGCGGCCCAGGCACCTGTGAGAATCAGAAGAGCTATGATGTTTCCGTTAGGAATAGAGTCAGGCGCGCCCCTGTCGCGTCTGTATTGGCCCATTCTAGGGGTGAAAACAGCTGTCGTCACCAATGTGTAGATCAAGTATGTCGAGAACAAGGTCGTGTACTGTAGGAAGATCTTGTAGTTGTGTTGTCCGATCACTGTGCCCACCCAGAAACACATGTGGTCCATCTTGGGGACACAGTGTCCCACAATAGCCGAGTGGTGTGTTCGGTCCGGTTTGTGTGTCTGGCATTCTGAGCACCATTTGGGCATTCCCCAACCATCGCAGATGTAAGTATCTGGCAGCTTGGGGTTGATCTGCCTTGATACTATAGCCTGAGCCTTTTCGTCCACCACTTCTGATCCTGGAATGAAAATTTGCAAAGGTGACACTCCAGTCACCTTTCCAGGGCCAACAATGACGACGGCGGCCCAGTAGATGAAAACCAGTGTCTTGAGAATGCAATAGACAATCAGGAGAGCCAGCCCTGCCCGGTAGCCCATGTGGTGGTAGAGGTTCCAGCAGAGAATGTAGCAATATGCGTAGGTGCCATATCCCAGGAGTCCGAGAATTACGCCTGGGAAAACGATTCGCAGTGCCTGTCTGAACGCTGCTCTGTTCATTTCATGGTCAAGTGTGCTGGATAAGATGATGAGAATGTAGACAAGGTTCCTGGTGTAAACAACTCTATTGCCAACTGAACACGGGAGCAACCGCACCTTAGGAAGGTCGTACTTGCGGGGTATGAGTGATGTGAGCGGGGTTTTACCAAGTCAGATTCTGAGAACCCACCGGCAAGCCTTTTTGGAAGAATCTGGACAACTCCAAGGAGATTACAGACTGAGTGGCAATTCACCTTTGTAGAGAGACTTCCATGAGCTACCCCTATAGCTACTTAGAGATCGCTGAGTCTTATTTTGAAAGACTTACGGTTGAGACGTGGTAATGAGGCGTTTTAGCCAAAAAGATTTTACCAGAATGACACACAATATCGCATGAGTGATTTTTCAAACTAATCATCATACGAGTAGATACAGTACACACTGTCGTACTGTACGTACCTATAACACATTCCATCTTCAAGCTGCATGTTCTCAGCGTTTATGCATCTGGTTTAGAGCTCAGCGGTTGTCAGGCTAAACTCCCAAATCAAGTTGGGTTTGCTTGCAGCTCATCCAGGTGCTCTTTGGAGCTTATTAGACGGTCAACTTGGCACGATATCATCATCACACCTCCACCACAACAGCTATCAATATGAGTGAAGATGGGGATATATGCCCGATCTGCAAATCCTCGCGGTACCTCAACCCGGATATGAAATTTCTAGTCAATCCTCAATGTTACCACAAAATGTGCGAATCGTGTGTGGATCGACTTTTTGCCTACGGCCCAGTGACATGCCCTCACAATGGCTGCGAAAAGATTTTGCGAAAGAACAAGTTCAAGACCCAGATCTTCGAGGATGTGGCTGTCGAGAAGGAGGTCGATGTACGCCAACGGGTCATGTCGGTCATGAACAAACGAGAAGACGAGTTCGACACGCTGAACGACTACAACGCATATCTGGAAAAGATTGAAGACAGCATCTTCACGCTGTTGAATGGAACCGCTGACGAAAAGGACGCATTGACCAAGGAGATAGAAGCATACGAAAAGGAACATAAGGCCGAGATCATTGCCAACAACAAGCTCCGAGACGAGGAGGACAAGTATGAGCAGCAGAAGGAGGACTGGATGAAGGAACAGAGAAAGGCAAACTACCTCATGGCTGTGGAGGAACAAAGGGCAGCTCAGGAGGATAAGGAGGCTGCCAAGCGAGAACTGGTTCATCAGCTCGCCACTTCCAACAAGGATGCCTCTTCCATCGAGCAGAATGTCCAGAAGACAGCTCTCAAACGATCCTCAGCTCGAACAGTCAACTTCCAACCCATGCCTACATCTCGGTACTTTGAGAAGGTCAAGAAGGAAAGCTCGAAGCCCGAGACGCCCTTCACACCCTTCAACGGTGACAGGCAGATTCCCGCGCTGTTTGAGGTACAGGACCATTACGACGACAAGGTCATCGAGCCTCTGGCCCATGACATTCAGCATCAGGCCGGAGGTTTCACTCTCAAGGCAGCATACGCAAGAATTCTCCAACAGGCCTTTTTTGGTCTAGGTGTGGATGTTCAGACCGAGCTGTTGGCTGAAGAGAATGGCAACAGCAACGGCACAGCAGTACCTGTCAAGACAGAAGAAGACCCGGTCAAGCTGGAAGAGCCATCGATACAGGTCAAGGTGGAATCCACGGTATAACAACAGTATTTATATGCATTATATTTGAACAACAATGAAGTATTTATGACTTGTGTATACTACTTGTAGCAGGTAATTGTACTTATAGCCACGGTACCTGTACAGTAATCAGCTAATAGAATGGTGTTTATACAATGCATTTGTTATGGTTGCCCAAGTTTGTTTTCATAAATACGACCGTCCGCGGCTCCATCTAGCTGAATCCACGTAGCAGAAGAGCTCCAATGGCTGCAGTCTCCACCTGAGCTCTATCATCTAGAGAGACTGTTCCTGGTAACTTGTATACCTTCTTGACGAGCTTGATATCTGTGTTCTTGGCAATCTGCTCGTCAGTAAAGGGCTCTTCGGTTCCCTCAACCAGCTTCGTGTACTCTCCTCCGCCAATCTTGACAGCCACAATGTTTGTGGTATCGTCCTGAATTCCAAATCTCCTTAGAGAGTCCATGATGTTGTTATTCCCTCCCAGACAGAACAGCACCTCTGAGTGTACGTTTTTTGTCTTCATGGAGCCGGCTTCCTGATCGGAAACGGCTCTGTAGACGGCTGCGAGCAGATGCTTGGACGAAAGCAATGTGTTGGCATTAATGAAAGCCACCTGGTAGTCGGGGTTACCGCTTAACAGCTCGTTTCGAATCTGGCCGGCATTCTTGACGTCTGAAAAGTAGGAGATGGCAATCTCCTGGTCGAACTGGGGAAACTTCATGTTGTGGCAGTGAATCACACGATCTGACTAACGTAATGCTTTTGAAGAGTTCGGGTATAGGATAGTCTGGAATTTGATACTCAGCTGTGTGGATTCCAGATACTGGTACTCGTAGGATTTTCCTGCAGATGGTGGAAGATAAACTTCGGAGGTCTTACCACAAGTAAGACGGTGGTTGGTACGTGGGATATATGTGCTGTATTGTGAAAGAAGGGGTTCTACAGACAGCGATTGTTTATGAAACATTCCAGTTGATTTATTAAGCAGCACAAATTTCAAAATTTGCCTCAACTATTGACAGGTATCATTCTACTTGTACAAGTACGTAATGTACAATCATCCTGCCACCACTCCTTCACTCTCCTATTAATAACTCTATCTTCGGTGCTGCATACATCTCCCAGTTGGATACATAAACAGCATCCATCTAAACACCTCAGCACCAATTGTATAATGATTTCTCCAGGTGAGTATGCCAGAGATCCCCGTAAGAAGCCCACTAACGCCAGTTAAAACCTCCGTGGCTTCTCCGGCCACCACCAAGGGAGTTGCCGTGCATCTCTCCTACAACCCCAAGACCAACGAGGTGGCTTACGCCAACACCAAGGCAGTGCTTCTGGTGAATCTCGACAAGCCCAACGAGGCTCGGCAGTTCAATGGCCACATTGCGCCAACCACCGTCGCCAAGTTCTCTCCTTCAGGCTTCTATGTCTGCTCCGGCGATCAGGCTGGCAACGTCAAGGTCTGGGACCCTGTCTCTTTCAACATCAAGTACGAAGCCAAGATCGGCAATGGTCGAATCAACGATCTCAACTGGGATGCTGACTCTCAGCGAATCATTGCTGTGGGCGACGGCACAGAGAGATACGGTCATTGCTTCACTTTCGACACTGGTAACACTGTCGGAGAGATCTCTGGTCACGGAGCTCAGGTCAATGCTGTCGCCATCAAACCCGTTAGACCCTACCGAGCTGCTACCGTCGGCGATGATGCCACTCTCGTCTTCTACAAGGGTCCTCCCTTCAAGTTCGACCACACCGTTAAGCAGCAGCACAGCAACTACATCCACGACGTTGCTTTTTCCCCTGATGGAAAGTGGCTTGTTTCGGTTGGAGCTGACAGAAAGGCCGTTCTTTATAACCAGGATGGTGAGCCCGTCAAGACTATTGACGCACATGGCGGCTCCATTTACTCCGTCTCCTGGGCCCAGGATTCCACCCACTTCGCTACCGCCTCTGCAGACAACACTGTCAAGGTCTTTGATGTCGAGGGTAAAGAGATTGACACATTCAAGTTTGACCAGTTCCAGGTCGGTGTAGTCTGGGCTGGCGATTCCCTTGTGTCAGTTGGACTGGACGGCACCCTGTCCTTCTCCTCTGTGAGCATAGATGCCCTGTCCAAGCTGTCTTTGACTGAGTCCAAGGTCATTGCCCACCAGCAGCCCATTTCTGCTGTCGAGACTCTCAAGGGCAAGATATACTCTGGCTCTGTTGACGGATCCATTCTCGAGTGGACCGGTGACAAGGCCTCTCCTTCTGACGCCTCCCACTCTACTTACATTGTCTCTCTCAGTGACTGTGATGGAAGCCTGGCATCAGTTGCTTGGGATGATACTTACAAGCTCAACAACACAGTCTACTCGATCGGCACCCAGCCCAAGGCTGCCGATTCTCGAGGTTCTCTCTCTGCCATCGTGACTGAGAACACTCTGCACATCCTTGATAGCGGTAAGCTTGTCAAGAAGGTTTCTATTGATCGGGGCTCTGCTGTTGCTATTGCTGACCAGGTTGTTGTGGGATCTAAGTCGGGAGAGCTCTCTGTCTACTCTACAACCGGTGAGAAACAGTTTGATCTCCCTCCTCTTCGTGCTGCTGCCACAAAGCTTGCTCTTAGTGAAAATGGTAACCTTCTTGCTGCTGGCGAGTCCACTGGTAAGATTATCCTATACGACCTTTCAACTAAGTCTGTTGTCACCTCTCGATGGACCTTCCACACCGCTCAGATCAACGATATTGACTGGCTTGGAAACGAGTACATTGCCTCTGTTTCTCTGGACACAAACATTTACATTTACTCCGTCAAGACCCCCATGAAGAACCTCAAGTCTCTGAACGCTCACAAGGAGGGAGCCACCGCAGTGCGATGGCTGGCAAACAACGAAATCGTCACTGGTGGTGCTGATGCTGTTCTCAAGTGGTGGTCTGTTGAGCTTAGCTAAAGGACATAACACTGTACAAGTACAAGTAGACGAAATTCATGAATCAATGCAACACACTATTATTATATATGCTTGTCTCGAAGACTAAGCCATGCATGTCTAAGTATAAACGATTAGCGCGTCTACTTGTAGCTCATGACTATGCAGGTTTCTACTGTAATTAAACTATAAATACAAGTACATACTGTATGTACTGTAGCCTTGTATTCTATGTATTTGTTAGGACACAGGCCCGGACTTCGGTTGGTTTGTGGTTTGACAGGTAATGCCGGCGACTTGCCTATGGCAAGTCGTTGAGCAAATACTCGTGTTGAAAGGGTCAATAATCGATATCCTAAATATATGGGAAATGAGAGCTATATATAATAATGGCACCGGACCAACTGACGGATCTGTAACTCGGCGGTCGAGTCCTGGGGGACTCGATCGACCCCTACGGTAGTGGGTCTTTGACCGGAAGGGTGACTACAAGGATCCCCAATAGAGAGTTGACAGATAATCAAGCACCGACGACTGTCGACGGTCCTTATGCCACAGGCACAAGAAACACCAAAAGAAGATCGTTTCCTAACAGGCGACCATCATAGTAAAACAGCACGAGAGCGCTGACGACCAACAGTCTTCTGGTGCTAAGCTTAAAATACTGAATAAATCGATTTGTATGTATGTATGTATGTTGTTATCGGTCGCCCATGTATTTGAGGTACTGAGGAAGACAGTTTTCAGGCATCAGAGAATCCTTGAGATCGTCTGTGGTGAATCGACCAGGCTTGCATCCATGACACTTTTTGGACTTGGGGCAATTGAAATAGGGGAAGTGGTAATATCCAATGTCCTTGAACCAATGGATTTGTGACTGGTTAGCAAATAGTCCTGCGCCGACAGAGTGCACGGGAGCATCTCCCCATCTCTCGTAAAAGAACCCTCCCTGTTTATCCAGATGCTCAAACCATTGGGCGTATGCATCGCCCCTGAAGAACTTCAGAGACGCGATTTCAAAGTTGGACCAGAAATGGCAAGTGGAGTATCCGCCAGCCTGGGCGTTCCAGTCTGGTCTGCTGGGGTTCAGCAAGAATTGCATGGCATTGTCTTTGTGCAGATACTCCTTGTTCTTCATCAAGAAGGATTTAGTTTCCGGCCATAGGGTGGCAACGGTTTTGGGGTTGTCAAACAATGCAATGGTGAAGCCATACACCTTGTCATTGTCCTCCATGTATGCAAATACATCGTAGTCGATGTCACAATAGTATTGGGTGTCGGGTTCAACGCGCCAGTACCAGTCATAATCGTCCATGGCCTTGTGCTTGTAGAACATACCCGAGTTCCATCTGCACATCTTGTGGTAGGAGTCCATGGCACCATATCGTACACCAGCATCTTCCAGCTTCTTGCCGGCCTTCTTGGCCTTGTCCTTGTCGATCCATCTGGGGGCGTCCCAGTCCTTCTTTTCAATCAGCTCAAACTTGACTTCAGAGTCAGTCTGTTCGCGCACCTTTTCCTTGAACTCGTCGGTGAACTCTTCATCATTGAAAAAGATCCAAGGGTAGCCGAATTTGTGATTGAATGTGTCCTCGACCTGCACCATGGCATCCACAATACCGTCCAGCTCTTTGTTTCGAACAAGAGAGATAAGAGCGGCTTTAGTTCGCCGCGTGTCAGTGGCGCGAACAAGAGGCTTGGCACTGACAGGCTCGTCCACCTCTTCAAGCAGGGGATTGTTCTTCGGCGTTAAGTCCTCTTTTGGTTCCGTATATTGCAGGAATGCATCGTTGGGTTGCTTGTAGATGCTCTCCTCTTTCAAGAAGTCCGCATGTGTTCTGGTCCAGTCATCTTGTAACGAGAAGTAGATCAGGAACACGAGCAGACCGAGCGAAGCCGTCACCAGCAGCAGGAATAGTCTTCTGACTATCAGCGGGGTCATATTGTTAGGATGTGGTCCTGTCTCAATCGATTATAGTTAATAAACCTGTCGCGACACGCGAACACTAATCTAGTGTGGGCGTTGTAAATATGTCCCAACCAGGAATCGAACTGCGGGATGGAAAATTCCTCTTCCATACTTGGTGAGAACACAGATACAGAACACACACCTCATCACACAATGTTTGGGCCTTTTCGACAGTCTATGGTCACCTTTGGTGGCTACGTCCAGTGAGTATCATATATGAGCGACACGAATGAAAGTGTTGCCTAGCTATGCGGGATTTTCCAGCCACTCAAACATCATCTAACCATCAGCAAGCAGCGATACCGATGGAGATTGTCTCCTACACAGAAGGCTGGCCAGCGAAAGCGAATGAAGGCCGTCGACTCAGTCATGGATGTTCTGCGATCTAGCATGGAGAAGCTCGGCGTCACTCCCAAGTTCCTCATCAAGGCTGAGACCGAGTGCCCTCCTTCTTCGGCCATGCTCCCCAAGGACAAGTACACCGTTTTCAGCAAGAACCACAAGGGTTACCGAAAATCCGTTCACCGGGTGCCCAACTTCACCAAGACTACCAACCGAAAGAATCCCCTTGGTTTCTAAAATCCCAACTATTGGCCCTATACACTTGTACATATTAAATTATCTGGTATGATGGGAAGATCCAGCTGTGGATCCGAGTGCTGAGATTAAAGGGAAGTAATGTTATTCATTGAAAGTACAAGTACGTAGTACTGTACAAGTCATTGTAGTGTAGCTAGTTCGTAGATTTTAGTTACAAATACTATAATGTTTCCGCTCTATCCGTAACACTTCTGTGTATTTGCATGTGGTAACAAATCTTTTGGAGCAAAATTAAAGAGATGGTATACTGACATGATTGTGTTGATATTAAGCTGATGTTACTGTAGAGGTGAGAACACACTACAAGTACAAGTACAAGAATTGGTAAGAAACTATGGTTATGCGACCAGCACCCTCCACTATTGTACATCTCTCGCAGTAGCTACAAGTAGGGCGCATACTGTAGCATATCAATTTGCTACAAGTACCGACTTCACTCTGCTCTCATTATGTAATTATAAATTAATCGTCTATTTAAGTAATGCTCATATGACCCAGCCAACATTTTTTTCACTTCTTTCGCTCAGCCTTCCACTTGTAGCTGACATTTCCATCCTTGACCACCTTCTCCTTCTCGCCTCCCTTAGCAAGTTCTCGATCCAGATCCAGACGATGCTCCACGATCGCCAGCTCTCGCTCACGCTCGATGTGAGCAGCCAACTTCTTCAGTCGAGAAACTCGTTCTTTGTTGATGCCCTCGTCAAGTTCCTGTGCATGAGTCTGCTTCTGTTCCAGCTGGTCCAGCTTCAGACGGTTCTCTCTCTTGTTCAGCAGAGTCTTGTCAGTCTTGAAGTATTCAGCGGGATCAAACTCCTCCTGCTCCTTCTCTGAGTTGACAAAAATGGTATGCTTGCCTGTAGCCTTGGGCATAAGTTCAGCTTGCATTCTCTCAATAACTCGCAGCTCCTTCAGTCGCATGGTTCGCACATAGGTAGCATCTTGAGTCTGCAGCAGCTTCTTGGCATCGGCACTGAGCTCTCGCTCAGCTACATCCAAAGGGTTCTCCTTGTAACCAATACCATGTTCATCGGTCTTGGTGCTATGCATTCCGAAGTAGAACTCATCGGGGTTTCTCTCCTTGGCCTTCTTTCGCAGCAGCTTGAGCTTTGCTTCCTTGGCATGGTAATTTTCAGCTCGAAGCTTGTAATCCTTCTTCTTTTCCAGCAAGCCGAGGTGCCGTCGCTCGGCGATTTGGCTTCGCTCTCTGTGCTGTTTCTTTTGGATATTGTGGACGAGTCGAGCCATGGTGTGTGTCAGATGTGTAAATACTTCAACAAGATTATTTTGGCGATATGCAGGCAGAAATTTATTTAAGGTTGAGTCACGTGATATATGGAGCAGGAAGATATAGGAGCTATAGATGTATATCAGAAGATGTTGGTGGCAAAGAAACTAAAAAATAATAATAAATGAACTTGAATCCTCTGTTTGAGGACTTTTCTATTACTTGCGCTTGAAAGTTCCCTAACAAACTGGTCATCGTGCATTGTTAGTTAGTATCTACAATTGTAGTTGTACCCAGAGGGTATCATAGTTGAGAATTTGTCAACTCCATAATTTTAGTAAAGAGGCTAGAAAACAAATTGGACCTTTTGAGTGCTTATATACACATCTCTACGTGATGAATAGACCCGTTACTCACTCTCTAGAACCCACCACCATCGTATCTAGCGGCTTTTCATTAACCCCATTTCGCCACCACTAACTTAATAATTACAATCTGCATGCAGCGAGCATGCCTACAAGTAGGATTGCAAGTTAACACCCCACCACCAACGCGCCATAGCTAGTCCCATGTCATTTCAAGAAAGATGTATGGAACTCAAGCAGATTCTCAACTTTGATGTTGACATTTTCACAGCCATTATTATTGGCCTTGCTGCGCAACGACCCGTCAGAATCCACACTCACCATCCTGATGTTGTGGAGAAGTGCGCTCTTGTGGTGGCAGCCAACATTCTAGGCTACGACCAGAGACTACTTTACCGTTGCGACGCAGACGCTGATGTCGACCACTTTTTAAATGGAGTCAGTGACTGGAGAGAGTCTGCTCAAACCGACAAACAACTTATGCCATTTCTCATCCTGAGAAACGTTGCATCGTTATCGAACGAGTGTCAGGCTCTACTGCTGGAGATTCTGCAAACAGGAAAGACAACTTACAGAGGTGTCACATATTCGAAACCACCGGGTTTTTTGTTACTTTCAGTGTCTAAAAGTGATGTCTACATGTTCGAATACCTGAGGGATGAGTTCTTCGTCTACCATGAGTGTCACGTCGACGGTGAGGTGAATATCGCACAACTAATTGAGAGCATATCGGAGGAAAAGACTGCTTCACCGCCATTGATGACTGCTGCCGATATCAAGAAGCTACACGACAAGGCGGCCCAGGTGTCGATAGTGGCCGAGCTGCAACGATACATGCAAGACATTATCGTCCATATTCGGTGCCACCGGGTGGTTGCTAGGGCTATAAAACCCAAGGCAGCAAGAGACTTCACTCTTTTCGTGCGCCACATGTGCGTGCTCAATGATTCAGACTTCGCAACCCCATCGGTGATTGCAGTCGCCGCTCGAAAGTTACTACCAAGCTCTGTGCACATTGCTTCGCCGGAATTCGAACCTTCTCTAGCCTACGGAAGTGATTATAAGCTCATTGAGGAATACATCACATCGTGGGATGGAGCACTCGTTGTGGAAGATGTCTTGAATCGGGTCAAGGCACCCGTTTAAGCCTAACTTTGACCCTCAGCACTTGCCGGTCCCCGAAACCCATACTCTCAGCATACTAACAATTCCCCACACCATATAGAAGTTCATGAAATGTATATAAATAATCTGTTACTGTCCTAACTCTCCCCGCTTTGCGGTAAGTCGGTTTGTTCACAACTTGTCCCAAATGTAGTTTGTGATGAAGAATCCACTGTACTCCTTGACGTTGAGATCCAGGGTGGCCACGTTTGAGGTTGTGTTAGATCTGATCATGCATTTTGTGTACTTCTCAGGCTTCTCTGCGTCGAAAGTGACACCTAGGGTTCGGAACAGCTTGAGCTGTAGGGCTGCAGACGAGTCGTTCTCCACTGCAGACTCGATGGGCTGCTGGCTTTCCTTTTCCACGAGCTCGAGCTCGGCATTCAGCTTCGAGGTCGCTGCTTGCGTGGCATTCAGAGTCTCCTCGAGATCATTGATGGCACGCGCCAGGCGCATCTTCTCGCGTTCCAGCTCATGCACATGTTGGGTTCTTTCGCTTGTTGTGGAGTCTCCGGCGACCGATTCCTGGCACAGATCTCTCTGTCGGATCTGATCTTGTAACTTGTCACGCGCCTCCGCTAACTTTGCCTCGCGAAACAGCGACAGCCGTGTGATATCGACTGACACTCGTTCTGTAGACGCGATCTCTTCATTGGTGCTGAATGACTTGGCCACGTCACGTAGCAGGTCGATGGGGTCCATTTTTGGTATGTGTGTAGCGAGTAAGTGTAGAGTGAGCTCTTTGGGAGGGCTTCTGGGTATTTTCCACCGCGCTGTTTAGCTGCTGTGAGTGTTGTTTTGGTTCTGTATATTTGGCGGATTAAGTTCGACGAGCAGCCGATTGTACATTCACAATAGAAATCGTAGAGTCTATTCTGACTGTAGGTGCTTGTCCTCCACAACATGTGGAGAGGCTGAAATGCCTCGCTGACATACCCGTATTCGCCGCAAGAACAATGGAAAGCAGGTGCAATTACGTATATTGCATCACAAGACCTCTTTGTTGATGAGACAAGCCACGTGCTAGAGTCGTGGCTGGTCCTCCGTCTCAGATCGATGAGCGTATTGCTGCAAGTCAAATTGATTGCTATTGCGAACATAGAATGAATTTTATTTGCCGAATCAATTGAGACTACTGTACTTGTGATTGTATAGTTTCATACTTGTACATACACTGGAGGCTGCCCCATATTCTGCTGCTGCCTGGTCTTCGCACAGCTGGGTCAGTATGTACGTATTACATACATACTGTATTCAGTAGTTCCAAAGACTTGTGCAGCCAAGAGAGAAACCCACACACACCAGCAATGGCTCAGGGACAAGGACCACTGGGATCTCCTCGGGTTTCTGAAAATCAGGAACCAGAAGGAAACTCTTTCCTGTGTTTACGCACCCCACGGGCTGTAGGTTGCGTTGCTCTTCCACAAGATTTCATAGTCGTACATGTCAGCAGTAATGAAGCGTGGCTGTGCGGACAAGCGAAGTGACGTTGGTGGTCAAAAGGAGTAAAGGTGGCAATGTTCCTCACAAAGACGAACAGGAACAATGTCCTGGTCTAAAGCTTCAGTGCAAGTTACTGTAATGGGTGGGGCTTCCAAAAATAGTTACACATATGACGCGTTATACCCAGTGATCTGTGAAGAAACCCAGTGGAGCTTTATTGGCCACACTAGTAGAGAGCTGAACAAAACAATGTCTGGAGGGTTGACTTGGTAGTGAGTTCATTAGTACAGTATGTACCGGTGCAGTTGCTGGCAACTTTTGGGTTATGACTAGTATTAGCTAGAAGGGGGGAGGTGTGCCTTGTATCGGGTTTGTCAAGTGCAGCGAGATCGCTGCACCAACAAATGCCGCATACCGTATATGACTCGTATTCCATATCTATTGTCTCACGGTTGCCGTTTGACAATTCCTTTCTGAAAGCGAGCAACCCGTTACACCTCGGAGTCAGCAAAGAAACCCAGGAACTCTATAACATTAAACTTCTCCCCAAACTTTTCCAATATCTGACAGCAGTCAACAGATCACCCTAAACGACCAGACACGACTCGAAAGCAGGCTATTATCACAACGGCCCGCCAAGACCAGTACGATATCCGTATTATACCCTATCTCCCTTTACATCTTTCAACATGCTTCCCGAGCACGGCTTTGAGCACGACCAGCCCACCAACCCCCTTCACTCCAACGATGTGTACCCCCAAAAGTCGGGTGCTGTGCCTCTGTGGTTCCTGTCTCCTAAGGAAGAGAACGAGGTTCGGGAGGAGACCCGAAGACTAGCACGAATTGCATGCGCCGATGTGCTCAAGGTCTTTAGCGATTGCACAAAGGGCAGAACCGTGTCCATGCTGTGGGCCTGTCGAATCGAAAAGGCCAACATGATGGAGTGTATGGCTTCACACTCCACCATGGAGGACTTTGACAGGGCTCGAGATGAGTTCGTTCAAAAGAAAGCTGACGCTATGGCTGAGAACAAGGAACGTCTGGCGCGGGAACGAACCAAGTCTAACTAGGGTGAGACACCAGCTCACAGAAAGCTGCAGAAACCCCACTTTACCGAGCCACAGTAGCCCTGCTTCTACACGACCAACCGACCTATCTCCACTATTGTTGCCTACTTGTAGATATATGACCGACAGGCACTCTTTTTTTTGACGGCACGACTTGGTCCACTGACCAGCTTTAACTCCATGGGCACGTCTCTCATTTCATTTGTACATAGCAATATATTCCCCAGAGCATAAATCAGATGGTTGTAAGCATATTACGATTGCGTCAAAACCCCAAGAGATAGTGTGGTGCCGAATCTAAACGTCTCATCTCTGAATCTGTGAATGCCATATCTCGACCAATTGTCAAGGCTTGGGCGACATACAGAGACTCTACAGAGAGCATTAGATATAGTGTTCAATCTCACACCGTATTAAATCCATCTCCTTTCTGTTCTTCGAGAACAATCTCAACTTTTCGTTTCATATTCATGGTTGCCTTTTTGCATATGGTATTTCTTTCTCATCCATGATTGCTATTGCGTCCCAAACTCTGGGCCATTGTTACGTCATCTGATCTGCATATCTACAGCTTTGGTCCATGCATGTGGTACATTGGGAAAACCTCCGAATATCGCTCAGCGGTCTAGCACTGACAATTGATTAGGAAATCATCCAAATATTTTTTCAATCTACAATTCAGAGCCTCAGAATTGTTCTGTAGAAATCACGAAGCGGTTGACTCAAACAAGAAGCTATGGCAGCCTCCATAGCAGCACTCACATTTACCTTGCTATGCGTTACCTTGGACACCTCTAACTCAATTTTTGGCTTGCTACAACTCCACCTGCTCTGTGTGTATATAAAGGCCATTGAAGTCGCTATGGACGTCCTCATACAAACTACTACTATTCACAATGCCCAACATTATTGATAAAGCAAAGGAGGTTTTCTCCTCTTCAAAGAACGATGCTACCACTGAAGCTGACAAGGCCGAGAACCTGCCTTCTAAGGCTGGACAGGAGGTCAAGTCGCAAGGCCAGACCGAGCTGAAGAACGCAGAGGGTAAGGTTACCGACGCCGCTGGCACCAAGGGCAAGCTTGCCCAGGCTGCTGGCCCTGGCGGTGCCAAGAACCTTGGTGAGGGCGAGCTGAAGAACCTCGAGGGTCAGATTCCTGGCCAGGCTGGTCAGTACGTCGGTGGAGGAAAGGGCGGTGAGGCTGCTGGAATTGCTGCCGGTGCCGCTGGAGTTGGTGGAGCTGGTGCTGCTGGCTCTGCCGGCCATGGCTCTCAGACTGGTACCACCGGTACCACTGGTCAGACTGGATACGGCTCTCAGACCGGTACCACCGGTACCACTGGTACCACTGGACAGACAGGATACGGATCTCAGACTGGCTCTACTGGCACTACTGGCCAGTCCGGTTATGGCTCTCAGACTGGTGCCACTGGCACTACCGGCCAGACTGGCTACGGCTCTTCTGGTGCTGCAGGTTCTACCGGCCAGCCCGGTTACAGCTCCACCGGCCAGGCTGAGTCCGCTTACGGTTCTGCTGGCTCCCACGGTACCACTGGATCTAACACTACTGGCACTGGCTCTCACGTCCATGGTGCCACTCAGCCTGGTCAGGGTCAGTCTCTTGGCCAGGAGGTGAAGTCTCATGTTCCCGGTACTGCTGAGCACTCTGCCTCTCAAGGATCTCACAACGTCGGCTCTGGCACCGCTGGTGCTACTGGCGCGGGAGTTGGAGCTGGCACTGGATACGCTGCTGGTTCTGGCTCGCACGGTGCTTCTACTGGGCAGACCGGATACGGCTCTTCTGCAACTGGCACACACGGTGCTTCCACTGGAGCTGCTGGTACTAACACTGCTGGTGGCGCTCAGTACGACAACCCTGAGCAGGTCCTTAGCGGCCAGGGCACCCAGGGTACTCAGGGTTCCCACACTAGCCACACTGGTCACCACGGCCACCACCACGGCCACCACGGTTCTGGTGCAGCCACTGGAGCTGCTACCGGAGCTGCTGCAGGTACTGGTGCTGGATACGCAGGCCAGACAGGTTCTGCTGGTACGCACGGTGCTTCTTCCACTGGCCAGACTGGTTACGGATCTTCTTCCACCGGCCAGACCGGCTCCACTGGCGCACGTGGCACCCATGAGTCTCTCGGCGAGAAGGCCTACGATGCCAAGACTGATGCTAAGTCCCACATCCCCGGCACTTCCGAGCACTCTGCCACTCACGGCCACTCTACCGGAACTCACGGCGCTTCTACTGGCTCCTCCGGTGTCCAGGGCCAGGGTATCTCTGGTACTCACGGTGCTTCCGGCTCTTTCGCTCCTACTCACACCAACCACAATGTGACCACTGGCCCCGAGGGTGTCGAGCACCACATTCACCACCACCACCACCACCTCGAGGGTGACGCTGCTGGTGCTGGTGTCGGTGCTGGTGCTGGTGCTGCCACTGGCTCTCACGGTACTCACGGTGCTTCCACAGGTGCTACTGGTGCCTCCAGCCAGCCCGGTTACTCCAAGGGCGATTCCACTCATAAGCACGGCTCTCACTCTCAGAGTGGTTACGATCATTCTTCTTCCAAGGATCAGTACCCTGCTCAGGGCAAGCAGTACTCTCACACCACTCACGACGACACCCGAGGTCTTAACTCTTCGTCCTCTTCCGAGCCCGTTCAAGGAACTGGATACAAGAGCAGCTCTTCTGGACCTGCTGTTGGCGGTGGAAAGTACTCTTCCAATCCTTCTGCCCACTCCATTGGCGGTGACTTCGCCAACGTCGGTAACCCCAGTGCTAACCACGCCACCACTGGCGAGAAGCTCCGAGGTGAGACTGATGACATCACCCGTGGTGTCTCTGGTGTGAACCTCCGAGGCAACGAGGCTGCCACTGGCGCTGGACTTGCTGGTGCCACTGGCTACGCCAAGAAGGTCGAGGATGGATCTGCTCCTTACCCCGGTACAACCGGCGAGCCTACTTCCGAGTACGCCCACACCGGCACTCACGGATCTCGTGGAAACACCACCGGAGCTACTGGTACCCATTCTGGAACCACTACTGATGAAGCTGGCAACGAGACCATTGGTGAGCGAATCTCCAACGCCGCTTCTGCTGTTTCTGCTGCGGTTTTCGGCACTGGTGAGGAGCAGGGTAACACCCACACTGCCAACTCCACCGCCCCTGGTGCCTACAACCAGTCTGGCACCACCGGTACTCACGGTACTACTGGCCAGACCGGTTACGGATCTTCCACCACCGGTCAACCTGGCTATGGATCCACCGCTGGTACCACTGGCCAGTACGGTTCTTCCACTGGTCCTCATGGCACCAACGAGACTCTTGGTGACAAGGCCTACGAGGCTAAGACTGATGCCAAGTCCCACATTCCTGGTACTACCGAGCACTCTGCTACTCACGGCACTCATGGTACTCACCACGGAAACACTGCTGGCGTTACTGGTGCTGGTGCTGGTGCCGGTGCTGGTGCCGGATATGCCGCTGGCCAGCAGGGTCAGGGACAGTACGGCCAGCAGGGTCAGGGACAGTACGGCCAGCAGGGTCAGGGACAGTACGGCCAGCAGGGTCAGGGACAGGGCCAGTCTTTCGTCGAGACTGCTAAGTCCTACATCCCCGGAACTGAGGAGAATATTGCTTCCAAGCAGGAGCAGGAGTACACCCAGGGCCAGCCCGGTCAGTACTCTCAGGGCCAGACCGGCCACTCTCAGGGCCAGACCGGCCAGTACTCTCAGGGCCAGACCGGCCAGTACTCTCAGGGCCAGACTGGCCAGCACTCTCAGGGCCAGACTGGCCAGCACTCTCAGGGCCAGCGAGGTCAGCAGGGCTCCGGTGCTGTTGAGACCGCCAAGTCCTACGTCCCCGGCACTGATGAGCACGCGGCTTCTAAGGACCAGTCCAAGGGCCAGTCCGGAGAGCACGACTCTCACAAGGGGGGTTCCTCCGTTCTCGCCACTGGAGACGACAAGGAGTCCAAGAACCTCCGAAAGGCCCAGGAGGAAGCTATCAAGCAGCCTCTGCCCACTCTCAAGGGTACTGACGTTGCTGTTGAAGCCGAGCGAGCTCAGCAGGGTCAGCACATCAACTACAACCAGGCTTCTGGTGACCCCTCTGACTCCAAGTCAACCATGATCATCCGAGATGGTCTTGGACCCCAGGAGGACATCGAGGGCCCCGTCGGTGCCGGACACGCCAAGGTTGAGGAGGAGTCCACCAAGGGTGCCGGTGAGCCTTCTCTCGACGCCACCGCTGCTCGAGTGTAAGCAGTATACACTTTCCTTTTTTATTAATAGTTGAATGAATGTATGTTAAAAAACAGTTGTTGAAAAGCTGCTCGTAGTACAGTTCATTGTACTGGTACCGTGGAGTACGTACACGGTACACTTGTGTCTACTACGAGTACAGTACAGGTACAAGAACATACTTGTAGCTCTATGTACAAGTACCAGCACAGTATGTACATAGTGTATCTTTGGTATTTGACGACGGGCTACAAGCGGGTACTCGTACTTGAAACCGATTGCAGCTGATGGTATGTTCCGGTATCTGATGGCCTGTTTCGGTATCTGATTGGGGTCTCTCAGTCGTTGGTATTGGAGGCTGTGCTGCAAGTCGATGTGTTCTTGCAGAAAAAGGTGATTCAGGCGGATTTGAATGAGTACATACAGTTAAAACCGCCAACCATTGGGTCCACTTACAGTTAGTAGACCATTCAAATATATTACATGTATAGAAACATACCAACCTGGCAATTACTGTCCATATGAACCCCTTCACCATCGTACCAAACGAACATTTGTTTTCCCTCGTTTCTTTGACGTAACCATACAAGTGACGGACAATCTTAATGTGCTCATTACTCTGTAGCAAGTCCCAATGGGTGTCTATAATGACACTCGGGTACAGTTACCCACGCAGGGTGGGAGTACAGTATACAGTACTGTGTGTTGTACAGTACATCTTCGTCTTGCGCTGTACTTGTGAACAGTTTCTGAGTGCTATTTTTTGATCATCCAAATTCCTAAACATGATAAACTACAAGCAGGACCTCGTCATCGAGTGACATTTCAACGCTCAAGACCACATGCCACGGCAGTCTCCAGAGTGCGTTTGAGATGCGGATTACCACTTAACAGTGCATCAATGAGGCTGTGATTTGAACCTGGCTCGCTGCTACCCAAGTTTCCCGCAACGTAATCGCGCAAGGTCTTTCCTAAAACCCGCGGATAGAGGGAATTAGGAGTTTAGGGAAAAGAACGGGCCAAATTCGAAAGTGAAGTCTCGAAAAGCATAACTCCGGTGTGTAAACTCCGAAGAAGTATAATCCTGCGACAATAAGCCCCGAGACGGAATATACACCGGTTAATATGGGTCATGAGACACCAATCGAGTATTGAAGTGAAGGGAAAAAATCGGGCTGTGTATGCCCTCCAATTTTCTGGTCTTCAGCTTCTCTGTCCATTCGTTATATCCGAAAATAACTCGGCTCCGCCTCCCCCCATTGGGAGAAACCCTATGCGTTAAATGTCGCACGGACAAAGAAGCTTATCGTTGCCAGCCACCGCAGCAATTTGAATATCAAGCTACTCTAGTTTGTCAAGAGAGAGAGAGTTGCACATCGACACACTACTACAACATCAATGGCTGTCACCAAACGAGCTGGAAGACGAGCTCAAGGAGGCACTCAACCGGCTAAGGGAGCGCAAGGAGTCAAAAAGGCGACCTTCGAGTCTGGAAAGAAGCGAGAGGTTGGAGTGTCCGACCTCACGTTGCTGTCCAAGGTCAGCGAGGAAGCCATCAACGAGAACTTGAAGAAGCGATTCGAGAACGGAACAATCTACACCTACATTGGTCATGTGGTGAGTATGGAAATGATGGAGGAGGACAGCGGTGCCTGACGCTGATGACCCGGGAGAGTAGACCGACCAGTGGACCCCATTGACAGACAGGACGAGTGCTCAATTAATACATTCAGACAAGAACGACAGACACAATCAATTAAATCAACAAACGACTAACACAGCTTATCTCGGTGAACCCCTTCAGAGACCTGGGTATTTATACAGATGCCGTGCTGGAGTCTTACAAGGGAAAGAACCGTCTTGAGGTACCTCCCCACGTCTTCTCCATCGCCGAATCCATGTACTACAACATGAAGTCGTACTCGGAGAATCAGTGTGTCATCATTTCTGGAGAGTCAGGAGCCGGAAAGACCGAGGCCTCCAAGCGAATCATGCAGTACATTGCCTCTGCCTCAGGAGGTTCCTCCTCCAACATTCAGAAGATCAAGGACATGGTGCTCGCTACCAACCCTCTTCTGGAAGCTTTTGGATGTGCCAAGACGCTGCGAAACGACAACTCTTCCCGTCATGGAAAGTACCTTGAGATTCAGTTCAACAACCAGGCAGAGCCCGTCGGAGCAAATATCACCAACTATCTGCTGGAGAAGGGCCGAGTCGTTGGCCAGATTCGTAACGAGCGAAACTTTCACATTTTCTACCAGTTTGCCAAGGCAGCCTCCGAGAACTACCGAAGCACCTTTGGTATCCAGCCGCCTGAGGCATACACCTACACTTCTGCTTCCGGCTGCACTTCTGTTAACGGAATTAACGATGAGGCCGAGTTCAAGGAGACTCTAGCTGCGATGAACCTCATTGGTCTTACACAAGCAGAGCAGGATAATCTTTTCAAGCTTCTTGCCGCCATTTTGTGGATCGGAAACATGTCCTTTGTTGAGGATAAGGACGGAAATGCCGCCATTGCTGATGTTTCTGTTCCCAACTTCGTGGCCTACCTCCTGGAGGTAGATGCCGAGTCGGTTGTCAAAGCTGTGACCCAACGAATTATGGAGACCTCCCGAGGAGGCCGACGAGGATCGGTCTACGAGGTGGCTCTGAATATTGCCCAGGCCACCTCGGTCAGAGATGCTCTTGCTAAGGGTATCTACAATAACCTGTTCGACTGGATTGTCGAGCGAGTCAACCAGAGTCTGCGAGCCCCCCAGGATGCTGCTCGAACCATTGGTATTCTGGATATCTACGGTTTTGAGATTTTCGAGTCCAATTCTTTCGAGCAGATCTGTATCAACTACGTCAACGAGAAACTGCAGCAGATTTTCATCCAGCTGACCCTCAAGACCGAGCAGGATGAGTACGTCCGAGAGCAGATTGCATGGACCCCCATCAACTACTTCAACAACAAGATTGTGTGTGATCTTATTGAGGAGAAGCGACCTCCTGGAATCTTCGCTGCTCTCAACGATGCATGCGCCACCGCGCACGCAGATCCCAACGCCGCAGATGAGAACTTCATCCAGCGAATGTCCATGGTGGGCCAGAACCCCCATTTCGAGCAGCGACAGCGAAAGTTTGTCATCAAGCATTACGCTGGTGATGTGACTTATGATGTCAAGGGTATCACAGACAAGAACAAGGATCAGCTTCTCAAGGATATTCTGATTCTGTTGCAGAAGTCTGGAAACCCTTTCTTGGTGTCTCTATTCCCGGATCCGGTCAACACTGACAACCGAAGACGACCTCCCACTGCTTCGGACAAGATCAAGAAGTCTGCCAACGACCTGGTGACCACCCTTTCGGCCGCCCAGCCCTCATACATTCGTACGATCAAGCCCAACCAGAACAGATCTCCTACCGAGTACGACGAGAAGGCAGTTCTGCATCAGGTCAAATATCTTGGTCTGCAGGAAAACGTTCGAATTCGACGAGCTGGTTTCGCGTACCGACAGACCTTTGAGAAATTTGTGGAGCGATTCATGCTTCTCTCCGGAAAGACCTCGTATGCCGGTGACTACATCTGGCAGGGATCTGCCTATGATGCCACCCTGTGCATTCTGCGAGATGCGGGTATCCCTCAGACCGAGTACCAGATGGGCACCACAAAGGTGTTCATCAAGACCCCTGAGACTCTGTTTGCTTTAGAGCACATGAGAGACATGTGGTGGCATAACATGGCTGCTCGAATCCAACGAGCATGGCGACGATACCTCGCCTACAAGACCGAGTGCGCCATCAAGATCCAGCGATTCTGGCGTCTTAAGCGAGGTTTGGATGGCCTCAAGGAGATTCAATTCCGAGACTCTGGTCACAAGCTTCTGGGCGGCCGAAAGGAACGACGAACTTACTCTCTTATCGGCTACCGTCGTTTCCAGGGAGACTATCTTGGCTGCAACAACGGCAGTGGCTTTGGAGATTTCCTCATGAAGCAGATTGGTGTCACTGACAAGGTCTTCTTCTCGTGCCGAGGCCAGCTGCAGCAGTCTCGACTTGGACGATCTTCGGTCCGTGTGCCCCGAACTTTCATTCTCACTAAGAACAACTTCTACGTTGTTGCGCAGCAGATTCACCAGAAGCAGCTGGTGGTGACCAATGAGTACACCATTCCCGTACGAAATATCACCCACATGTCCATGTCTAACCTGCGAGACGATTGGTTTTGTCTCAACCAGGCTTCTTCTCCCTATGGAGACCAGCTGATGTGGTGTGTATTCAAGACGGAGCTGGCAGTGCAACTTCGAGTCGTCAAGCCGGGTGTCGACATTCGAATCGGTCCCCAGATTGACTACTTTAAGAAGCAGGGCAAGAAAGCCTCTGTCAAGTTCCAGAAGACCACCACCCTGCAGACGAAGTTTGACATGTACAAGAGTGGATCCGTCCAGGTTCCTCCTGGAGCCCCTCCCAACAGTGTTAGCAAGGAGACTCCTCGAGGCCGAGCAAAGGGATCTCGAGGTGGTGCTCCCTCTCGGCCTGCTGCTCGAGGCAACGCTGCACACACCCCTACTCCTGGCGCTGCTGCGCTCGGATACCAGCAGCACCAGCCTGGTTCTGCTCAGCCCGCTTCTCCCCGAGCTCGAAAGGCACCCCCACCTGCTCCCAACTCTCGAGGAAATGGCCATGCTGAGTCTGCCCAGCCGCAGGCCTACAATAACCTGCAACCCCATTATCAGTCGTTGGTTAACCCTCGATCCGGACAAGGGCAACAGCAGCAGCAGCATCACCAGGCTTACCAGCAACCCACTGCCGCTCAACCCGCAGCCACTTCATATAGCCCTGCTCCCGCAAAGGCTGCCCCCCCACCTCCTCCTCCTGCTCCCCCGGCAGCCCCTGCCGCCCCTGCCGAGCCAACTTACAAGGCTCTGTATGACTACGTGGCCAACGGACTCAACCAGCTGTCCATTTCTGCCGGTGAACAGGTTCTCATTTCTGTGAAGGAGGATCAGGGATGGTGGTTGGCCAAGAGAATGGACGGCTCCGAAGAGGGATGGACCCCCGCAGCCTACTTGGAGGAGGTCCAGGGTGGCGCTGCAGCTCCTCCCCCCGCTGCTCCAACTGCTGGAGGTGCGTCTGCTGGAGCCTCTCTGGCTGAGGCTCTCAAGCAGAAGCAACAGTCCAATCAGACTCTTGGTGCCGGTATTGCTGACGCCATCAAGGCTCGAACTGGGCGACCTGCTGACGATGATGATGATGACTGGTAATTATGTAAGTAATGTGCAAACTATGATACGATGGATTGTCTATTATAGCTATGAAACCCATAGTTGATTTTTTGCTTGTACTGTGTATCGTGAGATTGTATTGTAGCTACCGACCGGTATGTACTGTATCGTACTTACTCAAGTACAAATAAATATCGATACTAATACGAGTACATCGTATCATACTCGTCTGTTGCAAATGAAAATTAAGGTTGACTTACTACTGTACTTGTAGTACATACTGTAGTTGGATGCGGCTAAGCGAGTGATGTATGAAGAGTATAGATGAGTAATGGCACTCGTACTTATGAACAGAAATAACACACACATGTATACTATTACATCTCTGAAACTGAATGTCATATGCCTATTCCTTGTATTTGTAGTTGTAGATTCAAACACCATCGAATCTTGTCCACCCTCGACGCGTCTTCCCCAAAGTTGAAGGTAAATGCCGGACGCGAAGAAAGGCATCACGCCCAACAGCATACACACACAACCAAGAGCACACTGCCATACCAGTGACTTTGAGCATGGCATCCAAAGAAGTGAGTTCAATTACACACATTCCACCGACAAAAATTCTGACTAACTAGGCAACGGTGTATGTGGTGGATCTACACGAGTCCATGGGTCGGGAGATGGCCCGTGGACATGACTCCAAAGAGGTGACTGATCTTAACTGGGGTCTTCAGTACATTTACAGCGAAATTTCCAACAAGATTCTGTCTGGCCGAAAGACCGACGTCGTTGGACTGGTTGGAGTGCACACAGACACGACACAGAACATGTTTGAGGAGGAGTCAGGGTTTGAACATATTGACATCATCACCCCCATCCAGCAGTTCAACCTCGACACGCTGCTGGAGGCCAAAAAGCAGCTCGTGCCCAACTCCGACAACAAAGGCGATCTCATTTCGGGCATTGTTGTTGCCGTTCAGATGATCAAACTGTACACCAAGGCTCTCAAGTACATCCGGAACATTGTTGTTCTCACCAACGGCCAGGGTAACATGAACCTGGGGGATTCTGGAGGAATTATCAAGCAATTGAATGAGAATAGAATCATACTCAAGGTCATGGGAGTCGACTTTGATGATGAGGAGGTGGATTACTTTGAGGAGGACAAGCCAGAACACAAGAGAGAGAACGAACTCAAGCTCAAGGAGTTCGTTGATCGATGTGAAGACTCCGTCTTTGCTACATACAAGGAGGCCCGTGATTCTCTGGATATCCCCAAGGTCAAAGCCGTCAACCCTGTGCGCGCTTTCCAAGGCAATCTTGTGCTGAGTGACCCTGAACAACAGCCTCCCCAACGAGTCATGTCCATTGGTGTTGAAGTATTCCCCTGTACACGACGCGCAACTGCCATGACTGCTTCCAGTTACGCCATGAGCAAAATTGAGCCTGCTACGATTTCTACTCCTAGCCAGAACAACCTTCAGGCTGTCAAGTGGGACAGACAGTACTATGTAAACGATGAAAGCGGGATTGGCGGAAAGAAGGAGCTTGATCGTGATACTCTGGAAAATGGGTACCGATATGGCTCTGAGATTGTGTACATTACAAAAGAGGAAGAAGAGGCCATCATGTTTCCTACTTCTGCAAGCTTGCAAGTTATTGGATTCGTCAACAAGAAATCTGTTCCTCCTTACATGCTCATGGGCCATACAGACTACATCATTGGCCAGAGAGGCAACAACCGTGATGCAGTTGCAATCTCAGCTTTCGCTCGTGCACTGTTTGAGACTGACAACTTTGGTTTGGCTCGGTATGTTAACAAGGATGGAAAAGATCCCCAGATTGTTGTTTTGATGCCCTACATCAGGGCTGAGCTCGAGGGTTTAGTTTTCTGCCAGTTACCTTTTGCTGAGGATGAGCGAAAGTTCATTCTGCCTTCACTCACCAGTCTCGAGACGCGATCTGGAAATAAAACTGTCACCACCCATTCGCGGCTACTTCCGACTAAGGAGATGCTCGATGCTATGGACGACTATGTTGATGCAATGGATCTGTCCAAGCTGAAGGGCGAAGATGACGAGCCCTGGCTAACCATGGAAGAGTGCTTCAACCCTTCAATCCATCACATCAGGAACGTGGTCAAAGAGTGTGCAGTGAGCCAAGACTACGGTAAGATCCCTGAGCCTCTTCCCATCCTCACGCGTTTCTCACAGCCTGCTGAGGAGCTCACTGAGGAGGCCAAACCCCAGCTGGAGCTTCTGAAGCACCTGTTTGATATCAAGGAGCAGTTTAGAGAAGCCAAGAAGCGAAAGACAGAAGTGACTGTTGGCCAGACTGGACTTGATCTCGACGCTCTGCTTGAAGGTGAACTCGAAGTGAAGCTAGAGTCATCTCAAACACTTAGCTCTAATGTCAAGTCTGAGCCAGGTAGGCAGACGGCATCTCAGTCATCTCAAAACTCTCAACAGTTGTCGCTTGACCCTGAAAACATCTGTCCAGACTTCATCAGAACGCTCAACAAGATTGATACCAAGGCTACAAGTGATGAGGAGTTCCGGTCAGGTGCTACCAATCTGTACAAGCAGACTATCACCCTATTGGAAGAGAAGCTTGAGTCATCCAAGGGAAATGACGCGTACAATGAGATCATCGGTGTGCTACAGACTATGCGGGAACAGGCCGATGAGATGGAGATTCCTGACGTGTTCACTGCTGCCAAGGGTCAGTTTGTGAGCAAGCTCGAAAGAGGAGATTTGGGTGGTCAGAAGAATGTTCTGGTTGCACAGATCAACTCAATTTAAGTTAATATATATATACAGTATATCGAAAACTCACCAGACAAATGTTTTTGTCGTGGATACATATTGGTGACAGTTACCGCAATCAAACATCAAAATAATTTATTTCAAACTGCTTACTGCTTAAGTTCGAACAGTGGGCTCGTCTCGACCAACAAGCTCCTTGAACTTGAGGTAGGACACAACCTCGTTGATGATATCCTCGAGGTAGTCCTGGGCAGACTCACCAAACTTAGAGGGGTCAGACTCATGTTTCTCGACGTAGAGTCGAATAGTGGCGCCGGAAGAACCAGTTCCAGACAGTCGGATAACAAATCGAGCGCCGTTGGTGAACTTGACGTACAGACCCTGGTGGGAAGAGACAGAGCCGTCGAGATCGGTGTATTCAAAGTCACCGGCCTCGGCAACCTCAAGAGAGCCAATCTTGGTACCGACAAGAGAGTTGAGCTTGTCGTTCAGACCTGCAACCACCTTGGCAGCGCCTTCGCTAGACACGTTCTCATAGTCGTATCGGGTAAAGAAGGTTCGTCCGTAAGTCTTCCAGAAGTCCTCCTGGATGGCGGCGATGGAAGCCTTCTTGGGGTCCTCCTTTCCGACGCCAGCGATGATGTTGAGCCAAGCGATGACTGCCCAGAGACCGTCCTTCTCTCGGATGTGGTTGGAGCCGGTTCCAAAAGACTCCTCACCACAGATGGACAGCTTGTCGGAGTCGAACAGGGCGCAGAAGAACTTCCAGCCGGTGGGGACCTCATAGACGTTGAGGCCCTTCTTCTTTCCAACGAGATCGAGAGCGTTTGAGGTGGGCATGGATCGGGCCAGACCGTAAACTCCCTGCTTCTTGAAGTAAGGGATCTTATCGGCGTGGTCGGCGATGATGGCGACGGAGTCACCAGGAGAAACAAAGGTGTTGGCTCCGTAGATCATGTTTCGGTCACCGTCACCGTCGGAAGCAGCACCAAAGGGAATGGATCCAGAATCGACAGCATCGACAAGGGTCTTGGCGTAAGTGAGGTTGGGGTCGGGATGGAGACCTCCAAAGTCGGGGAGAGGAGTGCAGTTCTGGATGGAGGACTTGTCGAGACCAAGCTCACCAAGGAAGATGGCCTGGGCGTAGGAGCCGGTGACACCGTTAAGACCGTCAAAGAGGACCTTGAAGTCAGGGTTGGACTTGAGGAAGTCCTTGATGAGCTCCAGGTCGAAGATATCCTTGATCATAGCGACGTAGTCGGCGACAGAGTCAATGATCTCAATCTCAATGGGACCGTACTGCTTGGTGCCGACGGTCTTGAGGTCGACCTCTCCCACGTCGACTCGCTGGTATTCCTTGATCTTGGTGGTCACGTCGAAGATCTTGTTGGTAACGGACTCGGGAGCGGGCCCGCCATTGGCGAGGTTGTACTTGATTCCAAAGTCCTCGGTGGGTCCTCCGGGGTTGTGGGAGGCGGTGAGAATGATTCCTCCAGTGGCTCCTCGCTTTCGGATCACGTGGGATGCGGCAGGGGTAGACAGAATACCGTCCTGACCGACAATGAGCTTCTTGACACCATTTCCGGCGGCGATCTCGGCAATGATCTGGCAGACCTTGTCGTTATAGTATCGGCCGTCTCCGCCGATGACCAGAGTGGCGTCCTTAGCGCCCTCGGGGATGGAGTCCATGATGGCTTGCACGAAGTTCTCGGTGTAATGAGGCTGCTGGAAGACAGTCACCTTTTTTCGGAGACCCGAGGTGCCGGGCTTCTGGCCCTCGAAGGGAGTGGTAGCGACAGCGGGCATTGTGTTGGTGTGGTGTGTGCGTCTGGCAATGACAATGTTGTGTGTCGTGTCAACAGGGTGAACTTGCGTTGCGTTTTGAGTGACCTTGCATCTACCTCGAACTTTAGGCGCGTCAAGTCGTACGGTGTGTATGCACGATGTTAGGGGAGAGCAGCCACGTCTTGATTGCCACTGGCTTGGATGGGAAAAAGGTAGTGTACTTGTACCGGTACGTACTACGAGTACTTGAATTCGGAGACATGCTGACCACGTATATGCAGTGCGTTTTTTCTCGTATATTTTTGCCTTCTGAGTTACATCTATACCCACGGGTGCAGGATCCGTGGAGTCCGTTCGCTGGTGATCCGATCGCATTGAGCTTCCTTGTTGGCTGTCATGGCGTCTACCCGGGGCTGATCTTTTTTTTTTTAGTTGGCACCATGTGGGTGAAGCCCTCGTAATTGATGGTATCGTACATGTGCTATACTTGCATTTGAACGTACAAGTAGCTACGTCGAACTGGCCAGCTTGTGGGCTCACTATACAAACTTCGTGTGGTTAAGAATAAGAAATTGTGGGGGTCGTGACTGGAGGTTGAAACTCTCATCTACAAGTGGACAGTATGTACGAAGTACATGTTGTCTGAGACATCCAAGGATCACAGGAACGATCACACCAGCCATTGAGATTCAACACTCATGTCACTTTGGAGCTGACCCAAAGTGTCTTTCGAGAGCGTTTAGACCGCACAATGGCGAGAAACCGAAAGTAAGTCAGCCGTGCCAATAAGTATATGTACGATTTGACAGGCGCAATACAGCACGAGGGCACAGTGGAGACACACTCGGCTCGTATATCTAAGCGTGTGCCTCACATACCCGGAATAGCCACGGTGTGGTACCCATCCATGGAATTAAGCGAATATTCGGCTCCGCCCTCGCAGTGCGAGTACCTAGGCAACATTACCTTGTGCTTCCCCACTCCTTGCTGGGCACTACGAATCCCCACCTGAGAGCCTGCATAATCAGGATTTAGACTCGTCTGGTGTAGCTCCCCGCAAGAAGGACATCTCAAAAACTAAGCGTGCTGCTCACGAGACTAAGTGTAGGGGACTAATGGGCTGACAGACTTGGTTGAAATAATAACTCAACAGGAAGCCAATTGAGTCAAATACACAAGAATGCGCAATATTCCACCCATCTGTGTCGCTGCAACCACCCACATTGCTCGTGCACTACTTCGTATATTAACCAGATAAGGGTCTTTACCCCTCTGATTCAAAACGCTTAGGGTACATCCGGAGACCCGGATCAAAGAGGGGAGAGCAGAATAGCAGAGCAATCAGGACCAGGCCTCCTTTATTGGTTTCCGTATATGAAACCGTTATATATAACGGCGGATATATTTGATTTTATTACATCTTACACCAACATCGATCTTTATCGACAACCAAACACCATGACTAAGCTTCATTCTCAAGTTCTTATTGTAGGAGGGGGGTTCTCAGGAATAGCCACCTCCATCAAACTGCTCAAAGACTGGAAGGTGACCGATTTCCATGTCTACGACCGTAACGAGAAGTTTGGAGGCACTTGGGCTGCCAACACTTACCCCGGAGCTGCCTCCGACATCCCTGCAGTCTGGTACTGTCTAGCCAGTGATCCCAAGATCGATTGGGAGTCTGCCTATCCATCGCAGCAGGAGCTGTCTGAATACATTGCAGGAGTTGTCGACAAATACGGTCTCAAGTCATTTGCAACCTTCAATTCTGAGATCGAGCGAATCGAATGGATTCCTAACGAGCGCTTGTGGAAGGCTACCATCGCTCACAATGGCAACACCATCACACACACTGCTCGAGTTCTCTTCATGGGCCAGGGATGCCTGGTAACACCTAACCATGTCAAGATCAAGGGCATGGAAGACTTTCAGGGTCCCATTATGCATACAGCCGAGTGGAAGCCGTTTGATTACGACAACAAGGACGTTGTTGTTATTGGAAACGGATGTTCTGCTGCTCAGGTCACCAGTGAGGTGGCCAAAACAGCGAAGTCAGTCACTCAGTTCGCCCGTTCTCCACAGTGGATTGTTCCACGGACTCCAGTCACTATTGGGCCTATTTTGCGGACCATTCTCAGTTGGTTCCCGTTCTTGATCCCTGTCCTGCGATTCTTCGTATTTTGCTTACTGGAAATGAATTGGAATATGTTCCGAGGAGGCTGGTGGTCCGACTTCGATCGGTCTATGCGAACCAAGGTGGCTGTGAAAATTGCCAAGAAGAACATGCCTGAAAAGTACCACGAAACAGCCATCCCCAAGTATCAGCTCGGATGTAAACGAATCATCTTCGATTGCGGCTACTGGGCAGCCTTGAAAATGGAGAGTGTGCTTCTGACCTTTGACAAGCTGGTTGAAGTTGGAAAGAACTCAGTCAAGGACATCAATGGCAACCAGTATCCGGCTGATCTGATTGTGGACGCTACGGGGTTCAACATTGGACGATCAATGACCTCTGTGGATGTGATTGGAGAGAACGGAATGCCTTTATCTGAATTCTGGGATGGCAAGGTCGCTGCGTACGAGACGGTCATGGTGCCTAACTACCCCAACATGTTCATGCTGTTCGGTCCCAATGCCACGACTGGACATAACTCAGTTATCTTCGGTATTGAGAACGGTCTCAAGTTTGTGGAGTCGGTTGCTTCCGATGTCATCCAGGGACGAAGTGACTACGTGACAGTGAAGCCCCAGGCATACGACCAGTGGGTGCAGCGAATCCAGGCTGCTATCAAACAGACCAACTTTGCCACGGGTGGGTGCGTGTCGTGGTACATGTCTGTTGGAGAAGCCACTCACAATGCCGTTTCCTATCCTTGGACCCAGCTGAGATTCTGGTGGAGAGCTCGATTCCCCCATTACGACGACATTTATGTTGAAAACAAATCTCAGAAGGTTACTCCAGGCAAAGCGATCAAGGCCGAGTAGTTTAGCTACAGTAGTAGCCCTTAGTGTCAGTTTAGGTCTAATATTATCCACGTGGTATATATACTTAACGACTCGTATCATAATATATACATGACCCTTTTGCGGATGTACTGTGGAAGTTGGTATCAAACTGGTATCGGTACTTGTGCGTACTTGTAGGTACAGTACGTACGAGTACTTGATTAGGGATGTTCATCTAGAATAATCTGCATCAACAAGGACAGTTGATGTTCCCAACAAAATAGGGACACACAATCATGTGGTTCAATTCCAACTTTTAGTCATCAAGTGTACACAGGAATAAAACCACAGGCAAACTTGATAGGGGTCACAAAGGCGATCATAAAAGTACATAGAAACATATAGCTTTGCGTTTATGGGGCTGCCGACTACTTGTACGAATAGTTACGTGGCCCGTACCCTCAAATGTAGATCGCCACCGCCTATCGGGGTTAGGTCGAAAACCTAATGACATAGAAAGTACTGGAAGCTCCTTCTATCTCAGTGTTTAAGAGATCGAGGTTCCTTCGCACAACCACACAACATTACCCCACAATCACACAATGAGCGACTTTGAAATCATCATCAAGTAAGTGAAACGAAAAGAAGCAATGTCTGCATCTTCAAAGCGCAATTACTAACCCAGGTCTTCTGACAAAAAGGTCCCGGTGTCTGTCAACAATGATACCCTCGTCTCCAAGGTCAAGGAGCAGATGGCAAAGGAGCTGGATATCCCTGCCGAGAGACAGCGACTCATCTACTCCGGCCGAGTGCTCAAGGATGGAGAGACCGTCGGATCTTATAACATCAAGGAGGGCCACTCCGTCCATCTTGTCAAGGGTGCTGCCCCCCAGGGCTCCTCCGCAGCTTCCGCCGCTAGCGCCACCTCCGCCATAACCAACACAGCTTCCTCCAATCCTGCTTCCACCGGAATTCCCAACAACATCGCCAGCGGTGCAGGTGCAGGAAACCCTCTGGCTGCGCTCACTGGAGCTCAGTTTGCTGGCCATGGTATCAACCCTCAGATGTTTGGAGATCAGTTTGGACAGCCTCCCTCCGAAGAGGACTTCATTAACATGATGCGACAACCCGGCTACAGAGAGTCCGTGGAGGCGATGCTCAACAACCCCCAGATGCTTGACATGATGATCAACTCTAACCCCCAGCTGGCCGCCATGGGCCCCCAGGCTCGACAGATGCTGCAAAGCGACCACATGCGACAGATGATGACTAACCCCGAGGTTATGCAGGGAATGATGCAGATCCAGAGAGCCATGAATCCCGAGGCTCAGGGCTCTGCTTTTCCCGCTCCTGGCGCTGCCCCCGGTGCCGGTGCCGGAACTGATGGCGCTGGTGCTGGAGCTGGTGCCGGTGCCGGTGGTGCTGCTGGGGGAGCCAACGCCAACAACATGGCCAACTTCATGCAAATGATGGGTGGTGGCGGATTTGGTGGATTGGGCGGTGGTAACGCTTTCTCTGCTCCTGCTGCTGAGCCCGAAGACACTCGACCCCCGGAGGAGCGTTACGAGTCTCAGCTGAGACAGCTCAACGAGCTTGGCTTTTACGAGTTTGACCGAAACGTTCGTGCTCTGCGACGAAGTGGAGGCAACGTGCAGGGAGCCATCGAGGCTCTTCTTGACGGTGGTGTTTAAGTCAAGAGATGATTAGAAGAGTGGGCTACCGGGGTGGGACAAACGGACGTTTCCGCTCAATGACAAACCAATGTACGCATATATATATTCATTTAGCTACGTGTACCAACTCCTGCATCAGCAGTATCAGAGTCAGAAAGTTGCAACTGTATTAATTATATTAAATGATTCAAACTACTGTTCCGGTGCTGCATGTACTGGCACATACAGGTACAAAAATGATCATACTGTAGATACTGTATACGAAATAATTGATGTTAAATAAAACAATGCACTAATATCTATAGGTCTATAATTAATGATACAATGACCTTGCCCAGATCAAACTTGATCTCCTCTTCGGTCAGGGATAACAAATCCAATCTCGGGAGCAGGTCGAGTGTAAGTGTCCTGGCTATCATCTGTGGTGCCACTCTCATCAACGACATGGATGTTTTGTCGAAGGTCTGTGGGGTTGGAGATGGCATCGATCTTGACATGGCCCTCGGGGTCTCGGGGGGTTCGATCTCGGCTTGCAGATCGGCTTCTGGAGAAGCTTCGAGTCATGGTCATTGTTCGAGACAGAGTGGTGGGGAGCTGTTTTCCCAGCATACTCACAGGGATTGTAATACCATGGACAACAACCGACGACAGAATGAGGAAGTACACTAGAGGGTACATGACGGTAATGAGCCAATGAGGGTCGTAAGTGTGGGCCTCACCATGCTCATTCTCTTCAACAAACTCATCAAGCTTGTTGAGAGCAGTGTGGAGGTAGAAGATGGCTCCAATACCAATGGGGCCAAAGAAGCCCGCGAATAGCGCTTCCTTGATATTCTTGATCGTTGGAATGAATTTGTAGAAAACAAGCATGGCGGGAAGTCGTCGGAAAACCAGTACACAGATTCCGCACAGCACAAACCGCCAGACGGGCAGGTTGAGGTGGGGCTGGTTGAACTGACCCCAAGGCATGACAACGCCGACCCACAGAAAGATTGCAAAATTGAGCATTAAATCCAATGTTGGTTGGAGTGTGTCGTCCTTGGTTTCCTCTCGGAACCAATCGTTCCAAGTGAACGCGTTTCCTGCAATGAAGGCAGCAAGTAGGTCGTCGGTTCCAATCATGCCTGCAGTTCCTAGAATAAACAGACCCAAAGCGAAGACGAAGACCAAGAAGGACTCATCGTCCACGAAGTTGAACTTCTTGGCATAACCAAGAAGCTCTTGGCCGAGATATCCGATCACGGCACCGTAGGCGACAGAAAGAAGAATCTCGTAGAGAATGGTCTCGACGATCCACTCCTTGGCAATCTTCGTGCCCGAGTATCTGTCAATGTAGAGAGCCAGGAAGAGGAAGGGGTATCCGAAGCCATCGTTAGCACCGGACTCCGCCGAAATGATGTTTCTCAACGACTCAGACACATACTTCTCGGCGAACTTGCCCTTGACGACGGAGTTGGACAGGACGGGATCAGTAGGGGTGACACACGAGCCAATGATAAGGGCGTCCAAGTATCGGAGGTTGGGGAAAATGAGCCAAATGATGAGGGCAGTGACGACCCACATGGTGGTCATGACAGGCACAAGAAGGAAGAAGAAGGATCTCCACTCCTTAACGAGGTACTTGGCTGGAAGCTGCACACCAGCGAGGACCAGCTGAATTCCTAGAACAAGCCGGGAGAATTCGAGGGTGATTTCACGGACGTTGCCGTATTCTTCTGGAATTACCCATTTCGCTTTATTGAAAATCAGTCCAAATAATAGAGCAGGGAGGGCTTCACCCATGTAGCAATGCTCCTTGACCACATAAGAAATCAGTCCAAAAACCAATGCGAATCCGCCAAGGCATGCTGTAACAATGTTGAAGTTGGAGATGTTGAGAACTGGCATCACTCAGAAAACGAAACAAGAAGATCCGCGAAGAGAGACGACAGCAAGAGGTGCAAAAAGGACGACGGGCCTACCTGATATCGAGGTGAAGGCGGAGAGTAGTGATTTTAGGGGACGACACTTTTGGGAGAGGGGTAGCTAGTGGAGCTACTAGTCGATGGAGAGCGTGAAGTGTTCTTGTGCGTTTCGGTGCACTTCTCAAGAGCAGGGATGCCGGCTTATGAGGAGGTTTTGCAACACTTGTTGGTGTAGCTGCCAAGACTTTTAAAGTCCGCGCTTCTTTGATGCACTAGCCCTTTGTCATATCGAACTTGGCATCATTGTGCCAACCGCAGCCAAGATCCTCCACCTGTGTGTCTCTCGCTTATCTCCATAGATCGTCAAATCTCCCTTCACTACATGCTTGGTCTACATGTTTCCAGGTTATATTCGTGATATTCCTCAGCCTACGGCCACCCCCTACTGTATTAACTGTTAGAGCAGGCTATGGTTTTGCGACCGCGGCTTGCGCTAACTTATTTTTGCCTCAAACAGAGTTCCTGCTCGCCAAATGGATTGAATCTTATTAGCTAGCGGGTGTTAGTTCTCTTTAATTCTTCTTTTTCCTCTACAAGTCCACAACGTAGGAGCAAAATTGTGGGTGGCAGATACATGTGTTTGGCGGCTGGACATGCGATGAGATAGGACCAAAACATGTGCTAATGGAGCATATGGTATCATGACAGGTGCTGTAGCAATCTCGCGAGCTTCACCAGATCATATCTTCATATTAGAAATACGAGCAGCTCAATTTTCCTATCGTGTGACACCGATACTCCCGCAACATATATATATATACAGTATGTGGACCTCTTTTCAGTTGCACACCCCTCGTCAAATTAGAGTGACTTTTGAATTTTGCGATTTACAGTCTCTTTCTGTTGACCAACTGCACCATGACTTCAGCGCACGTTTTGCGGCGGGGGAGGTAGGAAATCCGGAAATATGCGACTATTAATGAAAAACGCATGCCAAGAAATCCGGAGGAGGGCTGCTGCGAGAAGACTATGATACCCACCAAGCGGGTTATATAGTGGGATATAAGTTTCTGCCATTTCATGTTTGAGAAGTAAAAACCGTTAGGACTGATTAAACATGACCCTGGCTATTCGACAGAATATGCTTATGGCCTTGTCGTATGCGCAACTCATGGTATGGTTTGAACAGAAGACCTACGGCAAGTGCGCACGGCGTTAACTTTTTAAAATGCCCGACCAAAGATGGCCACTAGCATACGTGGTATCTCCTGTGCGTGCCAGATCGAGACAAAGAATCTCAACAGATATGGTCCATTCAAAACGTATAGAACTAAGACTCGCTACAAGCACTCGTACTGTACATACAGTACAAGTAATGCAAGGATGGTGGAACCACAACTCCATGTTATTAGACATTTACAGTAACTGTATTTTAACTCCGCCATCTGTTGAGAGCGGACACTTTGTTCACCATTAATTGCTTGCCCGAGTATAAGAGATATCACCGAAGAATTATGGTGTCGAGGGTGTGAATACACATGGAATGTTGCCCTGAAGATGAATGGGTAGCAGCAGTTTTAGACAGCCACAAATAGTTTCTGTACATCTCTATGGCCAAGAGCCCTTCAACCACGATGTGGCAGTGCCTGGTATGCACGTGATTATAATTAAGGTTGTCATTGGGACTACAGTAGTTTAACTATATTGCACTGACTGGTCATATGTGATTACCCTACTGGCAAGATGGGTTTTACGATGGCACATTATACAACTCGAGCTTTGTACACTCTGGTGATCGCTGTGTGGAGATTGTCATTCGTGTCTTTCGTCAAAGTAGTCCCAAGTCGGACAGCAGCTCATTGTCAGAAGACTGTTAATTTCAACTAAGTATGTTTGGTCTACAGCTTCATGAACTATTTTTTAAGTAAAAACAGAGGGTTAATTAAAAAGTCAAGTATATAACCTTCAGTCACTACCACAAAGAACTGTGTCCTGTTACTCGTACTGTAGCTACTGCTAAAAATATTTCGACTAAACATGACAATCACCTGAAAGTGCACGAATCATTGACAACTAAAAGACCACATGTTATCCTATTCATACGTTATCATGCGGTGCCAGAAGAGCGCCAATTCTCTACAGTCGAATCAGGACGCTGGTGAGGTTTGCCAAAGCTGTAGAAAACATACCTAAGAGGCTCGAATTACAGGGTATTTGCCCTTACTTACAGATTAAGCCGTCTCTCTAGATGTACTGTACCACTGTATAGCTCCACCATAGAGTCAGTCGGTAGCATCGTTTCATGAATTGTAAGCATAACCCTTGAAACGAGACCACCTATCTATCTACAGTATGGCCTAAAACCCTTGCACAGCATTCATTGAACATGTAGCAGCTGTGGGATTGAGAACTATTGCGGATCTACAGCTACTTGTAATTCTGATACCGCAGTGATTATACGTCTGACACAGGAGTTTAGATACAAGGCTCGTATATGCCAGGCTGTGGAACGAATGAATGAAAGCTGTACTTGTACATGGTGAGGGAGGAGGGGGAGAGTGTCAGCTACGTCTTAGTCGAGATCTATTAGAGATAAGGACACCGAGACAGTCTGTTTTCAAACGTAGTGAACTCCAAGGCTTCTCCCATACTTCCAGAAACTGACTACTTGTATAGACAGAATGGGCAGACGAGATAGGCAACAGGTTGAGTCTACGATATCTCTTCAAATTCACTGACCTTAGAAAGTACAAGTACAGTATTTGTAACGATCCCAATCGTTCTTATTAGTCTCTCAAAGTGAGAGCAGCGAATGAGTGGTTATGACACAGACAAGTGACGGGACCGACCTATGGGGCTCTACATGGGTTACAAGTTGTCACGGTTCGCATACAGCCATGTGACACTCCGAAACAGCGTCTAGGATAGCAGATATAGGACGGTTCGAGGATGATTACATTTCACATCTAGAAGAATTGGATTAGGAAGATCCTCCTGATACCGCTGGTCTCCATACATATCCGTCAAACTACTATACATACTGTAGGCTGCTGTACAAGTACATACAGAATATACTTGTGCTGTATTTGTGACATGTTCATGATAGTTATCGTTCTTATCCGAGCAATGCCCATTGAGCCGCCGTTCTCGCAGTCGCCATATTCACTCACCACCTCAGCTAGTGAAGTTCATAATATCTCCCCGTAACTTATTCGCCCGCTCTCCTCTTGATGTTACCGGGGCCACAGTATCTATGCTTCTGAGCTTGCAAGGTACCTGGTATGTAGAGCAATCCCAAGGCCAGAGCGAGGGGGTCCTGGGTGTGACACTTCAGGCTCTCTTGTTTGGGGGTAACTGTATCTTTGACTACTTGTGGTTCCACAACTCTCACTTCGCCGAGAACCGCCCTTGTTCAGGAAGAACCACCGGCATTCCCGAACGGAGATAACGGTCCACCTCAACAAAATAACGCCGTATCTATTACGGTACCAGATGATCAGCAGATACACACAATCAGTACAATACCAGATTCTACAGCATGCGCTATTGGCAACTAGATGTTGCAGATCAGGATGGATATCAGGGTCCTCAGACTGGTCCTGAAGTTGATTGGTAGAAAGGCCCGTCATGTGGTCGGATCTCCCAACCTCTGTGTCTCTTTATTGGTCTCATAGGCCTCACCATCATCAACCTCGTCATCAACCTCACCATAAACCTCAGTCCTGATGACACCCCGCACCCCAAGCTTCTAAGAAATATTTTGATACTGGTGTGTTTCCACATCAGTAAATCTGTCAAACTTTCAATAAATTGTACTTATACAATACAAGTACTTATTACACGAGTAATTTGTTAATCAATACGCTTAATGAATGAGACCACATGTATGAGCTCCCCAAGGTATCATACCACACCACCGTACATACAGTACTCGCAGAATGTAGGGGTATGGGGTAATAATACTGTTCCTCATTATTTCGAATTTTTAGAGTATTAGGCGTAGCCCAAGCACTTGATAATCCTCCCAAGCCCCAAGTGGCCTTATTTCAGAGAGTCATGTATAGCCTAATCTTATTTCGGTGAAATTGAACATCTCGCGATAGTCATAGCTAATTAATTAAGTACGAAAACCCCCTTCATGACGTGGCCCAATTTTACAACGACGATAAATCACTCATTTTCCCCGTTTTTTGTGAGTATTGAGGCTTTGCAGCATCTGTACATGGGTAGTTGACAAAGAAAAACTCAAATTACTAAAAAACCACATTGGCCGAAACTCAACACGCCTAGCGCGCTAGGCTACAATGGAGGCACTCAGTCGGACAGCATAAGAGAGTCAGAACTGGGACAGTTATCGTCTTGTGGCCCCGAGCTGGTGTCAGAGGTGGGACTGTCAGCAAATAGCGAGGGTGGGACCTTCGAAAAGGGACCGGCACGTCGTGTGGACCGCTGTCGTGTGGACTGCTGTCGTGTAGACTGCTGTCGTGTAGAGTCCTCCTGTGTGGGCTCCTCCTGTGTGGGCTCCTCCTGTGTGGGCTCCTCCCCCGTAGACCGTGCTGATCGCTCTCGCCTAGCGTTGCCGCGGTCTTCCCTGGCGCCAATGGCTGCGAAAACGTCCTGGCTCGAAATTACTTGATCAGGTGCGCTTCGGTTTACTCTGATTCTCTTCGTTTTGCTTCTGACGATGTCGATTTCGTGCTGTCGCATAGTGGCATCCTCTTGCATGTGATACAAGTCACCCACCAGTCTATCGATCATCTCAACAAATGGCTTTAAGCCGTGAATGAGGAAATCTCGCATCGCGGGATGCGTGCTATGAGCCCATGTAAGAAGGGCGTTTCCACCTGTAGGTGGATTCTCCATGGGCGGGTACGTTTCTTTGCAGAAAATCTTCTCAATACAATCGTCGTGATGCCAGTGCGAGCTGGAAAAGTTGTGGAAAGCCTGTTGTGAGCCGAGTGTTTCGTCAGCGTCAACCTGGTTGGCGTTGTTTTGACGTTCCAATAGTTCCTCGTTCACAGCTGCTAAGAACTCGTAATCGCTGGCGTCCATGGCACCATCGTTGACAATAATGTCAGAGGCACTAACGTCAGAGTCACTAGAATCACTAGAGCCACTGCCGTCACTTTCAGACTCGCTGGTACACTTGTACGTTTCATCATGGGTGTCGTCATGAATGGAATTTTCAAGCTCTTCCAGGCTTGGCTGCAATGGCATATCGGGGACAGCGGGAGTTGGTGTGTTGATCGGAAAGATTGCTCTAACCGTGTCTTGAGAGGTGTAATCTTGCCTCACAGCTCCGAGCGGCTCCTTGTTTCCATTCTCACGAATCAGCCTCGGATTGGAGCGAATTTTTTCGGGGTCGAGTGGCCACAGTCCGCTGGCTCTCCATCCAGACGCTATGTTGCTCTCGGTAAGAGCCTTCTCACGCACCTCGTTGATCACAGTCAAGAATACGTGCGGCCCTGCGTCAGTGAGGTTTCCCACCTTTCCCTCATTGCCAGCCAAGTCTTTGTACCAATGTTTCATGGAGCTGAACACACCCACATCAAGCGGCTGGGTAATGTGGCTGGTGTGGGGTGGTAAGAGAACCGTAGTGATGTTGTGCTCGATGCATTTCAGGAGAAACCTCTTCTGCGTGTGGCTGTGATGCCCATCCATATAGAGTATTCGACGAATATGAGGGGCGTCGTTCCCATATTTGTCTTTCGGCATCGTGTCAGGAATAAAAACCTGCGTCAACCATTTCCAGGCAGTGTTGTTGTTCGTGAAGCCAGAATCTGAGAATTCGAACACCATGTCCTTGTAATCTTCCGCACGAGATCCCTTCGGAAACCATTGACCCTGCACGGTTTTTCCCTTGAAGATCACCAAGGCCCTCGTGCTTTTTCCAGTTGCCGAGACTGTTTCAATAACCGTTGTAGTTGCGCTTCTGCCAGTGACAGATTGAATGGCAGGTTCACCCCTGAGTCCAACCACTTGTCCGCCTCTTCCTTCTCCTTGTTGGAACCCAGTTTCGTCCATGTTCCAGCGGTTCTCTGGAAGGACCTCCTCCAGAGTCTGGGAGGTGATAGTTGTAATGAATTCTTCGAGTTTATCGTGTGTCGTGCCATCGATTCTGGCTTGTTCCAAAGACACGGGCCGCTTGACTTCGAGAAGATTATGACGAGTAACGAAGTTGGAAGCCCAGTTCTTGCCCACGGTTTCAGTGTTGCCGTTCGCTTTGAGCAGGTAGTTGGCAATCTTTGAGATGTCCTTTAGCTTGACGGGTCTGGCAATGGAGTGTTGGAATTTAACGTGGTCCAACAGACCCCGCTCGTGAGCCTCTGACAATTTTTTATTGTTGCTATGAGCCCAATTCATTTTAAGCGCCAATTCCTTGTAGGAAATTCTCATCTTCTCGATCCAGTCGGGCTGTAGAGAACCATGTTGTTTCAGTAGACGGATCCTCCACGAGACGGTAGAATCAGGAACGTTCCATTTTTTGCCTGCTGCTTTGTGAGTTGAGTTGGTCCTGATCACCTCCATGCAGGCTTTGTAGAGGCTCTCTGGTGGGTACTGCTTCCTCTTCCGCCTCTCTTGATTGTTGAGCATCGCTGTTTCAGGTAAGGTGATCTGAGTGGATGTGAGTTGATAGCTACAGTAGCTATCAGAACATAGCTATTGGAGATACGGGTTGGCACAGTCACAATTGACGTGTCTTGGTCTATGGGTCATGTGCATGTATCTTTGGGGCCAACCTCTTTTGAACTAAACCTCCCCAGCACTTACTATACTACAATAGACGTGATTGTTGCTATCCAACAGACGGAAAGAATCATGTTCTCCGTCCCCCTACAAAACCCCTACTCTAGACAGTCACTGTAAATTCAGCCAATCAAATCGGCCACCCTGAGTCAAATAAAGTTTGGAGGTTGCTAATTTTGTGCATCAGAGACGCACAAATAAGGCCACTTGGGGCTTGGGAGGATTATCAAGTGCTTGGGCTACGCCTATTCCGTCACAAAATTTTACACTGACCTGGCCAATAGCGTGTATGGAAACCACTGATACTGAGACAAGTCACTGCAGTACGCAGGAGAACATGTCCCGGAAGGCTTGCACTTTTTGCACTAAATTCTAATATTATACAAGGATGAGTACAATACGTTGACAGTGCGGCTCAACACGTTTACTCTGACCAACATACGTCATCATCCTCTTTGCAAAGACAGGAAGCTAAAAGTCCAACGTGCCATGAGTTTAACGGGTGAGTGGGATCGGCAATCGAACCTAGTAGCCGCTATCTTCCCCACAACGGGGCCTTCATCCGCTTCATTGAGCCCACTTGCCTTCAGGTGATTGTTCTAGTTGTGAGACCAAGAAGCAACAATTATCCTCTTACGTGCTCGGCTCGGCAGGTAAACTTCATGGCATAGATACGCGCTACAGTATGTACTTGTAGCCACTTGATGGAACTTGCTACAAATTCACAACCAAAATAGTTGCATGAAGTTGCCTCTTTCATGTGGGGTTGAAACCGCGCAATTATGTGAGAGCTAGTAGAGCTAAGGGAAATGGAGCGGCAGAAACTCGGACGAAATATTGCTCAGAAATACAGTACGTTATTCCTGAAGATTATTACCGACTCCCGATAAGTTCGGTATCTGGGTTATACTGCGCACAAAGTTTCTCTAGTGCGGCATGAGGGTGCTATCAAGAGGCTATGTGTGGTGCACTGTGTGCACTGTGACATCTGTTTTTATGTGAGCCTCGGGTTCCATCATGAGCTACAAGTAGCCACTTGTACTGTACTGTAACAGAATTCCAGGTCTAACTAAATTTAAAATGAGACACCAAGCTTCAAAAACTTCGCTATTCTCGTAACTGTGACCCACCTGAGTGTCAGGACGTCCGCTTTCAGGGGATGCCTTGAAGCTAGAACATACTTACAAGTTGTCGTTTTGCGGAAACTCGATGAACTTACCTTTAGTCCAATAGCCGGTCTAGTTCAGTGTGCAATTAAGACATTATGTTTCGTCCATATTTCCGATCAGCCCCCAGCTTCTAAATGAGACGTAGCTCCAAGCCCCAATGACGAGGTCCAAAAACTGCACTGATTTGTACCAGAGACGAACACTAAAAGGCTTCTGCATGTGTCTTTGGTCATGTGGCCGCAAGTGTCTGACAAGATATTATGCGTGGATGGTCTGTAGAGAATAATGAGATCTCACGCAAAAGTACCGGATGTGGGGTAAGGGGAGTTTACCCCAACAGCTGCTCCAAAAAAATAATTCACTTGACAGCCTCTCTCTTGGCGTTTTCGAGTTTCCTGATGGCTTGCCCATGGCAAATCATTGTAGATCATGTATGGTGCTCCAGATTGGGTCAGCAGGATGCAGCTCACATGCACACCTTTGTGCACTCTTTTAACTCCATGGCCTACTGCTGCACACCTGACAACTACAAGTAACTACTGACAGATAGCAATGTACATAAACGGTAGATGCACGTCGTGCGGTAGTCCGTAATGTTAGCTCAATTGACACCTCGGATATCCGTATTAATTAGCAGATCTTCTAATAATAATCCCACTCTTTTCGCCACTACACGACTCACCGCACAAACGGTTATCAAAAACAACGAAACAAGCTACATGCCACACAAAGCCCTACGATAAAGGACAAAACGATACGCTGCACTCCAGTTTCGGGGAATAGACAGCTGAAAACGTTTTCCCAGTTATTAATACGTCACATATCCCAAGCACCAGGGGATCAAACCTCGCAGTACACTTCCTTCAGCATAGCACACCTGAAACCAACCTACATATCCATCGTCGGCAACGTCTCATCTGAAACAAAAGGGTATTCATTTTCTCCAGAGTGCAGAGTCCAAAACTCAATACACGATTATCCCCCAAGAACATGAAAGCCGTTCCTGCGCAAAATGGCTTCTTATAAACCCTATCCAGGATCGGATTCCAGCAACCCTACGAGCTCTCCAGGTGAAGCCAACAATAACCACTACTCCACTCCGAGACTCTCATCACCAGCAGCAGCTGAGAGTAACAGACACACTTCAGTTTCGACCTTGCCCGCAACCGCAGAGTGGGATCAGTTGCCGTATCCTTCCTTCAACAACTCAATACACCATAAGTCACAGAGATCTACATCGCCTCGTTCACCACGAAGTCCAATGTTGCCACCTCAAACAATCAGCAACCGGAGATTCTCTCCCAGGGAGTCTCCTGCCATCTCAAGGCAGCCATCCCAACGAACCAGAGCCAGATCATCCACCGTCACTTCTGATGATGGTCGTTCTGTGTTCATGTCTGAGTTCCGCAAGCATTCTGGATCAGGAGCGCGACCAGATATGAAAGGCTTGTATGCAGATCAAGTTGGATCTGAACAGGCTATTGCATCTGATGACGACTCTCTTGTTATCCCAGGGACCATGCCCAGATCCAATCCAATTCCCAGATCTGAGATCGAATCCGAACCCATGGAGCGGACCTCATCATCGAAGAGGTCTTCCAAGATATTCACAAGAGGCCGAGTCTCCCCTGACGGCTCTATTGCTGGTGACGACTCCGAGTCTGGGTTCATGGCAAAGGTGTCCAAACTGTTGAAGACCAAAGAGAGCAAACAAGACCTCATCAATGACATTCTGGCAGATGAAGCGGCCAACGGAAACTCCCAAATGTACGAGGAGCATTACCAACAAATGCAAGCAGGGACTCTGCCTGTTGAAACGCAACCCTCAGCCGTAGCGTTCTCACCACAATACCCACTTCCATACCACTACCCCGAAACTGTGGCTCATATACAGATACCCCCAGCTGGAACTCAGCTCGACAAGTCTGCTGAGTATGACCTTATGATGCAACGACAACAAGAAGAGTTTGCAGCTGATTTGGAACCGGGTGATTCAAAGGTGCCCAAAAGGAAGTCCAATTCAAAGAAGAGCAGGAGTGCTTCGCCTTCCCTTCATGGCATTGGAATTGATGGAATTGATGGCATGATGATGGTAGATGGCTCGATCGACCCTCTGACCGCGGGCCATTTTACACACAGCAAGCATCATCGTTCCAAGTCCAAGACATCCAAAAAGTCACCGACAATGTCACCTGCGATGCTACCCACTAACCCACAATCCAAGACGGTGCCCTACCCGTCTCACCTTTCTCGAAACTCGAGTCCGCCCATTGACATCCTAGAGCTGTCTGCTTTGGATAAACCTTCAAGCAGCCGTCGCAAGATGAAGCGATCTAGTAAGAAGAGTCAAACCGACTATGGCAAGATCATGCGCCACCTGTATAACTCGATCCCGTCTCTCGATGTCATTGTCAAAGTAGTCATGGAGCCTGTCGAAACTGCAAGAAAGTCTGAATATCCCAATTTGGCAATTGTTATTGCTGTGGTAGAGCTGCTAGTGTTTATTTGGTTGCTTTATCAGGCAATAATCATTGTTGAATTTGCATGTGCCGTTATTCGGTTCATTTGTTATCCGGCCATCTACATCCTGAAGGCCATTGCGTCTCCATTTGCATCCATAAAGAGAGTCTGACTACAAGTAGGAGGAGTTCATAGAGTCTTAGACAAACACAATATCAATGTTAGATTTTCCTACACCCGCTTGTATTAGCACCTACAATAAGGTTCGTATTCATCACTAAGATAGAACAGTTCGTCTATTAAATACATTCCCAACCTTTCTATATTAGTCTAATCAAGGCATAGTCATTCATGCCATTCAATGTCAATGTGTTAAGCCTCAAGTTCCTTGACTTCAGGAGCCTCATTGACCTCAAGATCCTTGTTTTCGGTGGTTCCCTTCTCCTGCTTCTCCTTCTCCTTCTCTTCCTTTTCTCGTCGCATCATCTCCTTGAGATCATCTTCTGATGGTTCGTACATGTGCCAAACGGTGTAGTGAGGCAGCCCTCGTACAGTGAAGCCCATCTTCTTGCACATCTTTCCGAAAGCCTCGGTCTCAGCATGGTTCTCAAAAGTGAAACCGGTGAAGTGAGCACCTGACAGGAACACACGAGATCGGGCGAGAATGGAAACACCTCCAATACCGTCGAGATCAACCTGTTCATCAGGGTTACCGTCAGCGTTTCTGACGTATGCCAGATGGGGCCGGTACGTAGGGTACTCAGCGTAACCCTCCACGATGACCTCATCCTCGTCCAGTGTAGCAGCGAGATCAAGGGCAGGCTGGGACTCCTGCCACGAGTTCAGGTCGTAGGGCTGCTCACTTCCCAGCCAATCAGGCAGAGGTCTCCACACATTAGGAACAATGACATCAACGTTATGCTTCATCAGATCCTCGATGATGGTGGGAGGTGAGGTCTCAATGTCGGCATCACGCCAGTAGACCCAGGAATGTGTGGGCTCCAGCAGAGAAGAGAGGAGCCAGTTTCGGGCCCGGCCCATGAGCTTCCTTCGAACACCTTGGACAGCAACGCCGTGTCTGTCAGAGAAGTCTGTACCGACAGCAGATCCAAAGTCACGGAACAGAAGGGTGATCTTGTTGAAAGGCATTTTGGGGTCGGCGTCGCTCTGGATCGAGTTGATCTCATCCTCCAGCACATTGACGGTATTGTCATCCGTGTCCGAGATGAGAAAAGCGAGATCAATTAGGTTGTGGTCATATGTGAGGTTTCGGAGATGCGAGGCCATGATAGGAACCACCTTTTCTACGTTTCGCAGGGGCATGCACACCAAAACGCGTTGGTTCAGGGGACTGTTTTTGCTCCAGTCACCGGCTGCGTCACGTAGATCGACAAAGCTGACCTCACCAAGGGGCTTTCTGTGAGCCTCAGCAGGGCTCTGTGAGCTTATGGATCCCTGCTTTATCGAATCCGACACGTACTGCTTGTATCCCTGTACCGATTGAAGCACGTCGGAGTAGCTGACCTCGTGGTGCGAACCAAAAAGGAACACAATCAACGTCACAGCCACAAAAACAGCAGCTAGACGGAGCTTTGTGATTTGTGGGACCTGCAGGTTTGGTCGTGATAATGGCGACGGCTTTCTTGGCTTAAAATCGGTTCTGTAGTCGACTCCACCAGTCTTTTCGTACTTGGGCAGCTCGTTGGGCTTTTTGTCTCTCGAAATCATCTCGAGGCGTGATGCAGAAATGAAGGGAAGCCGTGTGTCGTGTGGCGATGGAGAGGACGTCGGTGCCTAGCTACTGTAAGTGGATAAGCGAAAGAGCTCAATGCTAGCCGTGGGGGATATGCAAGTATTATGTTATGGCGCGAAAGACCGCAATCCAGGCTGAGAACTTAATGCATGTCTCATTAGTAGAACCTTGTCACCAAACTCCACGTGGCCAGTTTCGGAATATCAGATTTATGGACCCTGATATTTTTATTGGACCAGAGTGTGGGTATCAGTCCCGGAACCCCACCTGCTCAGCTCATTTTCTCTTAAATGGAGTTTCCGAGGCACCAAGGAGTTTCTTGTTTACACTGGCGGTAACCTTAGGGCGTACCTGCGTCGGACACGTGGATTTTACGTGCGAACTCATGCGTGAGAAACAAAGACCATGACAGCTCTCTCAAGTGCTCATCTTCTTCCCAGTTGTCCATATCTGGCCAGTCCAACAGACTGCTCGGCTGAAGAGGCTCCTAAAACGCGGCCCAGAACAATAGAAAAGGCTTGTATTGATGCAACCAAAAAAAAAAGACTCGCGTAAAGCCTACTTGAGTGAATTCAAAAGACTGCTGCTACTACAGTACTGCCGCTACCATGCCTTGTAATTGTATGAGGAAATGTTCGCTCCTGAGATTGTCCTCCCGTTTTTAATGTTTCAGGTTCGTGGGCATGTCGGTTTAGCCCAACTCTCACACACCCTACCCCAGAAACAGTGCATGTATAAGGATGTCTATCACCGGGGAATATACAGAACTAACCATTATTAGATATTGGTAATTAACACAAGTAACCTATGGACCCCTTTCACATACAATGTACCAGTACTTGCACACTGTACCTCGGTTCACTGTCCTCTTTAGGTTCCTCCACCACTCTGGTCGCAATTCTCGCGTTGATGGTAAACAACTCAAGTACGATCTCTATTTTGGGTTGTCTGCTCCATCTTTGGAGCATTTATACTGTACGACTACCGAATGTAGCTACCACTGAGTATGCCTAACCATCTCGTTAAGATGTGTACCATTGAGGTATAACGACAAGTGAAGAACATACAGAGCTGCTGTTGTAAGGTGAGGTCCGAACTTGCTGATTACGCGCTCAAATGACACTGAGACAGGGGGAACAAAGCGCCCCTCAAACTTTTTTCAATGAGGGTATTACATTAGGGCCTGATCCGGTATCATTATTGCGAATTATGAACGTGCTTACAGAGAGATAACAGACGCTGCAGCTCCATTACCCGTGAGTATCGCTATGCGATGAGAGCTGCATGCCAAGAGCTGTTGGAGGCCCCTATACGAAACTGACATAATATTGGGAGTGTGGCGTGCCATACAGTAGCTACACCTAAGTAATAGATACAAGAAGCATGGGATCCCGCTGTTTCTCAATTCTCAACTAATGGCCAAAAAAAGCTTCCTCGATCATATCGATTCTTCCCCGTCTCATCTACGCACAGTGCCCAATTCAAATATAAAATAGCATAGGTGTATATACTCTACTCGTGCAGACGATAAGAGCAATAAAACCAGTACATCGGTAGGTTCTTAGTGGACTCTCTGGAGTCCGCTTTCCTCAGGTCTCCACCACTCTTCATCCAGAGCATCCCAGGTCTCCTGGGCAAGCTCCTGAGCTCGCTCAGTGGAGGCGGCCTTAGCATCAATGTAAATCTTGAGCTTGGGCTCAGTTCCACTACCTCGAGCAGTGAATCTAATAAACTCATCGGGGTTATCGTGAGTGGCCAGAGTGGCAGTGATCATCTCAGTAGATGGAGAAACAGGAAGAGTGGGCTTGTGGTCAGGAGTGGTGGAGTCGTAACCAGTGGTAAGATCTCTCCAGCTGGTCACATCAAAGGGACCAATGGTCTTGGGGTAGTCGCCCTTCTGAAATCTACCTTTGAAGTAGGATCGAACATGCTTGAATGCTTCAGTGGTGAGCTCAGGAGTCTTGGCAATATAGTAGCCGTTCTTCTCAGCAAAATGGCCGTATTTGTCATAGAGAGAGTTGAGCTTCTCAATAAGCTTGGCGCCTCCTCCATAGGCCTGAGCCAGCTGAAGGAAGACGAGTGACGCGCTCACGCCGTCCTTGTCATGTACACCGGGGAACATATATCCAATAGCCTCCTCGTAGGCAAAGGGCACAGTGTAGCCCTCCTTCTCGAGATCAATAGCTCGGTTTCCGATCCACTTGAAGCCAGTAAGAGTATCTTCATACAGGAAGCCCTCCTTCTCAGCCATGAATTTCAGCATCTGAGAAGAGACTGTGGAGTTGAGCATCGCAATCTTCTTGCCAGAGTTCTTGTACTGATCCCACTGGTAAGCAGAAAACAGGATACCAATCTGGTTTCCAGTGAGCTGCACCCACTTATCTCCGTTCTCCTTGACAGCAACAGCGAATCGGTCAGCATCGGGATCGTTAGCAACAATGAGATCAGCCCCCTGAGCATCACCGAGTTTCATAGCGAGATCGAGCGCGCCGTGCTCTTCGGGGTTAGGGAATGCTACTGTGGGGAAATCGGGGTTGGGCTCCTGCTGCTTTCGAACAGAGAAAACATCTTCCAGAGGAATGCCAAAGAGCTTGAATGCCTCAATAGAAGGCAGGTAGCCGACACCATGCATGGCAGTGTAGACGACACCCGAAGCCAGAGGGCCGGAGGGCTCAAACTTGTGGTGCACCAGGTTCTTTAGGTTGTCGTTATACTTTTGCTGCATCTCTGTTCGGTTGTCGATAGTCTCTCCCTCAATGAGCTTGTCCAACTTTGACAGGTCCCATTCAAACTTGGTGGTCTTGTCAGCGAGAGCGTCAATCTCGGCGGCAATGCCAGTATCATGGGGAGGGATAATCTGGCATCCGTTTCCCCAGTAGACCTTGTAGCCGTTGTCAGCCGCGGGGTTGTGGGATGCGGTCACCATGACACCACAAGAGGCTCCAAGGGCATCAATGGCGAAAGGAACGATGGGTGTGTGGACAAGGCCCTTGAACAGGTACACCTTGAAGCCCTTGTTGACGAAGGCCAGGGCTGTGAGCTTGGCAAACTGTTCGGAGTTGTGCCGATGATCATGGCCAATGACCACACCCTTGGAGGTGGCGTCGGGGACTTCTCGATCTACGTAGGAGGCGAGTCCAATAGAGGCCTGCAAAACGGTCACGTCATTCATTCGCGCGAATCCAGCCTCCATTCGAGCACGAAGTCCAGCAGTTCCAAATGAGATCCGCTTGCTGAGCAGAGTCTCCAGCTGCTTGGTGTCATTGGCGGTCTGCAGATCCTCAATCTGCTTTCGGGTGACGGGGTTCTGGTCGAGATCAAGCCATTGCTTTACTAGAGTGGTTGTCATTTTGATAGTTGTTCTGTTGTTCGTAAGTGGAAGCTTTCAGAACGACTGCAAGGTTCGATAATGGATCGATGCATCTCCCAGGTTGTGAGTATTGAACCCAAATTTCGGCACTTCCGTAGGTCCCAAATGAAAGGGCTTAAAAGAGGGCATGGGCCTCGTAGAACCAGTGACACTCGACATCGAAGCCGACCGAGCTCTCAATCGATGTTCACTGACCTAGCCATGACGGCATTTTCTCGATTTTGTCGCTAAGCTGCAACTACTGGACCGGTACCGATTCTTGTACAACTTCACACTGAGAACTTCTTAGTCATCTCAAGAACGCACATAACTACAAGTCGCTAATTAAAAAACAAACAAACGGAAACACTGTTCTCATTACGGTATCCTTGGTAACACTTCAATACAACATCTCAAGACTCAGAACCAACGATAATGCACCTCTGCTTCTTCCGTTGCCACTCTTCAATAAATCTCAGCGTCAACTGCAAGAAGACTCCACAACCACCAAGGAACCGCAGAAAACATTAAAGTCGGTTACAGTACATACTGTGTAGATCTCTCCCCTGTCCCACTCTCACACTCACTTTAAAGTGTGCTTCACTCTGCGCGACTGAGCAAATAAGACGACCATTGCGAGCACATTTACAAGCCATGAGCAAATTAGTGCGCAAATTGAAGATTTATATATAAGCCTGACTGGCCCTTGGCCTGTGCACATTCCAGAACACATATTACACATGATACCTGCAACTGCGCTTCTTGGCCACATTTCGACTTGACCCTGCCAAGATCACTGCACACCAACATCATCACATCATGATTGTGATACCCCCGCAAAGTAAGATTCCCTACATGTATACAAGCACATGACGATACCATTGGACCTGGTGGTGGCCCTACATTCTCTCACACACAACAGCCTGTAAGTGTCTACTGTACATGCTGTGACATCACACACATCTCGGATTAGAACAGCAAGTGTTTCATTTTTTCATGGTCATCTATCTGAGTCATTACATACATAAATTAGAGAAGAGCAGCGGCGGCGAAAATGGCGGCACCACCGACAACAATCTGAGAAACACCAGAGATACCAGCACCGTTGGCGTTGGCAGCAGCAGTTCCAGAAGGCTTGCCAGAAGCGGTGTGGTTGGAGGTGGAGTTTCCACCAGCAACTGCGGAGCCCTTCTTGAGCTCAATGTTAGCGCAAGCAAGTCGGGAAGTGTTGGGGGCATGGATAACGACGGAGACGTTGCCGAGGAAAGCACCAATGCCGTCCTTAGTGGAAGCGTAGAGCTCGGTGTACTCAGTGTGGAAGTGGGTGGTGGAACCGTTGGCTGAGGGGATCTTGCCGTGCTTGCCGGAAAGGTCACCAACCTCACAAGTCTCTGGCTTGGAGGCGTCACACTCAGGCTTCTGACCTCGCTGGTAGGGGTCAAGGTGAGCCAAAGTGGCGGCGCAGGAGCCGTTGGCGGGAACGGGCAGGGCGTGGATGTGGTAAGGGTAGGGACCCTCGACGCCGTCGAACTTACCCTCAAGGTCGACCGAGACATCAACACCGGTTCCGTTCTTAGCAGCAGTGAAGGTGATCTTTCCCTTAACGGTTCCCTCCTTGTCAAAAACGACCTCGTAGACTTCGCCAACGGGGTTGTCGTTGATGATGGCAGCATCGCCGAGCTTGCCGGTGACACCGTCGGTGGTGTTCTTCTGGGCCAGAGCAGCGGCGGCCAGGGTGGAGACGACAACAGACTTGAAAAGCATTTGTGTAATGTGCGAAAGCTATGTAAGGAAAGAAAAACTAAGATGGGGGGGGCAAAGTAGGTATTTAAGTAGACAGCGACAGAACACAAAAGGACGATCGATCTTCCCAAGATGAATGTCTGTGTTCCCTTATTAGGCATGGGCGTATTATTAGACTTCCGTCTAGCCTTGGCTAAGGTACCGTGCATGGGATGCTGTACACGGAGGAGCTTACATGGTTATATTCAGGGGCGAACAGATCTGAGTAAGTAAAATAGTCACGATACTTCAGGGTGTTGGTATTTTCATCGTATTTACTAGCAGATCTCAATGAATGTGTTTTTGATAATAGTCTGTCTTGTGTGGGAACATCGATTACCACCAGATGAACCGAAATGTATGTGTAGCCTCACATCTGCATGCGTTGATTGAAAGTCTAAAGAAACGTGAAAGCAGAGAAAGAAAGGCATCGGGGTAAAAAGTGTCGGTGGGTCCGTGTATCCAAAACCATACAAGACAGCTGCGAAAGTTGGGGTTGTAGGTATATATGTCGACTCTGTAGTTGTTGTAGATAGAAGGATGACGCGATACCTTCATTACGAATACCAATTACACCCACAAACAGTGCTGTTTCTCCTGGAATGCGTTATTTTTCCTTCCTGGGAATGATTATCAGATGCGGTTGTGTTGATTTCTCGTGTGGGATGCACAATGATGCGATTGACAACCGAAAAAGACAAAACGAGTGAGAAAGAATTACAAGGAAATTACGGTAGGCGCGGAAAGAAAAAAATCGATCGCTAAGTTGAGAAGACGGGTAGAACGCAGATTCAATTGGCCAGATAAGACTGTTGTTTTGAAACATCCCCGCCCACCGCCGTGTAAGTGTACTCCAGATGCAGCTACAATAACACACTACCTGTTAAAACGCGAGAAACTGGAACCAATCAGTGGTGCACCTTGCTATGTGAAAGCCTCCATATTTTTTCTGCAGGCATACAAAGGGGCACACTCTTTTCGGGCGCGGGTCTTGAGACAAGCGTGCCACCAGGTACCAAACTCTCAGCGCCCCTTCTTGGCAATTGACCAGCAGAATTCATGGCTCGGCAATGCCTACAGCCGTTGTTGGGGACCGTTCTCAAGAGTGACAGAGATGTAGTTCGCGGGGGTTCGAAAATAGCTCTAAAGGTTCCTGACCTTGGTGGCCCTAATGACCATTGCATTAAAGAGAAGGCCGAGGATCTACTCGTAGCTTTCAGGGCAGGTGAAAAAGCCAACCTCCACGGTTTGCATTTAATCAGATAAATCAACATTAGAAAGATCAGCAGGAAGCGTGTACTAGGGTCCAAACTTTGCGAGGAAGCGTTTTTATTGGGTCAAAACTGTTACCTCCACAGATTGAAGATCTCGGCTCTTCGGACTGCAGTTAACGCGACATGATTTTTAGAACTTCACTGTTACTTGTAGCGTATTGTTGGTACTGCAACAATGTTCCGAGACTGATGCAAACCGCTGGAACCAGCAGGCCTAACGTAGTGTGACTCATGGCAGGATTTCCTCAATTGAAGATCTACGAGTACGAGCTCCGTCCAAGGTTCCGATGGAGTCTCAGTTTGTTCAGCGGAAGCGAGAAACGAGGAAACGAGCAGCAAGCAACAAACGCTCACAGCTCTCGAGCATACTGGCGCATGTGCCGTGTATACGGGGAGAGTCGCATATAAGGGGTCTGATGCAACGCCAAATGAGAATTCTTACAAGAATGCGTTGACGTCAAAAGCGCTGCCCACCTACAAGTAGTCCATGGACAAAGGTCTGGACACTGCGGTTCACGGTGGCTAATATTATGGCTTTCACACCAGCTTGTGCAATGACTGTTTACCTCACGGTTTGAGTCTGAGTCAATGGTTAGAGGAATACGGCGGCAAACCCTCCCCCTCGGCATGAGCCTGAGGGGAACAAGAGATAGGCAGTCATAAACCCAGCCTTGTGTCAAAACATCAACTATAAGAACCGGTTTTTTCCTTGGCCGATGTTCCTGGGTTGCTACAAGACGGAGAATAGCAGGTTATATGGCTATACACTAACAAGAGCGTCTCTTTAACGCTTCAATCTTATGCAGTGTCGAAACTGTTCCTTGATGACGATCCTCGGAGGAGGCAACAAGCGCCTATGGGTCGTTACCCGGACGCGAGCACTCGTACAATACCAGCACATACTGTAAACGACACTCTAACTTTCGAGAGACCGAGCTTTTGGCTTCCAGTTACCCGGACCACCTGCACACGTACACACGGTGTGTGGGTGGTTTTGGAGTTACCGATCATAGCCGGGCCGTGGAATATAAAGCAGGTTGTCTTACCAGAATGAGGGACGGCTTGAAAGGTGGGTAAACGAAAGTTTTAGACAGCGACACAAGAGGTGGAGGTCTGCGTTTTATAAAACAAAGGAAAGGAGGCATGGATCCACTGTTTTGATACCTTATCAGGGCGACTAAGAGATTATCCAGATATGAGCACCTCTGCTATTGCGCCTCCACCTTTCTGACGTGCGCTATCACGGTCGTATCGCTCTAGCCAAGCTCGTTTGGACAACTCCGATATCGCCAGTGGAGACATCTAAGCTTTGTCAGGGCCTTCCGCGCTTTTTACACAGGACTCGGCTTTAAATGTCATGTGATGTACGATACAGTATTTTTAGGTAGACATTGGAGATGCGAGCACAACGGTATATGTTGGCTACTTGTAGTGGTGTCAGCCCTGGCATTCCTCCTTTAAAGCTCACTTATCACGGCTCCCATGTATGCTGTACCTCGGCATGCTTACAAATTTGCCACATGTTAGTAATATATCCTTACGGTGAACGTTGTCAGAGGTGACTAATTGACCCATTCTGCCGCTTAGCTGTAGGTGTTCTCGAACATTCATCTAATGGCGTGATAAACTCAACTGACCAAATGGTGACTGAGGGGATGTAATAACAAGAGACGCTTACTGATCCGCAATATATATATGTGACACCACATATTTTCTCCTTCGTCGTCAAGACCACACTTGTCTCATCACAGATCAGCATTTAGAGTGGATAACGACGCAGAGAAAGACCCCCACCAAGCGGTAGACTGTTGTCCCAACGCAGCATCTGAAAAATAACCGTAACCGCGCTTTCCCATATCACCTAATCCAACCCCAGATTCCGCAGGATCAGACATTACAACTTACTCAACACCACCGCGAAACACTCGAGGACTAAGAAACAGGCCCAGCATCACCGGCACTACCGAAATATTCCTGGAATCGGCGCTAGATTGTGATACTCCATCTCAAATTACTCGACTCACTTGCCAAGCCACCGACTCGGACTATACTCCACACTTCGGCAGTTGAACGGCATAACCCCCGAAATCAAAATCAGCAAGAATACTGCTGATAATTACAGAGACTACTTTCCTGCATACACCTCATGAGCAAGCCTATTGATATTCCCGATACCTCCGAAGAGGTGTCGCAGATCGATCTCGTTTCGCCCACTTTCACGCCAACGGAGTCTCAGGTGGGAACCCCCGACGCTATCCCCGTCACAGAAGAAGAGTCGGGAGCACCAGTACTCAAGCTCTCGGCCACACTCCCAGAGGTCGAGTGTCTGGTGCGAGCCAGAATCCCCACCACCAACGGAACCGAGATCTTCCTTCATCTGTACACCAACAATGTCGACAAGAAGGAACATCTGGCTATTGTTTTCGGAAACCACATCAGATCAAAGTCTTTGGACCGGCCACGAGAAGGCGAGACTGAGATGGACAGAATGACCCGAGGGGCTTACACAGGCCGACTCTTCCCTGGAAGACAGTCTTCCAAGGAAGGAGTCCCCTCCACCCGAACCCCAGAGCCCGCTTCCAAGGCTCCAGACACGACCCTGGTGCGAATCCACTCCGAGTGCTACACTGGTGAGACAGCCTGGTCTGCCCGGTGTGACTGTGGAGAGCAGCTTGACGAGGCAGCCAGGCTTATGGGAAACAAAAACTCCGGTGTCATTGTCTACCTGCGACAGGAGGGACGAGGAATCGGTCTGGGGGAGAAGCTCAAGGCATACAACTTGCAGGATCTCGGTGCTGACACTGTACAGGCCAACCTGATGCTCAAACATCCCGCTGATGGTCGAGACTTTGGCCTGGCAACTGCTATTCTGCAGGATCTGGACCAGACTAAGATCCAGCTGCTCACCAATAACCCCGACAAGATTGCCGCAGTTGAGGGACCTAACAAGGAGGTCACCGTGGTGGAACGTGTACCCATGGTTCCTCTGGCCTGGAAGGACAAGTCCAAGGGTATTCACAGCGACGAGGTGGACGGCTACCTCCGGACCAAGATTGAGCGTATGGGACATCTTCTCAGCGAACCCATGGCAAAATAAGACTGTTTGTACTATATGTTTCCAGTCGTTCCTAAGCATGAATAATTTTGCATATGTTCATCGTGCAAGCTACAGTAGGAACGGCTCAAGAATAACGAAGGATGTTTCAAGTCACCTGTTTGTGATGGGATCATCGTAGTTATGTATTTAAGATGATGACAATGACTGTAATGGGTGGGTAATAGAGTAAGTCGTTCTTGTAGAGTAGTTGTTTGTATTGTAGAAATGGTTAATAGAGACCATCAAGTGAACCTGTGAACCAGGCTTTATGCGATTCATACTGCAGTGAACCACATGGGAGGCGTGACGGATACTTTCTACTTGAGACTCTTTAGACGTGCAAAAAAACATAACACAGTAATTTCACAATTCGGCGCATCCTACGAGTAATACACTTGTATATATTCGTACAATGTACAGTACATACTGTACAGTATGTATACTGTGCCCAGTGGCTACCCGTTGTCACCTCCTACAAAGTCTGGTCTGAAACACAATCCATCCCATCCATGCATCCTTGTAATTATGCAGAAAGGCGGGGCAATAACACTTTCGCATGTGATTAAAAGGGTATGGTCAAGGCAAAGCGTCATCGCAATCTCCAATCACCTCAATCATATTCCTACTCTGTATACTCTATCACACCCTCTATGAATAGACACTCTTTACGGCGCTTGGAGTGCATGTAGTCTATCTCCGCTCTTTCTAAGTCAGCATCGGTGATATCGGAGAATTGGTTGATAGCAACTTCCGCAAGGAACAGATTCAAAACAGACGACTGCGCAATTTATACTGTAGCTATCCACTTCCAAAGGGCTTCAACCTGTGGCTCCCGTATATGGGTTGTCATGGTCTTCAATGGTTTACCAACCCCAGCAACTCACTGTAACTACTTTACAGTAAGTGTTAGTTCTGAACCGGTACGGGCTGTGGGGAGGGTCACGAGAGAATGCCATTTTTTGCTTTGTCTAACTATTACAAATGCTCCTAATTCTCCAGGAGATAAGGGGGGTCTAGGCCACGCAGTTAAGACGCTGCCACCGGTTGTTTTTGCCAGGCAACAGTGGCCCGCAGCTCTCGGTTCGGGTAGCTGCACAGTGCCGTTATTCGCCGCTCGTATTCATTAATAATACGAGGTCTGCAGGCAAGTTGAACCGATGTTTTGGGGGTTTAGGAGGGCCACTTGACCCTTTAACCCTTGCTCTGAGCATTTAGCCTGCTCTCTCTCTCCCAATGCAATGCTTACAGTTGTGAAGCCTATTTCGTGGCGGACCCTTAACACAGTACCGCCAGCCGCATCTATAAAGAGAACCATCAGTGCTCTTCAATTCCACCTCAGACACCCCAGTCTTCCTTTCAATCGACTTCGAACAACACACACAATGTCCGCCGAGAAAACCAATACCGCTTTCTACAACCTCGCTCCACTCGACAAGAACGGAGAGCCTTTCCCCTTCAAGCAGCTTGAGGGCAAGGTCGTGCTCATCGTGAACGTCGCCTCCAAGTGTGGCTTTACTCCCCAATACAAGGGCCTTGAGGAGGTCTACCAGAAGTACAAGGATCAGGGATTCACCATCATCGGCTTCCCCTGCAACCAGTTTGGTGGCCAAGAGCCTGGTTCCGCTGACGAGATCTCCTCCTTCTGTCAGCTGAACTACGGCGTCACTTTCCCCGTTCTTCAGAAGATCAACGTCAACGGCAACGACGCCGACCCCGTCTACGTCTACCTGAAGGAGCAGAAGGCTGGTCTGCTGGGCTTCCGAGGAATCAAGTGGAACTTTGAGAAGTTCCTGGTTGATAAGCACGGTAACGTCGTCGACCGATATGCTTCCCTCAAGACCCCCGCCGGCCTCGAATCCACCATCGAGACCCTCCTCAAAAAGCCCTAAGCGTGCTGAGGCTCTACAATCGCAAGAGGACTCGTGTTCGATCCGTGTGTCACATACATAGCAACTAATCAAGTAATTTAACACTATCATTTGTAACCGTTGAAGGGTGTAGACAGAAGCCGGATATCCCTCAGCTACATACTACTCGTAGAAGTAGGAGTCTCAAGTACTTGTACTTATAGATAAATACTCGTGCTTTTTCTCTTTTTCACTCATTGCAACATTCCCTCGTATCACTTGCTACAAGTACAGGTACTTCCTGCTATGGTCACACCATTCATTTATTGGGTTTAGCGCCAGGGCAGCACCGTTGGGTTGCATGGTATTAGTATTAATATATTCAGAGGCTATCACCGAGAACGGTAGCAACAAAAACATAACGAGGAATTTATTCCCTGCAACCTATCCTGCAACCTACCCAAAGGCATTCTAATTTAAATACATTCATACATATAATATACCCGTCGCATGCCCTACGCCTTCTTCTTCTTGGCAGACTTTTTGGGAGTCTCGACGTCGGGGGTGGAAGACGATTTTCGCTTCTCGCCAGCACCATCGTACTCTTTACCAACGTAAGAAAGCAGAGTCTGGCCTCGTCGCGCAAGCTCTGCAGGAGTCCTCGACAGGAAGAACCAGTCGAATCGGAACACGGGTGATGCTCGAATGGCGTCTCGGATCATCTCATAAACACCCTCAGTCTCAAGGCCGTACCTGTAGAGTTGAACCAGAATATACCGATCCTCGTCCTCAGAGTAGATTTTCTTCTGGCCTGCAGGGTAGACAATGACCATCTGCTGTAGAGGGGCCTCATAGCCCTCCACCTTTCGGGTTAGAAGAGTGTTTTGATGGTTCTGCTTCTTGGCCTTGTCCTCACCTGCCTCGATCTGCTGAATGTATCTGTCAAAGCCGTTGATCTCAGTGTATCGTTGCCAGAACACGCCAGCGTACTTCTTGATATCGGCTTGGGTCTTGTCCTCGAACTCTGTGGCAATGGCAGCAAAGTTGTTTCGACCATGACGCGCCGAAGCCTGGATGAAATTTGTGAAATCTCGTCGGTTCCAGTTGGAGAAACCCTTAGTGGACAGGTCTACCTTCTCCTCCTCTTCCTCCTCGGTGAGAGGCTCGGCGTTGTCAATCTCCTGCTGCTCAAGATCTCGCTCGCTCTCTCGCATCTCAAGCTCTTCTTCAGCTCCATCGGGAAGAGGCACCTTGTAACCAATTTGCTTTCGGTAGTAAGAAGTCTCCTTCTCCTGAATGTCGATAAGTCGCTGGGGGTAGAACTGATGGTCCTGGATGTTCAGCTGCTTGGGGGCCTTGGGGGCCTTGGGCGCAGCGTTCTTGCCCGCAGCAGCGCCCTGGTTAAGCATTTCTCGGTAGTACGAGTCGATGGAGTAGTTTTCCTTTCGCTCACGCTTGTTGGGTGCAATCCACACGAAGGGCTTGTTAGTCTTGCTGGTGTCCTTCTTCTTGAAATCCTCTCCGTTCCATTCGTAGGCAGAATCGGAAGTGAACTTTTGCAGATCATCAAGACCAAGAGAGTCGTAACGGGAGTTGAGCTCCATAGTCTTCTGCTGGCCTCGCTTGAGAATGTCGTCAATATCAAGATCAGCCTCCTCCTGTTCCTCGCCCTTTCCTCGGTTGAACACCTTCTCGGCACCAAATTGAATCATATTAAGCAGATCATCCTTGTTCTGGGCGTTGTTGTTGACTTTGGATTGCGATCGGCCTTGCTGAATAACCAGCTTGTCCAGACGCAGCTTCTGTGTAGCTCGCTCGATGACCTTCTCCTCGACAGCGTTTTCAGTAATGAATCGGTAGACATAAACCTGCTTGGTTTGTCCAATTCGATGAGCTCGATCCATGGCCTGAAGATCAGCTTGAGGGTTCCAGTCAGAGTCGTAAAGGACAACTTGGTCGGCAGTAGTCAAATTGATACCGAGACCACCAGCTCGAGTTGTCAGCAAGAACACAAACTTCTCGGATCCCTCCTTGTTGTAGGCATCAATGGCGTTGATTCGGTCCTCATGCGCAGTCTGACCATCAATTCGACAATACTTGTAACCTCGGAACAGACAGTAATCCTCAAGAATATCAAGGACTCGACTCATCTGGGAGAAGATAAGAACACGAGATCCCTGCTCCTGAATTCGCTTCAGAAGCTTGTCGAGAATCACCATCTTGCCAGCATTGTAGACAAGATGCTCATCAGTGGTGTAAGGAGGTCCAGGCTCGGCACCCTCGAACAAATAGGGATGGTTGCAGCACTTTCGCAGCTGCATCACAATGTTGAGAAGCCGGGTTTTGCCCTCACGCTTGCCAATCTGACCGTTGACAGCGTCAATGTCCTTCTCGAGAATTTTCTGGTACCATTTAACCTGCATGTCGGACATGCCAACGTAGAGGTTGATCTCCTTCTTGGGCAAAAGAGACTTCTCGACATCGGCCTTGACTCGTCGGAGTAGGAATGGCCGCAGAATCTTATGCAGCTGGTTCACGGCTGCGTCCTGGTCTCCACTCTGGTCTTCACCGAACCAGGCATCAAAAGCCGCAGAGTCCTGGAACACGTCGGGGAGAATATAGTTCAGAAGAGCCCACAGCTCGTGCAGGTTGTTTTGCAAAGGAGTACCGGTGATCAACAGTCGGTTTTCGGTGTGGAACAGACGGATGATCTGTGACAGAGAAGACTCCTCGTTCTTGATTCGATGAGCCTCATCAATCACAATGTATTGCCAAGCAAACCGTCGCAGATATCCCTTCTCTCGAAGAACCATCTCGTAGGAGGTAATGCATACGTCAAAGTCGCAGGTCAGAAGCCGATCCTGGATAAGCTGAGCTCGGCCCTCCTTGTCTCCCTGAAGAACAAGAACGTTGACCTCAGGAGTCCATTTGGCAAACTCTCGGGCCCAGTTGTCCAGGGTAGACTTGGGAACACAGACCAAATGAGGACCGGGAATTCCACGGAAGTATCGAAGGTATCCCAGGAAAGAGATGGTCTGCAGAGTCTTACCAAGACCCATTTCGTCGGCCAGAATGCCAGAAAGACCATGCTCATAAAGAGAGACCATCCAGTTGAGGCCCTGAACTTGGTACTCTCGCAGAGTTCCCTGAATGTAGCCAGGAGAAGTCTCGAAGACGGTTTCGACCGAGTTCTCGGCCTCCTCCTCTCCCTGCATCAGCTCAGCGTCTTCTTCCTTCTCGGTCTTTCTGTGTCGCGCGCCACCGGTGGGTTTCTCGGTGGTCTTGTTAAGACCGAGCTCCTCCTTTGCCTGTTCCATGGCCTTTCTGTAATTGGGGTCGGACTCTCCCTTGGACTTCAGGAAGTACTCAAAAACGTCGCTCAGCCCGTAAAGATGTTTGATTTTCTTGACGAGTTCGGGAATGGACTTCTGCTTGGGCTTACCAAGACCCTTGTCGGGAAGCAGATAGCCCGATCGGATGTTGAGCAGATCTTCGGTCGACAGCTGGACTGGAGGCGTGTCCCTGTTTGGGGTCGTCACGGTGGAAACCATGGAAGACTGGGGTTAGTAAAAGTCGTGATGAGAGGATCAAGGGGCAGTTTTGCAACGGTACTCACTCCTGGATTGGACTTATCCAAGTCTATGGGTGCTGGTCCAGACATTGTTGATGTATGTTGCAAGTCGCGCGAAGTCCACGTTTCTACGCAGAAAAGTTGCTTGTCGGTGAGGATAGGGTTTCGTCGCGCGTAGCAGTTGGTACACTAATTACTGGGAGCCCGGAAATGGGCATGTATGGAAAAGAGACTGGTGACGTTTGAGGGCAATATAATAGTATCAGCTAATATACATATGGCTCAAGGGGGAAACATGAGCGTGTCAGGAAAAAAAAATTATTTCGAACCTCCCCATCTATCAGCTCTGTCATCTTCTCTCATCGTTATGGCACGTGAAGTTTTCCTGCCCCTACGTAAAGATGCAGTCCAATGTTCCAACTGCTACAAGTAGGTCTAAAAGAGAGGTGATCAACCTTCCCAACAGGACAAGATTAATACAATAGTTTTACATATGGTACACCCTCGTTGACACTACAAGGTCAATTATACCGTGTTGTACATTCAACTGTACAGACATTAGCTTAGCTAATTGTACTGTAGCTAGTCCAAAGCTATTAATCACCCTCTTCTCCTTCTATGTCCCATGTATTCATTAAGTTGATCCGTCTATATATGTAAAATGACTCCCTGTCCGTCCTGAAACAAATACGATACACTACTCGGGCCGTATTCTACGCCCACCATAGCGTATATCCCTTCTCTGTAGTCTTAGATGTTATCCAGCTCATCCCACAGATCTTGAGGAATGTCTTCCTTTCTCATCATACGAGAATCGAGAATCTTGTCTCCGCTGCCGGGAAGTCGGATCTCGTGTGTGCCCTCGGCTATCGCGTCCAGCTGCTTGGTCTCTGGAGTTTCTGCTGGGATCATGAAGTTGTTGTCGCAGTAAGGACAAAAGCTGTCTGCTTCGTCAAAGTCCGTGAGATCTTTTCGGAACGCCTTTCGACACTTTTTGCATGCAAAGGTCATTTCTGTCGTCTTTCGAAGTGGGTGGTCTTCGGCTTCCTCGTGGCCTGTGTTAGCAGTCAAATATCAAAGCCGTTGTCATCCGTTGTTAGACACCAGGATCTCGTGCTCCAGCTGGCGCATTATCTCCCTGTGACCAACCCCCTGAATAGTCCGTCACCTATTCATGTTCCACGTCGATACTCACACTGTGGACAGTCATACCACTTTCGACAGCATTGTGTTCGGATTGAGACTTGGGCGTTAGTAATATGCTTGCACATGGTGGGTGGGTCGAGATGTGTGAAATGCAGAAAGAGCAAGATCCGTGTCTTTTAGATGTGTTTTGGTGTTTTCTATGGACCCTTCCAGAAGATCACGTTGTAGAGTTGCGAGGCGCGTGGTGATTAGATTACTCATGTGATCAGAACTGTAACCTTAATTCAATGTATATCGCCACCTTGCAAAACTGGAGATTCATGATACACGGGGATTATACAGCATGACATATGGTTAGTCTGTAGTATCTAGCTTACCAGTTTGTTGATATACGTATTCTCAACTCCGTGTTTGGCTGTCACTTCACAACTTATGGAAAAGAGATTGAAGATGGGTACTAAACCTAATTGACAAACCTTCGGGAACAGTACTGAAAACCATTGCTAATAGAGTTCCAGTTCGTTCAAGTGAGATTGGGTATATGAAAGTGAGCGAGGAACACATCTCTCAGCTCACTTTTCAAACCACACACCCAGAGCATGCCGTCGCTAGTTGATCCCGTGGCAAACAAAACCGACGAGGGAAATAACCGGACGGATCTGAAGGCCCCCGAGCCTGAGCACTGTCCAGGAACAGAGTCAGAGGAAGCTGGAAAGGCTGACGCTTGTCAAGGATGCCCTAACCAAGACATCTGTGCATCAGCACCCAAGGGACCCGATCCTGATCTTCCGCTCATCAAGGACCGAATGAAGGGAGTGAAGCACAAGATTCTGGTGCTTTCAGGAAAGGGTGGAGTTGGAAAGAGCACATTCTCTTCGCTCCTTGGCTGGGGCTTTGCCTCGGATCTGGACAGAGAAGTGGGACTCATGGACATTGATATTTGCGGACCCTCGCTACCCAAAATGATGGGAAGTGAAGGCGAACAAATTCACACCTCACTTTCAGGGTGGTCACCCATCTATGTGTCAGATAACCTGGGCATGATGAGTGTGGGCTTCATGCTGCCCAACCAGGACGACGCTATCATCTGGAGAGGCGCCAAGAAAAATGGACTTATTAAACAATTTCTGAAGGACGTTGACTGGGGTAATTTGGACTATCTCGTTGTGGATACGCCCCCTGGTACTTCTGATGAACATCTTTCAGTCACTCAGTACCTGAAAGAGTCTGGCGTTGATGGTGCAGTCGTAATCACCACGCCCCAGGAGGTTGCATTGTTGGATGTTCGAAAGGAGCTTGACTTCTGCCGAAAGTCAGGTATCAAGATCATCGGACTGGTCGAGAACATGTCCGGATTCGTGTGTCCCAACTGTAAGGGTGAGAGTTTCATTTTCGCCCCTACTACAGGAGGAGGAAAGGCGCTGGCGGAGGAATTCAACATACCGTTTCTTGGTAGTGTCCCTCTCGATCCTCGAATCGGAAAATCATGTGATCATGGAGAAAGTTTTGTGGAGGAGTACCCCGACTCTCCTGCGACCACCGCCATTCTGGACGTCATCAGGCAGATTAGAGAGGCTGTGGGAGACCCTCAAGAGGACGAGGACGATGACATGGATGAGTAAACTCGCATTTTAGATATGACCTATTTATAAATATATGACTGTAACGTGAATAATTAATGTGAATAAATATATAAACTATCATCTATAGTCAGAAAACTTGACCAGAAGTTCATCCACACCTGCAGCAGCATCACCTCTAGCGAGACGCTCTTGTTGGACATCGGAGAACATCGCCAAGAGCCGTAGTGCTAGCACCTTGACATTGCTAAGCTTGTCTGTGTCGATATTAATATCCTCCTGATCCTTGAAGGTCCGAGACACTTCGGCGTAGATCTGAGTGCAGGCAATGAGGAACTGTTTAAAGGTATTTACAATTTCTCTGTTGTTGAGATTGAGAAGGTCGTATAGTCCGTATGCAAAGGACTCCAGTTCCGCTGAGATTTTGGCGAGAATGTCAGAGTCATGATTATCATTAACCTGTGCCACAATCACAAGCTTTTCGAAACGCAAGTCAATGAGGTCAGCTTGGACATGTGCCCAGTATGACTCCAGAAAGTAGTAGACAAAGGCGAGGGACTCCCAGAGAATGAAATCAGACGATCTCGACCTCGAATAGTACACCCTTCGTTGTCTCCATAAATCGTTGAGTTGTAAGATGGTCTTCCGGATCGCCAGAAGCATGTCAAAGATTGCACTCAGCGAAGGCATGACAGATGGGGACACAATGATTGTAACAGGCCATCTAAGTCTGTATCTCAGCTTGTAATGATATCCTGTCACAAAGTCTGAGAATGAAGACGTATATGAAGTGGACTTCTTGTAAGACAGATACTTTGGGACTGAAGCCAAGAACTCGTTGTGTTTCTCATCAATAAGATAGTTTAACGCTGCAGAGAACGCTATGCTTCCGTTCTTCTTCTGTTCCAGTGCATCCAAAAAGACCATACTGAATTCGCCGTCACCCAGAAGATAAATGCCTCTAAACAGAGTGAGTAGTTTTTGGACCTCGGCAGTAGGCAGGATAGAATCAAGAAGGTTAGAGTAGACTTGTTTCTTTGTGTATCTGATCAACTCCTCAATGGCGAGCGTCTTCATGGGAAAGGCCATTGTCTTCTCAGAGTACCCACAGATGCTTTTAGCTAGTTTACCGACGGATTTCAGCATCTCAGTATCGTTGTTATTGCTTGCCTGGGCAATCAGCATCCCCACCGACAAGGCATCATTAGTAGACTGTTCAGAGATAGGATGTAAAAAGCTTCCCTTGACAATCTCGTACTCAGCTGTCACTTCATCCCTGTCCAGATCGGCAACAGGGAGCACCATGAAGTCATGAGCAGCGGAAAAAGAAGAAGGCAGCTTTCCGTAAAGGAGCCATCTGCTAAATTGTCTTAACCAGCATTTCTCCAGTGCGATGATGCACTCCTGGACCAAGTTTTGCAAGTCCGGGTAGCCCACCTGAACGTCTGATTGAAGTCTGCTGTAAATTGTTGATCCTGAAACGAACGGAAAAGTAGACAGGTCATTGGGGTCGACTGCTCTGCGGTCTTCTTCAGAAAGGTCCGAGAAGTAGAAGAAGTCGAGCAGCTCGTGAGTATATTCCAATCGTCTGGTCCATGGTGATGTGATTTTGAGCTGAATCTGAGACAAAGGAATCGTTTCCGCTGCCCCTCCAGTACTTGTGTAGGTAACGTCTCCTCCTAGGAGTCTCTTTTCCAGATCAGCTAGTTCCATCAGGTATTTTCTCACCACTCTTCGTTCCAGAACCTCAACAACCGCCTGGCAACACGGCGTGAACGCCACCGAAATACCAGCTTCTCTTCTTGATAATGCCGAAGTTGCATACATTGTTGACTTGACCCGCTCGTCAATGGAGGAAAATAGTCTCCCACATTCTGCAAACTGGTTGAGTAGTTGACGTTCAGCTGTATGGAGGGTCCTGTGCCACGAATTTTCCAGTCCGTCGAGCACAGATGATGTCACCAGTGGAGAAATGTTGCCTGCTAAAACAAGCAATATCTCATGGGACATGGTGGTCTTGTTATCGTAATGTCGTGAGTTGATTGATGCTCCTGTTTGAAAACAGAGTTTGATGGTGGTCGCGACTACGCGTCTTCATGCAGTGTTTTTTTTTTCTCATATACATTCAGTTAAAATTCCAAGTAAAGCTACAGTAATTAACTTACACTACTACTGTAAGAAATATTTAACAAATCTATTGGGTGAATTCGTCACAGCAATATCAGGTTATTATAAAAAAAAAATAGGCAAGTCTTACTCTACAATGAGACATCTGCTAGTCTTCTCTTATTCATTAGAGTTTAATGTATTTTTGTTATAATATAAAAACACAGCAGACATCCATTGTTTGAGGATCTGTGGAAAATGAAAGTTGATTTGCTGTCAATAAATTTACAAGAACTTATGGGTTTCAGGTGGTGTATTTTATTGTACCATGTTGTTGCTGTTTAAACATCTTACTTATATTAATCTACTTTATCTATCAAAGAGCCCCCTGGGCAGCGGCACGCTCATGGATAGACCCTGACGCTCGAGGGATGAAGGAGTGGGTCTCGGATTTCTGAGCTTCCTCGGCCTTGGAAGACTTGTCCTCCTTGACATGGCCATATCCACCTCCACCAGGGGTCTGGATGATAATTCGCTCACCAGGAGACATCCGAACCGTATTCTTACCTCCAAGAGTGGCAGTTGTACCGTTCTTTCGAACCCACAGATTCATACCGGGTTTGCCAGACTCGCCACCCTTCATCCCATAAGGTGCTGAAGATCGACGTTCAGACAAAATGCTGCATTGGACAGGTTGAGTGAACTGGATGTCACGAACAACACCGTTTCCTCCGGTGAACTCTCCAGCTCCTCCACTTCCACGTCGAACACTGAACTCGCGGAGGATAGCGGGGTATCGTTTCTCGAAGATCTCAGGATCTGTGGACCGGGTGTTGGTCATGTGCACCTGAACACCACTCTGACCATTCCAAGTGGGACCAGCACCCGCTCCTCCAGCAATGGTCTCGTAGTAACCAAAGGTCTCGGTGGCAGTACATTCCTTGTCCTTCAGCATCTGAGGGGAAATACCAAAGGTTAAGTTGTTACAGGTACCCTGGGAAGCGCCCATGGCCTCGAATGCCTTCAGAACAACGTCGGTAACTCGCTGAGAAGTCTCGACATTACCTCCAACAGTGGCAGCATCAGCGGAAGGAGCCAGCACTGTGTTGTTGGGGATAAAAATTTCAATGGGTTTAAGACAACCACCATTGAGGGGAATGTCAGCATCAATGAGAGATCGCAGAACGTACAGAATGGCACTGTATGTGACACTCTTGGGTGCATTCAGGTTGCCGTACACCTGAGGACCAGTCCCAGAGAAGTCGAATCTGGCAGATCCATCGTCCGCGATCGTGATGGTGAGAACAATGGGAGTTCCCTCGTCAAGCTGGTCACGTGCGGTGAACACGGTGGTCTCCCTCTTCTCTCGAGCTCCGATAAGAAGCTTTCGAACAGCCTCTTCGGCATTCTGCTGAATGGCCTTCATGTACTTCTGGACGACGTTGAGACCGAAGTCCTCAATCAGAGCCTCAATCAGACGAATACCCTTGTTGTTGGCAGCGATTTGAGCCTGTAGATCACTAAGAGAGTCCTGAAGAGACCGAGATCCCTCACAACCCGGATACTTGGAAGGCTCGTCAAATAGCAGACGAACCATTCCGGCTTCGTCATATTTGCCCTTGGAGACGACCTTGAAAGCCTGGATAGTGGCTCCCTCTTCCCACAACTCCTTGGAGAATGGAGGCATAGAGCCAGCAGAGATACCTCCGATGTCGGAATGGTGGCCACGGGAAGCGCAGAAGAAAGCAACCTTGCCCGTCTCATCAAACACGGGAGTCACAACTGTGATGTCTGGAAGATGAGACCCTCCGTAAGCAGGGTGATTGCAAACCAGAACATCTCCTTCGTGGAGATCACCCTTCCAGTGCTCAACCTGGTATCGCACGGCCGAGCTCATTGATCCCAGGTGGACAGGGATATGAGGAGCGTTGGCAACAAGATCACCATCCTGGTCGAACAGGGCACACGAGAAATCCAGCCGCTCCTTGATGTTTGTAGATATGGCAGTCTTCTGCAGCGTCTGGCCCATCTGCTCAGCAATGGACATGAATCGATGGGAGAAGATGGACAATTCCACAAGATCGATATGGTCTCCAGAATCAATCTCCTTGACGGTTTCATCCAGCTCAATTATCACATGGTTGTCCAAGACAGTGGCTTTGCCATTGGAGGCGACCACCAGAGTCTGGGTCGCGTCAATGATGAGAGCAGGGCCTGCAACCTGGTCGCCAGTCTGAAGATCAGCAATCTTGAACACACAGCAGTCGTGCCACGATTCGTCAAAGTACACCTTCTGGGTATTAGTGGCCTTGGGGGTAGTCACACCGTTGCTCTTGGCCTTGGTAAGCTCCTGGATGGGGTGCTCAGGATTGTAACCGGTCTTTCCAACTGCTCGGACTCGCACATCGGCCACAAGAATATCGCGGTCAAGTGTGAAACCAAACTCCTGCTTGTGGAGCTCAGTAAACTGCTTCGCGAAAGAGGTATAATCCCCCTCACCCTGCTGGGCAACCATCATAAGAGACTCGCTTCCTCTGTATCGCAAATTGAGGTATTTCTCGCACTCCACATCGCCCTCTGTGAATCCCTGGCTCATAAGTGTGGCAGTAGCTTCCTTAGCAAGAACACTAAGTCTCTCCTTCAATTCACCGAGAGCTGTGTCGCCCAGAATAGCATCAGCGGGTTGCTGTGTATCCACAACAACATCCGCAAGAGCCATTCCGTAAGCAGAAAGAATTGAAGAGTACTTGGGAATCACGACTCGCGAGATTCCAAGAGACTGTGCAACGTCACAAGCATGCTGCCCTCCAGCCCCTCCAAAAGAGCATAGATCATGACCAGAAGTGATATAACCCTTACCCTCAGTGAGAGATCGGATAGGTCTGCACATGGTCTCATTGGCTACCTGCAGGAATCCGAGAGCGACATTATGAGGAGTCAGATCGGAACCCTGATCCTTGTTGATCTCGTCTGTGAGCTCTTGGAATTTTTTCTTAACAATCTCTGAGTCCAAAGGCTCGTTCTCATTAGGTCCAAAAATGTTGGGGAACTGAGAAACAACTAGTCGACCGAGGAACAGGTTGGCATCTGTGACTGTCAGAGGACCTCCCTTTCGGTAACAAGCGGGTCCTGGATGTGCTGAAGCACTCTCCGGTCCCACTGCGAAGAGTCCGTTTCGCCAGAAGAGAATAGATCCGCCACCAGCTGCCACTGTAGATATATCCAGCTGAGGAGACTGGATGGTAACCTGGGCGGTAGTGGTTTCAAAAATGTGAGGAAGAGTTCCGGCATATCTAGAAACATCAGTAGAAGTACCGCCCATATCAAAGCCGAGAACAGGTTTGGGGTTGGGCTTCTGAGAATCGTCATATGCAGTTCGACTGAAGCCAACAACACCACCAGCAGGACCTGACAGAATGGCTTTCAAGCCGGAGAATTGGTTCCAGTGGGTCAAACCACCGTCACTCTGCATGAACAGAAGTTTTCGTCCAACCTCATCGAGACCTCCCTTGAAACCCTTGCCGAATTGAGTGATGTATCGTCTTGTGGTCGGAGACAGGTAGGCAGAGGCTGTAGCAGAGTTAGCACGCGAAACCAGCTTGATCTGGGGCTGCAGCTCATGCGACACTGACACCTCGAATCCGATATCACGAGCCCACTTGGCAACCATCTCCTCATGCTCTGTGAAGGAGTAACCATGCATGAAGGCGATAGCAAGCGAATCGATTCCTGAAGCCTTGATCTTCTCGAGCTCTGCAACCACAACAGCCTTGTCGGGAGTCTGGAAGACGTGGTACTTCTCTCCGGTATCTCCAGTTACCTCACCTGCAGCGTCCGGCACGACTCTCTCGTCCACTTCGTACACAACCTCGTATAACTTTTTGAGCTTCTTGACAGACAGATCGAAGATGTTGGGTCGAGCCTGTTGGCCAATGGTGAGAATATCCCCAAACCCCTTTGTCACGAGAAACGCCACTCTGTCACCCTTTCGTTCCAGCAGAGCATTCGTTGCCACAGTGGTTCCCATTCTCACACTCTCAACCTCACTCAAATCAATAGGCTCGCCCTTGGGGATCTTCTTTCCGATGGCCTTCTCGAGAATTCGTCGAATTCCCTCAGTGGGAGCATCTTCGTAGTTGGCCGGGTCGACAGAGAGCAGTTTGAGTACAATCTCTTGGTCTGGACAGTGGGCATAGACGTCCGTGAATGTTCCACCTCGATCTGGGTGTTAGTAGCGTTTTTGGGGTTGTTTCTCTCAGGGAATGTTATTAGCCAATCAAATGTCCCCATACTCACCGATTGCAATTCTGATGCCACCCATGTCTTTAGTTTGTTGGTGTATTATCGACTTTTACGATCTCACGTTCCCCACAGTTGGTTATATACCAATAGCCGTAGACTGCAGATAGACAACATGACTAAGGAATCTGGCCAGGGACAAGCCCGGGTCGAACCCTAAAAGTGGCACCAACTATGCGGGGGTTTAGCAGGATGGGCACGTACAGCTGGGGTGAATTGATGGGGGTAATAGTCCAGCATTTCCTCAGTGATTGTCGTGTCACGTGGTCCTATTGTTTCCCAGGCAAGAAATCAAGCCACAATCATTGGCACTTACATGTTCCAGTTAGATTGAAGTCAAAGATAAGCAATCTAAACTACCGTATCAAGACCAGGACTATACGCGCGATGCATAATTGAGAAAAAGACAGGGACATGGTGGGGTAAATAAGTCGACTTTAGGAAGATCGCGTTTGATCCGAAGATGATATGGAGAGTCCATAGTTCCATAGACATATTGAACAGACCATACTGGTGGTGAACTTCACACGTTACCATGTACAGTAACTACAGCAGACACCTCTCGTTGTCAACCACGAAGACACCAGATTCAGTCTGGTGAAATACATGGATCAGTACAGTACATACAGTATATACATCTGAGCTTGAACTTCACCCCCCACCAGTAAGACTTTCGGGTAGCCGTTCCCGGCACTGCAAGCTACACGTCAGAACTTGTACAGGCACGCGCGTACGGTATGTACTGTAATTTGTGGACACTCACACTACTACTTGTAGTACAAGTATCAAAGTCTCCATTTAACAAAATACAACATGACATACCGGATGTGCTACTTGTATCATTGTACTGTTACAGTTATAATCACCAGAATAAAATAGTTGGATAAGTTATTTGTAAACATCACTCAATCATCGTTCATAGTCTATTGTTGCAATCTACTCCCATTTACCAAGAGTGGGGGTAGCAGCAGATCGACGGTGTCTGAGGTAGCGCTTGCCCATCTTGGCAACGGCCAGGAGCACGAAAACCAAAAGAATGTACGTCTTAAGTCCCCAGACGAAGATGAACCAAGAAGCGAAGAACCCTCGAGTGCTTCGCGGGAAGAGCTGTCGACTGTTGTTCTTCTCAATAAGATCAAGCACACGGGCGAGCTGCTCCGCATCAGAGGGTTCAAGCCTGGCGTTCTTATCGTCGGTGTCAAAGAACTGAACGTTCTTCGCATCATCAATGACGATGATAGGAGCGTTAGCCTTTCGGTCGTCCCAGTTGAATCGGAATCGGCTCTCTATCCACTTGGAGTACTTGTCGGCGTCGATCCAAGCAAACTGGACTGGAGGTCGGGTAGGAACAGAGGTGTCATCCTTCTCGAGCTTCTTCTGGAGCTTGGGATCCTTCTCCTTGAGCAGCTTGGCTCGCTCACTGTGCCGTTGGATTCGCAGGAGATCCAACTCTTTCTGTCGAGCATGCATCTTGGCCTTGAAGTACTTGGTGGCCGACTGCTTGAGCTCATCGATGGCAACCTTGGTGGCGAATTTGTCTTCACGGTCGACGAGAGCAAGAACGACGATTCGGCCGTCAGCGAAAACAGAATCCTGGTTGATAGGGGTCAGCTCAGGCATGAGAGGGAGCCAAGTTCGTCGAGCAAACTGCAGGAGTCGTTCAGAGTTTCGAAGGTGGCCAACATCGTACTCTGGGTAGACCTCAAAGGACATCTCATCAGTGTAGTCATTGTTGACAGCAACAAGAGCGGGAAGTCGGGTGACAGAAAACTTGTCCACCAGCTTCTTGTCGTCACTTTTGTAGACATTGGCATGGGCGACAACGTTAATGGCGAACTTCTGAAGAGCCTGCAGATCCTCGGGGAAGAGGGCCTCGTCGTGAAGATAGATGTAAGACACGGTCTCGGGGTGCTTCTGTCGAAGTTCCTCGAACTCAAGCTGGTTGACGGACTTCATGTCTCGAGCCTCAACGGCCTGCAGACCAAAGAGGGTCAGAGCATCGGTAGTTCGCTCGCCGTTGTATGTAACAGAGAGCTCTCCGATCTGGAAAGTCACGGCGGGATAGTACTCGATACCCTGGCCTCGGCAAAAATCAGCGTACTTGGCGCAGTTAATCTCACCAACATTGAGCTGGTTCTTGAACTTGGCAGCCACCTCGTTCCAAGCGTCATCCATGGCAACACAGTGAGGACACGAGGGAAGGTAGTACTTGATGTACCAGCCAGTAGGATCATCAGAAACAAGAGCCTTGAAGTTGGTGGGGTTCAGGTCGACAGAAAGTCCCTCAACGTTCACGTTAGCCTTCTTTGTGGAAGCGATCTTCTCCTCGTCTCCCTCCAGCTTGGAGATACCGGAGGCCTCCTTGATTTTTTCCTCCACAAACTTTGCCAGTCTGCTGGGCTGTGTCCCCTTTCTCAGATCGTAAGTCTCTACCTTCTTTCCGTTCTTGTACAGGTTGAGGGTGGGGTAGACATTGATGTTCTCCTGGTTACACAAGTCTCCGTCAGCCAGACAGTTGACAGCAGCAATGTGGAAGTCGTGTCGGGATGCAACGTCATTACCAATTTCCTGGTACATTCGTTCCCACTTTGGTGCCAGCATCTGGCAGTGGCCGCATTGTGGCGAATAGAACTTGACCCAGTAGGTTCCCTCAGCTACGGTGGTCTCCCATTCCTTGCCGGAAATCTCGGGGCAAGGCGCAGGGGCCTCCTCTTCACCTTCGGGTTTGGGTGTGGGAATTACTGCTGCAACAGCGGCGGCTGCCAACAACAGCAGTCGTGTGATTCTCATGTGGATGTGGCGAGTGTGGTGTGGTGTTTTCCTACACTTGAATCCGCAAGTTTAATGACGATGCATGATTTTTTTGAACTGCAGTCTTGGGACTGTGGAGATGTTTATCCGCAGCTGCAGAATGGTGAGTGCTATACTTTTGGTTTAGTGGAGAGGGCAAGTATGGCAACAAAAATTTGGTGTGGGAGTTGGGACGAAAGCGCTGTCGAAAGAGGCGCACGCAGACACGTGTACGAATTATCTCAGAGTCAATGCAGTGAGGGATAAGGAAGGTCCAGCTTTACACGAGGCATCACATTATGTAATCAGAAACAATATACTGTAAAGTCTGAGAATCCAACTCGTCACATTTCCCAAACCCCTTATTTTCTTCAACCGGAGAAACATAAAGGGCCCTAGAATGCGCAGCTACACGGCTCACGGCCCCCGAACCTTGACTATCTTTGACGCACACTTTCTTATTGTTCGCAACGCCTTTTAGAAGCAGAGAACGGTTGCTGCATTGTCACGATTTGGAGAGACCGAGTGATGGTTACAACAGTGTGTGGTTCGAGTTGGAGTGCCGTCGTGCTTGACTGCTGTACAGTATGTACAAACCGCCCTCAGTTCATTTATATCTCCTTCTACAATGTATAGTTTCCACCACCCATAGTTTCTTATATCCGCCGCTTGTAGCTACAGTACTTCAGGTGGCCAATTGGTATGTCAGACATCTGGTACGCGGCACATGTTACACGAAACGAAGCACTGATGTTGGCTTCTACAGAGTGGTTGCAGATGTCTGGTGCAGTAGGGTGAATAAGTGATTGTATATAATATGTGTCGGCACCAGTACAGTAGTGTGGCCCGGCTTTCTATGTTTGTAATACTATACTTACTCTGCCTTACCTACAGTACATACATCTCTAAGACGACAATTGAATTTATCCATGGCGTCTTTCTACCTCCTCTCACCCATACTAAGACAAGACGGCTGCTTGATCTTCACGCTAAAGCCCATCATTGGCCAAAAGCGAAGTTGCTGCTGTACAAGAGTATTGTAGCTACTTTCAGTCCGGGCATGGTTGTAATGTTACCCATTATCTTGTGTGTCAATGGCGTTTCGGCACATTCTATAGCTCCTTTTAGACTGGCAGGGGACGAGCGACGTAACCAGGATAACACCGGGGTTATGCACATGCCCCCCACTGGATATTTGGAAACAGTACGGACAGCATGTTCAATACGGTCCTACCGGGAGACATTTGTTGTCACGTGATGGTATTGTGAATCTGTGCACTGGTTTGTCACCCCTATACCGTAGCCAGTATTGTTTGTTTTTGGTGGAACACCTCGGTAATGACACCCACCAACCAACCCATGTTTTGGCGGGACTCTGCTTCCGGGCGTGGAGGAGGACACTGCATGAACCCTACTGTACTTGTAGTCCAAAACTGGTATACTAATGATCAAGGTCATGAGTTGAGATGCGGGTGGAAGAGATAGGGGGTTGAAAATTGCAATCTTTAAAGAACTGTTTGTTTTAGTCTGCCTGCTAGCTCAGTCTTCTCCCATCACACCATCCCCCAGAGGTTACTACCCGGCATTGTGGTGGAACGAGCTGACCAGCTTTAAGCCTTCCAATTTACTGGCTGGTTAAGCGTGACTCGCATTTCACGCGATGCATAAATTGAAATGTGCTGTAGACGATCACACACAACAGCCCATGTGGTAATTCGTTGAAGGGTTATAGCGAAGCGAAGCATTGAATTAAAGCCTTTTAGAGGCTTCTATTAATCTTGAAAGGTGTAATTTCTCCCCCGCCTCAGTTTCCAATAAGCTGCTATTGTCCAAACGTCACATCCATTGTCATTATCGTCACCTCAACTCTAATACGCGACGCGCTACAACCGTGCAGACATATCTCCTGGTGGGCCACACAACATATAACTTGCACATGTCAACTCCCACATACTAATTTACCTGCATCGACATATTTTCACGAGAAATACCAACTTGGTACTCTGGCAAAATGTCGACACCGAACCCCATGCACTCACGAAGGGCCGCCCCTACCATGAGGCCGAAAATCAAGTGTGAGTACACAGACAGGTGTGACCGACTGTTTACTTGAAGTGACAAGGTACACGAGAAGGGGTCAACGCGAAGACCCCGGAGACACGAGTCCTTCTACAGACAAACGACCAGGACATATGACAAGTCAAGAGAACAAGAGATGGAGTCGTCACGCGAGGTAGCGAGCCACTGGTATCGCTACATGTGCGCTGATTTTAATGACTTGAGTTGTTTTGAGATTGCTGCAATTGAGACGCGGGCTGTTAACTACACTCACCTTGCGACTGCCTACAAGTCACTAACCCAGTAAAACTTCTATACGAACTCAACGGAAGCTCGTGCCTGGCACGAACACAGTTCCCCGTCGATGTGTTTGCTGCCAACGACATTGCATTTGCCAACTTCAAACAGTGTTTCAGCGCCATCAACTCTGCGTCACCAGAAATCCTCGCTTCTGCTTCGGAAACAGACTACGCCGTGTACGTGGCAGACTGCACCGAAGCCGATGAGCCCATGGTGGGACGAGGTCTCCTCTCACAACTCCTCGCTCGTCCGGAGGTGGACATCTCCGACACTTCCACGCTGCTCACAGGAGGCGTTGTTTCAGGTCGTATTACTTCATCTCTGCTATCTTTCATCCCTGGCCACGCCCAGGAGACTGTTGAGATTCGACTCCGGTTTGTCACGATACATAAGGCGTCCCAAATTGCATCACTCATGTCCATGTTCTTGTACTCCTCGATCCAGCAGAGTCTCAGCGACGAACAGGTCTCCCAGATTTGCGATGGGCGATGGATTTCCGACCTCCAAGAGCAGGGTATTTGGGAACAGCTGCTCGAGTTCAAGAACTCTGTGCTGGCTGAAGACGACAACCCCACTCGACGAATTATTTCGCCCAAGAAGGCCCTTTCGCCTTTCCAGAGCTCACCAATTACTGTTGCCCCCGCACTGTCAGCCCCCAGTGTCAACCCCGATGAAGGCATTCGACTCGTTGGTAAAATTTCTGACCCTCAGAGTAGTTCAGGTCTGCTGTCATCCTCTCCCTCCAGACACCAAACAATTATTCGGTCAGGTAGAGCTCAGGAAATCGACAAGGCCAAGGAACAGGGCCAGGTTGAAAAGGAGAATGGCAATGAGTGTTACAACTGTCGAACGCTGCATGCCTCCAGTTGGAGAAAGTGCACCACTCATGATGATGATGGTGTCTTTACAATCATACTCTGCAACCCTTGTGGACTTTGGTTCGTCAACAAGAAGGAGCACCGACCTAGAAAGTACTGGGGTAAAATGAGAGATGGGCGCCCTATTCCTCCCAGTAAAAGAGGTCCCCGAAAGAAGTCCGATAAGACGACTCTTGTCAAGGCTGAGAAGAAGCCCGTTCTCAAGCTGCACGATAAGCCCCTTGGCATCCAGACATCCATCGATCTAACTAACGATGCAAGAAAGTCCACGCCTTCTTCACAGAATCCCACTCCCGTGTCATCACACACCATGGCCCCAACTCCTATGGGCTCTACACCAGTACCGAGCCATCATACTCAGGGACTTAACCGAACGCACGTCCAGGAGAACCCCCATCTCAACAAGCGACCTTTCCAAGCACTTACTCAGAGTCTGCAGCAACCCCCTGAGTTTGAGAGCTCTCAGACCCTGGCCAGTAGGACAGCATCTCTCCCTGTATCTGACAGAGGAGCAAAACGACATAAGACCGATGTTGCCTCTCGGCCTTCATGCGACGCTGTGCACTCAGCTGCTATTTATAAGCCTACCCAGTTCCAGGCTGCAACTTCATCACCAGCTGTCACCCCAACCATGGAGTCTACTGCAACAATGCCAAGCTCTCCTGGCACACAGACCCGGTCAAATAGAGCTTCTGCCCCTGGTTCTCCTCCTCGAACCAACTCTGCCTCTTCCAGTACCCCCTTCCTTCAGCCGAAGGCGTTGCCCCCGCTTCCACCTATTACTCCCCAAAAAGTCAGACTCACACCCAGCAAAAAAGACAAGACCCCAGACTTTCTGGTAGGTCTTTCTCCATCCCGATGGCTGTCGGCTTACCTTGGCTCGTCGAGATCTCCTTCTCAGTTCTCAAGCCACACCTCCCCCGTTGATCACAACACTGTTAACTTCTTCAGTGAAAGTGATCTGTTCACGGAGTCTCCCTTCAGAGGGCTCTACCAGGGCGTGCGATCAGAGCCGTTCACACAAAGCACAGCTGGGAGCATGCCCCCTCCCTCGGCTGATGACGACTACAACATGAACGTGCTGCCTTCATCTCCATCAATCTTCCGAATGTACAAAGACAACAGCGACTTGTTCTCCTCAAGCAGCCAATCCACCGAGGCCACTTCCCCCATCAACAAGCTTCAACAGATTGCTCGAAACTCCCCCGACGCGCACAAGAGCCTGGAGGAGTCTGAGGAAATTGGAAATACTAACAAGACCAATAAGGCCTAGATGATCGGAATAATCTAACAAGCCGCATAGCATTAGCATTTATTTATAATATATTGTATCAATATAATTACTCAACCCTCAAATATGTCGTTACCAATATATTATAGCTACTTGTATGTATGTACATACTACAGTAGAAGTACGTACAGTACGAAATAAGTAGACTATAAATTCCCCTAGGGCGCATGTTCATACTTGTGCTGTACAATATGTAATATGTAACTACAGTACTTGTAGTTGCTGTAAAAAAAAATCCTGATATATCTCGTTGTTGTAAATCATTCATTAGTCAGTCTATTTAACTACAAGTAGCGAGGCAGCGACTGTAAGTCCCTAGAATAAACAAAGGTCACACATGGGTTTCCAGGAGCGTTGCGCCTGTAAGCTTACGTCATCTATACACGAATTGTCGCTGGAAAGGAAAGAGCCGCTGCCCCATATATGGGGCAGCGTACGTAAGTGAGTGAGGGTAGAGAGCTTCCACCCTTAAATAACCCCAAACAGGCAGCCCGCATCCTTGGCGGTGGTTTTACCCCAGTCTTCAGTCCTCCTCCAACCTTTCTTTATGTGTGTGCCTTTAGAGAACCCTATAATAGGTATGCAGTGAGGAGTGCAAGTAGGCCCTCCTCTGTATCCAGGAGGTTAGCGTCGGTTAGCTCCCCAGCCTCTGCCCCTAAAACGACGCGGGCCTACTCCCTCAGGTGACACTCTCTCAGGATATTCATCCCAATAAAATAATAGCTGTTTGATAAAAAGGAAATGTTAATGCAAAAAAAACCATCATTGAATGTTGGATATGGGAAAAAAACCAGACGACCTCGGAGAGGGTCGAACTCTCGATCTTACGATGGCGGCCATTTAGGTGACTAACAGTCGTACGCCTTAACCAACTTGGCCACGAAGTCTGGACGATGTCTTGGTAGGATGCGATGAAGTATCTAACTTTAATCTCAGATCACGTGAGGATTAGAATAAAAAAAAATTTTGATTCACCACCACGAGACCACGACAAAGACAAGAACGAGACGAAGCGTCGACAAACCAACTGACATGCGCCTCGCAGCGCACACCACAATGATTCAGAAGTGTATGATTTATTGAACGCCAATAACCCGGCTTACTACTTGTAGGTATATAGCTGTAATGAATCATTAGAATAAAAAAAAAAAAAAAAAAAAAAACACCCTGAAAAATATAGAGAGGAAAATGCGAAAAAGATAAATCGGTTTTGATGAAATCCAGAAATGCATAATGGGCACAAAGAAGAAAGATGTGATGATAATCATACAGTATTTGTAAGTGACTCATATCTGTACTTGTACCTATATCTTGGTTACAACATAGGTGGGTGATTTCTTCTCGCCCAGTTGCATCAATGTCTTTAAAGCTCTATAACATGCGCGTGAGGGTACAAGTATATGTGAGGTTCGTCGATGTAGGGTAACCGACGAACGTAAAGAAGAGATGAAAAGCGAGGGGGCTTAACTGATAGCGGGTTGCTCGTGTACACAGGAGCGTCGTAGTTGAGGGTCACAGCCCTTTCGGAGGAGCCAAGAGCTTCCTGTTCTAAAAGTCAAAGACACAAATAAAACGGGGAAAACAAGCTGCATTCTAAACTATAGAAAACTGGTGATTATATACACAAACCAAATAAGGTTTGTTGGGGATAATATGTCACCGGAGTAACGTAACTACACAGGCTAGGGAGATAGCTTACATATATACTGTACGGTTGTGTCACACCCAACTCCCCAGAGCACTATCAGGAATACCCAATAACAAATGCAGTAACTTGTAGTCTTTATTGGTGTTAATAAATAATCTCACTTAGAAAACTTGAAGGCGGTTTCGTCTTCGCTATCATCATCGATAGTTATTGCAGCATGAGATGTCTGAACCTCCGACTCCTCTTCAGGCTCGGAGTCTTTCAAGAACAGGTCGTCATCATCAGCCTCCTCAGCACCATCCTCTCCATCATCATCCAATGCCCGATACTTCTTCTGAGGCTCGCCTCTTTCGCGTAGAATTCGGATTCTTCTGTCCGTCAAGTTTTCCCCTGCATGGAGCATGTCATCGATTGATGTTTGATCAGATTGCGCAGGTTTATCAGGAACCAGTGCCACGAATCGCCTGTCGAATCGCGAAAACGACCCATGGGTCGTATTCTCGGCGTAGCCAGGAAGCTGCTTTTTGAATTTCTTAAAGTTTCTGCGACCGTCATATCTTGCCGCGTTAACAACAGACATCATTCGAGTAGCTTGCAAAGGTGGTGGTCTTCGGACAGCAATAGATCCTTCCTTGACTTCAATAGAAAGCTGGGCCAAAGATTCGGTGTCTAGATTCGCCTCCTCCTCCTTGGCGTGTTCTGATTTGATGTTCTGGACAGCTGATGAAAAGTCGACGGGTTTATGGGTGTTTTGTGGAGCAGCTTCGGAAATAAGCGACTCTTCGTGCAGATCGATATTATCCATGACGATGTCTGCATCATCAATCACCAACTCCTCAGCTGAATCGGCTGTCTCTTTCCCCTCCGTTTCAGCATTGTTGTCAACCTTCTGCCTCTTCAGGGGTTGTTGGAATAGAAGGAGGTTGTCTATGGGCTCCACCCGAGCTCTCTGTTTTAAAGGTCGCCTCTGCGAAGATCCTTTAGAAGAAGGAGGTTGACTTTGCTTATCTTGCGAGCTAGTAATTTCTGGTTGTGGAGGGGAATCAGTCTCTTCCTTAACAAAGAAATTCAGCAGATCCATCTGTTTTGGAGGTGCTCGCTTGACTCTGTTCACAGCAGGGCGAGAGGCAGGTTTGGAAGGCTTCTTATTCTCTGGTTCTTCTGGAGGCATTAGCACAGTGTCTAGTCGTTCAACTTTTGGTCTTGGAATGTTTTTAGACAACGACTGAGCCTTGTGCCACAGGATGCTAGGGTTACACTCTTTCACAGCAGGTAGCAAGTCAGCTGCGTCGATCACAATGATGTCCTTATTAGCCAATTCTCCCATAGCATCCATAATAATCTGTTGATACTTCTTCTCGTGAGAACGTACCACAACCTTCTTGCCCGCATGTCTCTGTAAATCGTCCACAATAGTCCTGGTCGTGGAGGTGTCATCCTCTAAATACAGGCATATAGCCTTTCCATCACCTTCTGTGATGACAGGACCCAGCATTTCTAGCTGCTGTCGGTCTGAAAAAGCAAATGTCATGCCAGCCCAGAGCTGGATTCGGCTTGTGTCGATTGCCAGTTCAGGTTCGGGCACGTAGTCGCTCTCATCAGGCCAGATCACAGCCAGTCCTTCGTTCTTGCGATTGAGAAGCTCATTGAGAAATTGTTGTCCCACCACATACACCCCCTTGATCATAGCCAGGAGCAGCTTGGAGGAGTTCTTCTTCCCCTTAACATAATGAGTCGTGTCTTCTGAAAAGTATCGTTGCATCCTAATATCAGACCCCTTGATAATCTCATTTAATAGTGTCTCCTCCTCATCTTCATGGTACGAAAACGATAGCGGTCGCCATTTCAATGTGAAATATGAGTCCTCCTTTCGCCCCACTTGAACCCTGTAAGTCGTGCTTCTGTGTATCGAGAATCGCTCCTCAGATTTCAGCTGCAGTCCGTTGACATACACACCTGTGTCGATTCGAGGCTTCTTGATGCTGACAATTTCACATTTCGAGTCGTCCTTGTCAATGATAAGCTGAACATGATTCCGGCTGATGGATTTTCCATCCATGTTGAGAACGTGACTCTTATCACGGCCTATGATGAATTCCGAAGGGAATAGATGGTCTGATGGTTAGAATTGAGTGATGGGAAGCTGCCAGATAGACTTAGCCGACACGTAGAGCCTTGTGTGACACCCTCTTCTCCATTAATACTCACAAGTCGCTTCACCATGGCTCCAAACCCACATTGTGGAGAACCAGTGTTTTGCAGTACTGTACTCATACTATACTTGTATACACTAGGTTTCGGGGTTTGTGCATGGTGGAATCTAAACCAGTGCAGTGAGTTGACTCGTCAACGAAGACGCAGAAAACATACAACTCCTCAAAAGATATCGCCACTTCTATGGATACAGAAAGCTATACATGTCGCAAGACTCCAGTGTTGCTGAACTATTTAATGACTTCTATGTCGAGCTACCCCTTGACCTCGGCGTGATCTCGCCTACAACTCGTCTCCATAGACGGACAGATCTAATAGAATCGGTATAAATATAGATTTACAAACACATGATTTTTAAGGGCTGCCGTTTCCCCGTGTATTGCCTTCACCCTATCGTCTTCGTCCAGGACTCCTGCTCCGATTCTCAGATCCACGAATTCGATGTTGTGAAATGGAGGTGTCTGCTTCATGGAAGGCGAACGACACCTCCAGGTTGTGCTCCAGAAACTCAACTCCGTTAGTCTCTGCAATAGCTGTATCGGCATCGTCCTTGGTGGCAAACTGGAGGAGAGCATACCCTTTGGCGTAACCAGTTCTTCGATCCAGGTTGACGTGGGCTACCTGGACATCTCCGTATGTGCTGTAGAAGTCTGTGAGATCCTCCTCACTAATTTCTGGATGTAGGTTGTCGACAATGATGATCCATCCCTCCGTGGCTGAGTTAGTCAATGGTCAATGCTGTGGCTATGATGTTGTCTCGATCTGTGTGTACTCACATCGTAGAGGTGTGGGTTCGTCTGAGTTAGTAATGAATGACGCTGTTGTGTTGAAGCGATTGGTATTCCGATCAATGTCTCTGTTCGTACTCACTTTCTGTAATACCCATTGTGTCGTGATGCCGTTGTGTTGGAAATGATGATTTCAAGTCGTCCAGTGTGGTTGCATGAAACTTTCAGGAAGTCACTATGAAACGACACACTTAAAGATCATCAATGACCATATGAGGCTGGTAAATAAAAAATGGCCGTTGCTGGTCGTTATATATCATGACATAAAAGGCTTGCACACAGTTTCAATCTCAACGATTACCCCCATCAATTATGCTTACTAAGCCGATTGTTTTAAAAAGTTAAACTTTAGACCAGCATAATCGTTGGAAAAAAATTGAAACTTGTAACCAGAAAAGCAGATCTTCGATTACCAACACTGATAAAATGTCTTTCACCGATCTAGGCTTGCCAGAGTGGCTAAATGAGTCTCTCTCAAACATGGCTATCACCAAGCCTTCCGCTATTCAGAAAGCCTGTATCCCCCAGATCATGAAGGGAAAGGACTGCATTGGAGGAGCTCGAACTGGTAGTGGTAAGACTATCGCATTTGCTGCTCCCATGCTGGCTGAATGGTCCAAGGATCCCTGTGGTATTTTTGGTCTAGTTCTGACCCCTACTCGAGAACTAGCCATCCAGATAGCGGAGCAGTTTACAGCTCTTGGAGCCAACATGAACATTCGAGTCGCGCTCATCTACGGTGGAGTTGATATGGTCAAGCAGAGTCTGGAACTTCAAAAGATGCCCCATTTCGTCATTGCCACACCTGGTCGTCTGGCTGATCATATTCGAAGCAGTGGTGAGGATACCATCCGAGGATTCCGACGGGTTAGATATGTAGTTATGGATGAGGCTGATCGACTGCTGACTCCTGGCTTCGTTCCTGACCTTAAAACTTGCATGGACCTTCTCCCCGATCCTTCAAAGCGTCAGACTTTGTTGTTCACAGCCACTGTTACCGACGCTGTTAGAGCTCTGAAGGACAGAACCGGTGAGAAGGGACCGCCATTCATCCACGAGATTGCATCAGACATTGCCGTGCCTAGCACTCTTACCCAGTCATATCTATTCCTACCTGGTTACGTACGAGAAGCCTACCTGTGGGCTATCCTCACTCATCCAGATAACGAGAAGAAGTCTGCCATCATCTTCGTCAACCGAACTCAGACTGCAGAGACCCTGAGACGAATGCTCATGGCTCTGGACGTTAAGACTGCCTCTCTTCATTCTGAGATGCGACAGCAGGAGCGAGTCAACGCTCTAGGACGATTCCGAGCCCAAGCAGCCCGAGTTCTTGTGGCCACTGATGTTGCTTCTCGAGGTCTTGATATCCCTACTGTGGAGATGGTCATCAACTTTGACCTTCCAGCAGATGCTGACGATTACATTCATAGAGTCGGTCGAACTGCCCGTGCAGGACGAAAGGGCCAGTCTGTCTCTCTTGTCACTGAACGAGATGTAACTCGTGTGACGAACATCGAAGAGAGAGTGGGTACCAAGATGGAGAAGTACGATCTGATCGAAGACGACAAGGTCGTTGAGGAGTATCTCACCCCTGCATCCACTGCCAAGAGACAGGCCGTTCTGGACATGGAGGCCGAGAACTTTGGTGAGCGAAAGCGAATCCAGAGAAAGAAGGCAGGACTGGACGTTGACATGAAGTCCAAGAACAAAAAGCCCAAGCGTGTAGCCAAGGGCAAATCTGACAAGAAATAAAGGATCCATCTAAAAAAAAGTGCATTTATTACAATATATTAGAATCTAATGGCGATGCGGACATCCTCAACTACTTGTCGTTACAAATATGAGTAGTAGGTAGGTAATAAGTAGCTACTGTATGATACGGTACATATACTTGTACACTTACGAGTGTGAGAGAAAGCAATAAATAATCAATTTTATGGAGTGCCATTGGGTCGGAATGAGTTTAGATATGCTGTGTGGAGTGCACTGTATATAGAATTATGAATACAGGTCCCCTACTTCTTACCTTCATATAATCCCTGGTAGTACCCTGCCCAATACCAAGCCATGACTAGACTTCGAACACTCTCGTCCAGATGATCCAAAGAAGGTCCAGTGGGTGCCGATGCCGATCCGGATCCTGGGTTCGCCATTGAGGTTTCGTCGTTAGAAATGTTGGATATCTCAGCAGCTTCTAACAACTTGTTAGCTGTGTCGGCTGTGTCGTTCATATCCGCATCATCATCCTCTTCTGGCATTTCCTTCTGCTCCTTGTCGGTTCTCATCTCATTGATCACTGCACCTTCCGTCGTGCTCTTCTTATGGTACTTGAGATATTCCTCGTATGCCTTATCCCAGGTCGCCACGAGTTGGCTGTCGTCCCATTGTTGGTTCATCTTGATCGTTGTGTTGATGAGAATTCATGCATTCGCATATTCATTTTGGTCACCTAAAAAATTAACATTCATCTAACTGCAGATGAGATGTACAACAACATATCTGCATCTTCATGAACTGCACGACATCGATATTTACTGATCAACGGCTGGAGAAAAAGTGTTTCATATGGTAGTTTGTGGCAACCCATGAACGGACACGGCAGTAACTTGAAGGACCTGGGTCAGGTACTATTACCAAACAATGAACAATTCAAGAACGATGGTGACTCTGGCGATGGGGAGGAGCTGCCCATGTTCCCGCCATCTGAAAATATTGGGTTGACATTCAAGTCGGACGGGTTGCTCCCTTTGCTTTTCTTTGTGCTGCCTCCGGAAGGAGATCTTCAAAGGAAAGAATTCGCAGACCTGAAACATATGTTAGAAAAAGGAGGAGCTATTTTGGCTCCTGAGCCATCAAACAATACCTACAACATCTGTTACACCGAAGAAACCCTCATACCACAGAAGTACGAATCATACAAAATTTGGTATACTGCTGACTTGATTCGAAGGTGCATGGACTGTCAATGTTTCGATGAGGACATTGTGGAAGCTGAGATGATCCTTGTCCCCAACTTCCGACACCTTACAAATGATTCAGTCAATCATGAAGATGAGTGGTGTCTAGATCAGGCACCCTCATTGAATTGGAGCCCTCAAGACCTGTTCTTCTCCACTGATCTTCTCAGACCAATCATGAGGATCTCAGGGAGTGAGTACAGAAAGTTGATTTCTGGGTCGCAGTTGCAAGCTGACCCAGCAGGGTCACAAGGGACACGAATCGGCGTCGATGGTGTGGACGTGGAAATGGAGGGAAACAACTCGAACCACGCCCCTGTTGTGAAGCTGGAAGATATTATTGACGAATCTACTACACCTCCGCTCGCTGATGCCCTTGTGTTGAATGCTCCGAGGACGGAGATTTTACATCGGCCAAGTCACAGAGCATTGCAAGTTTACATTCAGAACAGGCAAAAATGGCAAAATCTAATCGACCGATTGCCTCATCACGAGGTTGTGTACCTCCAGCGTGTCACTGACTTACTCAGTGGCGACTTTGACGAAGTTTACCACCAAGTATCCTACCATGGTGATGATTACGACGCGATAAACAGCCAGCCTGGAAGGTGGAACTCTGTTCACGACGTGTATCTTACTGATGTGACTGAATCAAAGGAGCTTGCACAATACTCTGTGGAACAAAAGTTCAACCGCAAGAAGTACTTGGAGGAGACTTTGACGGTCAACAAGGTGGCGGAATGGCTAGCCAACTTTCAACCTACGAAATACGGCCATCCTATCCATACTATTACCAGTCACCAGACGCTTACTAACTACTAATATACAATACAATACAGCTTGTCAGTGGTGGATCCGCTGTCTATAATATCAATACAACAAATAATACCTTTTTTCTATACCATGCTATAACTGAACCATCTATAACTAGAATCCCTTCTTCTTCTGCTTGTCGATATGAGCTCTCAGCAAACGCTTCTTCTCGATGAGCGATCTCTTGGCCTTGCCCTGGACATCCTTCTTGTGGATAGTCATCATGAAGTTCTTCTTTCGGGCCTTCTCTCTGTTGGTGGTGGAGTGAGGGGCGTCTCGCTTTCCCTTTCGAGAACCGAACTTTTCTCGTCCTTCTCGTCCTTCCTGGGCCTGTGCAATTCGCTCCTCTCGCAGCTGCTTGTACTTGACAGGTCCAATCAGGCCACGAGCATCGACCTCATCCTCGTTGGTGAGCTTCTTGCCCATGAGCTTGTCGAAGCCCGCCTGGGCCTTGAGCTCCTCGAGCTTGGCAAAGTCAGCAGGAGTGAGAATCTTGGTAGCCATAATGTTCTGGGCCTCGGCAGCAGCGTCGGCAGCAGCCTGGGCCTTAGCAGCTTTGGCTTCGTCGTCGAGTTCCTCCTCGTCTTCACTGTCAGAAATGTTGTACTCCTTATCGTCCTCAATGTTGATCCATCCGGACTCAGAGTCGTCAGAGTCATCATCAGAGTCAGAATCAACCTCCCAAGCCTTCTCATCATCTTCCTCCTGGACCTGGTCAGCTTTCCACTTGGCCAACAGCTCGAGACCCTCGATACCGGTCTGGCCCTTCTCAATACCATACTGGAGTCGAGAAGAGGTACCGGCCTTAGCGTCAGCAGACATAGCCATGGATGCCTCCTTACCTCTATCCTTTCGTGCAAGCATCTCGGGTGCAACCTCTCGGTAGAGGGAAACAAGAGATCGAGCAGCCATAACAACTGCTTTGGCCTTGGAGCCTTTGTAAGCAGTAAGATCCTGAAGAAGGGGAGCCTCAATAGCAAGAGGATTTCGTGCCAGAATCTCACGGATGGTGTTGATACCAGCAGAGCAAACCTCGGCAGAAACACCATCAGAGACGAACTCGTCAGCAATCTTTCGGATCATGGGTGTAATGGCATCAGGGGGCACGAGATCATGGGAAGCCTGCGCGGCGGCAGCCATGATCTGAGTGACGTCCTTCTGCTTGGGGGTGAGGTATTTCAGGAAATGAGAATAGATGCCCAGAACGGTGAGCTTATGTGTGCCGATCATTCGAGACACGAGGTTCATGATCTGAATTTTCTGCTCAAGATCGTATCTATACTTGCATAAGTTTGTAAAGAGCTGGTCGGCAAAACCCTGGGGGTCTCGCAAAAGATGCAGGGCGGAAAAGTTGAGGTAGGTGGCAGACACACCACCGTTACCCTTTCGCTTTTTCAGCAGTTTGTTCATGGCAGACTCGGCCTTTCGTCCTCGCTTTCGGGAGTTCTTGTTGATCTGTAGTCGATGCTTAAGAGCACCGATCTCGGCAGAGGCATCGGAATCAGAGTCCTCGGCGTTAGCCTCCTCTCGCTCCTTGTCAGCGCCAAGGAAGAATCGCACACCAGAAATGGCAATCTTGGCCTCTCCGTGAAGAGTAGCCTGAGCCATGATTTCCACAGTTCGGGAGTCGTCCCAAATACCTCGTCTCCACAGCTCTCGGGTCAGTTTAGTGGCCCACAGACCAGAAGACTCTCCAGTGGACAGAACATTAAATAGAAGTGCTTGGACAGACTTGTTGAGCTTCTGAGCTTTGCTTCCAGTGTTGGCACCCTTGACGATGGTGACAATGTTGGAGTAGATCTGAGTTCGCAGCTGCTTGCTGCCAGTGATGAGCAGAATGGGGAAGAGGGTGGCGATAAGCTTCTCGGGGGTGATGACACCCTTGTTCTTGAGAAGAACCATAGACTGGATGAGCTTCTCTCGCAGATCCTCGTCGAGATGCTGGTGGTGATCGAGGATCAGCTTGGACAACTCGTCGGGGAAGTTGGCTGTTTCTTTGGGGTAGCACGATGCAACCTGTGCGACGAATCCAACGAGATCTCCAAACTCCTCAGAGTTCTCAGTCTGAGGCGAGTTCATGTAAATGTCACGAATGGACTCATAGTGCTGGTACTGGAGAAGAAACTCCTCCTTGTAAGAAGGAGGGTCTCGTCGCACCAGATTTTGCAGAAGTGCAATGTTGGTGGGCAAAAGGGCTGCTCTCTTTCTTTTAGCCATTGTGTCGTGTGTATGAATAGAATGCTGCACGATGAATTTTCTTATGCAGTTCATATAATTTTTTTAGAGTTGGAACTCTATACGATGTCGCAGTTGAGATCTGTTGGCCAAGTAATTACTTAGTTACTTTATTTAAATTTAATGGAAACTACAGTACTTAATGTGTGTATCACCTGTGTATATTGATTCGAGTTGTGGTGGGTGCGAGTGAGTCGCGGGGTACACGTACTGTAGGTAAGTATGTGGCTTCGAAACGCATTCGGTTGTTGATACCAAAAGATTCCTGTCCGCATACGGGTGTCCGTTTACGTATCGTACATTCTCTGGGGTAAGTGCATGCGGGGTTGTTAGCAACAGTGACATGGACCCTGGACTGGAAGTGGGGTGGTTTTTGTCGATAAAAGCAAGCCGAAAATGTAGCTGACTCCTGCATCACTGCTTCATCCTCCACCCTGCTGGACTCACATCAAACTAACCGGATACACGCCGTATTATTGTTTTGGCTGTTCTTTGCACCTTGGTCCTACAGTAATCATGGTGTTTACAGTGCGGAGAGAACTGCTGCAGTTATCGTAGCTACATCATACATCATCATTAACGTCTCTTCGTTCCATATGAACCGGGACACACTTCCACTGGCTCATTACTCCAAGGGTAGACAGCCATGTCATCGCGGTTTTGGCCATTATGCTTGTACTCCGTAATGTTGGATGTAGACGGCATCGAGGACATTGAGTACAAGTGACTTCAATACCGTATACACTCGTACCAACTTCCATAGAGCTTCAGGATATGAAACAACACGGCTCGAAAGAGCACCCTGGATTTGTATGGATCTGAAACTCTGTAACGTGTGCAACAGCTAATTACTCCTTGTCAAAGTCACGGCTTCTCGCTCAATAACAAAGCTGATAACGTTCACACAAACAATATAATATAATATGTTTGAACGGCTACAATGGTCCTGATAGTGTGTCCTATCTGTATGTCAGTCGGTGATATACGCCGCTTAGAAAGGCTTATGGGATAAATATCTGCATGGTGAGTGAACCTCATGCATGATAAGATGTGTCTTTCAATCTCTCTTCTCGAGTGAAATCCTGTCTAAAAGAACCACGTGTCTATAACTTCGGAGTAACCATCATTTCGTTGCCTCGGTGTCACATTCATAGTGCATTGTTTTGACAGCTGCAGACAGCGGGAGCCGGAGATGATTGCTTTGACACAGGAATGTGTTTCGAAAGCAGTATATTGCCATGACCGAGTATGTGTCACGTCTCTATTAGCCACCGACAATGTTGAGACTCTACACAATCAATGGTTGCGTCAATTCAGCATATTGTCAATACTACAACTGTAGTTACTGCAAAGCTTCCAGCTGAGCTAGATCTCAATTTTGAATAACCCAAACTGCGAGCTGGTTCAGTCTTGGTTAGCGGTCAATCTAGAGTTACTGTACTTGTATCATGAATCAGGGGACGAGGGCTGTTCATCCTTTGCTTGGCAGCGGCTAAGTTCAGCTAAGAAAACGGCGCTGCGTAGATCACTTTGCACTTTTCAGATAAGAAAGTTGGGCGACTCATTTATGAGATGCTCAGCATCTTCCATTTCACACGTGGCGACGCTTATTTTACCACAGTATGTATATTCAGTTTCTACAGCAACTTCGTTTGAAGAGTAAGCCCCTATACATTCGATTAGTAAACCGCCTCTACAATGTATCGACAAGTATAACGACATATAAAGAGTATCTCTGTGTTTTGTTTGTTTATGCTACAACACCAGCACCCCTTTGAATTACGATACCGGTCTCTTCCAGATATGGCGTGGAGTTATCCCTGCAACATGGCACAATGGATGTCTAAGTATATGTACACTACGTATGTACTACTACATTCTGTACCTGTGTACCTTTTCGCTAAGATGTAGAGAAGACTATACTTCCAGGCTAGGGGGAGTGTATTTGCCCCTTGCGGGGTGTTCTTTTCTCCGAATGTAACATGAATTTTGGCTGGAACGTCCGGATCTGGTACCGCGGAATTTTCACCCCACCCTCGGTCACTCGAGAATAGACCTGGGTGCACCTGCGTGCCGCTATGCTTTGAAAATCAGTGCTAAGACGGAGTTTAACCCACTTGTCATTTTATTAAGCTTAATGGCTTTGCAACAGATGTGCAACATGGCTCAAGCAGACGCTGCGATTGGCGCTAGACGTGACTACAGGCCCGGTCTCGGTTATGGACGTCATGATCAGAGAATTTGGTTGCCAATTCGCCACGGAAATCTGGAGTTCTTTGTTTGTCGCTTAAATGATACCAGATATGCGTACACTCGGTGCCGTTCATAGTGGTGAGCTTGGCTTGCCTACTGCCCGTTTATATAGGATGGGAAGCCATGATGAAGAGGGCTAAGGGACCATTGCGCACCAACTCACCTGACTATGAAGTTCTCGGCTACCCTTCTGTTCTGCGCTAGCACCCTTATTGCTGCTGCTACCATTGCACCTCTGGCTCCTCGTGGTAACCAGACAAAGATCATCAATGGTTTCCAGGTTACAGACCTTGTTAACGATGCCGGTGACGAGCTCCTGCTCTTTAAGGATCTAACCAACTCCTCTTGGCCTGGTGATACAAGTACCAGTACCAATGGTGTCACTCTCTATTCTGGAGCCATCAAGGCTTGGACGTCTTCGGATGTGGCAGCTGTGTCTCAGACATCCTACAACTACCTCGAGAAGCAAGCGAAGTTGGCAAACATCGCCTACTGCGGAGGCTCTTCGCTGCTCACTGCGCCCTTTACCTGTGCCTACCAGTGCAAGGAATTTCCCAACATGAAGCTGGTCTCCACATGGGGAGACTCCCGAACTCTTTCTGCCCTGGTTGCTGGATACCTATCTATCGACCATACCGATAAGGAGATTGTGGTTGGTTTCCGAGGGTCCCATACTCTCAAGGATTGGATCGTTGATCTCATGGTGCTCCGAAAGGCTGTTGATGACTCCTATCCAGGTTGCGACAACTGTCGTGTCCACCATGGTTTCTATAGCGCTTACAAAGCCACTCTCGCAAGGTTTGACAATGACCTGAAGAAGCTTGTTGCTGAGAACCCTGGCTACCGAGTCAGCGTTGTTGGTCACTCTCTTGGTGGAGCCGTTGCTCTTCTGGCTGCCACTGATTTCAAGAACCGAGGATACGACACCTACCTTACCACTTTCGGTCAACCCGTTGTTGGAAACACTGGTTTCGCCAACTACGTAGATGATCTTTGGTTTGGATCTGAAACCCCTAACACTCTAAGTGGTGACTCTAGTCGACGATACTACCGAGTTACTCATAAGAGCGATGTTGTCCCTCGAGTGCCCTTTTGGCCGGGTTACACCCCCAACGCCGGTGAGGTTTACATTAGTGTGGCTGAGATCAACCCCCCTGTCTCTGCTCTGAGATACTGCGACGGTGAGGTCAACGATCAGTGTCTTCATGGAAACAGTCTACTTTCCCTAATCAACCTGACCGCCCATCACAACTACTTCATATACATTGGTGGAGACTGTTAAACCAGGCTGTTTTGATACCCTATTTGCTGGCAAATATTGTTTGAATATTTCATCTGTTTTCAGGTTTTAATAAAGTAATGACCCTCTTTAATTTCCATTTAATCACCTGTGTGATATCTCCTTACAGTAGTACATACGATAGTTATTGCACTTTTTCCCGTGCCTGCAATCGTCATCACTGCGCGCTCATAACCTGCACTACAAGCAATGACGTCTCAGATAGCCATTATCTGTGGAGCTTATTATCCCAAATCACGAGGCATGTCGTGCCAAAGTGATCATCTGGCTAACATTGACCCTCTTAACGACCAGCAGCCTACGAAGAGGACACGCCTTTTTGCCGGTATGGTATTTTCTTAGTCCGTTCTATACCCTATTCTCTATTGCAGTAATCTCTCTTTTTTCGGGCATGGTATCGCAGGAGGAAGTCTCTTTTTTTATCGTCAATCAGAGTGCGTTTATCTGGAGCTTCCCCTCAACGACAAATAACTCAGGTAGGATCTGTCTATTGATTAGCCCCCGTCAGCTAACAGTTGTGTTCATTGGCAACCTCCAATAGAAAGACAATCAGAGAGGTTAAAATCTCACCTAACGACAGTAAATCGGACACGGAGCCCAGCATGGAGCCACCTGAGCAAACGCGTCATAGTCCCCGGTTATTTACATCTCTCGCACGCCTGGTTGAGTTTAATGAGGACTGGAGGGACCCAAGGAAGATGGAGGTCTTTAAATGCCGACCGTGACCGTGGAGGCAGGTAGTGACGTTATTTTTGACCAGAAAATTTGCAAAAATACCAAAATTCGCATATAAATGTCACTCGGTTGATCTGCTGTAGACCTCATGAGGCCCTCCACCTTCCATTCTGTAGAATGGTCTCGTGGTATGTGGGGGATAATCTTATCCCAATAGAGCATTATCTCTAGGGTTACATTCCCGTTTGGGGTGTCGCAGCCACTGATAACGATTTTAACCTGCATTGCTGGTGCTCCTTCTCTCTCAACTAACACAACACACCACAACAACGACAAGTGAGTATCGAGGGACATGGAATGATGGCCCGTGGCGTCCGACGGTGACGGCTACTCTAACCTGTCAATTGTTGAGGCCGTCTGGGCTTGCCTCCGCTTGTGCCTGATGGCCAGATGAACCCATTTGCCACCCAAATTCCCCCACAACGAGACTACAAGTAGCCAGCTAACACAGTGCGTTCCAAATTTAAGGATGAACACCCCTTTGAGAAACGACGGGCTGAGGCCGAGAGAATCAGAAAGAAGTACGATGACCGTGTGCCTGTCATCTGCGAGAAGGTCGAGAAGTCGGACATCCCCGTGATTGACAAGAAGAAGTACCTTGTTCCTGCCGACCTCACTGTGGGCCAGTTTGTGTACGTCATCCGAAAGCGAATCAAGCTGAGCTCAGAGCGGGCGATTTTCATCTTTGTCGATGACGTGCTCCCTCCCACTGCTGCCCTGATGAGCTCCATTTACGAGGAACACAAGGACGAGGACGGGTTCCTCTACGTGACTTACTCCGGAGAGAACACCTTCGGCGACCTGGAGCAGTACAGGTTGGAATAATTTAGTGTGTCTATTGGCTGAGCAGTGCTCTCACGCTCTTATTTATTCCAACATTTAAACATCTTCGTGGCATTGACTGTGGTTCGTAGTGTGACACACGTACACGTAGTTTGTGTGTAGTTGCGGTGGCTGTGGCTGTGGCTAGCAATGATAGTGTACAGTTGATCAGTGCTTCTATCAGATGTGGCCGACTCTATTATCCATATATTGTTGGTGTTGTAAGTGACTCATTTACAGTAGACAGATGATCTTGGAGCGTTGAGTATACCCTACTTCACGTATGTAGCTACTGTATGTCCGTACCGTGTCATACAGATTCATAATAACGGGACAGTACATAGACTACAGTAAACAGTGTGCTTGGACATACAAGTCGTACTGTAGGAACGTTGAGGTCGTTTACACATGCTTACTATTTGTAGCTAGGCCAAGTGGGGGCTTTGAATGAACCTCATATTTGATATATAACTACTGTAGCTACTGTACATGTAGCATCCGTACAATATTTTCTGTGCAGCAGATTACAGTAATTGTAGCTAACAGCTAGTGGCTAAGACAGATCCAATGAGATAGCTGAAAGATTAAGGTGGTACTTGTACTTGTATGTACTTGTACGCTGTGCTGTTGCAGCCAAACTTGTATCTTCCAGCGTACAAATGGGTACAAGTGCAAGTACATACTGTAGTCGTACGAATACCAGTCCGATACAAGTGCGATACGGTAGCTATTCTAGCTTCCTCTGTAAGGGCGACGGTAAAAGTACAGTACAAGTACATACTATTCAAGTACATACTGTACGTTAGGATTGCAGAGCGTGGAGTGCTCAAATAACCACCTCATCCTTAACATGCGTAACCCACATGTTTGTACCAAAGACGCCACAGGAAGAAGTACCAGTAAATTGAGCGCCTGGGAGGAAGCAACACGTATGCCCAACACTTGTCCGCGTTGGCCAACTATTTCCACTCTCAGTTGCATCACTACAAATACTGGGAGTGCATATATACCACTCGCCTCCTTTTCTATGGCTCCCATGATGTTTCTATCCAGTGGACTAAGACAATGGCTGCAATACTTGTACGTAGTCTGATGATGCCTGTGTTTAGCATTTCTCCACGATTTCAGCTCTTCCCGGAAAAACAAGGAGCTCACCAGACAATGAGCGAAAGGAAATTTTTCAGTGCTGCAGCAAAATCATCCGGGAACACGTTACATGTATTCAACGCGCTGCTCTTACTGGTATAGTATTTGGCACGGCACAGGATAGCCGCCTGTGTGCTGCACAATTCCGGACAAATGGAAATGCCGCCATGAGGACTTTTCCGCCCACAAGCAAATTAGTGTGAAACACAGTTTGTAGACAAAGCAAAGATGGGAATGATAATTAGAAATATGGGGCAATTTTTGAATTTGTATACGTACTTGTATGTATGTACATACTGTACCTCGTACCTCGTACAAATACCGGTATTTGTATACTCGTACATGTTCGAGATAAATATCGTGCGATTAGCTACAGTACGAGTGAATGAATCTAGGATACAATTCAATGGTTGGTCTACAGTTCCAAGGATGTCCGCTCGTAGCCTTAAGTCATTCACTTTCGTTTCGTTCAATAGTCATCAATCTCTTATGTATACATTCGTAAGTCATTATTTGCTTAGAGCTTGAGGCCAACGAGCTCAGCGTACTTCTCGGTAGAGAAGGACTTGGGTCGCTCGATGGGAGCACCGTAAGCTCGGTCCATGATGAGCTGGGGCAGGACACCGATAGCTCGGGAAACACCGAAGAGAACAGTGTAGTAAGACTGCTCAGTGAGACCGTAGTACTGGAGGAGGACACCGGAGTGGGAGTCCACATTGGGCCAGGGGTTCTTGGTCTTGCCGTGCTCGGTGAGAACCTTGGGGGCAACCTCGTAGATGGTGGAAACGAGGTGGAAGAGGTCGTAGTCGGGCATGTGCTCGAGGGCGAACTCTCGCTGGGCGGTGTATCGAGGATCGGTCTTTCGGAGAACGGCGTGTCCGTAACCGGGGACGACTCGACCGGCCTTAAGGGTATCCCAGAGGTACTTCTCAATGTCCTCCTTGGTGACATCAGAGCCAATCTTGGACTTCATCTCGAGAATCCACTCAAGGACCTCCTGGTTAGCTCGGCCGTGGAGAGGACCGGCAAGACCGTTGAGACCAGCGGACAGAGAGAGGAAGGGAGAGGAGAGAGCAGAACCAACAAGCTTGGTGGTGTGGGCAGAGACGTTACCTCCCTCGTGGTCAGCGTGGATGGTGAGGTAGAGTCGCAGAAGCTCAATGAACTCCTTGTTGTCGCCAAAGCCGAGCAGAGAGGCGAAGTTAGCAGAGTAGTCAAGAGAGTTGTCAATGGAGCCAACAATCTTTCCGTCCTTGAAAAGGTTTCGGTAGATTCGAGAAGCAATGACGGGGAGCTTGGCAATGAGGTTCATGGAATCCTCGTAGGTGTACTGCCAGTACTCCTTCTTGTTAACACCCTTCTCGTAAGCCTTGGTGAACTGAGACTCGGACTCCAGAGCGTTGACGGCAATACCGAGCTGAGCCATGGGGTGGAGGGTGGGGGGGCATCGGTCGATGAGCTCCTCAACATGCTTGGGGATCTCGGCTCGAGAGGCCCAGTCAGCGGACAGACCCTTGACCTGAGCATCAGTGGGGATCTCGCCGGTGAGCAGGAGCCAGAAAAGACCCTCGGGGAGAGGCTCCTTTCCGCCAGGGGCGTGGGGGAGCTGCTTCTGGAGGTCGGGGATAGTCAGACCTCGGAATCGGATACCCTCCTCGGGGTCGAGGACGGATCCCTCCCAGACGAGACCCTTAATACCTCGCATACCACCGTAAGCCTGGTCGAGGATGACCTCGCCGATGACGGTGTTACCCTTCTCCTTTCGGAGCTTCTTGATCTTCTCGACGTTCTCGGGGATGAGCTCGGCGAATCGCTCCTTAAGACCCTATTTGTTAGTCGTGTTTCTTTTTAGTGGGTTGCAGTGTGGTTTGTATTGCTCAATTGCAATTGTTATGACTGCCATCTCGTATGGTTGCCGCGGGGTTATGTAATGTCGACTTCTGCACACAACACATTCCATATTTTATGCTGCTGCTGCTGCTTGAAAGCACCACATTCGACGTGTCACATGCATTCGGAAAAACTTTTGCCGAGGCAAGAACAGGTCGAAAATGGGGCCTAAGGCTGTTGCAATCAGGCTGACGCAACGAAATCCGTCGCACAGCAACCAATTGATGAAAGAAAAGAAATACTCACATCCTGGGTAGAGTAGGCCCGGAAGGCGGTGTTGGCCATAGGGGCAACACGAACGGAAGATCGAACGGCGGGACGAATAGCAGAAATCATGATTGATATTTCAGATTTGTTCAAATACTGACGCAATGAAATAATCGTACAGAAAGAGAAAAGAGAAACGGGCGCCGAGCAAGATGGTCTAGTTTATATATGAAAAGCAGCGTTGACAGGCTGATTAGGCTTCTTAACTTTAAGGTTAGACTTTTTGACATTCAATTGACTTTCTCCCTACTGTCCCAACCCAAGGTACATGAAAAAGCTCCGGTTTAGCCGAGCGTTTACGTGGCCCTATAACAACCTCATGCCACCGCCTAAAGTGGTGCTACCTGGCAGCCAAACAGAGGGATTCCCTCTTGTCACTAAATATCCATCTCTCAGGGGCTAATCCCGAAACTCCGGCAGCCATTGAGCATGTGGCACATGTAGCACAGCGGTTTACATCTCGTTACCTCCCAGCTTCCGTTGCTTGACTCCGAACTTTGTTCCATGAAATTCCCTCACCATTTTCCAGGCCAAACGATACTATTTGATAGCTCATTCGGTACGTGCTAGCCACGGCTATCACTCCACTGCACCGGGCCAACCTCCATGTAATTGTGTCCAAGTCAGGTGGTGTTTTCAGTCGCGTAGCCCAGTGCACGAAAATTTTCACATCTCGGTACGTACCCCAGCTTTCAATTTCACATTTTCTGGGGAATAAGCCTCGGATGTAGCCGGAACTCCTTTGACGTCACCCTTGCCACTGCTTGTGAATGAAAACTCAATTCAGAGTAGTATGGGGTATTGCCGAGCAGGTCCGAGGCCAAAAAATGTACCTGACATTCACTAGCGTTTAGATCCATCCAATGTTACGAGATGTATTCCAGCAGCTGCCCGCTCTTCCCGGGCCACTGTGTTCTGCTGCATTTTCCTCCATTCCGTAGACCTACTATTCATTTGGCAAAAGAAGATAAAAAAAATGCAATTTTCGCATGCATGTCTCTCTCAGTTCTCGTCATTCGGAAGGCGTGTTCAGTGATGCTGACGGATCAATATAGGAAAGGGGCTGCACTTGTAGGGCCTTGTGGATCTCCTGGAACAAAAAACACCCCTCGGGTTTTCCGAGTCGAACATGCAAACGTTCATATGCACAAGGTCTTTCTCCCTCTGAAGTCTGGAGTCTTGGTATAACCTTGTGCGTAGTCTCCATCCATCCGAGAGCACTGAAAAACTCATCATGCATGGATCAATAGCCCGGGTTAGTTGGTTCATGTGAGCCCACACTCATGTGACCTCAATCGGCTCGCAGGACGTATTTTTTCCGCTACTCTGGCTGTCAAACACTTTCACAGCAACGGTCTTGTAACCTACTGCGGACAAATTTGGAATCTGCATGGTGGAGGAAATTGATCCGATAGCCGGGTAACCCCTTGTAACGTTTCGTGGCTGTTGGAAGGCGTGCATGTTGGTGGGTTAGGGCTTAAATGTCGAGGCCTCCTTCGAGGGGGGTTACCCTACAGTTGGGAGGTTCGTTGATGGATTTTTGAAGCTCGAAAATATGAAGCTTAGCACACAAACACGAATCGAACACACGCTACACACGCCTTCTGTGAGGCCGAACTGTATTTTTAAAAAATCCAAACATCGAAGTCAGCTGTGTTCACCAGAAGCACTTTCATCTAGCACCTGATCCCAAATCAACATAATGGTACCCAACAAGAGGTCCAGTGGGTCCTTTGGTGGATTTGCAAACAATGCTGCTGGGTCATCGACCCCAGGAACAACCCCGCCCAACAGGAGCCGATCCTCGATGGGCAACCATTCGACCGGCAAGGTTAGCAACTCGAGCTTTGGAAATGCATTGAGACCCTCAGCCGGCCTCCACAACGGACACAATGGCCTCGCCTCTTCCTCTGTCCCTGGACTTGGGAATGGTGTGGTCAATCACGTTCTTGGAGCAGTCCCCATCTCGTCATCATCGTCAAGCTGGCTCCAGACCAAGAAGCCCAAGGAGTTAGGTACAGTGTCTGTCAACGAGATGTCGGCCAAGCAGCCCCTCGAGCTTGGCTCCGAGTTCGTGGAAGCCTACCTCAACAGAGACGACAAGTATCCTGAGTTGGATAGACTTGTGATGCGTGAGTATGAGAGGAGGAATCTCCTGCTTTGGACGACATACTAACCACAGAGGGACAATTGTCCGAATACATTTTTGCTCAGTCTGGTGACTTGGGAGCACTGACGCCATTCACACGAACGGAGGTTATCAATATGCCTGACGAGCTCTATGAGCAATACAACCACACGGAGACAAGCACCAAGATGGGCATGTTCTCAGAGATTGACCGAATCTGGATGACTGTGGACAACCGAATCTACTTCTGGTCCTACATCGATCAAGCCTACCATGCCTTCGAGGGACTGGAGCACACAATCACGTCGGTGAGTCTGGTAAAACCCAAGGCCAACACCTTCATCGACCTTATTTCGCATGTTTTGGTCCTCACCACCCCACTAGAGGTCTACCTCGTTGCCGTGGGATACAACAAGACCACAGATGAGTTTGAGCTTTTCGATACGGGCATGCACACCTCTATCAAGGGTCTGGATGTGGACCAGGTTATTGCTTCCAAGGACACTGGAAGAGTTTTCTTCACAGGTCCTGGCGACGGCACCAACGTCTACGAGCTTATCTACAATAATCAGGACAGATGGTTCCGAGACAAGTGTTCCAAGGTCTGCCGAACCAAGAACAGCATTGTCGCTTCTTTGCAACCCATTGCTATCGGTGAGGTTGCTGGTGAAGGTACTGGCATTCTGGGTAAACTGGTGAGTTCCTTCCTCCCATCTCATGAGCGAGAGGTGATTGTTCAGATGGTCATTGACGACTCCAGAAAGCTGTTATACACTCTGTCATCCACCTCTACTATGAGAGTGTACCACATGGCCACCGATGATCTGAAACTCACCTTCACTTACACCTTCCCCCAAGTGCTGTCTCATCTGCAGATGATCACCGCCAGCACCCCTACCTCGCATGCGCCCAATCACGGCGCCCATGGTCACGCGCATGGCCACGGTACTGCTTCTCATACCGGAACCAACAGCCGTACCAAGCCGGCTACTCCCCTCATCTCCAAGCAAACCAAGATTGTTTCCATCAAGCCCGTCATGGCTACTGAGTCTTCTCAAATCCATCTCGTGGCTGTGACCTCTTCCGGCTGGAGATTGTACATTCGGGCTGCGCGATCTTACACCTTTGGTGCTGGAGGAACGGCACCTTCTGCATCCAACCCCCCCACATTCATGCAGGTGATCCAGGTTCGGTTCCCTCCTTCCTCCAGCCCCGAGGCCGTGCCTCCCATGCAGTCCAAGGTTCTGAGCGGCACCCTGGGCACCTCTCGTCTCTTTGAGCCTGGCCACTTCTTTGCTGTGGTCCCTGCCGAGACTGAGGAGGAGGGTGATAAGGCCATGCCCACGTCAGACCGAGTTTTTGTGGCTGCTCCCGACACCGGACGAATCCTGTACCAGCAGTCATCTCTGGCTGCAGCTGCTAACCCTGTTTACATTGAGAACGCCTCCTTCCTTGAGGTGGATGGTTTCGTGCAATCTATCCAGCTTCTTACTCCTCCATTCCGAGCCACAAACCATCCCGAGGGCTTCGGAAATGAGTCTGCCTGTCAATACGAAAAGTCTGCCCATCAGAAGGTTGCCGTTCTCACCCAGACTGGTCTCCATATTTATGAACGAACTCTTCCCTATGAGACCTTCCAGCGTCTTGGAGGCGATGTCAAGACTTTCTTTGACCTCTACGGCCGAACCGAGACTTGTGCTACTGCCCTGTCTCTGGCTTCCATGAATATTTCGTCCCCTGAGGAGCGAGAGCTGGCCCGAAAGGTCTACATTGAGGTCGGTGGACGAGCCCACCTCGTCGACGATGACACTAACTATGGTATTACTGCTGCCAGTGTGACCCCTACCGGTACCACCTCTTCTCCCCCACAGGTTGTCAAGCTGTCGGGCAGATTTGAAGGCCTGGCCACCTACCTTTCTCGAGCCATCCGGCCCCTTTGGCAGCAAAACGTCTTTGCCCTGGTGCCCCGAGTCGTCAACGGCGAGGCCAAGGAACAGTTTGTGCTCAAGCTATCGCGAGAACACATTGAGGATGCCCAAGTACGTCTCATTGAGATCAGCGAGTTCCTGACTAAGAACAAGACCTTCATCGAGGGTCTTGCTGGAGCCGACCGAGTGGTTCTGGGCGGAAACCGAGCCGAAGAGACCGCTCTTCTTGCTGAACATACCGCTCTCAATGCTCTTGTCAAGTTGGTAAACAACATGAAGGAGGCCACAGCTCTTCTGCAGCTGCTCCAAGACGAAACTGCATCTGCCCCCAACGGAATTGAGAGTATCATGGTGTACCTCACTCCTGCTGCTCGAGAGCAGATGGCTAAGCTCAAGTTCTTCGAGCTGGTCACTCGAAAGGCTGGCATTGATCTGGCCAAGGAGCTTGTCACCTGTCTTGTCAACAAGGCCATTGCTGATGGAGGATCGGTTGAGTCTGTGGCTAGTATCCTTGAGGATCGATGCAACTCGTACTGTTCTGCATCGGATGTTCTTACTTACAAGGCCATTGAAGCTCTTAAGCGAGCCAAGGACGTAGGTGTTCGAGACCCTGAGCTTCGACAACAGCTGCTGGCTGAGTCCGTCAGACTGTTTGAGAAGACTGCCGGAAGCCTCAGCATCGACTCTCTTTCCGAGTCCATCGATCTCTACTGCGAACAGGGATACTACACTGGGGCCATTCAGGTTGCTCTTTCTGTTGCTCAGGAGATGGACAGAGCCAATGTTGCTGCAGCATACATCCTTGATGACATGCCTGAAGGTGATGTTCGTCAAGAGACTTACGAGAAGCGAGTTAAGGTCTACTCGATGGTTTTTGGAGTGCTTGAGCGAGTGGTTGAGGATTCTCCCGTCAACTCCCCTGTCCCCAACGAGGCTTATGACATTGCCCTGGCTTCCACCGATGAGGTCTTCCAGTACTGTTTCTACGACTGGTTCATCGAGACTGGAAACTCGGCTCGTTTGCTGGACCTCGACACCCCTTACATTCTGCCTTACCTTGTTAACAATGCGAAGAAGAGCGTGAACATGGCCGACCTGCTGTGGTGTTATTATCAGATGCGAGGCAGCGTCATTTCTGCTGCCGAGGTTCTGTTCGACATTGCCACCTCGACCAAGTTTGTGCTTCCTCTGGCTCAGCGAATTGAGTGTCTGTCCCGAGCCCGAGGCTACGTCAACTGCCCTGCCCCCATCACTTCTCGGCAGCAGCTTGCTCAGCTGACCACCCGAATCCAGGAGCTCCTTGAGGTTTCTTCTATCCAGGATGACATTCTCACAAACGTCAAAAAAGACCCCCGGTTCCATGATGCTCGACGTCAGGAGACCATGGCCAAACTTGATGGCCCTATCATGGGTGTTTCTGAGCTTTTTAACCTGTATGCCGACCCCCTGCAATACCTTGAGTCTTGTTTGGCTTTATTCCAGGTGTCTGACTACCGACAGAACGATGAGATTCTCAACTGCTGGAACAAGCTCATTGTGCAGACCGACCAGAAGGGAGAGGAGGACCACGACGGTGACCGCGCTCAGTCTTACGAGTACGTTGCCAACATGGTGCAGCGTCTCGGTAAGCAGTTCATGGTGTCTGAGTTTGTCTTCCCTTATGACCAGCTTATCCCTATTCTGGAGCTCTATAGAGTCCAGCACCAGCCAGACTCTCCGGTTGGATGGGTTGTCGACACATTCCTTGGTGCATCTCTTGGCTACGAGACTGTCTACACCTGTCTGTCGGACATGATTGAGCGACGGGAGTACCCCTTCTCCGAGGAGCATGCCATGCGATTGCTGGCTCTGGATGTTATTTATCTTTTGGAAAAGTGGTTGGCTGAGAGCCGGGGCATCGCGCAGATCCAGAATGTAGTTAGTGCCGATATGCTCGACACTCTGGAGCAGTACACGAGCCAAGGAGACGTTGCAGGTCTGCGAAGACGACTGCGAATTTAATATGTATAGATAATAATAAATGTAACATAAGTTGATTAACAATATGCATGCGATGAAGGTATTGGAAGGTATGAACCGGTACTTGTACTTGTACTGTGGCTGCTGTACACATAAAATATAAAACATTCGCCACAGATTGTACTTATACAATACTTACAGGCTAGATACAGAAATACTAGGTACAGGTTCGTTCACGCTGTTACTATTCCACCCAGTTAAACAATACGTTATGCCATTAGTCTATATATATTTTGATTTTAAAGCTGAGCCTTGACCCATCCCTCAAGGCCGCCCTTGACGATGATCTCCTGGAGGTTCTGTCCGAGCTCTCCGACCTTCTGCTTGAGAATAACGGGTCCGTTCTTGCCGTCGGTGACGGTGACAGTAGCGGCAGGCACATCCCAGGTGGCGAACCAGCCGGTTCGTCGGGTCAGCTCAGCGGGCTGTCCCTCATATCGCTTTCTCAGTTTGTTGATGAGAGCAGGAATCTCAAGAGTCAGCAAGGCGTTGTTGATGGAGTTTCGGGAGAAGATGTTTCCAAAAGAGCCGGCAATGACCAATTGCATGTCTCGGGCCAGAATACAGGTGGCGGCCTGCTCTCGGGAAGAACCGGTACCAAAGTTGAAACCAGAGACAATAATGTCTCCAGCGCCGGTCTTAGAGCCAAAGTCAGGATCGTAGTTCTCCATGCACACCTCGGCCATCTTCTCTCGGGGCACGTCGTCCTGGTAGGTGTACTTTCCGGGGTAGATACCGTCGGTATTGATGTTGTCGGCGTCACAAAGGACGAGTTCTCCAGTGATCTGTGCGGGGAATCCATCCAGGACCCCTCCACTAGGAGCAGGGTCAGACTCGGCAGCTTCGGCATCAGCCTCTGCCTCAACTGCCTCAGTAACTGAGATGGAGGAAGACACACCCTTAGCTCCGGGAACGGGAGAGCCGTAGACTTCCTCGGGGAAACCAATCTTACCGAGAACAGCAGAAGCAGCGACAACCTCGGGAGAGGCCAGGTAGGCCAAGGCATCCTTGGAGCCCATTCGGCCCTTGAAGTTTCGGTTGGTAGCAGAGATACCGACCTCGCCGTCTTCGAGAAGACCAGTTCCGAGACCGATGCAGGGGCCACAGCCGGCAGGGAGAGGCTTGGCTCCGGCATTGATGAGAGTCTGCCAGGCTCCAGAGGCCTCGGCGTCCTTCTGGACAAAGGAAGAAGCAGCGGCGACATAGAACTCGACGCCTTCAGCGACCTTGTTGTTCTTGATCACGTTGGCAGCAGCCTCGATATCGGACAGTCGAGAGTTGGTGCAGGACACAAGGTAGGCCTTGTTGATCTTGATGTCCTGGGCAGACAGATCAGCCAGGGAGTTGTACACCTTGACGGAGTTGGGTCCAGACAGGAATGGAGAGAGAGTAGACAGATCAATGGTCAGGTTCTTGGCATACTTGGCGTCGGTATCGGCCTGAACAGCGTCCTTGAGAGCAGCGACAGTGCCGTCATTCACTCGAGCATGAGGCTGAGGAAGTCGAGTCAGACGGTACTCGTACCACTGTCGGAGAGTCTCATCAACAGGGAAAAGACCAGTAAGGGCACCCCACTCGGTGGTCATGTTAGCAATAGTGAGTCGCTCGTCGACAGACAGGTGCTCAACACCGTCTCCAACAAACTCAATGGCGTGGTTGAGAACCTCGTCGTTGTTGAAGATACCACAGAGAGCGATAATCACGTCCTTACCAAACACGCCGGCAGGAAGCTGGCCCTTAAGCTCGACACGAGCAACAGGGGGAATCTGCCACCAAGTCTGTCCAGTAGCCCACACGGATGCAGCGTCGGTTCGGACAATGGGTGTACCCAGGCAACCGATACCTCCATACATGTTCGAGTGTGAGTCAGAAGCGACAGTGAGGTTGTAAGGGAAAGCGTAGCCCTCCTCGACCATAACCTGGTGGCCAATACCTCGGCCGGCGGGGTAGAAATCGATGCCCTGCTCTCCGGCAAAGTTCTCGATGTTGGCATACTTCTCTAGGTTCTTCTCAGACTTGTTCTGGACATCGTGATCAAGAGTCATGACCACTTGCCGGTTGTCCTTGACAGCCTTGGCTCCAAGGCCCTTGAACTTGGTGGCAACGGGCCATGAGTTGTCGTGTGTCATGCAGTGGCTGGGTCGAATGGAAACATAATCTCCACTCTGGACCTGCTTGCCTTCAGGAAGGCCGACGGCATATCGCTGGACGATCTTCTCGGTCAGGTTCTGGGGGATGCGCTTTGTGGAGTATCGTCGCACCAGGAGTGTTTGTGTGACTGCTCGATTTCTGAATGCAAACATTTTTGGTGAGCTGTGTTTGTGGAACTGGTCTTTCACAAATTGTCAAGAGAGATCAGATCGCCCAATGGAAAAGAACCCATTGCTGACTCCTAAACTCTACTGTGACATAACTTTACTATGACTCTTTCAGCACGTGATGCAAGATAAGAAGACAAATCTTGGGGTTTGCTGAGACATGAAGAAACTCATTGGTATTGTTTAGTGATTTCTTCGGTTTCAGGAGTAGTTGGAGTTCAATCACCGTACCTTTCGGAACTTCTCAAAAATCTCTTAGCTGAAAAGATCTGAAATTTGACATGGATATTTTTCATTAAGGTGTGAGTTTAGGTGGGGAGACGAACGCCATTGTGTGTGGGAGAGACTGCCAGTATGGCGCGTAAATTAAGTTGTCTCATTAACAACAGTCTGCAGATGAGCCGAAATTCGGGAGAAATGCGGGATGGGATTTTACTTGGTGGTGTGGGTTTTATAGGTGGTGGTTTTGTTTTTATCCCGATCATGTCCGTTCTGAATTTCACGCTTCTTGTGCAAGTATTGTACAGTTCATGTTTGTCAGGGAACATACAAGTGTACTTGTACAAGCTAATTTGGGATGGTATATTGAAATGAGCTAATAACAGTACAACTGCAAGTACAAGTACATGTACTCGCAACTCTGGGATACAGAATAGTGCAGAAAACGATGTGGCGTTTGTAACTGCTAAAACCGAACCCCCAAACATTTGTACAAGTACTCGTAGCAACCGCTGCCCAGTGCAACATACACTGTACATAGTTGTACCTGTAAGTGCTCTCTCCTGCAACCTCTCATCCCCATATGCATTCCTCTCACATGCAGACCATAAGAAATAATTGTGCTGCACACTGAACACCAACAACGTCTATGAATCTTGCTCAATGGAGCATCATACAAAATGGTGCAAAAATTGTCGCACACATGGGGACCGGTAACAATGCCTACATCATCGCATGTTACTCTAATTCACGCCCAGCTGTCATGCTGCCACTCCTCATTCAGATGAATCACACCAACACCAACATTGCTGTTGTGGTGCACACAGAGACAGCTGCAAAGAGATATTCCAAGGAGATTGAAGAGACGTCAAAAGTTGCAGGCACACCATGTTCGTCGCAGTGTTTCCTCCGGTGGGATTCACTACCAATAGATTCAAAGTGCACCTACTTCACTCCCGAATCATTCCTGAAAGCATTTGGACAGCAGCAGGAGATTCCATACACCCACATTATTGTTCTAGACACACATGAAAGATTGCAATGGGGTGAAACGGTCCTGGCGGTTCTCAAGAAGGTATACACCGGACCTCTTGTTCTCTGCTGTTCTCCTCTTCCTAAGGCAATAGGGTACCTCCAAGATTTCTACGAGGGAGCTTCAATCATAGCTCTACAGGACATAGAAGTCGTAGACATGCACTATCTTGATCACCCCTCGTGTAATCTGGTGGATACTGCCGTTGACACCGCAGTCAACATTAGCAGCATGGAGGGAGATGGTCATATCATAATGTTTCTATCTACACGTGAGGAAGTACTCTTGGTGATACGAGGGATCAATGACCGTCTCCAATCTCAACAGAAAGGAGGGGATGTCAGCGTGGTGCCCTTCTACAAGGCCATGAAAAGAGAAGAACTGGAGGAGCTATATGATGCCCTAGACAAGAGAGGAGGACGAACGATCATTGTCGCCACAGCGATGGCTCAAGATTACACGTCTCTCCCGCCTGATATTAAGTACGTCGTCGACTCTGGACTGCAAACCTCACAAGAAGGAAAGCAGATATGGGCTACCAAGCTGGATTGCGAGATTCGAGCCAATCGAGTATCCTCTACTGGGGGAAAGGTATACCGACTATTCACTGAAGAGATGTTCGAGGACCTTATTGACATGTGTCCTGCCGAGGTCATGGTCGACAAACTGGATCAAGTAGTCCTCTATTGGCTCTCGCTCGGTGTAAAAAACATCCTTACCCTGGAGACTCCTTCCAAGTACCCTCAGAGGCTTCTTTCATCAGCTTTAACGACTCTGCACCACGCTAGCTTGATATCAAACGATGGCCAGCTTACAAGAGTCGCACAAAGTGTGTCATCACTCTCTATCTGCCTGCCTTTTATTCCCACACGCTTCATAGCTGCTATTGGACATTCACTAAGCGAATCCTGCACGTCACAGATCTTGAGTATCGTCGCAATGGAGCTCGCTGGAGGACTGAACGAGGCGTACTACACCCCCAAGGAGGTTGTGAAGCGAGAGGAGGCCAAGAACATCCATGCATTGTTCCAAGTGGAGGAGGGACCTTATATCACCCTGTTGAACATATACGAATCCGCGTGTACACCAAAACTGAAACACACGAGATGGTTTGTTGAGCATTTTCTCAACTACCAAATGATCAGGATGGCTACAAACATTCGCCACGAGCTAGCTTCTGTTATTGGTGTTGGAGCCGTAAACGCCGATAAAGATGAGCAGATGACCGGTTGCTTGGAGATCGTGAAGAGGTATTTTGACGAGTAACAACTATAAATTTTAATGTATTTATTGACACTACATATGTGCTTAGGACTATTGTACTACAAGTATTTACTCTACTTGTACAGTATCGGATATGGTCAAGATCGCTTGTTGCTGTGAGCTTACATAAGCAAATAAACAGAAAATGCACATGAATACTTAGAGCCGATGGTATTGAAAGCCAAGAGAAATGGCATTCTTAGTAATAGAGTCCCCAAAGCATTTTAACCACCTGCTTACCTCATCTATATAATATAAATAGCCACCTATCTCATCGCGTGTTTCTTTAGAATTCGACTGGGTGAAGTGAACAAGGTTCCGAAATATGTGCAATATGTAAGTTGGTAACAACACCTTGATTGGAAAAAGGACGACACGAGCCAACGATGGATTCGGATACTGAGTCAGTGAAACGAAGAAAGTCCTCCGGGTCCGAAAGCGAGTCGAGCGTGCGAGATCCGAAACGAACCAAGATTGAAGATGAGGATTTCCAGGAGAACGGCATAGACGATGAGGATGAGGAGGAGGAAGAGGAGGAAGCTAAGGACGAAGGGGATGAAGACGACGAAGAAAAAGGAGAGGACGACGAGGAGGACGATGAAGAAAAAGAAGGCGAGGATGGAGAAGGAGAGGAAGAAGACGAAGAGGAGGATGAGGAGAAGAAGCGAGAGGAGGAGGAGAAGTACGTTACCAGCTTCAACTTTGATGGTGTGGAATACAAGTACAAAGAGCGACCAGCAGTGATTGAGGAGCGTGAAGGAAAGATTGAATTTCGTGTTGTCAACAACGATAACTCCAAGGAAAACCTCATGATCCTGACAGGTCTCAAGAACATTTTCCAGAAACAGCTGCCCAAAATGCCTCGAGAGTACATTGCCCGACTAGTGTACGACAGAAGTCATGTGTCAATGGCAGTTGTTAGAAAGCCTCTCACGGTGGTCGGAGGAATTACATTTCGGCCGTTCGATACCCGGAAGTTTGCTGAAATCGTCTTCTGTGCCATCAGTAGTACAGAGCAGGTCCGAGGATACGGAGCGCACTTGATGAACCATTTGAAGGACTACGTTAAGGCTACATCGCCTGTGATGTACTTTCTGACATACGCCGATAACTATGCCATTGGATACTTCAAGAAGCAGGGTTTCTCCAAGGAGATCTCCCTCGACAGATCGGTGTGGATGGGATACATCAAGGATTACGAGGGAGGTACTCTCATGCAGTGCTCCATGCTGCCACGAATCAGATACCTTGACGTCAACAAGATTCTTCTGCTACAGAAGGCACTGATTCACAAGAAGATCCGGGCCATCTCCAAGAGTCATGTTGTGCGAAAAGGCCTCGACCACTTTCGTGATTCGACCACGCCAGTGGACCCCATGACGATCCCGGGCTTGAAGGAGGCTGGATGGACACCTGAGATGGACGAGTTGGCTAGACGACCAAAGCGAGGTCCTCATTTTGCAGTCATGCAGCACGTGCTGTCAGAGTTGCAGAACCACGCTTCTGCTTGGCCGTTTGCCCAGGCTGTTAACCGAGACGAGGTGCCCGACTACTATGAGGTCATTAAGGAGCCCATGGATCTCTCAACGATGGAGCAACGTCTCGAAGCTGACTCTTACAAGACCATGGAGGAGTTTGTGTATGACGCTCGGTTGGTGTTCAATAACTGTCGTGCTTACAACAACGAGACGACGACTTACTATAAGAATGCCAACAAGCTAGAGAAGTTCATGGTGGCCAAAATCAAAGAGATCCCTGAGTACTCTCATTTGGTGGAGTAATGGCGACAGGGATGCACTGAATATTTATATGTACAATAGTGATATTAATGAATGCGATGCAATTTATTTAGATCAATATACTAATATCTTGACGGAAGTACACAGGTTGGTCATCCATTTATACTGTAAGTACACAATTCACGTATATCTAAACTTCAATTGCAATATCGTTACACCTGCTCCTCATCGCCAACCTCGGAATCGAGCTTAGCAACAACACTGACCATCTTATCATCGTCGTAAATCTTGAATCCCTCAGACTTAGTCACGCTGGAAAGCTGGACGTTCTTGCTATCGAGCTTCTCCTCCATAACCTGCTTGAGAATCTTGAGAACAAGGACCTCGCCCTCCTCGAGAGTCATGTCCTTGTGGTATTCGTTCTGAAGCTCGGCCTGAGCACCTTCGCTACCACTGCCAATAGCCTTGGCCTCGTATCTGTAGAAGGTTCCTGATGGCTCAGCATGGTAGAGCTGGGCTCCATGGTCATCATCATATCCAGCAATGAGAAGAGCGACACCGAAAGGACGAGACATGATTCGCTCCTCACCCTCAGCACCCTCACCGAATCGCAGAGCCAAATCACACACTGCTTGGGTCACCGTCTCAACGTTTATGGGCTCATCATAGTATAGGTCATGTTGGACAGACTCCACTCGCGCGTGGTCAATCATGGTTCGGGCATCTGCAGTGAGACCGGACATGGCACAGCCAATGTGTTTGTCGATTTCAACGATCTTCTCGATGGATGATGCCTCAAGCAGGGAAGAGGTGATTCGCTTCTCGACTCCGAGAACGACACCATCCTTGGTGGCGACACCAATGGCTGTGGATCCGAGCTATGTTAGTTGGTGTTATTTGGGATGGACCTATCTTGCTTGATGGCACACGGGTGAGTGGGTGTGATTAGGTAAAAGTGGCGACACAACGACGATAGATCGCCAATACCACCAGATTAATGATACAATCGCACTTCTGAGTCGATAGCTCATACTGATCGTTCCATTAAGATGGCCAAATAACCGATGATGCGGTTGCTGCTTCTGGCTGAGCTCAAACACCCATGTCCTCATTATGAACCCGTCATCACTATTGTCGTAATTGTGCAACATCTGCACATTGAATACTTACTTTGATAGCCTCGAGAGAGTACTCGACCTGGAAAAGTCGGCCTTCGGGAGAGAACGTGCTCACTCCTCGGTCGTATTCACTTCTTGTAAGGAACATGCTGTGTTGTGGTGATGATGGTGGCAATAAACTGTGATGCGAAGTTGGGGAGTATGGAAGCTTACTTGGATGACCCGAAATCGCCACAAGGGAACATGAACCACGATAAGGAGACGGTATTGTAATTAATTAAAAAACTTCGAAGTAGTGAGAGAACAATTGATTATGATATATATATACATATTGACCTTACTGAGATATCATCAACATTATTAGTCAGCAAACGACAACGTCCATCGACCGATTACGTGACTTTTCATGGTAAGTGCACCAGTAACTGAAGTAATCGCTGGTAAACTTTTTTATGATACTTGCTGAAGCCATGAAACACATATTTATAAAAGTTATAATTAAATGAATGTATATGCAGAAAAAAAAAAAAAAACTTGTACGTCCACGATGTTTTTCAATGTTCCCTAAATCTTCACATCACCGGTACAGTATGTACTTGTACTCGTACCGCTCCTTACTACAAGCTACAAGTACACTCGTACTGTATGTCTTTGTACAGTAGCTACAGTACGTACACCCAACCTAAAATAAACAAACGCGAACGCGACAGGACACAATTCGGCTGGGTCTCAGGCTTCTTTTCTACAACCGGGAAAGGTGCTTCTCGATTATTCTCTACGCCAATCTGATTAATAACGGTCGATTTATCAAATGGAAGTGGACGACCCAAGGCAAGGCCAAGGCCATGACCAGGGCCTTAGTGGTATCAAGACCAAGAAGAGTACCATCACAACGACAACTACAACTCAACATATCCGCTCTCACTCTTCTCATCCACAGCAAGAGGCTCCTCTGTATGTTCCAAAGGTGTCTCTTAACCCTAGCACCTCTCTGCCACTGTTGGCGTGCAGACTCATGCCTCAACCAAAGTGTTCAGAGGTGACAAGAAACACCCCTCGACCAAGAAATATTGAGACATACGCTCTGGATGTTCAGGAGGTTCTGGTAATGGAGGATCTGCTTAATGTTCTTATGGGCCACGAAGGTGTATACATCAACTACAGTGACTCTTACAACCCCCGACTTGAGCTCGATCGACTCAAAGGTCCTGATTACAGAACTGCCAGAGGGTTGGATCCCTCTTTCAAGGATTTTACACGAGCGTGCATCAAGATCGCGAGCACATACGTGTCATTGTCGGCTTTTGTTGACAAAATGACCCGCGACAGAAGAGGATTGGTCAATGGTGCCCTGGCAGCCTCTATCCGGAAGCTGCTCAAGGAGTACGTCAAGCTGGCACAAGGACTTGAATATTCCCTCAGATTTGAATCCGGCTTGACACTTCACAAGTTCCATTTAAAATTGATGACAATCGGAGGTATCTTACATGAGACCCATGAGCTCGCCAAGGATATCCTCAGGGAGGATGAGGTGCGTTTCCATAATGCCACCTTGGAGCCGAGCAATGACCTGGATGCACTTCTTGCCAAGTTCCGTGAGAACAGCGTGGAAATCGACACTCGAGGTTACGGAATCTCTCTTAATGGTTCGAGTATGTGTCGAGGAGGAATCACATTGAAGGTGATTGCAGAGAGACTAAATGCACATTCTGGCGACCCAACAGCGAACCAACTTCTCACCAGACTACTCAACGATGCATCCAAGCCATACCTTCAAATGTTATCGCGGTGGATTTACCAGGGTGTAATTCTGGATCCTTACGGAGAGTTCTGCATCCAAGAGAACGGAGACCTTGCTACTGGAAACGAGGGTGCATACGATGAGTACTGGGAACAACGGTACTCTGTGCGCAAGGACGAGTTACCCCTACTCTTGTCCCAATCGAATCTCCTCGAGAAGGTCCTTTTGGCTGGCAAGTATCTCAACATTGTGCGTGAGTGTGGAGGAGGAGACACCTCGAAGGACGCAGCTGTTAACTGGGAGTCCATCCAAGACCCGGCGTTAGTGCCCAGCATTGCATCTGCCAGTGATGAGTCCAACAGAGCCCTATTATCCCTTCTGCTCTCATCTCATAACCTGTTCGACCGTCTTGCATCTTTGAAGCATTATTTCTTTCTGGACCGTGCTGATTACTACATCAACTTCCAGGACATTGCCTGGACTGAGCTTGCTCGCCCGGCTAGCCAGTCCTCTGTGACAAAGTTGCAGTACCTTCTGGATCTATGTCTACGGCAGCCTGGTTCAATCACTAGCACTGACCAATACAAGGACGACGTGGTTGCTTCCCTGGCACCAACAACAGTCTGGGACTATCTTTTGCAGATTGTGTGTGCCACTGATCCCAACGAATCTGGCTGGGAAAGCGACTCTAGAAAGATGTCCATGGATGACATGCCTGTTTCGTGTGCTTTTCAGCTAGACTTCAAGGTCCCCTTCCCTCTCTCTCTCGTCATCTCCAGACGTGCTCTGATTCGATATCAGATACTCTTTCGTCATCTTGCCGAGCTGAAGAACCTTGAGCGACTCCTCAGTATCGTGTGGCTTGAAATGGCCAAATCTCGACACTGGCGCTACCCTACGAGCGACGAGAGACTCCACAAGTGGAAGGCTTTTTCAAACATTCTTCGAATCAAGATGGTGGAGTTTGTGAAACAACTTCTCTACCATTGCACTGCTGAGGTCATCGAGCCCAACTGGAAGCGACTACAGGAGAAGTTCAAGTCTGCTTCAAATGTGGATGAACTCATTGCTGACCACATCACCTTCTTGGACACTTGCCTGAAGGAGTGCATGCTTACTAACGAAAAGCTCATCCGGGTGCAGCAGAAGATCTTCGGGTACATCCGGTTCTTCGTGAACACCATTCAGGCTCGAAGTCACTTCCTTGAGATCGTAGACCCGTCTCATTTGTCCGATTTCGAACGAAGCCGACTGCAACCTGTGTATGATAGAAACGGAGCCACTATCCCCAACGACACGCTGGTAGAGCGGATGAATAGACTTGTCAAAACCACAGACACCAACTTCAGCCATAGCTGCAAGGTGTTCAAAGATGCCTTGGAGTTCTTCGCAGCAACTGAAAGCACATCTCTGTTGGCCCTCAGTGCTCGTCTGAGTTGATTTTATGCAACGATGTATATAACCGAGGTTTTCAATAATATATTTATTTATTTTCTAGATTTTTTCACTGGCTGTATTTCTCACAACTTGGGAGTGTTTTGCTCCCCATCAGCAGGTACTTAATATACTTGTAAGTATGGGTTCCCTCTTTTAAGTTGATGCACCCGCCCAGCTCTGGAGAATGCACATCCACGGACGCCGGATGACATTAACTGCCGACACTACAGCACCAACTACAGCACCTTCTGCACGTCTATCCACGGGTCGCCAATCTTCAAACGAAGCTGTGTCCTCAACCATGACCTATGACATCCTTCTTCAACTACCATGAATACATTAGCTCCAACGATCGGGCCCAAACCCACCATCCGAACATTTACGTGGAGTATGGACAATCAGACACCAAGCTGAGGAGATGTGTGAGGGTCCCAAGAGACTACTCAGTGGTGGGCGATGAGTACCCTTACTTCTCGACGCATTTTGTTGGCGAGGAACCAGGCGCTTACCCTAGCGAAGAGGGTCCAACCTACGACTCCCGCAGCCCACTGAAGGATATAATATCCTATCAGGAGTACAATGATATCGTGGGCACCATCAACGGCTACATGAAGCGTGCATTTTCGCCCTGGCAGAAATGCCAGTTTATCGAGACAGTGCTTTCATTCCTGACCCTATGGATATTCGAACGACTATTTGCTTCAAACAACGAAAGGGTCTTGGCTCAACTGGATGAGTACATCGATCAGTTGAACAGTAAGAACGCAGACCGTTTCATTTTGATCAACCCACGCAAAAATGGATTTCTCTCCTTGGACTTTTTGGTGATGGTAGGAGAGCCCAACATATAGATCACCATTCCACCAGACTCATCTTAATATATATGAATGTATTATTATCTACACTTGTACATTTGCACATACTGTACATACAGTACTGTAATAAATTAACAGAGGATGGGATTGCCAAAAAAATACCAGTGCTTGTATTAGGCAGGTGTCTTTAGAACAGTGGTGGCCACTGTATTGTTCATTTCGTCGTAGACATACAGCACCTTGCCTACACACTTGAGAACCCAGAAGCCTGGATTCATGGGGTCTCCAAAGAAGTACTGATGATAGAGCTCCCGCGTAAGGTCATTTCGTCTGTCATCGTCACCGTGCAAGAGCAGCGGCATACTGAGATTAGCGTAAGGTGTGGGTGGCAAGCCCCATTCCACGACATAGCTTCCAATACCGACATCAAACGTGTGATTGTGTTTCTGAACAACATAATCCACAGCGTAATCCCAGAGTTGCTCTTTTCGGGATTCCGTTATCTTGCACTGCCACAGAGCATTTCTGGCAGGAATGAGCACCAGCTCTTCAACAACCTGTGTAGTCTGACGCTCTGATTGAGTGGATGTATGGTATCGTGAGTAACGCATACCCTGGTAATCCTGCAGAAAGATGCGCTTCTCCTTGCAATGCTCAAACAGTGCTTTTCGAGGAGAGTTAGGAATGTTCTTATGATAGGGAGCGGCAGGAGAGGAGTCAGGTCCATGATATTGGATACAGCCGACCAACGGCTCGGACTTATAATGGCGAGGGAACAATCGTCTGGGAGTCTCATCGAGCCATTTAATCATCTCTCTATTCAAGGATGCCAGAGACTTGGCAGTGACAGTAAAGAAAGCCAGGGAGCTATAATCGAAGACAACCATAAGCCATTGGCATCCCGTCAGAGTCATGGGATAAGGGCCACTTATATCAATCAATACTGTATCAAGAGGCATAGGGGAGCGGAAAGAAGTGGGGGTGTAAAAAGCAGAGAACGGGGTGGTAAAGGGCGTCTTATGGTGAGCCTTCGGTATGTTTCGAGATTCACGATTCATGGTAGAGAAGCGGACACCGTTACCATTCAGAAAATCACAGTTATTGATGTTTTTGGTCAGCGAGAGAGTGTCTTCCTTCAGGGGCATCTGCACAAAGATAGCATCCTCTTGGCCACAGTCCTTCAACACAGATACAACTCTTGAAAAGTTACCCTTCTTGACGAACAGGGTACCAGGATCATCAAAGGGGCGAGAGATGATTTCGTAAGTGGAGCTTAGAACGTTGCGATCGCGCCGTGCGCGGTCATCATAAACAGCTTCAAGATATCCTCCTTCAGCGAGACAAACCTTTCCTCGTAGCAATTCTGGATTCTTCGGATCAACATAAACATCAGTAAGCATATCAGCTGAGCACACAATGTTATTTTCATTCTTGCCCAGGGCAGCAATCTCCCACTGAGACATCCGTTCCATAGTATCGTCTGCATATGATCGATACCGGGTGAAGAAACGGCTTTCGTAGTTCTTGGCACATGCTTTCACTTCACGCTTGGGGGCATCGTCAATCTTGCGTCTCATTTGAGAGCTCAAACCTCGACAGTTGGGCACCCAACTAGCAAAAGTTTGAATAATGAAGTCACTGATCTCCTTGGGGTCTTTGAAATGCCGACTGAGAGCGAGTTTCCCACAGATACTCTTACGCTCAGCTGCACCTTTATCTACCGCAGGACGGTTGTAGAGACGCAGAGTATCCTGAATTCTGATCACTTGCTGATATTTGTCAAGAAGTCTGTTCAAGGGAGAAGATACACCATCTGAGAACACAACGTGCTTGATAGCTTCCAACATGATATAGAACTCGTGATTTTGAACCCATGGCACTCCTAGTCGTGTAGAACTGTAGGAAAACTTTTGCATAACGCTGTGGCAAGCAATATCAAGGAACTTGTCACGGAGGGGCGCAAAGTTGAACACAGCCTGCTTCGCCTTGTACTGAGGAGCCTTCTTGAGGATCTCCACCTCCTTATCTCTAGCCTCTGCACGATACAGCTCCATACTGGTAACCCAGAGAAGAATCTGATCACTTCGCATGAATCTGACACATCGAGTTTGCATACACACACGCAAATAGAGGTCAGATAGACCTCGCGGATCTCCTCCAGACATGCTCAGAACAATAAGATCCTTGTTTCTCGTGTAAATATCTTTGAGCTTCTTTTCCACAGCAGGAGACAGCTCCTTCGTCTTGGGAGAGGCGATTGCATCTCTTATCTGTGCGTGTTCCTGAAATGTCAGAGTAGGGCACTCCTCTGCAGGAAAATCAGAATCGTCGATCTCGGGGAATGAGAGAATGTATTCCCGGTCGGCCTTGGGCTTGAATGTACCTTCAGCCTTGGCGTCGGACACAAATTCGGCGTCGTAGTCCAACAGCAGACCCTCTTTTCTGTGGTAGAGCTGTTCAGGCTTGATCAGGGCTTCCTTCAGAGTCGTTGGAAACTGCAGTGAGCTATCAGAAAAAAGCGAGGTGTTGGTATTGTCTGCCGGAGAAGCAATGTCGCCAGACGATCCTCCGTTTTGGACCGAAGCGCCCTTGGTGCCGGGCCTTTTGTTATTCTTCTTCACCATGATACCGGTGCTGGGTTCGTGAAGCTGACGGAATTGATGGTGAGGTTTTCGTGCATATGCACAACTTAATCAATGTATGAAAAGGTCATTCCATGGGTTTACAACTAAACTGTGACACGGACTACAAGAGGGCGATTCAAAACTCGTCTGCCATTGTTTATAACGACCGTTAATCACTCGACAAAGTCTTACGTTGCCACCTGAGAGCTTCACGTCACGGCCACAAACCGCCTACCATGCCTCCAGCCAACTGGCCCAGCAACATCGTCTTCATCAAGGAGAACATTTACTCGAACCAACTTACCTCCGAAGAGCTAGCAAACATAGGTCTGACACCCGCCAAGGCAAAAACTCGCCCAACGCCAAATGGATCTCCAACCAACAAGCTGATTAAGATCAAAAAGATCTCCGATCCCAAGCACCCTGCTAATGGGCAGTTCGGTCTGTTTGCAAACCAGAAGTTGCCTGCAAAGTCGCATGTAATCGACTACGTTGGCTATGTACATCCAGACAGAGAAAGTGATCCCTCATCGGACTACGACATCAGTCTTGACTCTGCCCTTGGCATCGGCATTGACGCCCAGAGATGGGGGTGTGAAGCTCGTATGATCAACGACTACAGAGGGATCAATGCTACCAATAACGTCATATTTGACAATCGCATGGTAGGAAAAGAGCTGCGAATTGCTGTGTTTGTGGGCCCAAAGGATGTCAACAAGGGAGAGGAGCTATGCATCAACTACGGAAAGGGGTTCTGGAAGGGACGAGCAGGATGACAGAATATATTTATATCGGCGCATATCTACAGTGCAGTACTTGTGGTATCATTGGGTAGCTACACACAAATACAAAGGCATTGTATAGCTACATAGGTCAACTACTGTACGTTACAAGCAATACATGGTATTCGCAAGGCTGATATGTAGTGAACACAGTTCGATTGTAGTATATGCCTCTCAGAGTAGGGACTCCAGTAGACTTCACCTTGACGAAGGACTCCATTCATTCGCAGCATAGGTCATACTATCGAACACGTCCAGAGAGACCACTACCTTCATACCCTTATTCCTTAAGATACTGTACATACAGTATAGCTCAGATTAGAGCAGTCCCCAGTAACTACGATCGCAAAATGCTTTTCAAATGGATATTCTTAAATAACCAGCCATGCCCGACTGGGCCCTCAGGGTCTCGCCCGTTCTTGGGTCACCCTGTGTCCCTAGCTCTTCTTGAGCGTTAATTATCCTTCTCAGTAATACCAGTTTTACCATCCTTCCATCCCTCATCCATCGTAGTACATCCTCGTCGACAATCTTGTACTGCAAGAAACCCTTCCATCTCTCTACTTGGGTGGGTTCATGCCCTGCATCATTTTAAACATGTCAGGCATGCCCTCGCCACCAGGCATGGGCATCTGACCTCCACCAGGCATACCAGGCATACCCATCATAGACATGCCCATCATGGCCATCATATTCTGGGGGTTGTATTCGCCTCGGATCTGGTTCTGTTTGTCACAGTAGGCCATCCAGGTGAACTCATCGAAGCCGTAGTTGAAGTAATCAGTGATATCGGCACCAGGCATCCGCCATGGCTTGTCCTCGAAGTCCTCTAGGTTGTGCTCAGTGATAGGCTTTCCATCCAGCATACCGACCTTTTCGATGTCGATTCCAGGCATCTTGGCCGCAGGTTGGGGCCGCTCTTCGGACGCGCTCTCTTCTTTGGGGGTATCAGAAGCCTCAGGTGCCGCAGAAGAAGCTGCCGGGGCCTCCTTCTTAGCAGCAGCGGATGCCGTAGAAGCGAGCTTGCTGGGCGCGCCGGTGTCGATGACAATATCAATGTCAGAGTCGTCGGATTCGTATTCAGAATCGGAATCATCTTCCGGTTCTTGTTGCTTCGTGGTCTGCGAGTGTGGTTCCTCATCATCCTCAGCTCCCTCGGGCTCAACTCGGGCCCGCTTTACCGCAGGCTCCTCGGTGCCGTAGAGAAAGTCGTCGTCGTCATCCATCTTTGATGTCAGATGGGGGGATGGTGATGTTGCCGTGGTGGGTGTCGTTTGGCGTAGTGCTTTGCAGAAACCTTTCTTTAGGTTTGATGGTGGCCCAATACGAGGAGAGAATGTGGCGAAATGGGGAGTTTTGAGGGTATATGTATGAGAAATTTGAGATTTCTGAACCAAATAAATTTACAGTCATATTATCTCTTTAAAAAAGCATCTCTAGACTGCTAAAGACGTATTAGCGTCCCTCAAACATGGCTGACTAACACAACTCTATTTGGCCACACCAAACACTGCTGATGTATGGCGGCGGTGGTGATATGACTGCTTCATTGCTGCTGGTTAAACAACATACAAGTATGTACTCGTACTTACAAATAACGTGAAGAAGTCACCTGTGCTAGCCCATCAAAACAGAAATGTTTTACAATAGTTTGGAGAATATCGGTACAAGTATTTCGAACAGACGCTTTAGTAAGACATTGGATACTCCTATAAGGAACTCATGTCGTTTCTCGTTCTACTTCGGTGCGAAAACTTTCAGAAGGACACTGCAGAGGAAGACATTCATACCTGTACCTTCATGAAATCATCCCCCCTACAGTACAAAGAATCGAGCCCCTTTCTACTGTAGTTCAGAAGCAATAGGGTTATGAAGGACCTTAACGAAGAGCTAAATACCACCACAATACCACACTCCATTCACCACAACCACCTGCATCAGGACGGCATTAGGTTCAGCCATCTCAAATTTCACACCCCACCACCATCATCATGTCTGGAATCGTCCCCGAAATTCCAGGCGAACAAGCGCCCCCAGATGCTGCTCACCAGCTCAAGGTGGATGTTGCGCGCCTCTTGCAAAAACCCAAGCTCAACTTTCCTGGTGCTCAGCCCGTCTCATTCGCCAGAAAACACATTGAAGAGGAGCTCTTCAAGCGAGATTATTATGTGTGCGAGAAGAGTGACGGTCTTCGATGTCTCATGTACGTGACATGGGAAAATAACCCCGACACTGGCCCCCAGCAGGTCACGTATCTGATCACACGAAACAACGAGTTCTTCTTCATTCCCATGGTCCACTTCCCTTCGAATGATGGTAAGCCATTGCAAGACACAATTGTCGACGGAGAGCTCGTGCTCACAAAGGCCGAACCCCGATCCCTGCATTTCCTCATGTTTGACTGTCTTGCCTGCAACAAGATTCTGCTTACAGGCCGACCTTTGGACAAGAGATTGGGGTACCTCAATGCTGCCATCTCGCATCCTCTGAAAGAGTACCTGCACAAGAACCCCGAAGTTGCCCGCGACTTTCCCTTCAGTGTGCGCGTCAAGGATATGCAGTTTGCTTACAATGTGATGAACGTCTTTGCCAGCTTCCCGCACCTTCCGCACATCACAGATGGTCTCATCTTCACCTGTAGGGACCACCCTTACGTCTCTGGAACAGACGAGCGAATTCTCAAGTGGAAAAAACAAGACGAAAACTCGGTAGACTTTCTGATGACCATGAAGTTTCCTATTTTCGAGGACACAAATGGTGAGAGTTGGACAGACTACGACGCAAAACCCGAAATCACACTCCTGGTGTGGACAGGACGGGACGGAAGCCGACCTTACGGCGAGCTGTATCTCACTGACGAGGAATGGGATAACTTGAAGGCGCTGGAGGAGCCTCTGGAAGAGCGGGTCGTGGAATGTATTAAGGATGATAAGAAGCGATGGAGATATCTTAGATTCCGGGATGACAAGACGAATGCCAACTACATCACAACTGTCGAGAAGGTCATTGACTCTATTGATGATCCCGTCTCAGAGAAGAATCTGTTAGATGCCGCTCCCAAAATTAAGGAGCTGTGGAAGGAACGAAATCGACGCCCACGCGACGAAGATAGAAAGCGAGTAGGAGGGGACGACCATGATCACGGTGCCAAAAGAGCTCGACAGTAAAGCCTCAACCCAGATCAAGTAAATTATATATTGTAATATTAGCACACATACTTCAAAACCATATGGGAAAGGACCACAAGTAGACACTACAGTATGTACATACATACAGTACACGACAAAAAGTTATGGAGAGTGATGGGAATAAATAAAAAAGCAAGCAAAAAAGGTTTCTCCGATACGGGGAATCGAACCCCGGTCTCCACGGTTCTCAAGATGAGAGCGTGATGTGATAGCCCCTACACTATATCGGAAGTTGAAAATCAGCCCGACGTGGGGCTTGAACCCACAGCCTTGAGATCACTTTTAAGTAAGAGTCTCACGCTCTACCGATTGAGCTAGCCAGGCTGGACGATATTCTGAGCTAAAGTTAGAGCTCTCAATACAAAAATCTGGAAAGTCACGTGACCGAAATTTTGAAGTTGATAATAAAACGCCTTACAGCTCATGGATTTCATAAACACAAAGGGATATGATGTAGGTGGAATTATTAACATTGTGAGCTTTCGTCTTTAACTTATTACCCTGATATACAACAAATAACCACCTTGTGATTCTGTTCCTCTGGCCGCTCGTGACACTTTATGGGTTAGGGTTCATAACAGATGTCGAGGATGACGATGCACCTCCACATCACCACTAATTAGCATGTTCGCGTTTGCCCAAAAGCTCGTGTCGCAGGCTGATAAGTATATCAACGAGGCCCGTGATGAGGTTGACGATCAGCCATGCTCTCACGGGTTCAGAATACTACACGTCGAGCCCAATTCAATTGCACAGAAGGCTGGCCTTGAAGCTCTCTACGATTTCATCATCGCTGTTGATGGAGAGACCGTGGACCATGAGACACAGGAACACAACCCTTACGCCAGACAATCACTTGACCAACCCGTTCAGGCACCCGTCGATCGACTTACCCAACGACTTACTGGTGACAATGTGACCCTGACTGTGTTCTCTTCCAAGGGACACACTGTCCGAAACGTCCAGGTTGATGCCAGCACCGCCAAGCCTGAGTTTACCGAACCCGATGCCATTCAGCTGGACTCTGTGCATGGAGGAGATTTCGTTCGTGGCAACGAGTACGACAAGGAGGCCCTCAAGGAGGCCAGCACACCACCAGGACTGGGTGTCAGTCTTCAGTACACTCCTCTCGATGTCGGTGACTACGTGTGGCACGTTCTTGACGTGGCCCCTAACTCTCCTGCCGAGCGAGCTGGTCTCATTGCCCACTCTGACTACATTGTTGGTGGCTCTGGCGGGTTGTTGGCCTCTGGAGGAGAGGATCTGCTTTCGCGAGTCGTGGCTGTGCACTACTCTCGACAAGAAGACTGCCCCATTCAGCTCTTTGTTTACAACTCCGACTACAACATCACTCGGCCTGTTCTTATTATGCCCATGAGAGGTTGGGGAGGCGCGGGTCTTCTTGGCTGTGGTGTCGGGTATGGCCTTCTTCACCGACTGCCTGAGTTCCTGGGAGTTAACAGACCCGGCGACACTGTCTTCAACGCCGACGAACGAGCATCAGCATCACCTGCCCCCCCTCAGTCTTACCAGGCTCCTCCCCAAGGCGGTATTCCTGCTGTTGCTTACCAACCACCTTCCGCATACGCTCCTCCTCCCCCCACCGGTGGTCCTCGGCGGGCCAAGAAGCCTGCTACTGCCATAAACGACTTCAGCGATTACTTTGCTGAGCAAGAGAAGTCTTCTCGAGAGGCTGACCGAATTTCTCTTGCTGCCCAGCCTGTCAAGGACATCCCCCCTCCTCCCAAGAAGGCGTAATCTTCTTGTTTCAAAGACTGGAGTTGCCGAAAGACTTTAACAAGTTGACGAGTCAGCCGATCAAACGCTGTACAGAACTCCCTCCCAGGCCTTTATGTATAAAACGAAAAATGATTTAACAACTGATATTTGTACCACTTTAATGTAGAAGTAATGAGATGACAGCCTTTCCGGAGACGAGCACCAAAGTTAGATGAAAGGGAGCCATAATGTAGGTTTCATACAAGCACTCGGACACTTGTCCCTACAGTAATTCCCATTTGAGACACCTGAACAAGTACGGGCACAGTAATTGTACTACTTGTAGTACAAGTAGACTGCAAGTACATACATAATGTACGATATTACAGCATGCACAAGAACATACACAAGTTAGCTTCAAGATATTGCTCTGTGTTTGCGTATTAAATACTTTCTCCGGTCCACATATAACTTTGCAAACAATATATTACAGTACACTTAAAGCTCATCATCAATCTTGCCTCCCTTCTTGGCCTTGGTATCCTTGGCAGGGGCCTCCTCCTCATCGGCATGGGCGAGACCGTCAACCTTGTGGGTACCGTGCTCCTTGATGAATTGGTTAAGACCCTCAAGGGTTCGAGCACCGGGGTAGGTGATAGGGGCGTTCTTCTTACCGGCGGGGTACAGCTTGATAGTGGGGAAACCCTTGACATCCTCATCAGGGAACTCGTTAGTGGTGGCGTCGATCTTGGCGACAGTAACCTTCTTGGAGATCTCGGGGTGGTCGAAGAAGAGGTCTCCAAGCTCGTCGTAGATGGGAGCAAGAATCTTGCAGTGTCCGCACCAGGGAGCGTAGAACTCGATCAGAACATCCTTGTCATCATCGAGAACAATATCCTTGTAGTTCTTGCCGACAACAATGTGGACGGGACCATCCTGGTACTCGGGGACGGGGTCAGACTTGAGGATAGGCTCGAGAGTTCCCTCAATGTACTCCTTGAAGAACTTGTCGACGGAGGCCTTGGTGATCTTGGCATCCTGAGCATGGGCCCACTTCTTCTTGTTGTCGAAGTTCTCGATAGCGATGGCAGGGAACTTCTCCTGGATGTTGACGTTCTGGGCGTGAGATCCGTAGAGGTCAGCGTCAATGACACCGACATAAGCCTCACCCTTCAGCTTCTCAGCCCAAGGCTTGACCCACTCGGAGATCTGCTTGGTGTCCTTCTCCAGAGCAGAGAAGATGTAGACCAGAGGGAGGCCAGATGTGGCGTAGTCCTGGAAAGAAGCGGGACCAATCTCACCAATGACGGGGACAGCCTCGGTCTTGATGAACTTGGTAAGAGGCTCGGGCTTAAACTTGAACACCTTCTTGCCAGCAGAGATGTCGTAAACGGCGGGCTTCTCATCGAAGTTTCGGTAGACAACGAGAGCGGGGAACTTCTCGACACCGTACTTCTTGGCAAGGGCCTTGTCAGCGGAGTGGCCGAAAGTGAATCGCTCTCGGAGCTTCTGTGCGACTCGCTGGAAGGTGGACTGAGACTTCTCGTCATCCTCATCGTGGAAGGCAACAATGGTGACGTCGTTGTCCTTGGTGAAGGCATTGAGCTCTTTCTCGTTGGCGAATTCGGAAACGAGAGGAAGGGCCTGCTTCAGCAAGTACTGGACAATTGCCTCGGAGGTTCGGGCAGACTGGTAGAGAGAGCTGTCCTCCTCAGATCCACGGAAGATCTTGAGGGTGGGGTAGCCCTGGATCTCAAACTTGGAGCAGAGCTCCTCGTTCTCGGTACAGTCGACCTTTCCAATGGGGATGCCCTTCTCCTTAAGGATGGTGGCTGCAGACTCGTACTCGGGGGCGAGTTGCTTGCAGTGTCCGCACCAGGGAGCAAAGAACTCAGCGAGGACGAGCTTGTTGTCAGTGACAAAGTCGGCAAAGTTGTCGGAATCGAGCTTGACGACGTCGGAGGCCGCAGCCAGAGCGCCCATGAGCGCAATTGTGAGGGCAGTGAACTTCATTTTGGGGTTGTTGAGGAGAAAGAGAGGTTCAGGATGAGGATGCTATTATGTAGTCCTGAGTTAGTTTGTGCCACGTAACGTAACGTTTAAGTTCGGCAGAGGCAGGTGTGGGTTGGATGACTGGCAACAATAACGTGTTCTGTGATGTATGCCGGGCCGTTAAGCTACATTTCAACTGAATTTGGGACCACGTGCAGCAATACTCTCACGAGTCAAGATGGACCCCTGGGCACGTACCATAGATCCTCTTGTACTTCTGAGCAACTACTCTCAGTTGAACTGAGCTTCCTTTTAGGTGTCCTTTTTGGCTCGAGAGGCGCTCGAGTTATACGCTTTTGAGTTGGATCACCCTGCATGGTGAAATTTTGGACGTGTTTTGGAGAGTGACGGAAGGAGTGACTTGTTGATAATATCATAAAGTCCAAGCAATGACGAATACAATAATACAATTATAAACGGCACTGATATTTATTGAATCATCATCCAACAGACCAGGCCATTCAACTCAATCACTTTCAATACGCGCTGTCACTAATCACCGTCATGTGAGTTCAGAGTTGCACGCATGAACCCCAAGATCTGGAGTCCTCTGCTCGCGCCAACCGCTCACCATACATGATTCGCGTGCCTTGATCTTAATTACATCAACCGAGCAGTTTGTACGTGTTGCCCCATACAAGCTCCGAAGGGCGTTATAAGGACTCGGCAAAGGTGCTATTCAGCCCCCATCTGGTTCTGGAAGTTCGCTACTAACTGGGTGTGAGGTGTGAAACTGCACACATACGTCAGTCATTCTCTCTCTTCCGGGGGGGATTGTTGCGCTTCACTCAAACCTTCAGGTGGCCGTGCTTCTACGGTTCAGATCATTATTAAGACCTGACAGATGGTGACGTTAGGTGGCGTATCTCAAGAGTCTCTCATCTTCACTGCCTCCATACCATTAGTCATGCGTTGTAGTCTTACGCCACATGCTTGACTTGAGTTGTTAAACAAGGAGAAGGCACCAGAGTCTTCATTCCCCCAACTTACGCGTCCATACAATCACCCGGTCACCCAGCGCAAACAACAGCTACCTGTAGCACCAGTCTCTTAAGTAATCACCGACTGTAAACGCCTTCACAAGTACCTACACAGTCCATCCGTATTCGGACAAATTACAAACTGAGTTTGATATAAGCTCCAAGCGAGATGAGTTGGGGCTTTTTGCTGACGTGTTAGCGTCAAGGGTGAGGGCAGCCAAAAGACAGCCATCGAACAATTTTGTCGTTTCTGGCAAGTGGCGAAAATCGGTAAAGATGGGGATGTGAGTGTGACATACTGAGGCGTTTTGAGACTCTGGTAGTTGCCACGACATAAACATGTATCAATGCGTGTACTTGTACTCATTCATTCACAGATGTCCACGTGTTTGATCATTGTGATTAATGAAACAGCCGTGCACACCAGCATGGAAAAATCAGCTGTAGAGTGTAAGCGAGTACGACAGCTACAAGTTCTCGGAATGAGTTCCAAGAGGAACAAGATACACTGCAAGTATAAACATAGATTATACCTCAGTTGGTACTTGTACCGTGTGTTTTTTGGTCTGTAATAAGTGGTAAGACGACTCTGTATCTGTGAAAAATCGAGTTTCTTTACACTGGATTTTTTTGAACAATGTGATCTACAATTAGGGCAAGAATGACAAGCGACACCCTGTTGCATTGAACTTGTTGGCGTACATATGACAATCCTGGGCATATTAGACCATCCCATGACCCTGTGGGGTATCCGACCCTGTGTACAGCACCGTGGCACTGTATAATACATCTGACGTTCTGTACTCGCTCAGTAAATTATCGACAGCTACAAGTAGTACATACAGAAACACTGTCGTTGAAGACAACAGTATGACAAGCTGCAGCATCCAGCAGCCACATCCGGATCTATAAAAATCCGACTGATGCGCTGTGACACAAGAATTTTGGCACTAAGAACGCTGTAGAGACACTCTTGTCCATCTCGGACACTAAACGTGGACTAACACCGATCTCCTGAGCCAGAATCCGCCCGATGAGATATGGTGGGAAATGGACATTAAGCCAGCAGTAGGGCAACGGAGAATCCTTTGATGTATGGCTATCCTGGTCTGTTGGGGTGGAACAACATGTAAACCCAAACAAGCCAGATGCCAACAAAATTACTTAGGAAGCAAGCAAACAAACAAAACAAACCCACTTCTGATGGTCAGGATTTAGTCTTAGCCACCAGAGACACCCTCCCGACGATTGTCAGACCATCTGACCCCCTTTACACTCATGGGTAGAGAATCTATGAGCAACCGCTTCCTCCAGACTGCATGCTGAAATGCGAGGGCGTGGGTATTTCGAAACTCAGGTTTGGGTGGTGGGATGCTCCTTGCCGGAGACCATGCAAGTCGTTCCGAGCCCCAATAAACTGAACGAGCGATAGAAGCGGAGATAGAGGGTTACACATTATGACTACTCTTGTACAGGCTTGGGTGTGCCTCAGTACAACGAGTCAATTAAGTAATCGACTACATAGTCAGACACTGTGTACTGACTGAATACTATTACTCCCGGCTCACGTGACACGGTACAAAGTTGAGACAGACGATTCGGATCTCAACCTGCAAACTGTACGCCAACAGCCGTAGCTCCACTGCCAATTAGGTGCCTGCTAAAAAGAAACACCAGGGGTACAAGTACTTGTCTCGTAAGAGTAGTTGTACTCTACGTCCAGGGATCTTCGGAAAGGTCCGGATTGTAGCAACATCAAAAAAGGCCGTCATCAGTATATCAATGTCATATATGGTGACGTCATCACGACAAGGCCTGCTGTAAAAAAGTGTCAGGGTTCAATATTTCGTCCAATGGAATATATATGTTTACAAAGTGGTCAAAGGTGTGTCCTTGTGTGCACCTACAACTGACGGTGCTCGGCCGGTACCTACATTCTAGCGTGGAGTTACGGTGTTATTGATGCAGAAGCGCAGCCGTTCTGCTCCAGGGTAACACACGTGCGATCTGTGGATTTCACATTATTTTAGGGTATTACATCATCGTGCTGCAACGGCAAGGATGGGGTACGAGTCTTAGGGTAATGCTGGAGTTATGATCTCTACGGTGTAAATGTTGATTAAATGTTTCTGTCTCACTCTCAACTTCGCCGCAAGTCCGATCCGGCTTTCCCCACAGATTGCATCATGGGAGACGATATCTTTTTAGGTTGTTCACACGAAGGTCATCCAAACATGCTGAGACTTTCACACTCGGTAGCTTCCTTTCCCCACCCCACCTTTGAAAATTAAAGTTGCAAAATAACCTCGGCACTTGGGGCCGTTGTGGAGTAGACTAAGTAGTGTGAGATACTTGGATCGGTACAATGTTTGGAGTGGGACACACACATGTGCTCCGAGAAGAACGCCCAAAAAGGGCCCACGCGTGGCTACAGCCTCAGATTATGATGAACCAAGAGGGCCCCACACACGCGCAGCGATGTGGGGAATCCGTCTTTGTAACTGACCGATAAATCTCCGTGTGGGGAAGTACAAAACTGTGGCAGAAGCCGAACCCTTAATGTTCATGCAAACAAACCACATCCGAGAGAGCCGGTAAAGCCGTAACGGCCGACGCAAACAGACCCGAATCTGAACCGATTGCTGTCGATAAGTCGGGTACCCAGATCATATCCATCTGGATAGGGACATGGTCCGCTATTTTTATTATTTCCCGTTTGAACCGATCTCACAGGGACTTGCCGAGACACCCCGCAATCACGCTAGAGTAGTTTCGGCATGACAATTGTAGCGCTATCGCTAAATTACTCATATGCCCTGGGGCCTTAATGGGTTACAGGTCCAAGTGTGGAAGGGAATAAAGATACGGGTGGTGGGGACCGGTGGGATCAAGCTCAGAAGAAAGCACTTATATATACCGTGGGGTCTCTGGTTTGCCCAGCATTCCTCCAATTTTATCCTACACACGAAAACAAACATATCTCACCCACCCTTTACGTTCCTGCCAATCCCGGTTTCAACAGTTACAGTTTCTATCAACTGCATAGCGTGCATCAGCCGAAAAGCACAAGAAGGCCCATCACAACTCAACGCTAACTATCCTTATCAACTCACCCATCTCACTCACGTCATGGCAGCTATTTCCAAAGACTATGTTCTGTCGCCCTGGGGCAAAGCCGTGGCTGGTGCCGCTGGAGCCGTGCTCGCAAACACACTGGTCTACCCCCTAGACATTGTGAAAACGCGGCTTCAGGTGCAGGTCAAGCGCAAGGAGGGCGGACCCCTTCCTGCCTTCGAGGAGGGCCATTTCGAGCACTACGAGGGCACTGTCGACGCTCTGAAAAAGATCTATGCCGCCAACGGCCTGGCCGGCCTGTACCAGGGTCTTCCCTCTTGTCTTCTAGGTGTGGCCTCTACCAACTTTGCCTACTTCTACTGGTATGGCTTCATCCGAGACTCTTACATTAAGCGAAACCCCGGTAAAGCTCTCTCGACTCCCATCGAGCTGCTCCTCGGAGCTGTGGCAGGAGCCCTGGCACAGGTTTTCACCATCCCCGTGGCCGTGATCACCACACGACAGCAGACTTCAGACGCCAAGTCGCGGCAGGGATTCCTGGCTACTGCCAAGAGCGTGGTGGATGACGACGGAATCAGTGGTCTCTGGCGAGGTCTCAAGGCCTCTCTGGTGCTGGTGATCAACCCCTCCATCACTTACGGCTCGTTTGAGCGTCTCAGAACCATCCTGTTCAAGGGTAAGCTGCACCTGTCTCCCGGAGAGAACTTCCTGCTGGGAGCCTTGTCCAAGGCTATGGCCACCATTGCCACTCAGCCCATGATTGTGGCCAAGGTCATGCAGCAGTCCAAGACCAAGGGTGGCAAGCAGTTCAACAGCTTTGTGCAGGCATTGGTGTTCCTGTTCAAGGAGGAGGGTATTTTGGGAATGTGGAAGGGAGTTGGCCCCCAGATCTCCAAGGGCATCATTGTGCAGGGGCTCCTCTTCATGATTAAGGACCAAGTCGAGCTCTTCATCGTGCTACTTTTTAGACTCATGAAGGCCCCCACCTTGATCAAGGGATAAGAATAGACAAGACATTGTAGAGCTTAGACGATGTTAATAGATATGGATCGTGATTTTGACATGTCACAACTGTAATCTGGACTAACTGTGGGTGGACTCAATTCAGTTGACAGTTACAGTATGTACTTCTCAGAACAATCACCTACAAGGTGATGACAGGAAATATATATGACCCTAACATGATATATATGATCCAAGTATATCGGTTTCGATGCCGACGTTCGATGATCTACGCCACATTTCGCTTCCAAAACAAATCATACACAATGCCTTCTATTAGGTATCTGTTAAATTCTACTTTGAATTACAAGCCTTATATATTTAAACACAGCCGTACCCCGCGTATCTTGATTCCACCGATAACTTGTGTCATTCACTTCTGTCTGACGCCTCCGCTTCTTTCATGCGATCAAAGGCATCTCCATCAGAAACACTGCTGGTTACACTGAACCGGCCTCCCGATCCAAAATTGGCACGGGCACGAGCACTAAGACCAGCATAGGGCATCCAAGCATCCGATTGAGACATTCGTCGAGGGTCAGGGTTTAGACTGACGGCTGATTTTGGAGATTTCATAGGTACATAGACTGGACTCGATTGCGATGGCGACGGCGGACCTGTTGCAGCAGAGCCGGTGCTCAGAACGCTGAGGTTTGTGTGGGAAGGGTTGTTTGAGGACGAGGGCATGTTGTGGCCAGAGGAACCAGCTCGCTCAAAGGCTCGAGACATTCGAGACGAAATGTTAGATGTAGAGGAAGCCAATTGGGGACTGCTGATGTTTCGAGAACCAGCAAAGCCCGTTACAACCTGAGGAACAGTGTCATTTTCCTGGTGAATGGGTGTCAGGGATGAAAGATAAGGATGGTTGGGGGTGTGGTAACCCGACCCAGGAATAGATCCTGCCATGGATCCCGAAACAGAACCCGCATGCGAGCTAGGAATGGATCCAGGCGGCACATAGCTGCCAGGAATAAAGCTTCCTGAGACAGATGACTGGCCACTATGGAAGCCCTGAAAGACAGGGGCAGGCGGTCCGGCATAAGAGTGTCGAAGATTGCCTGTGCTTTGGGAGTGATAACCGTGGTAGCTAGCGCTCATCTGCAGGTTCGACATGGATCCGAATCGCTTGCGTATGGAACCGGCGGCAGGCTTATGTACCAATGCTTCTCGTTTGTTGGCCAATTCGACCATCATGAGCTCGAACAGTCGTCTTATGGTGTCGTCGGTTGGGTCAAAGTCTTCGCAGAACATTTCAAACGTATAGCTGACCTTTTTCGATTCCTCTTTTTCACTTTTCAGATCTTCGGGGGACTCGGTGGCCAATCCGGAAATCGGAGGCACCCGGCCACTTTGTGTCGTTCCACTTAGCTCGGGGTTGATGTAAGCGAACCCGGACCCCTCGTCATCGTCCTCCTCTTGTATTGCGTTTGCGGCCGAAGCCGAGGAAGATGGGGTAGTCGAAGATCGAGATCGAGACGGAGAAGAGGTGTCGATGACATAGTATCCCGGGGGGATATTGGATGTTAAATGCTTCAACGATGCCAGTTTTTGGGCAAGTGCCGATGCGGGGTCCATGGTGTGATACTTAGTTGTAGTGGTGTTCGAGTGAGTCAGTCATGCAAGTTTAGCGTGGGGATTTGTTGTCTGGGGACTGTGTGAGGTTTGTGAAGATAAGAGAAGGGTAAGGGGAAAACTCTTCGGCAGTACGGAAGCTAGGAATATTTTTGAATGAGATTAACGACATATGAAGAGGCCATGGATGCCAAAACTCGGTTATTGCCACTTTTTTGGGATATCACATTTTGATGAATAGTAATTGGCTGGGTGGGTTTCCCGTCACGTGAGACGCCTGAGGAGCTGTCTGTCTATCGGTGGGACAATAAAATGGTATTTTAATTTTTTGTCAGAATTTGGTCCACGGCCATAATGGAGACGAGCCCCAACACACTCCCACACACTAAATACGAGGCCGGATATTAAAGTCTGGCGGACAATATCTGATCGGCTGCCTGTTCCCCGCCTCCGCACCTCGCTCAGTTTTCTTTACGCCCACAAGTAAGGGTCCAGTCTATCGCATGTGCGGTGCGATGCCTCACTGTAAGTTTTTTTGCTACTTGTAGGTATCGAAATTGCCTTTTAGGCGAGTAAACGATGGCACGGCCTAACTGGCACGTCTCTAATTGGAGAAGGTGAAGCAGGGAGGCGGGGCGGACCTATAGGACAGACTAGAGAATCGTAGAGGGTAGTAGTTCCTGTTCCGAGCCTTGTGAAGTATTTTAATCCACATTTCCTTCTACAGACTGCACCACAATATGCGCACTGGCAGATACAGGGCACCATTGCTGCACTCGTAATAGTGCACATCTCCGATACCGTTACAAGTACGCAATATATATGAAACGCTATTTTGTCTGGTCACATTTGCTGGGGATATTAGCGGTATATGACGGAATAATAAGGATTATAGGTGGTATTGGTAGGATGAGATGAGGGAGAAATGGGAAGGGCAAGGTAGAGACAGCTTAACAAAAGAGCAGTAGCTTCCACAGCGTAGTTACCGCACATAGAGAGTCCATCAATGATGGTCTACATTAACCTCACGTGCGCCCTGACGAAGTAATTGCCACAAATGTCAGTGTTTTATCGTTGCGAGATGGACAACTTGGCTAGCGTGGCTGTTATTCGGCGGAAGAGCACGGAAAATTGGGGAGGGGGAAAACGTGGGCACGGTGAGGGTTTCAGACTGGGTTATGTAATCAACCTTGCTTGATGTTGGTGTTTGCCACACTGGGAAACGCGGACAAATTTTATATGTATCGTAACCGCAAAAGACGCCCATTCACCGGTAAGCACTCTCTGCGACCGCAGCCCTTCTCACTGGTGTGATATTGCGTCCTGTGGCAGGGCATTTGCACACCCCTCTCATTAGGGTTCACATTACCACCGGGTAACTCTAACACAACAAAAGAGAGCATGGAAAAGGGTGCAAAGACTAAAAGGGGCGAAAACCACATCACTGCACATCCTGAGGCACACGCACTTTGCGACGACAAGCGAATATCTGTCGGCCATAGCCACTAACTGGCGTCATTCTCCCCCCACTTCTCCGCGCCCCCCACTTCCTGAGTCCCCAACGACATCTATCCCGTTGTGGTTGCCACGTGACGGTAGTTCTGGAAAAACCCACCACCCTCACTCGACATACGCAACTCCCCTCGACTCTCCCACTCTTATTTTCCCGCCGCGTGAAAAGCTGAAAAGCACTCCCCGACACTCCATCCGACAAAAATAGTTCCGTTTGAAGCGTCGCAGCAACGGCCAGCTGAAGAGACCTTTCGGGTAATTGATTGTTTGCCTGAAAAACACCGGCAAAAATGTGAGTAACCCAAGTGACTTGACCCTGGGACGCGCGCCTTCGAGTGTGTCCTAAAGCAGAGAGCAAAGAGACATCTGGCGGACAAGAGATCTGGCCGTGTCGGACATGGATGATGCCGCCACAAACACGTCGTCGACGGCACGTATTTCCGATGACATGTATCGTCGTTGCTGTCGACTATTACTCGGTTCATGTCATGTCATGTCTCTAAATTACGTGCTATGCGCTGTCGCCGACGACGTCGCGATGTTAATGACTTGAGACAATAAAACTAACCCAGGAACGAAAATTCGTCGCTCGGGGCACACCCCGCCATGCCCGCAAAGTCGGATAAGGAGCTTCTAAACGCCTACATCTATGACTATTTATTGAAGCACAACATGCACGACTCGGCACGCACGTTTGGCGCAGAGGCCAAGGTGGTGCCGAACGTGAAGAAGGAGGACGACAAGGACCTGCCCAAGCCGCTCATCCCCATCGATGCTCCGCAGGGATTTCTCTACGAGTGGTGGGCACTCTTCTGGGACATTTATTCCGCACGCGGTTCCAAGGGAGGAGGAAGCGTGCCAGCTCAACAGTACGTCCAGGGAACCATGCGGCTTCGTCAAGAACACGCCGCTCGCGCCCAGTTACAGCAGCAGCACCAGGCCCAGCAACACGCTCAGGCTCAGGCTGCTGCTCAGGTTCAAGGACAAGCCCAAGGACAGGGACAGGGCCAGAACCCCACACAGGGCCCCCAGCCCCAGGGACACATGGGTATGCCTGGTCAGGGTCCCCACCAGCCCGGCGGCCCCTTTATGAATGGGAACATGATGTTCCCACCGGGTCAGATGCGGATGGGTCAGCTGCCGCAGCACCTTCAGCAACAAGGTACAGGCGTGGCCGGTGCCAACCCCTCGGACGACTCGTCGTCCCCTGGAGGCACTTCGCCCGCCAAGAGACAACGGCTGTCGCCTGATATGGGCGGCCAATCTCATCCCGAGCAGCAGGGCCAGCACATGATGGGCACCCCCAACCCCAACAACCCCGTGTTCAACTCACAAGTGATGCAGCAGCTTAAGGCGTCGCAAGGCCAGATGCCCAACCTGCAGCAGCAACAGCAAGCACAGCTCCAGCAATATTCGAATACCTTATCGCTGGCACAACAGCGTGCTATGATGAACGCCAAGGGTGGTCCTAACGGCCAGCCTGGACAGCCTGGTCAACCTGGACAGCCCGGACAGCCCGGACAGCCCGGACAACCTGGTCAGCCAGGCCAACCTCTACCCATGGGCTACGAAGGAATGGAACCTGGATTCATGGGCGGCAACGGGCTGATTCTCAACGCCCAGCAGATGCGACAGCAACAAGCCGGTAGCGGTGGCGCAGCAGGGTCTGGCCAGCTCAACGGCAACTCCAACGCGCTGCACGACTACCAAATGCAACTCATGTTGTTGGAACAGCAGAACAAGAAGCGACTGATGGTGGCTCGACAGGAGCAGCAGGAAGGCCAGCCTCGAGCTGAGGGCCAAGCCGCAGCAGCGGGCGCCAACCCTGGAGCTCGCATGAGTGGCCAATTCAAGCGACCCGGCTCCAGTCCTGTCGTTGGCAACATTGGCGACGGCCGACGAGTCACACCCAAGCTGCCCAACCAGCCATCACCTCTGATTGACGCCAACCGTGCCTCTCCCCTTCAAAGTAATTTCAATGGCCAGGGCGACTTCAATGTTGTGGTTGGTCCCAGCGGCCAGATGATGCGAATGCAACAGCCACAGCAGCAGGGCGGTCCTCCCCAGCAACAAGGCCAGCAGCAAGGAGGCCCCGGTCAGCAGCAAGGAGGTCCAGGCCAACAACCACAGCAGGGCCAGCAACAGGGACAACAGGGTGGCCCCCAGGGTGGACAGCATCGATTCGATGATCCCCAGCAGCTGCCACAAAGTCAGAACGGCGGTCCTCAACCTGGGTCTGCTCCTGGGCAGCTTCCACAGACACAGGGTGGTCCTCAGCGACCACCATCACGGGTGTCGCAGATGCCCCCGCCGGGCGTCCAAGGTGGACAGCGAACACAACCTTCCTCACCGGGCCAAGCATCTAATCCTGGTAGCGGTGGCAGCAGTGGAAGTGCTCCTGGAGGCACGACCCCAACACAGGCTAACAAGCAGCTCAAGGGCAAGAAGGCCGAACCCAAGAAGCGAGCAAAGAAGGGCAACCAGCCCGTCACCCCCAAGGCAGTGTCCGAGAGCCCCACTCCCACCACGCCGGCCACGCCGTCTGCCGCATCAAACCAGTCCCTTTTGTCGAAGGCTACCAACTTTGCCGCAAATAACAAGCAAGCTCAGGCGGCGGCTCATGCACAGGCCCAAGCCCAAGCAGCCGCCCAAGCCCAGTCCCAGATGCATATGGGTGGCATGGGTGGCTCGTCCTCTGGACTGGAGCTTGACGTCAATGGCGGAATGGGTCTTGATAATGACTCGTCCTCGTTCCTCAATGACTTCAGCACCGGAAACGAGGGCGATGTCGGCGACATGGACTTTGACTTCAACTCATTCCTCAACACGGACGACAACGCCGCCGGAGCTCTCAAGTTTGACTCTGGGTCTGCTTTTGGCTGGGGCGAGGGCGTTGAAGCCATGAATGAGTAAGCCAGTGGCTGTGGCGCGAGCCTGTGAGGTTTGGTTGCCTGGAAAAGGAACGATTCGTGACTCTCGATATTTTTTTTGTTTAGTCTTTCCTAACTCCCCCTCGTCATTGACGGACATCGATCTAGCCGCCAACACTCACCAAGTGCCACTGTATTATACACTACCTATTTATTTATACAGATGTATATAGTCAAGTGATGAGATCCAGGTGACTAACAGTGTGTACAACATGTAAAAAGAATGTATTTTATGTTAGAGGAATGTGTGATGTATTTGTATGACACGGGGTAGATTGATAAAAAACGGTGATATGCAACGCGCACCGTATCTCGCGTCTTAGACACATGTCTTCAATGCGCGGGCGGACTACCCCACCTATAGATAAAGAGCATATCGTATACAGTAACATCCCATGTCGCTTCCTTTTTGGGTTGAATCGGTTTTTGTTTATGTTGAGATAATTATTCGGATGTCGTTGACTTCGGGTTGGAAGTGTGATACAGCATACAGTAAGTCGGTGTGACACAGTCTGTTATTACAGTAACAGTAAGGACTTGCATCCCCTGCATGTTTACACAGTGTTTGCCTATATTGCATGACCCTACTATCGCTTATTCGTTGTCCGTATGATACCATACGAACATCACCCCACGTCCGGACGTTTAAAGGCCGTTGTGTGGCTTGGTTTTCGTATTAGCCTGAGACCAGGGCCATATCGGCGTTACAGAGTTCACACTGAAACCACTACTCGGACTGTCTTCGTACTCATCCTGTGCACCTTGGTAAGTACTTTACTCGTAATAACACACCCAAACTGGACACAGTAGTCCGAACACTAACCATTTAGGAAGAGGAATGTAGACTCTAATAGTCGGAGAAGTGAACGTCATTTGGGGTAATTACATTGTAAATAGTTTAGTAAACTGTAGAGAACACAATCCGTCGTGGTTGGCAATGCAGCCGAATTGTCAACTGCCCATACTTCCTCGTCACTCGGTGACAGTGTTGTGTGCTACTGGAACGACATAATATTTTCTGGTTGGAAGTACGCATGTACAAGTAACGGCATGAAGACCGAAAGTCTAATACAAAGTACAAGTTATGTACATTCCAACGAAAGGTGACTGACGTATCACCGTCTCCTTTCTCTCGGAGTTTGTCTCCACAAACTGCCTTAGATATGGATGTAAGGTACAGGGGTCGATGGACCGAATAGGCTGTTGCTCAAGGTTGGTGTGTTACTGTAGAGCCTTATCGGATGTTAAACGCTGTGCCTTTCAGCGAGGCGACATGTGATAATATTTGTGAAACACGCGTGAATGGGTGTTGCATCTACAGTGGCCCCGTGAAACAAGAGGAGAAGTCGCTCGACAAGCGTAGCTCTTCTCCGAGTCTGCCCAGGCCCTTGAAAGGGTAAGAAGACTTGCGTCACCGCCTGGCCCCTTGATTAATAATCTTTGCGTCTGTGAGCACCCCTTGATTATGTACTCCCACCAAGTTCAGTGACTGCATTTTACTTTGGGATGGCAGACTGATGACATCAGAGTGATGACCAGACGGCCTTATCAGCATGTCGATGATGCGGGACAAATAAGGGTGAAAAAAGAAGTATTTGTAGATCCCTACAAGTAGATTGTACCGTGCATATGTACTGGTAAAAGTATCGTACAGTGCAAGTACTGTACAATAAAAGTGCACAGACCGGTACTTGTACTTGTAGTACGAGTTGTACGGTATTGTATGGTACTCGTACTTGTTGTTACTTGTAACACCACGGGTCTAAATGCCACAGACACGGACTGTATCGTTCGCAGTGGGTCACCTCTACCAAGCATGAAGTCATGAAGTCATCCGCATACATACTCATTCCAAACCATTGTGCCGAGGACAAAATATTACAGTATTATGGCCACTGACACGTACTGGTACGAACCATGCAGACGTCATCAGGAGGTCAGGAGGCCTGTCATAATTACATGTGAAGGCGGGGTCACGGATTTATTCTTCTATTACGAAGCCATTTTGGGATGTCTGAAGTTCCCGTTCTAGCTTCACTTGTTCGTGCCTGTCGGCAAACTCGTCCCCTGCATGTCGTTTTGGACAAACAGCGGGGGATTAACATGCCATATTTGCGCCCTTTGGGGTAGATTTGTGCTCCGAAAAGAAGGTCTCCTAAATAATTTGGAACGAATCTGTCCCAATATAGGTCTACAAGCCGTTTTCCACCGCATGAAGACAGTGTATATTATTTCAAGGCGTTGTGAAAATCACATTCTGTCTCACCTTGGTTTTATACACCCTGGTCGCTCTGTTTTCGTGCCATTGGTGGCGTGCATGTAGCCCTTAACTGGGTTTCAACGTCTCAGAGGTATTTACCCATTGTTTAATATGATTAGGCGCATATAACATAACAGGTCAGCCCGAGCATGCCCACGTCTGTGACCTGATGAACGGTCTAGGGGTGGGCCAATGTCACATGGAGTCATCCACCCCACCCCTCAAAAGTCGTTCCACCATATTATTTCTCCTTGCTTATTATCTTCCCAAGAGTCTGCATGCTTGTTCCTCTCCCGCTCCAGAATTAGAAAGTCTCAACCCTGGTAAACCTGCAACCTTATGTTTAGGTTCTGTTTGGATCTCCGCTGCACACAAGGTCCAAACATTAGGCTCCTTCTTTTTACTATATACCCTTTCCACAATACTTGTACCTAACGGTGGTATCGCCTCCATATGCTCTAGCCGCCATGAACGTCATATTCGAAAACACGCCCATGGCGGACTATCTACAACAAGCAGACAACCCGGGGATGGCCGACTGGGGCCTGGACGACGAGTACGACTTTGACAGTAGCGATGAGGACCTTCTCCAGAGCTATGAGGGAAGAAGGTCCTACGAGAAGGACCCCAACGTGGAGGAAAACTTGCGAAGGATTGATGAAGAAGACGAGTACGACACAGATACCAATACAGAAAATGTCTCGTCGCCAGAGCAACAACCGTCACAACACCCGCAATCACACCCGCAAAACACGCAACGCAAGCACAGAAGATTCGCCTCAACCTCAGCTATTCAACCGCTACATTCGGCAAACGAGAATCTCATGAAGCGAGAACGCTTTCAACTGTTGCTAGCCGGTGCGCTACGACAATCCCTTCCGTTGGTGGAGAACAACAGGTTCCTTGAAAAATTCAGATACATTGTGGTTACGTCCCAGCTCCTGTCAGAACAGCCACCAGTGTCCAGCAAAACACCCAACTTTCCCGACGACAAGGACCTTCTGCCGGAAACTACATGGGCGACCAGCGGCGGTTGCGTGGTGGTAGTGGTGGGACTTTTTTCTTGGGCAGTTCGTAAAAAGGCTATCTTCGAGGGGAAAGCACGTGCCATGGCCTCCTTTGTCGCCACCTTGTGTTTAGTGATCTTCATGTACGCGCATTCGCGTCGAAGATTACTGCGCATTATTCGAATTAAGGCTGTTCAGTCTGCTCGGCAGTTTGTTCTCAGTTCACAGGGATTTGATGCTGCTGTACACAAGAGTTTGGGTGTTATTCACGAGGTGGAGTTCCTCTCCAAGGGTTTCTCGTTTCCTCAAAAGACTGTGGAAGGCACAGACCTTGACGTTAGACTGTGTAAGCAGCTGCGCGCGGCTCTCTCAGCCTCTCTCTACCTTAGCATTTCCTCTTTGACCCGGTCCATCCGTAAGATGCTGAACCACTGTCACAAGCTTGACCTGGAAAAGTATCTCGACATCTATGAGGTCGATGTTATGGACCTCAGTCTCTTCGTTGAAGATGATGGACCCATTCCCGAGCATGATTTCACGGCATCGTCGCCAGTCGAGGCACTTCGAAACATGGTTGACGTTCCCGAGGCCGACTTCTACGGCTCCAAGGGTGCCAATCACTCCCACAAGAACCTCAAGTTCTACCACTACAAGTTCCATCTGCTTCGACGTGTCATGCTATGCTGTCTACTGTCTATGACTGCAAGTGGCACTGATGGAAGCGAATACACGCAGTGGAAGTTGGTGTCTGGGGAACTGTCCCGGTCTGAGAAGCTACTGCGGCAACTGGACGAGTCCCTTGTCGATACCATTTACGGACTTGACCATGACGCCAAGCTACTCAGTCATTCAAGATCAGATTCCCTGTTTGGCAAAGTCATTGATTCACGAAAGGGCAGACGCCTTTCTTCTTTCAACCTTCTTTCAGAGCCTTCGTCGGCTGCATCAGAGCCCTCTAAGGAAGTCCAACAGCATCTTAAGCAGCTTTCTCGTCTTTCCTCGACTCTCAGACAGATTGAGGGACGTATGCAAATTGCCCGTGAAGGCTCCATGTCTCACATTGAGAGCGCTTCAGCCGACGAACTCCTTACTAACTACCGTACTCTTGGAGATGACATCCAGTCACTGGCCAGCATCTGGCAGGGTGGGATGTCTTCTCTAGAGGCCAAGCTCAAAAACCCTTCTACCTCCCGCGCAGAAAAGACGCTGTCCTTCATTGAAAAGCAGCGCCATCTTTCTGATGCCACCGTGGATACACTAGCGTCTCCGTTGTTGCAGCAGCTAGCCTCTTTAGGCTCTCCTGTGCATAACAATGACTACTCCACGGTATCTCAGGCTACCACTCTTGCCGAATTTGAAGATGATGTCCATGGACCCGCCGCCAAGCAGTCAGCTCTGTCCAACACATATCGGGCACTTTGTGGCGACTCGACGCCCGTCTCTTCTCCACCCATGTCTCCTACCATGCTTGAGGACGAAAATGGTATTCCCATTCAATACTCTCAGTTTGGTAAAAGACGATCCTTCCATCAACGTGACATGTCGCTGACCACCATCCTTGAAGGTATAGCTAACAAGGACAAGGGAAAGGGACTGGGCATCGATACTTCTGGAACTGTTCATGAGCAGCGAGAGAAGCGCATCGCCCGTATGAAAGAGGAGCGAGAACGAGAAGTTGACAATCGTGCTGCCGCTAATAGGCGAGGCAGTGTCATGCTGGAGCTCAAAACGGTCCTCGAAAACCGTTGATTTTAATTTAATTTATTTGCATACACTTTCTAAGACTTTGAGCTGTAGGCTTCGTAGATGAGATGTACCGTAGATTGCCCAGGTATGAACAACACGGAACTACACAACCACATGTTCACTCTAAATTGGCATCTTCAGATGCCCGTAAATAACTTATATATGTATATACCCGCTGTATCAAAGCAATAGCACTTTTAGCAACTTCACCTTCTACCACCTTAGATCTCTGACTCAGACTTGATAGTCTCACCCTTACACTTCTCAAGACCCTCTCCACCGTAAGAAGTGAGAGGTGAAACCTCGACAAGCTGCTTGCCCTCAACAATGGCACCGGCAGCCTTGACCCACCGAGCACCCTGCTCAAGAAGATGAGCTCTGGATGTCTCAGGGTCATCCTGGCCGGTTCCAGGAGCGTTCTTAAGAGGAGAGAATTCGTCAGCTCGAGCAACCTCAAGAACGGCGAACTTGGTCAGGGGGACAGTCACGAAAACATCAAAGACGAACTGCTCCAGCTTGATACCGTTGGGAGTGGATGGCTTGACCGTCTTGCCCTCGGCGTCCACGTAGGGGATCTTCTTGTGAGCAACGTGAAAGGGGAGGATCTGCTGTCGGAACTCAAAGTTGTCCTTGGAGAACCACTCGGGAATCTTGTTGAAGAAGTTGATGGAGTAGTAGTGGTTAACAATGTTGGCTGCTCTCAACTTGAGGAGACCGGGGGCGGAGGGGTCCTCGGCCTTGGCCAGAGCATCGGAGATCTCAGAATACTCGATGACCTGGGGCTTGTCGTCTCGAGAGACAATGAGACCGACGGATTCGGTAGCGTCTCGCTTTCGCACAACCTTGGTGGCAATGTCGACGCCTCGAGATGCAGAGAAACCCATGAAAACGGGATCGGCAACTCGGGCCAGACAGTTGTCAACACAGTAAGTGTGGATATGCTCGATTCCTCGCTTCTTCATATCGTCGAGGACACCGCTCTTGTAGAGGGCAAGATAGAGACCGCCGTTTCCATCGGGGGCGACAGCAACCTTGCCAGGGGCGTCGAGAATGATCTTACCCTCGTCAGTAAGACAAGGGAAGACACCCTGCTCGAAGAAGACAACATTCTTCTCGTCAAGACCAAAGTATTTGTGCCCCTTGAAGAAGGCCTCGGTAGGACCTCGAGTGGGGCCAGAGGTCATGATGTACCACGGCACGACACCTCCGCTAAGCTCCTGGATCTTGGCGATTCGCTCAGCCTGGAGTTGGAAAAGAGACTTGTGAGAGGGGAGACCAATGTCGTAGCATCCCTTTGGGGCAGAAGATCCGAGTCGGGTTCCTTGGCCTCCAGCCATGAGCACCACAGCGACCTTATTGTCACCGATGAGCTTGAGACCGGCGTCATACCACTCTCCAGTGTACTTGCTTGTGGGGGCGTCAGGCAGGGTAGAGCCCGAGTACTCCTCAGGGATACCCTCAATTGGCGAAGTGGGGTTCTCCATGCCCTTGGCAGCCTTGGGGATGGTGTTCTCAGCGTGCCAGGTTACCTCGGTAGGGTCGATCTCAGCCAGCTGGGCCAGCAGAGAAGACTTCTCCTCGTCGGAGAGCTTGTCCCAGAACTGGAACACCTGGCCTTGGCCAGCGTCATCATAGGTCTTCTTTAGCTGTTCGTATGACATGTTTTTTGTGTTGGTTGTACTCAAACTGGGTGAGAAAGCGCTGACACTAAGTATTATGGCATTTGCTTCTGCTTCTCAATCTAATTTTAGTAACACCATAACACTGGAACTCTAATGCGTTAATGAAGCGAAGACGTGGTCTACGTGAGCAGACCGTGTATTGGTCTAGTGTAAGGCAAGTGAGTAACAATCCCAGATTATTTGGAAAATAATAACTCATGATTAGTTTTGTTGCCAACATTTTCGACGCCTTCACGAGTGCGGCTTTCCCATCCAGCAGCTCTCTGTGCTTCAGTCAGAAACGTGATTCCTCAGCAACCGCACAATTTTAAACAGAGTAAATACAGTGCTTTGCATGCACATGTGCGATGTGCACATGGCGGCGTTTGCCCGGGTTTTACTTGTATACTCATTGGTCTATTCTGAGATAACCTCCTTAGATGGGTGCAGTCGGTTATCTTCTATCGGAAATAGACCGGTTTCGTGCTGTTACTACAGGGCTCATCCCGCTCGCTAAATGCCAGTCTCTCGCACTAAAGTGGGAACCGTGTGTTTTGTACAGTGTTCCGTGCATGTAATTTAGGCCTTAAAGATGACGTGGACACACACTCAGCGTGTCGAGACCCCTGAAAATGACATACTACGTGTATAATATGTGAAGGAGGTGTATATTTTGTTTCAAGTCCCGGTTGAGAGACCCGAAGTCCAGTGTTTGTCTAACACGACCGTGGTCTATCTCGCCAACCACACGGGGGTTAAGGGACAGTAGTTCCCCACCTAACCGAGCTAAATTGCTTCGACTGGCCATTTAGGTTGCGTCTGCTGCGGGCTGTCAGTCACTTATTGTGGTCAAATGGAACAGGTAATGTGATTCTGTTTCGTCTTGTATACACTGATTATTCTCAGAAGAAGTTAGGCTGTATATGTTCTTTATATGGTAAGTGATCCATATCCTTTCTTAGGTGCGTTTCTCAAGAACCGGAGACACCCACTAACACATTTTCACCCAACAGGGAATCAAGTAATACTTAGACTTTAAATCAATTAAATACCTGAAATATTTACAAATAAAACTCCCATCGGAACCTCTGACTCTATGACACCCCACAGCGCCTTTTGCTAATATTATGAGGGTACCAGCTTTCTAAGGCACCGAATCAGGCTACAGATACCGTGTTTATTTTTAACCGATTTGCTTTTCCAAACTACTGTACCTCGTTCACCCCATATCGAGGCTGTTTCATCCCTGCTCATAGCTAGCCGTTGCTTCGGAGTCCCCAATAACCGTTTTATCTACTGCACGTCAAGCGTACTGCATTAACCGTCGATTCAGGATAAACAGTACTGTATCAGTATATTTTCTGTACCCTCATTTGGCTCAATTAAACGAATGCAGTATCTCAAACGGTCAGTCAACTCAATAAGGGTGTAGTTTCCATATTAATAATATTTCTGACACACTGTTGGGCATACCGAAAAGTGGTCCACAGGAGTGAATGTATGATGGGTGCAATATTGGTTCCTGTTTCATCCGCATGACGTCATACAGCTAATATTGCTGTAGATTCCTGAAGCGTCATTAAATATCCCAGGGAAAGAAGAGCAGCATGGGACTGGACAATACCAGCGCGCGTAACACGTATTTATCAAACAAGGGTTGGCATATTGGTTGCTTCCTCAGCAAGTCGCAGGCTAGTAAGGGTGGATCGCCCCTGTTCCTGCAGGTGCCTGATAGAGGGGAGCCGCTGGAAGACATTGAAGGTTCGACGATTCCCTTTTCAGGTTATGGTTTTTTATGACGGTGGCATACGTCCTTGGGTACAAGATATGCACCCGCTACTCTAGCCCGCTACAACCAAGAGTGTATGGAGTAGCCGTCAAGTGCGAGCTCTGGACTCTGTTAGTTTGGCTGTGTAAGATATGGTATCTACCTGATCCGTTTGCAATTTCTATTGGGTTGCGTGGATGTAATCTCTATTGTCCCTGCACTACAACACACTTTTACGTAATGTGCGCGCTGCACTCTCTTCTTTGACTCAGATGCGTCGGACATAAAACCAACTCCGACAAACAAACGATTATATAGAGGAGAAGACCGACACCGAATTTGAAGGGCTGTCAAGGGCCATTTATACCACAAGCTCCCGTCTCGCAAGACCGTAGTGACGTGGCGGAAATTGCGCTAACTCCAACATTCCCTGCCGGGTAATATCAAACGTCATACGGCGTTTTGGGTGAAGGGATATAAACGGAACCCTGGATTGGTGGGGGGGATAAACAACATACAGGGATGCTATTTCTGGCTTTTAGTCCGTTTTTCCTGTGGCGCAATGGAATCGTATTGGGGTGACAGTGACGACGGCTCCCTAATACATAGTGCGACGCAGGAACCCCTCGTTTATTTATATCTAGGCCTCCTGGCTCTCCCTCTCTTTGGAGCTCCACCTCAGACCCTATTACTGCTTGTCCATCCACTCCCCTACAACGACGAAGAGACCGAACCTTATAAATCTTTGTGTCCTGTGAAAGCGAGCCAGGAGCAGAAGCGAAGCTGCACGCTGCAAAATTCCGAATTCAAAAATCTCAGCACTCCTCACGGCAGATATCGCCACCGACATTACGAGACGAAATTGCACTGCTCAGGTACTATGGTGAGTTTGATTACCCCGCGCCACCCCGGCTTAGACATCGTGGACACGGTCACCTGCCAACGACACCCTACGAGACCCCCCACTAACACAGAACTGCGCACACTGCAACGCCGGCTCGGACGACGACGCCTACTTCGCTATTTGCGAGGTGGTGCACAAGATCTCTCAAATCATTGGCACAAATTCCAAAATTGACAAGGATGTGACCGACAATCTTCCGGGCGAGAAAACCCCAGCCAAGAAGCTTCTCGCCATCCAGCTGGACCGACTCCAGGCCTCCGTCCAGCAGCTGGTGGACGAGCGAGGCGCTCTGGAGCAGAACGAAGCCCCCTCAGCCCCATTTTCTCCCCCAGAAAACTACTACACTGTCCCAACATACACACAAGCGTCTGTGGACTCGCTTATATCGGAGGCCAAGTCTGCAGGTAAATTTGAATCGTCGCACCCCGACCACCACATGTACCAGTTGCTCAAGGCCCTCAATGCGAAGGTCTATTCACAGCAGCGAGAAATCGCTCTGCACAGCGGTGCAGTCGTGGCGTTGGAGCGGGACCTCAGCCAGACCAGAAATATTCTCAATTCTTTCACAGAAACAATCGCACCGGGCGAAAAGCGAGTGGTGGACACAGACCTTCTGGACCGAGAGCTGCGAAAGTCTCAAACAGCAAACCGCGCCTTTCAGAAGGCGCTGATGGAGATTGGAGAGGTTGTCTTTGCCGTCGCGCAAGGTGACCTGTCCAAGAAGGTTACTATTCACGACCAGGAGATGGACCCCGAAATTGTCAAATTCAAGGAAACAATCAACAAAATGATGAGCCAACTGCAACGATTCGCTTCCGAAGTTACCCGTGTGGCCACAGAGGTAGCAGGAGGAACGCTAGGAGGACAGGCAGAAGGAGAAGGAACAGTTGGTGTGTGGCGAGAGCTTACTGATAACGTCAACGTCATGGCCTCAAATCTTACAAACCAGGTGCGAGAAATCGCTGATGTTACTCGAGCTGTTGCCCAGGGTGATTTATCGCGGAAGATTAATGTCCACGCACAAGGAGAGATTCTGGAACTGCAAAAGACTATCAATACCATGGTGGAACAACTACGTACGTTCGCCTTCGAGGTCACGCGAGTGGCCAGAGAAACAGGTGTGGAAGGAAGACTGGGTGGCCAGGCCCAGATCGAAGGTGTCGAAGGTATTTGGAGAGAGCTCACTGACAATGTCAACGCCATGGCTTCTAACCTGACTGACCAAGTGCGAAATATCGCCAACGTCACTACTGCTGTCGCAAGAGGAGATTTGTCTCAAAAGGTGTCTGCTGACTGTAAGGGAGAAATTCTTGATTTGAAGTCTACCATCAACAAAATGGTGGACCGATTGCAGAACTTCGCGCTGGAAGTTACTACACTGGCTCGATCAGTCGGTACTGAGGGTATTCTGGGTGGGCAGGCCAAGGTCGAGGATGTGGAGGGTGCATGGAAGGAGATCACTGAAAATGTCAACGTGATGGCATCTAACTTGACCACCCAGGTCCGAAGCATTGCCCACGTTACCACAGCAGTCGCCCAGGGTGACCTGTCACAGAAGATTGATGTGCATGCTCAGGGAGAAATGCTTGCCCTGAAGTCCACTATCAACAAAATGGTGGATCGTCTGCAGGTGTTCGCCTCTGAGGTGACTCGAGTGGCCAAGGATGTCGGTATCGACGGTAAGCTTGGTGTGCAGGCTCAGGTCTCCGATGTCGACGGTCTTTGGAAGGAGATTACCACTAACGTCAACACCATGGCGGCCAACCTGACTACCCAGGTTCGAGCCCTGGTGCAGATTACTGCCGCTGCTACAGACGGTGACTTCACCCGATTCATCACCGTCGAAGCCTCTGGAGAGATGGATGCCCTGAAGACCAAGATTAACCAGATGGTTCTGAACCTGCGAGAGTCCATTCAGCGAAACACTGCGGCTAGGGAAGCTGCCGAGTTGGCCAACAGAGCCAAATCCGAGTTCCTGGCCAACATGTCTCATGAAATTCGAACCCCCATGAATGGTATTATTGGTATGACGCAATTGACACTCGACACTGAGCTCACTCAGTACCAGCGAGAGATGCTGAGTATCGTCCACAATCTGGCTAACTCGCTGCTCACAATCATTGATGACATCCTGGATATTTCCAAGATTGAAGCTAACCGGATGACTATCGAAAAGATTGCCTTCTCTCTGCGAGGCACTGTCTTTGGTGCCCTCAAGACCTTATCCGTCAAGGCAAATGAGAAGCCTCTGGATCTTGTCTACAAGGTGGACAACACCTTCCCTGATAACCTGGTTGGTGACTCTTTCCGTTTACGTCAGGTTATTCTCAATCTTGTTGGTAACGCCATCAAGTTCACCGAGTCCGGAGAAGTCGCTTTGTCTGTGCGAAAGGCTGATGATCAACGCCCTGGTTCCCCCGATGAGATGATGATTGAGTTCTGCGTGTCTGATACTGGTATCGGTATCCAGTCTGACAAGCTGGACGTTATTTTCGACACTTTCTGCCAGGCTGATGGTTCTACCACCAGAAAGTTCGGAGGTACCGGTCTTGGACTCTCTATTTCCAAGCGACTCATCAATCTGATGGGTGGAGACATATGGGTCAAGTCCGAGTACGGCAAGGGTTCTCAGTTCTTCTTTACCCTTGCTGTGCAGCCTGCGGACAGTGGACTTTCTCAGCTTCTGGACAACATTGCACCTTTCCGAAACCACTACGTTTTGTTCATCAACACTGAGCACGAGCAAGAAGTCGTCGACCAGCTCGTCGACAACATGCAACGACTCAACCTCAATGCTTGGGTGGTCGACTCTCTGGAAGAGGCTCCTCTGCCAGAAGACCGATCTGGTCCCAAGTTCGATACAATCATTGTGGACTCTCTGGAGGTAGCTACCAAGCTGCGAACTCTCAACCATCTCAAGTACATTCCTTTGATACTACTTCATCCCTGTATCCCTCAAGTGAACCTCAAGATCTGTCTTGATCTCGGTATCACCTCTTACGGTAACACTCCCTGTTCTACCAACGATATTGGTAACGTGCTGTTGCCTGCTTTGGAGTCTCGTGCCGCACCTCTCAACTCTGACGGTCAGATGAAGTTCCAGATTCTGCTTGCTGAGGATAACGTTGTCAACCAGAAGCTGGCTGTGCGAATTCTGGAGAAGCACCAGCACCGAGTTGAGGTTGTCGAAAACGGCTATGAGGCATTTGAGGCCATCAAGAAGAAGCGATACGACGTTGTTTTGATGGATGTTCAGATGCCTGTAATGGGTGGATTCGAGGCCACAGCCAAGATTCGGGAATGGGAGAAGCAGAATATCACTATTCGAACCAGAACTCCCATTGTGGCTCTCACTGCACATGCAATGCTTGGGGATCGGGAACGATGCATGCAAGCTCAGATGGATGAGTACCTGAGTAAACCTCTTAAGCCTGCTCTTCTGGTGCAGACCATCAACAAGTGTGTGCACTCAGTTAACCAGCTTAGAAGCTTGGCGCTCGGCCCTACCTCGACCTCTTCTGTGAATCAGATTCTCAGTCGAAGTGGGCAACACAAGAGCGCCGTGGCTGCCTCTTCTTCTGCTGCCTCTGCATCCATGCTACCCTATGTGGCACCTCAACCCACATCTCCCGTCTTGTCGCCATCATTAGAGGACGCCATTATTAAAACCACAGATGGCGTCGTGTCAAAGAGCCCACTTCCCCCAAGTCAGTCGAAGCCTCGACCTACCATTGAGCAGCGGTCACGTACGGTGACCTCTGTGCCCCATGTGGATTACCCCGAAAATGGCGGCGCACGAATTGTCGCAATTGATGAGGGCACCGAACCCGAGAAAGAAAGTGAACAGCCTCCCTCCAACAGACGAGTAAACAGTAATTGATAGACTAATATATTTATGAGCGATGTTACGATGAGAGAATGTGTAAAAACAGTGGTTACTTGGATTATTTTGTAGAGTACAAAAAAGTTAATAGTGTCACGGAACAGTGGACAATTTAAGCCTTCTTTTTTTTGTTCTTCGTCTTGGGTTTTTTCGCAGCTGACGAAGCTTTTGGGGCATCAGCATCGATAACAGTCTCATCTGGTCCGTCCTTGAGAGCCTAGTTCTTGGCCCTGGCCTCGTTCTCCTTCTCAACCTTGGCCAAGTATTTCTGCAGCTCATTGGAAGTGGGGGCTTCAGTGTTGTTGGCTGAGGGGTATCGGCACTCAGAAACATAGACACCGATGATAGTGATGGCGATGCAACTAACTGCGATTATAGATGACCAGAAAGTGCTGGGATACACGTTCCAGGCATACTCCTGAAGCGCCCAGGTGCCAAAAATGAAGACAAAGCCGATGATGTCGGTGAAGAATATTCTGATCTCTGTCTTGCTGAGACGGCCCTCATATCGCAGGGTAGACTGCATAGGAGACAAAGGCGAAATGGCGTATGTAGCTCGGTACAGGAGGAAAGGCATAGTCCAGTAGAACCATGAGTAAAACTGATAGTGGAGAGATCGAGCGAAGAGCACACCGATTAGGTTACAGGTAGCCATGGTGACGAAGACGTACTCTTGGGTAACCAGAGTGGAGAACTGGGTTCGAGAGTAGAACAGGGGAGGCTTCTCTCGTCCTTCCTGCTGAGCCAGTTGCTGCTTTTTGATCTCCTCCTCCTGCTCCTGCATTCGCTTCTGTTCACGCTTGGATCGCTTCTGCTGGACATCAAACTGGACCTCGTTGCCAGAGGCTTCCTGTCTGATTCGGTCCCACTCTGCTCGCTGGGCAGCGGTGAGACCTCGTGGGGCAGGAGGGGGGTTTGTGAAGAACATCTCAAACGGGTTCTGGTAGCCGGAAGGAGCATTCCAGATCGTGCAGGCGAAACCGATGAGTGCTGTGAGGTGCGTCCACAACAGGATGCCATGGAACTTTCGGTTCTCGAAGACCTTCTGTCCAACAAACCGCCAGTTGACAGTCCATTTCCACATGAATGCTCGAGAAAGGTCAAAAGCACCAGCCAGGTAGGACCAGATGTGATCAGGGGAGGGATTGCAGAAAGGCAGTGCCAGGAAGACCTGAATTCCGACGATGGAAAGGGCGAAGACAACAAGAAGGCCGTTTCTGCTCATACCTTGGAGAGTAATAAGCAGGAAGGCAGGAAGATAGAGCATGAAATTCATCTTGATTCCAATTGCCAGGGACATCCAAAGACCGGAAAGCAGCCACATCTGGTTCTGCAGGGTGAAGACACAAAAGGTCATGGCGAAGGTACCAAAGACGTCGTTGAAAAGTCGAAGAACATAGATAGAATGCAGTCGTTTAGACAGACAGAGAAGAGGGAACAGGTAAGGTGGAGCGTCGGCGAGCAGATAGACGGTGAATGCAAAGAACTGGGTGCCCAGGTATACAGCAGCGTAGATGTACTGGGCCAGGCGAATATTCTCACCACCAGAGGTCACGTCGTAAAGAGCAGTGAAGATTCGAGCGTGGCCTCCGGGGTAGACCATGGGACCAGTTCCACCAACAATTTTACTGTAGTCGTACTCACCCCCCAGGATCAGAGCAGCCTGCTCCATGTAGGCCTTCCAATCGATCTCGGTGTATGGGACCTTGTGGATGATGGCCACGAGAAAGACTGCTTCCAGAGCAAGAAGCACACCACATACTGTCATGGAGTATTTGCGGTCATTGGCTAGCTGTAGCAGCTTCAGCGCCACTTTATTTTTGATGAGGATCATCGCTCAGATCCAATTGTTTTGGTGGTCAGATTTGATGGTGATGGGAGATGTGACCTGCCCTTAAGGTTGACTATACATGTGGGGGATGCATAAATCTCGGACCCAGTATCCATTTATGGCGCGTCAATGTGCACATCTTATCAGTCCAACATGACAATCAAAGGTCACGGAGATGTATAAATGGAAACTAGCCTCATTGCCTATTGATTTGGGTGTGTCAAGTTGTCTATATATATGTTTACTAAACAGTACGATACACGTACATACAAGTACATCACTGTAACACTTTCCTGTCGATAGCCGCTCAACAAACTCGTCTATGGATAGAGTCCAATTTAGCTCACAAAACCTACTTGGACTTGTAGTTACAGTGCAAGTATCGTACTACTTGTAGCACTTGAACAGTACATACAGTAGTTGGAATAGGTGCAGACAGGATGGCAATCAAATTATAAAAATATAATAATAATAAAAAACAATAGTGAGTGAAAAGAGGGAGTCATGCCCTTTGAATACAAATTGCATAATTAGATCGAATGACTGTCAGAATTGGTGACATAGTTAAACAACATATGGACCCCATATATGGCGTACAAGTACTGTAATTTTACGAATACAGGCAGCCCATACATTTCAAGGCTTACATTTTGTATCATTACAGACGTACGTGAGAGACTTTGCAGGTTTAAGTCTTACCAGCCTTGTTGTTATCCAGAGTCTTGAGACCCTGCTGAATGGCATCGTCAGTGAAGATCTTGCCGGGGTTAAGTAGCTCAAGGGGATCAAGAGACAGCTTGATGGTTCGCATCAGGTTGAGAGAGACAGGACCAACCTCGTGAAGAAGCCCCTCGATCTTTCCGAATCCAACACCGTGCTCACCAGTGCAGGTTCCCTCGGCAGCCAGACCCTGGTCGACCATCTTATGGACGACGTCGGTGACAATATCGGCCTGCTCGGGAGTGTAAAGCATGATGGCATGGTAGTTTCCGTCACCAATGTGGCCCAGAACTCCTCCAAGAAGACCAGCATCAGTGATGCTCTGCTTTGCCTTCATGACAATATCAGGAAGCTGAGAAAGGGGAACAGCAACATCAGTGGTCCATGCCTTCATACCGTCCTTCTCGGCAGCAAGAGCGAGGTAAAGCGCGTTTTTTCGGGCAGACCACAGCTCATCCTGTTCCTCCTGATCTCTTCCGAAATGCAAGGGAGAGTCTGTGTACTTGGCAGCCTTCTCCTTAGCAACCTTCACCTGCTCGGCGACAGTTTCCTCGGAGGCACCGGCGAACTTCATGAACAGGGCGGGCTTCTCTTCCCACTTTCTCTTGGCGTAACCGGAGTTGTTGACCCAGATCATGTGCTGATCATCCATAAGTTCAAGAGCAGCCATGGGGATACCCTCCTTGAGGATATCCATAGCAGTCTTGCAAGCGGCGTGGACGGTCGGAAACTGTTGGACGGCGACAGAGGTGACATTGGGGATGGGCTGGAGCTTAACGGTGATTTCGGTGATCAGACCAAGTGTTCCCTCGGTTCCAGCGAATAGATGGTTGAGGTTGTATCCAGCAGAGGTCTTTCGAGGTCGCTGCCGGGTCTTGAGAATGGTACCGTCCGCCAGGACAACAGTGAGATTAACAACGTGATCTCGCATGGGTCCGTACTTAACACAGTTGGTTCCAGAACAAGAGTTGGCAACCATGCCTCCCACCTGTGCTGTTGGGCCGGGATCAACAGCCAGAAACAGGCGATGGCCCTCCTTGAGAATCTCGTTGTTCAGATCAACCCAGCCAACAGAGGGCTGGACAGTGGCATCCATATCATCGGGTCTAATAGCAATAATTTTGTTCATGTTGGAGAAGTCGATGCAGACACCTCCGTAGGCGGCAGAAAGGTGGCCCTCCAGAGAAGTACCTCCGGAGTAGCCGACCATGGGAAGCTTGTGCTTGTGGCAGATCTTGGCAATGGCAGAAACCTCCTCAGTAGACTTGGGGTACAGAACACCAAAGGGCAGAGTGTCGAGGTTGGAAGAAGAAACGTTGGACCAGCCATGGAATTGGATATCCTCCTCGTCGGTAGAAACGTATTCCTCACCGATAGCCTTGATAAATTCCGGCAGGGCCTTCTTGAACTCCTCCTCACCTCCGTACTTGGGCTTGTGAGAGAAGTCCGTGTCGAGAGAGGCACCATCGAGGACCTTCTGGATTCCTCGGCCAACATCCTCATCTTCCTTCTTAAGGGCCACAGCGTTCTTGTCGGACTTGGTAATGAAGTAGGTCACTCCCGCAGCGACACCAGCGGCTCCTGCAACAGCACCCCAGCTGATAGATGGCTGGGATGATCTTGCCTGTGTGGAGAAGTTACTTCGAGCCAATTGCCTGGAGGCAATTCGAGAGACGCTCTGGGCGGCTCGTGAGATTCTGTTCATGGCGAAACTGGATGTGTGAATGTATCAAGAATGGAAAGAGACCCTATGCCAATTCAGAGTATCGGTAGTTGTAGATTCGTGGCTTGCGGAGTGAGTAATAGAGTTGCACAGAGAGGAGTCCCTTACAGTAAGTCAAAAGCGCTCAGCGAGGACGGTTGTGAAAGATCAAATGTCAGAAAAGAGGAAGTGTATTAAAGACTAGCTTGAGCTATATATCCCTTCGCTGTGACTCTGGTTGCCCCAGAATGAGACGTGGGGGTCATTCTTAGTACAATGGCGCGAGAAAGACACCCCCACTTACGTGCATATCTATGCAATGTATTCCCCCAGAATACAGCCAGTAGGGTTCAATAACCGGTTGGTCAAATATATACTACTTGTAGTAGACATAATTGCAGTTGGAGAAACAGCAACAGAAGCTCCCCATATGTTCTAGTTGATTCACGTAATACTACGGGCAAGCGAGAGATAGAAAAATGCAGATTAAATTAATTATATGTGACGGCGCTTAAAAACGTGTTGTAAGCTACATATTGGAGGAATGCAAGCAAATCCGTCAGACTAGTGGCGCAGTGTAGCAGTGGCGGTGGGTGTGTTGAGTAGCGAGTGGGGACGAACACGCCGGTCAGCAGTAATTGAATGACAAACTAAAACCACCCCGACGGTGTGAGACACGGGCTGAAAAATAGCTGTGAGAGCAGGGGCGTGGGGGGTAAATAAACATGGCCCTCCAACATGGTTATGCAATTGACAAAACAAAAACAGAGATCATACCAGTTCAAACTAGTGGGTGATCCACCAATGAAATGCTTCGGTGGAACATCGGGCCCTGCAACACTACAAGTAGCATGATGGTTGCATTGCAGGTATGCAGGCGGTACGCGATCTGTCTCAGGTTTGACCCCCCACTTCGGGGGTAGGCTCCGCGTTGTTTTTGACATCTTCATCACCAACATTGGTTGAGCGACTGTGTTCGTTAAGAGATTCACAGGAGCAGTTCTCAATAACCCCGGTGTTACCCTTGGAGAGATCAGGTTCCTGACGACAATGCTTCTCTAACATTGTACGAGCAGTCTCGTCCAGAGCATTAATGTACTTCTTGAGGAACACTCGGTTCTCACGAACAGGGAATCGCAACGGAGAAGAGTCTGACAACCAGAACTGAGGCCGACCGTCAATCTTCTTGGGCGCCAAAAATGCAAGATTGTTGTTTCCTCCTTCCTCAAACCGAACACGGGCAGGTAAAACCAGACTAGCCGTGTCCACGTGCTCGGAGAAGTCATTGTAATGAGCCGGAGAAACACCGCTTTTCTTGAGGTTATGTTCAAGCTTGGCGTTCTCCATCAACTCATCTTCCCGTTCCTGTTCAATCATGCTAGCAATCTCTCCGATCTCCTCATCCACATCTTCCACAGAGTCGTTAGCCGGAGGCGGGAGTTTGACAGGTGCGGCCGAGGGTGCTGCTGGGATTTCAGGCTCCTCCGAGTGACCTCTGGTTTGTGCCCAGAACTCGTGATTGTATTGGGGAACTTCAGATCGGTTGATCTCACCAGCTCCAACAAGATGGGGAACTCTTCCAACGAGATGCATCATCTCACGCCATTCTTCAAAGGAGTACTTTCGAAGAGGGTCCTCAATGGCATTAGAAAAGACATCATTAAGCGCCTTGGCCAGATCTCGGATTGTATTGATATCATTCTCCAGCTCAGAGATCTTGCGCTTCACCTCGGGGTCCTTTTCTGTCTCCTTGCTAGCCTGATCCTTAGCACCATTCTCCGAGTCCGTAGCAGTCTCCTCTCCCTTTTCAGGGTCTGTAGGAGGAGGGTTGTGGCTGTAGGGGTTCAGAGAGGGGAACGCGAGAGCCCAGTCACCGAAGACATCTGTGAACTGCACAACCTTCGCGATGACAGTATCTCCCATGGACGAAATCAGAATAGTCATCATGGGAACAGCAGCCATGGACCAGACGATAAAAAATGCCTTACCAACTGATGACTGAGGGTACACATCACCATATCCAATTGTTGTAAGACACAGAAGACAGAAGTACACAGCAGTCCAGTAACTCCAGTGTTCCACAAACTTGAAGCACATGGCTCCGAGACAAAGGAAGGCTCCAAATGTGATAATAGCCACAGTCAGATTGAGCCAAGTTCGATATTTCTCAGCTTGCTTGTGGAACTCTCGCATCTTTTCAAACAGTTCCCTTTCCTTCTCTGGGTCAACAGTCTGCTTCAGTAACTCATGGTACTCCTTCTTTCTGTTTCGCTCAGCGTGGTTCCACGCCAGAGTCTTCGACGACGAGTCGATAATCATGGATCGAATCGAAGAGATAATAAGACCCAGCATAAGGGTACCAATGAGGGCGTATGGAATGATGAGGGCTCGTTCGAGGTTACCGAGGGGGTGAATGTCACCCAAACCGATAGTCAAGATCGACACATGGCAGAAATACAGCGCGTCAGGGTACGACAGATCCATGAGGTACTGAAACAGACCAGCTCCCGACGCCGTCCATACCGCTAAGGATATATTCTGCAACATGAGACCTCGCTGGGCCTGGTTTAAGTTGAATGTTGCACCATAGAATCCTAGCAGATGACCAAATTCATTAAAAAATAGCAGAATCGAACACGCCATGTAACAAGCAAACGTCATGATGCCATGCCAGTACGATGCACTCAGCTGCATATCGTCCTCCAGCAACACAAACTTGGTTACCATAGTAAGAACCAATAGCATAATCGCAGCGGAACCGAAACCACATATACTGATTACCTGGGAAGCAGTATAATTGATTCGACCAGCGAAGTTGAGAAGCATAGACATGTTGGCAGTCACACCGATCGCAAGCGAGACGGCATTCAGAGCTGTGACCCATGCAGGGTCCTTGATGGTGTTGTATAGGGTACCTCCATCAGATTCGGGAATGTTTCCATCTCTGTACTCCAGCCAAGCCTCGGTAAGTGCTGCGATGGCACACATGTTAGCCAGCGGTCCAATCGCTGCTGCGATCAGAGGGAAAGAAGATGAAATCATATACCATGTTGCGAAACCCGAGGAGCCCACACTGACCTCCAAATTGTTCAAATAGTCGAGTGCGTCAATGTCCTTGGTGTTGGTTACCTGCTTGAGAGACATTAGCGTCTCCTGGGTATCGGCTAGCTCTGCAGGGTCTGTTGTGTTGACATGATGGTGTAAATGGTGGGGAATGTGGTGATGGTGTTGAGCATGCTTCTTCTTGAAGTTATTCTTGGCGATCTTGTAGTTGGTTCCTCCAACGGCTTCTCGGTCGTGCAAGCCCCGCTTGAAATTTTTACTGTCAGGGTCGACCTTCAAATGCTCCTCTTTGGGCTTTCGGTGGAGAGGGTGAAGTTTTCCCATGGCGGCGAGTGGTTGGCAGCAAGAAGAGCCCAGTCGAGTGGAGTGTTGGAGCAACCGGCTTGTCTGCGATGGGTGGGTGGGGTAGTAGTCAGTCACCTATGACTTTGCAAGGCTGATACATGCAATGTTTTTCTACAAGCGATCTGACATGCAAGGTCCTGTACGACAGAGTTTCTGCCTACGACGCGCTAGGAGAGGGTTTGCTGCAGTATACTTCCTGTTATTCCCGGTTGTCACCATCTGCGATACGCCTTACGGCCGTTTATCGGCTTTTGGACTATATACTGAACGGTGATTGACAAGGGAACTCGTATTGGTGCACTTGTACCGTTACGGCCAAGAGGGGGCTTGGCGCAGAATGGTAACTCTACTCGTAGTGCGATGTCTCTGGGTTCGAACTCATTTTTAGTCTACTGAAACTGCGTCTGGGGTGTAATTTTTTCGGGGACTTGCACTAGCGAGGACAAGGACGTGGGGCTTGAAATGGTCCAATTTAGTACTTATATTCCGCTCCAATATATATTTACCTCTCTAGAGAACCCATACAAACGACCGACAAGTCTCCTTCAACCATATTGCTTAGAGTTCCATAATGTCAGATGTTTCAAAGAAAAGCGAAATATGGAGGTTTACTTTGGCGAGGTTTGGCGAAGGGTAGACACGGGTACGATGTATGACTGGGTAGCGTCAATTATACAAAAATAGCCAAATCATATTCGTACGCGAAGTTTTGCACAGAATGAACTACGTGGCTGAAAAGTACACAACTTGTATGTAGGCTCCCGTTGCCACTGTCATCTTCCTTGCTACTCGTAGCAAATTCAGAGCAACATAAAAAAGTCAGGCCGCACCCCTCATCTGACACCCACCCACACATTCGTTGAATCTAACAGGCTGTACCGTCCATACCAACACCAGTTATTTGTAACGGTACGAGTACCCGTACTGTACTCCTACTGTAGGGGGTAAACTCTCGCCGTAATCTTTCTCAAAAAATGTCGGTTATTTACGCTACCTTTAATTAAATATTATCTGTTTGTAGTGTTGGCTCATCACCTACAGCACAAGGATGTACAGTAGCTGTCGTTATGCAGGGCATTAGACAGATTATTAGAAGTATCGTACTGTACTTGCACCCATCACCCATCACCTAGGGCAGAAATGAGAGATATTAGCAATTTTTGTTCTCACTCGAATTCAATACCAATTCATCCATTCACTCCAAATACATTTCGACTCTCAGTACTCGAATTTTTTTAGCCAGGTCCATAGTAGTAGCAATCCCCCTCAGCAGTAGTCCCAGAAGTTACCCGGAAGTAAATCACGTGCATCTACAACCTGTATGCACTTGACACCACCATAATCCATCAGTGAGGACAGGATAGTGGCAATGAGCGTGTCCGACACAGAGAAAGGCGACAACGCCTTGAAAGAGGACAAGAAGATGGAGGACACCATTGACGACAAAAACAAGGAGCTCATAGAGGTAAAACCCCACGACCCAGAGGACAACAACAACGAGAAGGAGAAGGAGACGGAGACACCCACACAAACAGCATCATCGGCCGAGCCAGAGGCCAAGAACGAGGGGAAGAAGGAACCATCGAGAACTCCGGAGCCGGAAAGGCTAGCAGCGTCAAAACTACAGCCGCTAGAAGTAACAGAAGAGTACTTCGACTTCGAACAACACCTGATGCGACAAGGAATCGCGAAGATTTTGAAGGGAAGAAAGATAGCGACAACGAAGGATGCATTTTCTGGAGTGGCAGAACTGGCAGAGCAATACATGAACGAGATCTGCACCCGTCTGGTCAGATACACCCGTGTCCAGAGGAGGAAACAGCCTTCCAAGGCTGATTTGCGGTTAATGATGCAAGAATGCGCCATCCGCACGGGAGAGCTGGAGCAGGAAATGGAGGAAAGCCGTGAGTGGCCTGTGGAGGCATTGGAGCTATCAGATCTGGGCAGTCTTCCCCGTGATGATCAGGCTGATTACTATACTCGATATTTTGATGCCCGAGTCATCCCCACAAGACAAAACAACAAGCTTGCGACGTATCAGAACCCAAGAGGCGATTACAATGCACCATGGCTTCCCTCATTCCCTCCAGACCACACATATCTCGCCACTCCTCAATACACATCAGAGATCCCCAACCCACGGGTGTTGCGTCAACGGTTGGTAGCGGAGGGTTCGTTGGCAGAAAAAGCATTGCGAAACCTGGCTTGGACTGTGCAAGTGGATCAGGCCATGGTGGTCCACATTGACGAGAGCGATTTGGATAAATTGGAGGACAGACTGGAGGTTAAACAGAAGGGGGGCATTAATGGTGGAGGTGATGTGTTTTCCATTCTAGAGAACGACACTAACAAGGAGGTTAAAAAGGAGGATTTCGGACTCGGAGATGCACTGAGAGATGGGGTTTCACGAGTCTCTACTCCAAAGTTGGAGGAGTCTGTTGAATCTCCCAAACCCATTATCAAGCTGTCGTTCAAGAAGGATACAGATCCTGATCCGTTTGGTCTCGGCAAGCCACTGAAGCCATTTGACGTGGAGAAATACCCCGAGGTGCTGCGCAAAAAGAGACTGCGATGGAATGAGGACGGATCAGGTGTGGTCACCGAAGTGGGTCGTGCTGGAGCATACGGTGCGGATCTGATGGAGATCGATGCCACTGGGGTTGATGAATGCTCTTCTGTATTGGCTGAGAGCGAGAATTGCAAGCGCAAGTCGCTGGATCAGCAGTATGCGATGGCTCTGTATTCCATCCAGAAGTTGGGCGAGAGACGAAGCAATGGCAGCAGTGCTACCGCTGATATTGGCATTGTTAACTGGCGAAACGATCGGTTCATCAAATAATTTGGGGCCCGAAGAGATGAGTGGCAACCCATCTGTATTATATATATAATTTAAGACTAATGTCATTTTCTAATCATGTTGTGGGAGAGTTCTGTTCGACGGTGGTGGGTTCAGATCTGCTCGTACATTTGTGCTGGAGTGTCTCACTTTTAAGTCACCATTTCTTTACAGCCTTGCTAACTGTAAATCAGTGTTGTAGATTCGCAAGATGTGGGGCGTTTAATGATACGAACCGTAGCTCTTAACAACAGCAGCAAATACAGATCTCGTATACGACAACACCCTTGTCGCCTCTATCTAACTACTTGTACCAGTACTCGTACTATAACTACAGTATTTGTAGAGCAATTTTAATCTTGCATGGTGTGGAATGTGGTTGTGCCCGCATGAAGTGTAGTTTGGCACCAAATTAAGAGAACGAGTCGTAAGAGCACATTTTAGTGCTTAAAAAAAGCGGCTGGAAAATAATAACAGCCGAGGGAAATAGCACGTGAAGAAAATGGTGATCATGTCAACCACAAGACCCTGTATAGTGCTAACGCCTTTACATTATCCATGCGGCTGGGTTGCCACTCACGTGATGTTTAGGTTCTGAAATTGACCAGAATATGCCTTGTTTGGAAACACGAAGGTTGGACGTCGCGCACTACTCCGTACAACATCACACATCCTCACCTGTTTTAGTTAGATATCCCCACACACACCACCACCACACCTCACTACAACCACAACATACAGCTTTGTGAAGACACACACTTTTAGTCACCAAGACAACGAGAACGACAACCACGCATAGCACTACGCCAGCAAGCAACACCCCACTGATGGAGTCCACAAATATAGCATTGCCTGCCTCCACAATATTCCCTGTTGAGGTGACAGCCATCCTCAAGGGAGCCGGCGATGAGATTGAAAAATTTGCACCCATTCTGACCTTCAAATATTGGCATGAGGTCGAGGACAACATTGGCGAGGAAACCAACGTCTTCCCCAAACCACCACCGACCATGGTTCGCAAGGAGTTCTTCTCCAACTTTGAATCGCCCGTCAAGGGCCAAATCGACAACTGGAGCATCAAGGTTGGTGACATGATCGAGTCCGCGGACCAGATTGTGGCGGCTGTTCAGGAGCCTTGCACCCACGCTGTGCAATATGGAGGAATGTGTGCATGGTGTGGCGCCTCTGTGGCCGACGAGAAGGACTACACCGATTTCAGCAACAAGGATCGAGCACCGATCAGCATGTCCCATTCGACTGCAGGACTGACCGTCAGTTTGTCTGAGGCCCAGCGACTGGAGGAAGGATCGACCAAGCAGCTTCTCAAGCAGCGAAAACTGATTCTGGTCGTCGATCTCGATCAGACCGTCATACATGTCACTGTTGATCCTACCGTGGGTGAATGGAAGAAGGATCCATCCAATCCCAACTACGATGCCGTCAAGGACGTTCGTGTCTTCTCTCTTGAAGAAATGACTATGGTCAGCTACGATGGAGGCAAACCAGTGCCACAATTGTGCTACTACTATGTTAAGCTTCGACCTCATCTGAAGGAGTTCCTCGAGGTTGTCTCAGAGAAGTACGAGCTTCACATCTACACAATGGCCACCCGCGCCTACGCCAAGGCTATTGCAGAAATCATTGATCCAGATGGACGGTATTTTGGTGATCGAATTCTCAGTCGAGACGAGTCGGGATCCTTAACTCAGAAGTCGCTCCAGAGACTGTTCCCTGTCGACACATCCATGGTCGCTATCATCGATGATCGTGGAGATGTCTGGAAGTGGAGCAAGAACCTGATTAGAGTGGTTCCTTATGATTTCTTCGTCGGCATCGGAGACATCAATAGTTCCTTCTTGCCCCAGAGGGCAGGTATGGTGACACCCAATAAGCCACCAGGCAAGGATGAACGAATCGAAGAGCTTGACGACAAGAAGGAGGGTAATGAACAAGAGGACAACCCAACCACAGAGAGCAATGGCACAAACGAAGACAAGGGCAAGGAGATCGACAACGGCGAGTCCGATGAGGACTCTGATAAGAAGGAGCACGACAAGAAGGTGGAAACAACGGAGGGCAGCGAAGCTGACGAGAAGAGTGACCCAGAGACCACAGAGGAGGCAACCAAGCCCTCATCTGCCCCTGCTGAGAAGGCTTCGCCTGTTGCTAACATGCTTTCGCTCGACAAAGCCCTTCCTGCAGCCGAGGACGAGAGAAAATGCTCCCTTGAAGCTCAACAGAAGGACAGACCTTTGGCCAAGCTTCAGTCAGACCTGGACTCTGCATCTTCTTCGGAAGACGAATCTCACGAGGAGCGCCACCATCTGCTAGTGGATAACGACAATGAGCTCATCCACGTTCAGAAGGCACTGCTCAAATTGCATGAGGATTACTACAAGGATTATGATGACCACGTGAAGCACCATGAGGACATTCTGCCCGATGTTCAGGATATCCTCAGCTCACTGACCTACCCTGTTTTTGGCGGATGCGTGTTCCTTTTCTCAGGTATCATCCCTATTGGTGTCAACATTCAACACGCCGATATCAGTATGTGGGTGAAAAAGTTTGGTGCTACTGTTGTGGAGGACGTGTCGAAGCAGGTGACCCATGTTATTGCTGCATCTGGAAACACCAGAAAGGTTCGACAAGCCTCCCGGTACAAGCGCATCAAGTTTGTTTATATTAGTTGGATCTTTGATTGCATTTCTCAATGGAAGCGTGTGCCTGTAGAGGGCCATGAGATTCCTCAACAAGAGATTAATGAAAACGGCTTCAGTGACGGAGGAGAGCATGTGGATGACGATGACGATGACGATGATGACGACTTGGAGGCTGCGCAGCCCTTCTCCCTAAGCAATATGGACTGGGGTGACGAGCTGGGGTCTTCCGACGACGATGAAGACGAGGAGGAGGCTGATCATGCAGATGACGAGGGATCCAACAAGCGATCTCATGATGAAGATGACGACACTGACAGTCTGACCAAGAGGCCCAAGACTGTCGACGAAAATGACGGAGGTGGAGAAGGTGACGACGACTTTGCTGCCCAGTTGGAGGCGGATTTGTTGGACATGTAGCTATGTACATATATTTATGAGCTTGTGATTATGATTATGGATTCCAGGTACGTAGGATGCGAGACCCACCTATTCGTAGTAGATTACAAGCAGATCAGCCTAACTATCGGTACGAGTGGTACTTGTAACAGTTCCTCATAACAGTACATACAAGTAATTGTACATACTGTATGTTGTAGCCATGTACAGGAGTTACTGGTACGTGTAATCTGTGCGAAATTGGTGACCGACGAGTTTATTAGTATATAATTTATAAAAGACCAGCTTTCGTGAAAATTAGGGGGTTTAAAAGAGTTGAAAAAGAAGAGAAGGGTGCATACCGACCATTTAGGCGGTAGCAGAGGGGCCGGGGATGGTGGTGGTAGCGGAAGCAGCCTCGGCAGTAGCCTTGGAGAGGACAGAGCCCAGAGAAGAGGTGGCAGACTCCAGAGAGGTGATCTGGTCAGTCATGTTGGGGAAGTACTTCTCAAGAGCCTTGATGAAGAGAGCAAGGTCATCCTTGAAGGAAAAGAAAAGGGTGGTGGCGATAGAGACGGGGCCGTCACCGATGAAGCCACCAACCACTGCGATAACCTGCTCGGCAATGAGCAGGTAAGCATGGACAAGGGGGTTAAAGAGGATGGTGCCCCAGAAAGAACCGATGAGGGTAAGAGCAGGGGTATCGGAGAGGTGGTGGACGAAGTCGTAAAGCTCGTTGTTGATCTCACCCATGACAGCCTCGAGGTTCTGGAACTGGGTAACTCGGTCACCAACGGGCTTAGTGAGCAGGTTGAGAGATCGGTAGACACCCTTGAGGACAGTCTCGATCATGTGGGCAATGTCGTTGACAGCGGGGATGACGCTGTTCTCTACCTGCTGAGGGGCAGGAGCGGGGGCAGCTGCGACGGCAGAGACCAGAGCAGCGGTGACAGCGATAGTTCGGACGGAGACCATTGTGAAGAAGGTGGAGTTGGAGGCTGTTTGGAGGGATGGAGCTGGCTGGCTTGAGGAGTTCTACATAAGGGGGGTTAACTACCTGTATTTATACACTCATCTAGATCGACTATCATGAGCCCTCGAAAGTCTGATGGCAGACTTCATGAGGTGCTTGCTTCTAATAGAGTTTTGAATCAACCTCACGCCGTTGGGCAGGTCTCAGAAACGCTCCTCCAATCTTAGGTTAAACTCTCCACGGACGGTAGGGGAAATCGCACTGGTGGAGAATATTGGTTGTCTTTACCAACGTCGCTGCTTCTTCAGGACCTCGTGGCTTTTGATCTTTACCTTGAGTGGCTTTTCTTCAAAGTCTTCGTTGTCCTGCTCCCTATCTCGAAACGTTAATGCTGGCTTCTTTCTGTAGAGATGTTTGGTCCAAGTCTTCGATTAGCCAGGACTACTATTGAATCGATCCGCAATGTTCCGCTATGTACAATGGTAGAGCTCATGCACTTTGCACTCCGATTGAAAGGGCCACATGTGATTCCCTCTCGGGCCACTAACGGTCTATCCAGGTACGAGACGCACGGTTATGCAGCCCAACACACCGCTCACGGTAGCTTTGAGTTGGTTTTGCAGTGTCTGCTGAGGTTATTGAACCAGGTACAAGGTCAGATTTGGATAGCGTTGGGTCAGAGTGCCGTTTCCATTGGCTGGTGAAAGCGAGATTTGAGACAGATGAATTCTATTCAGACGATGATCCAACTTTACCACTGGGTGGAAACCTTGGTGAGAGTAGAACGAATCGCCCATGATGATCAGTGATAAGGCCAACGCCTGATAATAGTTGCAACTATTATGATTGCGACTCATAGGCTGTCAGAGATTTATAGCTGAGTGCGGAGGTTCCACGGAAAAGTCTCTCTCTCAACATCAGGGTCCGATGACTCTTTTTGAGTCACGGAGCCGTTCGTTTTCTCCACCCTTTGCGAAGGATCTGGCAGCACAAATAACTCAAGAGAGAAGCGGAATATGCCATTAGACGCAGGTATTGTCCATCCCACAGGTTATAGATTGATTGAACAGCTCCGTCTCTATAATGCCTCTGAAAGGCATTGCAAAGCAAGTTGAAATAAGGGTGTTGTAGATCAGGACGAAAGCTGGACCTCATGTGATAGTGCCCACACATGGTCACGAGGCGGGGTTCTCAGATCGATACCTTTCTGGTAGAGCTAGGATAGACAGTCGTAAAAGTAAAAATACTTAAGAGGTGTGCCGTTCTATGGCTTGTTAGAATGTTATCTGAGGTCATTCAAGACGTTCGTTGTTTTCGTTTTCTTGCCAGCGCCATGCCTGATGGAAATCCTAAAGTGAGATAAAGTGAAAAGTTTCAAGCAATAAACGGCAACAACGTCGTCGTCGCCCTCCCGACCATTCTTACAGGCAGTTACAGGGACAGCCCTATGTCTCATAGATCATGCAGGTAGGCCGGTCTCGTTCTTCTAACCTGCATCATGGCTGTACGGCCGCGTAAGACTGTGCCCACCTGGGCGGCCAAGTTTCCGGGTGTCGTCTTCAAGCTCCTCTGGCTGGAAGTTTTATCAGTTCCTCTCGACAAAAGCAATACAGCAGAGCTGTGTAGATCTGATACCAACAGCAGGATAAGCATACATGCGAGGTACACACGTTCTTCTATTCCTTCCACCGTCTGAAGTTCTTGTAAAGTTCCCCGGAACTTTTGGCACCGTCATCATGTATCGACGATGACTCAATCAGGAAGCAGGTACGAGATACAGATGCTCACAATGCCCACCAACTGAGTCCTAGTGTTGTACAAGTACGTACATATATGCTGCCATGAGTATGCATATAAACGTGGGGGGTCTTGTCAGCGGAATTGGTTGAGAGCGTATTAGCTATCACAATGTACTGTATTGTAGTTTCTGACTGGGTGATTTCCAACGCAGCACGGCGCTAAATTTTATCAATATGAAGACTCCCACATGGTAACAGAACAATACTTTTTGCACATCGCACAGTAGGCTCGTTAAAACAGACTTCGAGCCCCCAGTAATTTCGACCTGCATCGTAAGCAGCACAGGAACCCTAATTTAGTAGTTGAGGGTGGATAACCAAGAGAGAGAAACACACCCACCTGAACGGCTTGAGAGACATTAGTGTGTCAGATAGGGGGTGGGGTCAGAGACCCTGGACCCTGTCAGTTTTCACAAAGCCATACAGTTTCAACGGCTATAGATAGTTAATCTGCTTCGGGCTGGACAGCCAAGACAAGGCGTCAATATGCCCACCCAGGCTGGGTTGTCACAGTTTTCAAGATTTCTTTTTGTGCACTCTTTCGACTAATCCAGTATATCGCTCGTAGTATCGTAACCATGGCTGGATTCATACACCCCCTACAGAATGATTGCGCTTTACCCTCGAAGTCATTTATGGAACGGTCCCGCGTGCTATGGAGTCATCTTAAAGCATTGTACTGTATTTAACTAACTTACCAACTAATCACGTACGGATGTACACAAGTCACAACGACTCACCTGGGTACAGAAACCCAAACCCTCGAGCATGCAAGTAGCAATGATAATGCAAGAGAAGGTCTCTATCCAGAACTACCAACGCCACTTAAAAAATGCTTCGACCTATTTCCCTCTTCTCGGGTGTTCTAGCCGGGGGACTTCTCTACCGTGCTGCATTCTCCACCAGTGCAATTCGGTCTGACACTGGAAACCGAGTTTTCTTCCGAATCCGATACTCTCAGGAATTTGACCAGCTCAAGACCCTTCCCACACCTTTGCTGTGCAACTTCTACATTCGAAACGATCCCTTCTCGAAGACGGTGTCCGAGCGATTGAAGGAGATTGTCGAGAAGGAGACCTCCAACACCGTCAATGCCGTTGATGTCGAGGCCGACGAACCCGAGGTCAGAGACTTTATGATTGACTACGGAGTCAACCAGATTCCTACCATCATTGCTCTGCGAGGAGGAATTGTTATCGATAAGTACGTGCCCAAGAAGGACACTGATCTGTCTGACCTCAAGGGCTGGGTTGACAAGGTTGGTGGAGGGGACGCTCCTAAGAAGGAGTAAAGCTGTAAACACACAGACTGTAAGAGCCGCAAATACATAGAGAGCGGCCGATAGCATAGACAATTTAATTGATTGTAAAATTACTGATATAAAATGATTTTGATCCGCATACTATCTTACCAGGACTACTTCGAGTCAAGAGCCATAGAAGTACATACTATACCCTATGTTGTCTGACTAAGACAGAATTACGAGTACAGCAAGTTTAAGAGCAACATAGATGAATTTATAGCAACGGCAACATAATGAGAGCGGCGCTGAAAATTTCAGCGTAAATAAACAAACATACATACCTAAGTATGTCCCACACATTCAACTCTTTGCGCTGTTCTTATAACTAGTCACGTGACTGAATTTTAAACCAAGCCTCCATGCATATATCCACAGTTTTAGCAGTCGATTCAAACGCACATTCACATCACACATACATCACAATGGGACTCTTTACCAAGACCGAAGAAACCGCCTCTGTGGGCCCCGCCGGAGGAGATAAGGACCTCACCAAGAAGAAGACTCGACAGATCTGCTGGGACTCTCGAGACAAGTTCTTCGCTTGTCTCGACAAGCATAACATCGTGGACGCTATCAAGGACAGCGAACTGGCCACCGCCAAGTGCCCTAAGGAGGAGAAGCAGTACGAGGCTGACTGTATCGCCAGCTGGATCGATTACTTCAAGCAGAAGCGAACCATGGAATACAACAAGGAACAGATGCTGAAGAAGTTTGAGGAACAGGGTGCCGTCAAGGTCGAGCCCAATGTGTCCTTCAAGTAAACACACACTCCACCAACCCCAAGTTTTAAATCATGTACATATTATCTATTCTACTGTGAAGTATTTGTTTGGTCTAGTTGTAACATTGTGTCTCATAAGAGAGGCGCAAATGGATGAATCAGAATCCGAGGTCTTAAGGCTTCCAGATTCGCAGCTGCTTATCGTAGAAACTACAAGTGGCAACGTAATCGCCATTGGGAGACCAATCTCCTCCATATACCATACTATCGTGGCCTGCCTTGTAGTACTTGACGATTGAGCTAGGTTCCTCCTCAGTTGCACCTGCAGCATCAAGGATAAAGGCACCGTTGTACATACAACAAGTGAGTACAGTATCGACGTTCTTGGGGTTGGGAAGCAGTCTCCAGACTCCACCGCCAAGTTCCTGTCTCGAAACTACTGATCGGGTGTTAACAGCAACCATGCCTGTCTTTCGGAGGTCAAGGCAAGCCAGAGTATCATCATACGAGCCTGTCCAGATCTGAGCGCCATGAGACTTTCTCCAGGAAGGCAGAATTGAGGTCACTCCTGCTTGGTGAATTCGGTTGTTGGATATCGTATCGGTAACGCCGTTATTGTAGTCCAGTTCTTGTTCACCGTCTTCATACAGAGGTGTCCGAAGATCCGAAATCATGAGGGCAGCATCGTCTCCACCAGACATGACCAAGTTGGGGAACTCGTCTCCTCCAAAAGACGAAATCCAAGCTTCCAAAGAGTGCTCATGCAGCGAGCGGTCGATCTTGAGCTCGGAGTCTGAGATACGAATGAGAACAACCTCACCGGAAGTTAGAGTGGCTACCATGAGATCATTGAAAGTGGGACTGAACGTGATAGAGAGCACAAGCAGCGACTCATCAAAGAGCTGGTAGGACTTCTGCTGAGTCAGCTCAGAACCGTCCCACCTCCATGTGATGATGTTTCCGGTACTTTGACTGGTGCAGATGAAAGAGTGGTCGAAGGGGCTAATCTTGAGGTCCAAGATTGATGAGTTTGTTCGGCAGCTCTGCTGCAGTTTCAGCTGGTCGTCTTCAAGCTTGTAGACATCGACCGTACCATTTCGACTTCGGTCGTCCTCCAGCTTGTAAGTGGCCACAAAGATGATAGATGCATCATCAGGTTGAATCTGGATGGCACATGGTGGCAGATCGGTGATTGCAGACGTTATAGTGCACTTGTTGCTGTGGTCCTCCATTTAGTGTTCACGGAGGAGAAAAAAAAATAATTAAGGTGCGATTATGCATGAATGCGCTTATAGACCTGCTCACGAAATTGAGAAGGGGATCTACTACTTGTACTTGTAGTAATTTTACGAATGTGCTTTTGTATTGTAGCAGACAAGATGACTGAATCCGGCAAGATAATGAGCTACTCAAAAACGAAAAATTAGGACGGCACCATGTGACTGACTGACATCTCACAGACCATCGCTGGAAAGAGAGACCGTTATTATATACAGCGCCTCTCACATACATCGGCTGTGTCTCTTGTATCGTACAGTAGCCTGTCTAATTAACGTGATTATGTACAGCCCAAGTATCGTACAAGTACACAGATCAGTCAGTTGATCAAGAAAAGGGGCTAACAGGGCCGAGAATGATTGAAGCTACAGTCTTGGTGAGTTCACCCCTTGACTCCTATTTTTTATCATTAGGCTGTTTTACGGGATTCGTATCAAGATGTCATTTGCTGAGACCTATTCCCAATTGTATTATCTCTTCACAGCCCATGAACCTACAGCACCATAACGACACACCCCTGCCTACAGTAAAGGGTAGCTACCGGTAATAAATGGTAAAAATTCATGCTCTCGGCTGTGCAGGCCAGTCTCCATGGCGACAAGAGATCCGCGCTAAAAATACAACTCGTGTTTGATGGTGGATTCAACCCGAATAATGGAGGCAACCACTCGTGACAGCGTCTGAATACCAATGTACATTTTCAAATCTCTCTATAGGACTCACTCTACGAAGGGTTCAGTAACACGATAGACACACGCACTCACGTGTCCAAAGCTTGAATCTTAGGGTTAGGTCAAGTTTATTTGCGGTTTGTTTATGTTTGTGTACATTGGGAATAGGAGACGGGACAGAACGCATCAACACAAACTACACACAAAAATATTACAAATGGTGAGTTCAGAAATGAGAGACTTGTTGCACTCTTTCAAATCATCATGGCACCACTAACAAAGTCGCAAAACTCCAAATCTTTCAAGGACGCCTTTTCCCTGTTCGACAAGAAGGGCACCGGCAAGATTCCTGCTGAAGCTCTCGGTGATCTTCTCAGAGCTGTGGGCCAGAACCCCACCCTCGCTGAGATTGATGATCTGAAGCAGACCATTCCCGCTGAGTGTGAGTATACTACAGATATTTTCAAGCATCTAGGTGATGGGCCGATAATGGAACACGGTGTGGTGTGTGAGACGATGAACCGAAACATGTCACGGTCCAGCGAAATGCAACTGCGATAAATTGGGCGGTTTCAACGTGTTGGGGTATAGATTCGAGGAACCCGTATCACTTATATCGTGATCACAACGTGTTTGGATCTCTCGTGACAGAAACTTGCCCGTCAAGGGATGTTCCGGTGATTGATTCCTTCATTAAGGTCGTTAAACGGTAACCTCGAAGCGATCACATAAGTCTCTATGACGACAGGGGAGATGGGGTATGCCTAGATTCGCTCTTTCACACCTCTACCAGCATAAATCCACCCCCTCCATCAGCACTAACACAGTCGACTACGAGACCTTCTCCAAGATCGTCAACCGACCAAGCGGTTTCAAGTCTCTCGGTGAGCCCGAGGATTACATCCGGGGATTCCAGGTGTTCGACAAGGACTCCACTGGGTTCGTGGGTGTCGGCGAGATGCGATACATCCTTACCTCGCTGGGCGAGAAGATGTCTGATTCCGAGGTTGATGAGCTCCTTAAGGGAGTCAACGTTACTCGAGACGGCAACGTCAACTACGTTGACTTCGTCAAGTCCATTCTGGCCCAGTAGATACCTAATATATTTTTTATGTTTGAGCGATTCCCATCCGTAGCTACTTGTACTGGTGACAATGTCTTTGAAAGTGTCGTATTGTTTTACATAGATCATAACAGTGAAATAAATAGCTTATATATATAAATTAAGCAACCTGTTGCCGAAGTATCTCGTTGGAATATCAACTCAAGATGGGCAGGAAGTTGCCAACAATCATCATGGGGTTGCCAAAGACATCCCGTTTTAGGGTCCAGATACTGGATGTTTTGATTTTAGCACCGGTCGGTGTAAGTAGTGTACAGTCGGCCATAGTAGCTCCTCTTGAGTCTCCAAAAGCGATTCGAGAAAAGAGCTCAAAGTACTCGAGGACAGAATTGTCGTCCAGCAGCTCTACGATGAAGGTCTGCTGACCAATGAGACGCTGTTCAGACCAACCCGAGAGCTGACAGAACTCTTTTCCAACAGCAGCTAGTTGACCAGTACGTCTCCAGACAAGAGTGGGGGTTCCAGAAAACGAAATAAACTTTTGATACTCTAGGAGGGCTCGCTGGAAGCATTGTTCCATGAACACCAGGTCCTCCTCTTTCAGCGAGTTGGTACAGGCAATAAAAGAGGGTCTGTATTCAGCCATATACTTAGTCATCTGGACGAGCTGCTGTTTGTTGAAACGGCCTTTCAGATAAGAAATGAGTCCATGGTATCCAGGAGTGTAGCTGAATGGCTTTGTGATGTTAGTATAGACCTGGATAGGGTCGGTGTAGTCAGGTAAGTTGGAGTAGACAGCTTCCAGAGCACCTGAAGAGAAGATGGACTTGCTTGGCGAGTCTGGAGCTTCACTCCCGTTTCCATTGCCGTTGGTGTTTTGCGGCTGGCCAGCTGCTACAGCAAACGAAAGAGGCCTCAACTTCTCGTCAGTAGTCAGCTCGCTGTCCTTCACATTTCGCCTAGTTTCGTTAAACGCAACAATTTCAGGCACAGTTAAGAAGGTATCATTGACGAACTCTCCAGCCAGTGGGTATTGGTTAAGATCCTTTGCCGACAAACCGTTAGACTCAATGAGTTGTTTGATCTTAGCTGAGGGAGTAGCTGCCTGGGGCGTAGGCTGGTCCTGGTTATGTGGCGAGTGAGTGTTTGGAGACTGAGAGTTGTTTCCGAGCAACAAAGAGTTGCTTACTGCGGAGTTTGGTTGACCAGAAGAGTACACCATGTTTGACAGGATGGAATACTCCATATTAGTAGCCACGGACTGGAACGAGTGTCCCGATAATTGCAGATCCGAGAACCAGTCTGACGAAAAGTCACCTTCTCCAGTTCTTCCCAGGTCTCCTAATTGGTTGATTTCCGTCGCCAGAAGCTGCTGGTGTATAAGGTAGTCTGCAGGAAGTTGTGACGGAGTACTTGACTGGCCTCCCTGTGGTTGTTGGGCACCCTGTCGCTGTGGTCCCTGCAAGTTTGTGTGGGCCATGCCAGGTGTTCCTAGGTTCGGATGTCCATTCTGAGGGGTATTGGGGACGGGCATATTACCCATATGTTGTTGCTGCATGTTCCCCTTCGTATCAGGGAAGCCTGCAGAGCTAGAGCGAGCACTTCGAGTTGCTGGGCTCAGTTTTGGTTGTACGTTCACACCAGGGGCAGGTGACAGGCCTTTACTGGGCTTATTATCCTCCTTGTCGTCCAGATACTTTAGTTTCTTACGCACACCGTCCACACAGGTGTCTGCGAATCCTCGGGCCACACATCTCTCACAGGGTCGGTTGTTATCGCATGTCAGATGGGTTCGTTGGCAGTGGATACACGCTCGGTGGGCCTTTCTTCGCTTCGGCTTGCCCGTCCGTTGCGAAATCACCACGGGTTTCTCCATTGGAGTTGGGTTGGAGCAATCTGTTTTCAGCTGAGAATGGTCGGTTGGAATGTATGACTGCGATGCGTACAAGTCTTTGGGAGCTAGAGCTTGTAGAAGGAGCGTGGTAGGTTGTTTTCAGGGAGCTGACGCGTCGGTCGCAAGATAATAGCGTGGGTCTCTCCTTGGCTGGACAAGTCTGGAATATGAGAAGTTCTAGAGAAATGGGTTCTGACAACCGGAAACCGGGCTGTTTAAGCTAGTGCCGCAGAGATGCGGGTGCAGTGCATATAGCTTGGGGTCGAAAGGATTGATAAGTGGCGATGGGAGTGTTCTAGTTACATGCTTCAAGAGATAGTCAGGAGCCGAAGCTTTAATACATCAGATACAGAGCCCTAATATTTCACAGACTTACACACGTACCAGCTTTTCCCAACGGTGCAACCCCCTGCTCTGTTTTGTTTTTTCTTACTCGGCCTTGGTTTCGTCATTTCTACTTACTTGACCTGCGTATGGCTTTAAGCTCAACGCTACGGAATATGGTTCATGACTAGTGGGGAAGCCGAGTCAGTAGACGTGAATGTTGAGTGGCTTAGTGGGTCGAAGAAGGTGGGCAAAGCTGATTATAACTACTCTGGAGTGATAACAAAACGACTGTGCTATTTCAGACCTCAACTTCACCACATGGTCAACACCAGCAGCACTGTTTGCTTCTGCTAAACGGAGCAAAAGTTTATGCCTACACGAAATTCTATGAGATGTGGGGTGCGGCGGACGACCCCAAATGTTGTGCCATCTGGGTGAAAATCCCGAGAGCGAGTCACTTTTGGACCGGTTTGAAAGCCAACAAAAAGACTCCCCTATGACCAAACCTCGCATTAACGCCCCTCTCTACACGCTACCAGCAAAAAATGGATGCTCTGAGCTCCCCAACGTGAAACTCCGTTTAAACTCGGATGACTGATTTTTCAATGTCCCGGTACCTCCCGAACAATGCATTCTGGAGGCATCTTTAGCCTCGGCCTCTAGAGGGGCAACTGAAAAACGCACATGTTATTTCCGATACATTCCGAGGCTCCTACTTCTCCCGAGCTCCACCGTGCTTTGTTCACGTGCAACTCGTGAGAATCGAAACGTCTGAGGGGGGATGGGAGGCGTCAGGGGATATATCTGTTCAGAATCTTTAAGATAGCTGAAGCCGACACTTTGGCCGTTTAAACTACACTACCCGTAGTGCTCAATTGAGGGTATGATTCGCCTCTTGCTACGCGCTTGCGGTCGAACACCATGTGCAATTAATTACAAGTAGGAAGCCTCGGTCAAGGCTCCGGACAGAGGCAAACAGAGACAAAACAGACATGTTGCTATTGATCGGGGCACGCTGACACGCTTTCAACACTTCCACAAGACTTTCAAACACGAACCTTTGGGTCCGTGAAGCTTTGTACGGCGACGTAGAGTCACAGTATCGTAGCAAGGTCCACTATGACGTAAATGAAGGTCAGTGCGATGTCTGATTCAATGAGTCGTACACAACTGCCCTTGAATAATGTACAATACGGGTAGGGTATGTGTATTTGGTATGAGTACCGGTACGGTACGCTTTGTGGTATGAGATTAGAGAAGTTCAAGTATCATATGTGTCATAGTAGTTTTACGCCTGTCCATTTAGCGCTCCAGTTACTTAATAAAGCTACATAATCAAACAGTGCCAGTACTCGTTCTATCATCGTGGCAGGTTTTGTACCCCGGTACTGTAAATACCATTCTACAAGTAGCTACCGTACTTCTCGGACACCACTATACGATACATTGTAGTACCAGTGAGTGAGTATGTACCGTACAAGTACGCACGATACTGTACGATGTCCCAACTTGAGATGTGAATTGATCTGCTGGGTCTGACTCAAACAAAGCACACTTGCAATGGGTAGAAGCGTTTCTCGTATACAACTTGGACGAGTGAGTCACTCCGAGTGAGAGCCGACAGCGTTTCTGGGTTACCCTCGTCTTGTCGGGCTTACGGATCACCTTGAATGAAATATGCAACAGGGAATGCTTCTATTGTCAACTGAGTAATATAAGTTATTTTCAAAGGGGGTCGAGGAAGTTCCTAGGTCTATACAATCAATCAACACGACTGGGGAGAATTCACTTCCATCCATTAGCCCGACACTACATCTTCCTTCTCTTGCACACTATACTTCAATTCACATTATCGCGATGCACTAACCCTTGTCTCACATGCTTTAGGATCCTGAACATGATTGAGTGTAGTGAAACTGAATCCACGATATTATGTGTTTCCTGTAAAGTGCTTCTATTGGCCAGATATTCTACTGGCACCTATTTGTAGAGTACTGTAATCTAATTAACTACTTGTAGGATGGACTGAATGCTACCCTATTGTAGCTACAGTATTTAAGAGAACAGCCTTTCCTAATGATAGATATGCCCATCACACTCGCATCCCATCGAAATTCCAGAGTAAAGGTAACGCATTTGGAACACCAAACAATAAAGACGATTTTCTCTTTATTTCAACGATAGCCCTGAAGTTTGACTGGCACAATATATACATTGGAATACGATTAGTTTTAGTTGTTGACACCTGGTTTTGCTGACTCGTCAACTAATTGTGGGGCACTTTACTCGGGAAGAGAAGTACACTGTACAGTACATACTGTGTAACTACAAGATTCTCTCAAAAGTGCCCCATGGGTTGTGGCTTTCAATCGAGTACGAAGAGTATCAACCGATCCAACTGTTCCATAGCTGTGGTGTCAATCTGAGTGTTTCTTTTGGATCAACACCTCTGATATATATTTACACCATTCCAGGTCATTCTTTACAATGCCTTGTAGATTACAAAAAAGTTTGTTGTTGAAGCCTCCAAAGTGGCTTAATTTTGTCGTTTCACTCACACGATGAGAACAATCAGCTGGTTAGTGCAACATCAACGTGTCATCTCAATAATAGTATAGATGTCAGATTGAGAAATGTCATCAGCCAAGCACACACTTCTTGCTCTCATAGGCCTTCCCATATCGAAGGTGCATGCTCAATGCCGCCCAAATGCTCACGTGATTCCACGTTTGAGTTTATGCGAACTTTTCAAAACTCATCATCACCAGTTAGCATACATTCACAAAAATGCCCTTCGATCTTCTCACAAAGGCCTTTGCCAAGAAGCTGAACCTTTCCGAGTCTCCCCTTACTGAGGAGGAGCTCCTCGGCAAGCTCAACGCTGATTTCCCTGCTCTTTCCGAGATCCAGCAGGCCGAACAGAACCAGTGGATCACCTTGTCCAAGCGAGTTGACGAGCCCACCACCATCGACCAGCTCAATGACGCTCTTAAATCCAAGACCTACCTGATCACCGACTCTGCTCAGGCTTCTCTCGCTGATGCAGCCGTCTTCTCGGCCCTGTACGCCTCTCTCAAGGAGTGGAAGGAGGATCAGGTCAAGGCACACCGACACATTATCCGATGGGCTGACCTCATCCAGAACATTGGTCTGTTTGATCTCGCTGCTGCCGACAAGATCGTTGTCAACTACAACCTCGAGGTCCCCCGAGAGATCAAGGAGAAACCCAAGAAGGACGACAAGAAGGATGCAGGTAAGGACCCCAAGGCTGTCAAGGGTGGAAAGGACACTTCCAAGGACGCTAAGAAGGAGGCCCCCAAGGATGAGGCCCCCAAGTTTAAGGGCAAGCCCGATCCTGAGACCCTTGCTGCCCTTAAGGCCGCCAAGGAGAAGAAGAAGAAGGAGAAGAAGCCCCAGGCCCAGGCTCAGCCCGAGGCTGTTGTTCCCAACCCTGGTATGATTGATTTCCGAGTTGGCCACATCCAGAAGGCCATCAAGCATCCTGATGCTGACTCTCTGTATGTTTCTACCATCGACATGGGTGATGCTGAGGGACCCCGAACTGTCTGCTCTGGTCTTGCCGGCATCATTCCTCTCGAGGACATGCAGGACCGATACGTTGTCTGTGTGGCCAACCTAAAGCCCGTTACCATGCGAGGCATCAAGTCTTGCGCCATGGTTCTGTGTGCTTCCCGAGAGAATGAAGACCCTCACTCCAAGGAGGTTGAGTTCGTCAACCCTCCCAAGGGCGCCAAGGCCGGAGAGAAGATCTTCTTCGAGACCTACGACCAGACCCCCGAGAAGCAACTCAACCCCAAGAAGAAGATCTGGGAGGCTTGCCAGGCTGGTTTTACCACCAACGAGAACAAGGAGGTTATCTACAAGAAGGAGGGCGAGCCTGACCGAAAGCTCATCGTCAAGGATGGCCAGGTTCTGTCCTGCAACAACTTCGTCGGTGCATGTGTCAGATAAGTATCTTCAATAAAACAATGTAAAAAAATGTATAGTTACGTGAATTGTGTAGAACGTAGACAAGAACGGCAGACATTGAACATTAGGGTAGCTACAGTATGTACATACTTGAAGTGGAGTGAGTAGAAACGGAAATACCCGCACCAAACCTCTAATCTGGTTCATCCGTAAATATAGCTAATCTATATACGTGATGACTACAAGATAAGATAAGATTGAACTGGAGTTGTTGTTTGCGTCCTGTTTTGGTCGCGCCACAGGAAACTATTGAAAACAATCGTCTAACATCATGTACTGTACCTACTTGTAGTACAGCTGCGATACAAGCAGTGATCTCCGCCTTCCAGGGTATTCTCTCTGAACAAAAAACGAATATTACGACCCCTAGAGAAATCCACACACGTACGTGTTGAAGGTAATACCCGGCAGGGTAAGACCTGGCTAATTCCTCACATAATGATGAGAAGTCATCACATAGTGATGAGAGGAACTACTTGTAGCTTGGTCGTAGACGAGATGTCCATCCTGTAGATAGTTTTATCCACTGATCTAGAATCTCTTTCTGGTGAATGAGCAAGCACACACCAGAAGGGTGTGTGCTACTATCGGAACGTGGTGTCCCTAGAAGTGGGTTGTAAGTTGTTAATTAACTACAGTATATCTAATCATTAATACTTATGATCTTCAATAGTACGAAGACGTTGTTTAGGTTCTGATAACCCCACGGAGAGAGCAACATTCCTACTACAGTAAATCAGAGAGTTGTGACGTCACGCGATGTCTACCCAGGGTTAACTCTAGACGATGATAGCGAATTACAGTAAAACCGAAGGGAGCGATTAGTTCTGACAAACACTTTATGGAGACTGAAACTAACAACCTGCTGTAGTGTCACCCAAATGACCAGGCAGCCAGGCAGCCACCACACATGGCTACCCGCCCTAATTACAAGTAGTCAGGGGATCAGATGAGACGTCCACCTAAACTCTTTGTGTACAGAGAGACTACAAGTAGACACTCTTGGATGCAAACACGCTTCCTCAACAGGAAATTGTGACTCGCTCAAAACGTAAAGACTCGCATATCGCTGCTCACGCGCACAAATAGGAGAATGCTTGGCTACATTCGTAAGTCTTATTCGGAACGTTGAGAGTTGAATTCAGTGGTATAATATTCAGACAGTTCCCCACCGTGGATTTTTAGGCTCTGTTTTTCAGAGAGAATTGGTTATGAATAATCATGCCCCTGTCAAAGTACTCACACCATGATTAGCGAACTGTAGTAAAATAATAGATCTAAGGTCGCTTGACCTATATCTGTCTGTTGCTGTGAAGCGATGAATGGGTTTGACTTCAGATAGCCCACCTACCCACCGTGCACACAGGGCTCCCTTTCTCTCCCACTCGAGTCTCCCTCTGCCTTTGACGTATGTACGATACTGCTGTCAAACGTTTTAGCAGATTCGCACCCCGCAAATAATCTTAAGGTTCGAAAGATGGAGAGCCAAGACTGGTGCCAAGACCAGGCGAGTGCGCAACTGAAACTTTAAGAAACGCAAATATGAACGAAGGTACGACTTGTATTACCAGAGGCGAGGAGCTTGCGGATAACAGATCTTGGCCAAGAAATTACTCATCAGGGTTAATTGTGTCTAGTCCGCCATTCTCAGAGCGCTTCCCATTGTTGACATGTCGACTTATGCTAAAACACACTTGTAGGGGCAGTGCAAAAATTTGCTCGCGCATGTTGTTTCAATTGGATTGGATGAGAATCCCTATAGTAGATAAGCTCTGTGCATTAAGCGCCAAATATGCCAGGTAAATATCGTTCGCGGCGTAGGCACAAAACAAAAAAGCACATAAGCAAATGGCCCCTTTTTCGAATTATGTGAAACTCACACAGAACCATTCTATAGATGTGTGGACAACACAATAGGAGCCAGTGTGATAGATGGAGACCTAATATTATGGGCTTAGTGGCTGGACGCTATTCCTTACATTGCAAGTTTACCAATCCCCCTGATCCTTCGCACATCTCCGTGACTTGATGATTTTACGAGTCTTCATACCGTTAAGTGGCGACCTCAGTTTCATTAAATCAGTTCACACCCCAAGTCTAAACCATACCAGCTTGCGAGACGGTAGATCAATCACAGGAGACTGGGTCTTGTTAGCATATCCGCTCAGTGCCGTTTTCACAAAGGTGAAAGTGAATGTGTACTGTTCCATGTTGCTGCAACTAAAGGGTGCGTATAATACCGCCATGGGCACAAGGGATGTGACTCGTGCCGGTCCCGGTGAGATCTATGGTTTTCTGGCCACCATGGAGCGAAAGTATGTAATTATAAGAATTGAAATAGACATGCTACGAAGTTACAAATACTGAAACAAGTAGACACAGTACAACGTAGTCCCTGCCAAGTATGTACCTTGAAGACATACGAAACGGTTCGATTAGATGGGACAGATGTCGATGAATGGGCTCTTCTAAGGCGCTTCCGGGTGATGATTCACTTATTGCGCCCACCTAATAATAGATTTATTCGTGCGTGACGCTTAGATGTTCCGATGCCACCCACCCGGCTTCTGCGCACTGTTCAACGGTACGACGTTTTGATGCGGCTCAAGGCATTGGCCTCATCCTCCAGAAAAATCTTTAATTAGTTCCACAGTCTGTTGCTATGAGCATCATGATGACACTGCACAGCCTTATAACATCAGTTACTACTGTACTGTATTGTATGGGTTGTGCCGTTTCATGCGGTGGGCTATAGAGATGCAAACTCGGCGACTCATCAGCCATTAGCAGCTTCCCCAGTACTACAGCTAGTAGTGAGTGAGGAGTCACTGTCGCCGCCACTGTTGCCGCCACATTGGCCACAAGTACAGTATGCCATCTAAACATTGCAAATGTCGACTTCAGTTGATTTTATCATCCACACGTGCTATGACTAATCGGTCTGAATGGCTGATGGACACACCACCAACTGTGGAAAACCCACTACGAGTAGGTTCAAGTAGCTCTAAACGTGAGACGGCTGCATGATCTTTTCTCTGCGCTAACAAATACATGCGGATCAACGACGCCAAACCTAAATTGCTGACCGTAAACTTCGAGGGCTCCACCTGTGTCTCGTCAATGGCATGAGACGACAGCCTGATGAGGTCCGACAGCTAAAAATAATTGTATGGTTGAGCATCAACGCCAACTGCGGAATGCCGGTGTGCGAGAGAGACGAGAAAAGTCCTTCGGCATCCGAAATAATAGCTTCGCGCGAAAATGTCGCACGCCAAGGTCCCCAGAACCGTTGAAAGCTGGAAACCTGCCGATTTCCACGTACAATACAATAGAACCTGAGCTAACAGTGCTGCTAACATCGATTCAAGAACAAGGAGCACTCCGACGGCCTGGTCTGCAGTAAGGAAGCCTAATCGGGAAGCCAAACATGCACGATATTTTTAAAGCTGCAATTTGACCGAACTAAACTGAAATACCCGACACAGGTTACATACAAGCGTACGGCAAAAAGGCCACTAGTATTGTCTCCAGTTGTGGGTCCTTGAACTTAGCTCCCTTGTCATTCCTTTATGGCACTCGTTATGAAGTATAGCCCATGTCAAAGCAGTATGTACACTGTCTCCCATTGGTTGCCCCAACGCAAATGCTGGCGTCGGTTTTGCGTTGTCTCGTTTGTGTCATCAACCCCGTTAGCCTTGTCTTGGCAACTTGGCACATGCGACATTAAACGTATTTGACTCAAACACACATCCCTTCGTTTTTCATTTCTATACAAGCGTTTGCGGCTACATCGCTCCCCTTCCCCCCCCCCCCCCCCCCCCCCCCCCCCATAGCGCGGGTCCTAAAATAAAAAAATTTTTTAAAAGCTGAAACATCGTTTTTCTCCAAAAGCCCCTGGGACCGTGTATGGCCCACGGGTTTGATTGGGTTTATATTTTTTTTTGAAAAAAAACGGCCATCCCAATGGGGGGGAGGGGAAAAGGCCCTTCCCTTGTCTTGTCACTTGGGCCTGGGTTCCCCCCCCCCTGGGCGAGGGAGGTTATAGTTTTAAGGTTTTTTAGAACCACCCCCAGGGGAGAGCGCGTGGGGAGGAAATTTAAGCATTTTTTTTTTTTAAACCGCCCCTTTCGAATTTAATAAATTGAAGACTCAGTCTATGAATTGGCGACTAAATAGATATAAAAAAAAGAAAGAAAAAGAAACAAAAACCAACAAAAATCATATTAAGGGGGAGGAGGCGCAGTCGAAGAAAGTCTTTATTTTAAGCTAAAGAGACACAGAAGATAAAACGGAGACGCCAACGGGGATAAAATAACATACCGGGGGACCGATTGATTTATTAAATTATAGAATAATAAAATAGACTAATAACAAAAAAAGTTTTATTATTTTCTCGCTAAGTAATAAATATAAGATATGTTAATGATGAGAGCCTGAAATATTCACTCAGAGGAAATATAACTTATTTCATATTAAAACACTGAAGAAGAACATATACGCTATAAGAATAGTAATACCAGAAAAAAAAGTCTTGTGATCAATAAAGTGTATTAATTACAGCTAAAATATCGTTTGGATTGATACAACAACTCAGGAGACTATGGGATTCAAACTCAATATAAATATACGAAATATATTATCTGAATAATTAGATTAAAATAAGTATATCACAACGAAAAAAGATAAAATTTTTAAGAGGAACAAAATAAATTATAAATTTACATACTAATTAAGAGCTTATGATTTAAAAAAAAAATATAAATAAAACGAAAAAGCGAAATTATACTAAATTAATAGCGTATTACTCGGCCTTATTTAGCACTGTGATATGTATATAAGTATCGCCAGAGAATGATAGATATAAGAGTGAGCGCATAGACTATTGTCTATGAGGCTTGTTAAGAG